CTCCTGGATTAGGTTCGTCTTGGAAGGGTTCTTGCGACTTGTGACATATTTGGTCAACAATAAAGAGGATATTGAGTAGGTCAGACCATAGAGGCTGCCACTTTTGTATTTGTTGTTGTTTTTTTGTGGTGTTTTGGTTTTTCAGACGGCAATAGTTTAAGTATTGCGTCGATTGGGTTGACGTTGTTGACAGTTCCACGTTGTATTTGATCCCAATAGGGTGTTGGGATTGCAGGACAGTTCAATATATGGTTTCGACTCATCACACCGCCACAATAGCATTGAGGCCGGCCACCAGGCAACCAGTTCATTCGCCACCTTAGTAGTCGCCTACGTTCCTTGCGTGTCATGGGGAGAGTGAGGATGGGGTCTATTTGTAAATCAGATCTACAAGCCTTTATCATTGTTTCCGAGGAATTTCTGATGGCGTTCGATCGATATTTGGAGAGGATTTTTTTTAGTTTCTTTTTTTCAGTTATATTTACAGTGGGAGTACTGATGAATTCTTTGTGGAGAGGGTTTTTGTTGCGGATGATATTGAGGCGACTATAGCGCGTGGTGGAGGAGTGAACTTGTTTGATCAATGACTCTGGTGGGAGCCATTGCAAGCGAAGGTTGTATTTGGTGTTGAGGGTATACCAACGTTCCATCATAGAAGGTAGGTTGGCCATGACCCGGAGTGCTTTTACTGATGCTGTGGCGTGACCACCGACGATTAATCGAAGGCAATCATCCTGCATGCGTTCAAGAGCAGCGATGTTGGTGGCGTTGATGTTGGTGACACACAAACCGTATTCAATCTGTGGTCGAATGAATTGTTTGTATATTTGTATGCTGAGAGGTAAGGAGAAGCCATTGGCACGAGTACCAATGTCATGCATCCTGTGCATACTTTTTTTGTTTTTTCTTTGTTGTAGGTGATGAATAGTTGTGTATCCATCCCAAGATAGTTGAATTGCATACCGAGGTATTTGAAGGTGGTGGTGGTAGGTATGTTGATGTTGTATAGCTGGTAAGTCGGAAAGGAAGGTGGGGGTGTAGGAGGAGTAAGAATGGCACATTTAGTCGGTGACCATCTGTAGCCAAGTTGTAAAGAGTGTTGTTCAGCTATTGCAAGAAGGTTAGTCATGTTGTCGGCATCAGAAATCAGAGCGATATCATCAGCAAACAACAAGCAGTTTATGTTTTGTAACGGAATAGAGGAGGAAGGGATAGAATTACGAAGTAATTGTGGAAGGGAATTGATATAGATAGAGTAAAGATGGGGACTGAGGACACTGCCCTGCAGTACGCCCGTAAAAGGAGTGAAGAAGTATGATTGATGGTTACCATTGATGACTTGGATATTGACATGATTAAATAAATCTTTCAAAATATTTAACAGTCGAATATTGCAGTGAGGGTACATGGCATCCCAAACAATGTCTCTATCTACAGTGTCGTAGGCCTTTGCAATGTCAAGAAAACAAATCACAGGTGATTTATGATGTTGTCGGGTATATTGATGCATCAATTCATCTAAACAAACGGCTTGATCGATCGCACTCAAGAAGGGTTTGAAGCCTCCTTGGGCTATGTCAATGAAGTCTGTTTCATCATAAAGTTGTTGTTGTATGCTATACTCCATTATCTTTCGAAAAATGGAGGTCAAGCTGATTGGTCTGAAATTGGCTGGATCAAGTTGGTCACCTTTACCTTTGTAGATCGGGACGACTTGAGAAGTGCGCCAAAGCAAGGGAGTAAATCCAAGAAGCCAGCAGGCACGGAAAAGGAGTGTAAGGGGTTGAGCTATGATATCGGCCACAGGTTTGACCATTTCTGAAAGAATATGATCGCTGCCTGGGCTTTTTTTAGTGGCGAGTTTTTTGATGGAATCTACAATTTGATCTTGCATAAAAGGGCAGTCGTCGAAATTGTAGTCGGAATTAGTGATGTTGGGTGAAGGAAAGGAAGGAGATTGTAGGTGCAAAGGAATGTTTTTGGGCTGAGGTATGTATTTACCATCAAAGATACCTTCGAGGTACTTTGCCATAGTGTTTGCTGCATGCTGAGGACCGTCAATAGATCCGAAGCGGTTGCTATTTTTTTGTCTAGAGTTTATGATTTTTTTTACAATGGGCATAGCCGCAGTAGGATCTTCATCCAGCTCGTCACAGAACTTGCGATATGCAGAGGCTCGTGCTTGCTTTACTGCTGCTTTTAATTTTTTATCTGCATCTTTATACTTACGCCACCAGAGACCTTTTTGGATGCCATAGGCACGACACCAACGAAAGTAACAGGCTTGTCTATAGTTTGATGCAGTCTGTAGAGACTTGTTCCAGAACCATCGCCAAGTTTTCGGACGATAGTCGGATTCGGTCAAGATGTTGTCAAGGGTATAATACAGACAATTATAAAATTGCTGTGTGAGATATTCAAGAGTGGATCTGTTATCTGTACATTGGTCTTGTAATAGTTCTGTTGAAGAAGCTATTAGATAGTTGATGAAATCAGATAACTTGGATTCCAGTTGTGTTTGGTGCAATTGTTGTTTGAGTGTACGGCGATACGCTTGAAGAACATCGAGTTCTTGTAGGCGCACCACTTTCCACTTTTTGCGTTGTTGTGGCTGTTGATCGTCAGCAAATGAAAGGTCATCCCATAAGAATGAAAAGACCAGCATTTTGTGATCAGATCCTAGGATCGCAAGGTCGGTTTTAATTTGTAAATCAGCTTGTTGAAAGTCTGATGTGGATATAAAATAATCAACAATACTGTTGTCAGTAGTATTGCTTTGTTGGCGATAGTTGATACGGGTTGGAATACCATATTGGCATTTAACATTCCAGTTGTACCAGTGGTTATCTTGTATGTGCTTGGATAATTTTGATCCACGTGGATTCCAACGAAGGTCACCAGTGTACTTACCCATTCTAGCATTGAAGTCGCCGCATAGAATTGTATTGTTGCTTAAAGGAATGGAATTGATTATTTGCATAGTTGTATTGTTATCTAAAGAAGGGAAAGGTGGTAAGTAGAAACAGTATATTTTCAGGTTGTCAATGTGACAGAGCATATAGTATTCGGATTGTAGTAAATCCACATAAATTTTGTTAAACTTGGAAGTAGGGTTGATAAACAAGGATATACCCATTTGTTGACGGTAAGAGTTAGAAACTGCTTTGCCGTATAAATGGTATTGATGCCATGTTGTGGGTATAGTTTTTCCTGGAGGGAGCCAGGTCTCTGTGATAAATAAAAGATCGATGTGTTTACAATAATAAAGGACTGAATCAATGGCTTCCTCGCGGAGTTTACCATTGGCATTAATGCACGCTATACTGAGTTTCCTCATTATAACGTTTCATCCATGTTGGTTGTTGTGGTTGTTGGTGAAGGAGTGGTAGTAGTAGTGATGGAGCTGTTGTTGAGAGGCTGTGAGTCACTACTGTTGCTGACCTGCTTGGAGGAGGAAGAAGAAGGGTTAGTATTTTTTTGTGGTTTTGTGGTTTTAAAAGAATCCAAGAAGGATTGATGCTGAGCATCAGAAATTAATTGCTCTTTCAAAAAGAACGAAGCCACAGCTTTAGAGATATGCTCTCGAATGAAGGGCAGAGCACGGACAAGACGTTGGTTGTGCTTTTCAGCAGCAATTTTTGTTTTTTCGGCAATGGATTTGTTGTTATAGATTGGATCAACTAAATTGTTGGGATCCAATGGCGAATATGATTCCAGTGCTTCGACTTTTGATTTTTTGAGAGTGTCAATCAGTTGTTGACGGTAATCGTTGTGCACTAAGAGTGCAACTACGTTACGTGCAGGATAGTGGATATCCAATACACGTCCGTTGGTTACACCCAAAGCTTTGAGGTTGTTGCGCTGAGTTTTGCGACTAATTCTGGCTTTTGAAGGATAGTAGACATAGCTAAAGCCTTGTTGTTCAGTCGTGGGTGGTGTGAAAGCTCTGATAGCAGTAGAGATAATTTTTTTGTTAGTAGGTTTTTGTGTGTTTTTTTGTTTTTTTATGAGTATTTTTTTGTAGTTTAAGGGTGTTACCGAGCGCTCAGCAAGACGCTTCTTGACATCGAATGGATGAGCGTACTTGGACTGAGTAGCACCAGAGAGAGCAGGAAATTCGACATCATCATCAACCATGACATGATCGTCTTGGTCAATTTGTTGTTGTTGTTGTTGGCTTTGTTGGTGTTGGTGTTGTTGTTGTTGCAATTCGATGATTGTCTGTTGTTTTTGTTGTCTCAACAATTGACGTTCAAGTTCAGCATTCTTTGTTGCATAAAGCTGCAATTGGTTCTTGATTATCTTGTTTTCTCTTTCAAATTCAGACAATTTGTCCTGAAGAGACAAGAGCATATCTTTTAAAAGTGCAATTTCCTTGTCGTTAATTGCACCGTGAATGGTGTTGTTGCTGTTGTTGTTGTTGTTGTTGTTGCTGTTTCTGTTGATGAGTTGACCACTCTTTACTGGAGTGGCAATAGGTGTACCTTTTTGTGAGCCATTGCTGGCATCACTTGCGACTCTGCTTCGCTTTTTGGCCTGGTGAGAGGCGGTGTTGATTTTGCTGATTGATGCTGTGGCACCACGTGTAGAGGCATCAATGGCTTGTTGAATCTCCTTTTCAACAGCTGAAAAAGAGGTATGATTTTTGCACTTTGCGCATTGAAACACAGGGAGTGCAGGTGTCGATACGTTATTAGCAATGTAGCCAAGTGTGCCAAGTTCAGCACAAGAGGCACAGTTTACCAAGTGATGGTATTTGAAGAATTGCTGCATGATCTGTTGAGCATGAGCTGAGAGGTCAGGAATAGACGCAGGGCGAGTATCTGACATTGTTGTGTGAGTAAATAACTTTTTTTGTTTTGTTTTTCTGTTTTTGTGATTTGGTGTATTTTTTTGTGCTTTTTTTTTTTGCGTAGTGCTGTGTAATTAATTAAGTTAAACTTTATCTAAATTTAGTTTTCTAAATGGAGATGAGTCCAAAAAGGCAGAGATTGATCAGAGAAAAGATAAAGAAGTGTTCCAAAAGTAGTAATTCGGATCAAATCGAGAGCTGTAGAGATATGTTGCACGTGAAGTAGTGTGTTGGTTTTAAACTCCAATTTTCTTATAAAAAGGGGCTGTTTTTCACGCGCGACCTTACTCGGTTCTTAACCTCGCGCGGTTGGTTAAGTGGTATAATCTTCGCCTGCCACGCGAAGGGCCGGGGTTCGATTCCCCGATCGCGCACTTTTTTATGATTTTTGTCGACATAAAGTGCATGTATTTATGAAAAATTGGTGTTTATTAAAGTCCTTTAGAACTTGTCTAGGCTTTTATTTCTCAAAGAAATGTTATCCTTCAATTGCTATAAAATGTCGAGGTATTTGTACTTTTTCTTCTCGGTCAAAATATTGTTTTGGTGTTAGCTTCTTGACTATAGATTGATTTGTCAGATCATGAGAAATTAAGAGAAATGCCTTTAGAGGAAGTTGTCAGCTCAGCCAATAGTACATGATTTGACCTGAACTTGAATAAACCATTACATATTTGTCAAATGCCAACGCTAATGTATTTGTCAGCTCTAACTGTCACTTTATGAGGGCCATTAATAATAACAGAGTCACTAGGTTCATAATCTCTGGCTATGAGGATGATGTAGTACTTCTAGTAGAATGAGTGAATGTCAGTGACTATAAATCCATTACAATTGCCATAGATGTGATCTGGTCTTTTGCCATGATCATCATTTATTGATCTATGCATATGAATTCATATATGATCACAACAGATGTGTTGATATTTTTTTTTTTTTTTTTTGAAAGCTATTATTTATTATGTCTCTCTTACAATTGCTTTTATTAATTAGATCTCGCTTGTAATATTTTGAGGTTAAATTTGTATGATAGCAAGACATCACTTTGTGATTAGACTACCAAAAGTACCAGAAAAAAAAATAGTAGAATTGATAATGATGTTGTTTACTAATCTAATGTTGATCTGGTCTGGCTCAGAGCTTAGCCATAAATCCAAAAAGGCTGACTATCATTCGGATGACTATAAAGAATATTGACAACAGTTTTTTTTTCCCTCACTTAATCGATCTTTGACCTTGAAACCAATGTTGATTGTATTATCAATAACCCTTTTGTTCTCGTTGTAGTATGTTCTAGTGTTTTTTTTTTTTTAATTGTAAAATCTTCACAAACAAAAAAATATCTTCAAAATATTCTCCAAACTTTAATAGTGTATTATCTTTCTAAGACAAGGAAATTGCAACATCTACAAGAACTTTGTTCATGTTTATCACGATATTGTTCTTGAAGAATAAATTCCGGATCGTCATAATAAACTCACGAGGAAAGCTAAACTTTTCCAGAACCACACAGATGTATTCTCCATTGACATAGTCGTATGCCTTGGCACTATCAATGGTCACACCTATACCTCTATGGTTGCAGTTATTAGTATCTTCCATTATTACCTTCAGTGCGAGACCATGATCACCGATAAATTTACCAAGCATAAAACCAGCCTAGAATTGATTTATAATGCTATTCGAGGCCTAAATGAATCTAGTGCTGAGTATCCTTGTAAACACTCTGCAATCAGTATTAGTTAGGGAAATTGGGCGCCAGTTAGCCAGATTTGTTAGAACCCCTTTCTTGGGTAGTGGCACAATTTATGTCTGTAGTCAAGACTTTGGAAAAAACAGTTTTAGCAATGGTATCATTATACACTTTGGTAACCAAGTTATGACAGTCAGGATGTTCAACAATGAGCCGCAGGATAGCATAGGGTAATCCGTCCCTACCAGGACTGCTCTATTTAGAGCAACGTTTTACACCTTCAAGAGGGATAGTAGAACAAATATCGTTTGAGGCTGAGTTGCTTATCTTTGTGGAAATATTCGATATGAGAGAGTTCAGTGGTCGACGCTGTATTGACTCTGCCGAGTACAAGTTCCTGGTAAAAGGCTTGAACTGCTTCCAATTTGTCTTTCGTAGATGTATACTCCATATTTGTAACTGGATGAGCGATCATGTTGAACTGACGCTCAGTTGATCGATCTCTGACTATGTGTCTGAGGTATCTTATATTGCGCTCACTGTTCTCCATCCAGATTTTACCTGCCCTTAGGAAGGCTATCACATACATTTCATTTTGAAGATTAGCGATCTCATTTTCTGCTTCCGGCAGGACGGTATTGAGAAAAGATTTTTGCTGCTTGTATCTTCAAGTATTTAAAGGAACACCTTTGACGTAAGCAATTGGACCAATCTATAGAGGCCTTAATATGAAGGGTAATGCGATGCATAATATAAAAAAGTCTGTTTCATCTTTCCAGATATATCAAAATGAATAAACATGATTCATTGCATAAAGTACCTGAGGCATTGCCTTACATTCATGCAAATTCTGACAAATTCTGACAAATCAGTAATCAAGTCGATTATTGCAGAGTATGCAACCAGAAACAATTTTACTGTGGTTGTGAAGAAATCAGATAACCAGAAATATTAACCCAAGTTTGTTAAAAGTGATCAATACAAGAACACTCGTGGTATTAGTGCTATTGAACGCAAAAGAATTACTATAAGTTCAAGCATCAGCTGTCCTTGTTGTATTTATACAGGTAACGTAAAAAGGACGAGACTGAGTAAACTATGGACTCTATTTCTCTTAAAAAACGACGTGTTTATATACTTTTTCTCTTATCTGAGATACATAGGATTAGTCAGGACTAACCTAACTCAAATACAAGCTATTAAGATGTAGAGCAATTATTATTCATGTCAGTATACAACAAGCGTATTAAGCGTATTAGGTGTATTACTAATTTTTTTCCAAGCAAGAAGAGAAAAGCCAAAAGGAATATTCGATTCAGCTGATACTGTAGTTGATTAGGCCATAGGGAGATACAAAGCCTTTTAATAAAGTGAAATTACAGATAAAGACAACTATGTCGATCGCTCTAGCAATAGCATGAAGATTTCATTCAAATGTTGAATGTATACATTATTAAATTATTGAATTTAATAAAAATAAAGATAAAAAGGTAGTAGGAATAACCATTATAGCAAGACAGCCAAAGGAGATAGTTTCAAAACAATCAAGACTAAGTTATATTTCCTGGAACCAAGATTTCTCTGCGATAACCTCATGAAAGTTTAATAAAAAGATAATAGGTTTGCAAGATTTGCCTAAAGGCCATACACTTTTCTTAGTGTACCTAACTAATAGTGGACAAGGAGATTAGTTCATGATCATCCAAGACAGTTACAAATTGGGTAAAGACGACACTCAAGGAGGCCGATATTAACACGGGTACTTTTACTGCCCATTTGATCAGAGTTACTTCTTGTACAGAGGCTATTCTTAAAGAAGCGTCTGTACTTGATATCAAGGCAAATGCAGACTGAAACACAGAAGCCAACCTATTTAGAAAGTTCTGTTGCAGACCTCTAGATCAACAAAAAAGTGGCAGAAGAATAGCAGAATCAGTATTTCGAAAAAGAAATCACGCCTGAAGTTAGTGTGACCTATACGGCAATCATGGTAGAAAGGCCTTAAAGTTTTGATCCACAACCAAGTTGACTGACCAAAATAACGTGTATCAAAACATTTCTGTACTAGTATCAATTGTCTAAACAATAATGCATGTCTAAAGCTTCTCAGGATGTAGCACAACGTAATTATAAGTTTATTTGTATGATTCAGTGTAATATATATATATATGATTCTAATTAAGATGGATATGTAACAAAATTAAGAGCTAAAGTATGTGTAGATGTACATATATAGTATTCACAAAAATTAAGTAGATTAGGTCGTTAAAATGGCTTTTGGTTCAGAAGTGATTGATAGATCCTCTTGTTTAGCATCTGCTTCTCGACTAGCCAATGCATTTTCCAACAAGATCAAGCGACGGATGCGCTTCAAGTTCAACCACGCAGGTAGATAAAGGTATGATTTTGTTTCACGAGGACTGGGAACTTCATAAATAGTCGTAGTGTCATCCATGGGGATAGAATCCAAGAGTAAAACATCATCTTTATCGCCATTGACTACACGGGAAGCAACAGCACGAAGAATCTCAGGCTGGATAGGATTTTCATAATCAGCTACATAGTATTGAGAAATCAACTTTTGGATTTGAGTGGGAGATAAGATCCAGCAGACGTCGTAAATGTTCTCAATATCTTCCAAAGTAGCTTTTTTAAATTGAAGTAATTTCGTTGCTTGCATCAAATGTTCGAGTTGAAGAGTTCCCTCAGGAATGTTGTGACCCTTACACCATTCCTCAATACGTGTAGTATTGTATTGAATTTGCATAGCTAAAGAAGAAAGGATTTGTCAGATGGTTATTGCCATGCTTATTTTACGAAATTACCTCGCTTCCAAGAAGAGAAGTTCTTTCTCATGAGTAAGTCATTAAATGCTGTAACACCTGTCATTTTCAGCACCTCAATCAATACTTGATTCATAACAGAAGGTTCCATAAAGTAGCAAGTCATGGTGCGATAGATTTTGTTAAGGAAGCTTAACAAGTCATCCATACTAAAGGCAGGTCCTGTTGATCCCAAAAGAAGCTTGTTAAGGAATCTACCAGAATCGTTTGTAATAAATCCAGGCAAAGATTGACTTTCAATGACAGCTGGAATGACCATCTTACTATATTTGCGCTTGATCTCTTTCATCCATGCATGGAAAATGTTGTCCTCTAAGCATTGCATTTCAAACTTGATGGTTTGCATTAGCTTTTCAAACTCGCGCCATCCAATAGAGTGTCCTCGTTCTTGCATTTCATATTCAAGACGTTGTTCCGATTGAACAATCAGCGACAATAATTCGTGCACATTAGTAAGCCAAAAAGCACAAGGAATGATAGCATCTTCTCCGGTAAAACTCTAATTAGATCTTATTAGTACGGCTGTATTTATGTCTGAATTAACTTACCAAACATTGTTTTTGAATTGTATCCATAACCCCAAACAACATGCTTTCTGATTCGCGATTGTATCCGATTCTCCACATATCGTTAATGCACATGTTAATGATATGAGCAGGGAACACGACTTCTTTTTGAGAAGGAGGATTCTTCTCGCTAGGAAGAGGAAGCTTAAGTGACTTGATAAGTCCTTCAAACACTTCTTCCTGAAGAGGATCTGCTTGTCTCAAAATAGCGTTAATCTATCCAATAAATCAATTGGCTTGTTAAAAGAGCCTGATACATACTTCTTCTTCGGGGTTGTCAGAAATAATATCTAGGCGATTACTTTTACCACCGGCAAGTGTGTTCAAAATGCCAACAGATGTAGGGCGAGGGTTCTTGCTCTTACCATATGTCTCTGCTCTTCGTAGCTGATCAATTGATGACTTGGGAAGACTGCTAGTAACTTCAGCAGAGCTGTTGCGACGAATTTTGCGGTTTGTGAGCTTATTTGTTTGTGGTAATGCCTTAACATAGTTAGCTTCCTCAATTTCTTCCACAGGGCGAGAAATAGGCTTTCTAATATTGGCAGGTGATATAGAGCGGCTCTTGTTTTGGCTACCAGGAGATAGTGTGCCTTGACGTGTATGCATAGCCTTTGCCAACTGTGCTTTCAATGCCACAATTTGGGCCTTTAAGTCAGTCATCTCTTCGTTATTTACAGGAGCAGCCTCAATATTTCTGGATTCCAAGATTACAATAGTTTCTTTCTGACTCTTCAATTCTTGCTGTAACTGTTCAACTTGAGTTGTCAAGTTTGTTACTTTTTCTAGAGCTTCTGTGCGCTCAGTTTTGAGAGTCTGGTTTTCTTGTTGGATGGCTTCAAATTCTGCTCTAGGAACCCTATTTTCACGCAACTCGGCTTCTATTGACTTGGCGCCTTGTTCAAGTTTGTTGTGTTTTTCAGTCCATAATGACATTTGTGATTCAAAGTGAGCGGCCTTACTTGCTAACTCACTTTTTTCTGTCTTAAGAATGGTGATGGTTTGTGTAAGTTCAACGACCTTGTTTTCTAATTTATAGGAAACTTCTTTGAAGTGACTGGCAGATCTAGCTTCTGCCTTTAATGTAAGAAGCTCCTTACGAGCAGCATGACGTCGGACGCAAGATTGCAAATAAACAATATGTTGGATTTGGGTCTTGTACCATTTACGAGCCAACCTTTTTTTTAAGTTAATAAAGATCCATAACAATTAAGCAAGTACTTACATTCCTCTAACACAACGCTGAATCTGCACAGCTGCATGGTTTTCCAAGAGCTCTTTATGCTTATGGCGAGCATTGCGAGCACGAACAACTAAACAGTGCAATATAAGCAATGTGACTTATAGAAAAAACAGTATTCACAAACCTTTTTGGATCTTGACAGCAAATTCTTTCTTTGCCAAAAATTCTCTGCGAGCTGCAAATCTACGAAATTCCTTTTGAATAACAATGGCTGCTTTTTCTTCTTGGAGTTTGCGCAATGCTTTTTGTGCAACTTGCTTGCGAGCCACAGCCTGAAGTCGAATAGCCAACTCGCGCATACGCATATATCGATGACGATATACAAATCTTCGAATGTTCTTTTGAAGTACAGTAGCGCAATCATTGAATCTATCAGATCGTAGCTTTTCAAGGTAGGCAAGCTGACCAGCACGGAAAAAGATTTTAGTCTGACCTATCTGATATTTGTCTGTGTCATTAATGCAACTATCCAGAATAACTTGACATAGGTCCCTGACGTTTGGGTTGACTTTTGGATCCCAGTGTTTGGAAGATACCAAGGCATAATAACGATCAGCAAACTCTTCAAATGTCCAACGAGAGGGATAACCTAAACAACTGATACGAATGGTTTCTAGCACGCCACATGCACGAAGTTGTGAAAGTACCATAGGCGCTTCAAATTCCCAGGCCACCTTGGCTTCATTAGGCTTAATACAACGAATATAATGCACGTTTGTTTCTCCAATAGTGTCCATTAAGCTAATCAAAGAGTTTTTAAAGATAGAGCCAAGTGTAGGCTTTCTAGCAATCATACTCTTTCTTTTGTTGTCCTAATTAGCAGTAAAAAAAAAAAAGTTAAAATGCTAAACAAGATACACAAGTACTTACAACTGCTGCAACAGCATTAGCAGCTTCTGTAGACTTGGCAAGAATATCTGGCAAGAACGTGAATTCAGAGTTTTGAAGTAACTGAAGATGTTCATCTGGCAAAGAGTCTTTGTTCTTTTCTAAAAAGTTTTCAGCTTCATATTGAACATCATGAGCATAATGTGCAACTGTAAATGCGGCATTAGAGAAACGAGGCTTTTTAAAATAGTTTTTGTAATCTGGAGTACTAAAGTTGTCATATAGTTTTTGACAAAAGCCTTGATCTGTACCAGCAGGTAAACGAGATTCCTATGAAGCAATGAGTTTCTTATATTGTCTTTTTTTTTTCTTTTTTTTTTTTACCTCATCTAAAAGTGATAAAATACCCATTCTTCCTTCAATCATTTCAATGCACTTTTGATTGTCACTGAATTCAATAAATGTCCAGTTAATTTGTTCGCGCATATATTCTTCTTGCTCTAGTTTGAATACATGTTGATTAAACTGTTGTTGAAGTTTTTCGTTGGCATAGTTAATACAGAATTGTTCAAACGAGTTTTTCTTGAAATGTTCAAAACCGTAAATATCCAAGACACCAATAAAGTTTCTGATTTGGTCGTCATTTGGACAAGATAGACTGTCATTAATAATGCCTACAAGCCAATCAAACAAGTTGGAATAAATATATTTTGCTACTGAATCTTTGACTACATGTGCCTGAGCAGGACTTAGATTAGTGACAATCTTCTCTGATCGAGTAATGATCTGTTTTCGCACAATCCATTTCCTGAAATCGCTGGCATTGATGCCTAGCAACTTGGTTGCAATAGCAAGTGCCTCATCTGTATCGGATACTAAAGCATCATTGCGCCCTGTTACTTTGATATTACCAATGTGAAGCAAGGCAGCTAGTATACGAAATATTTTCCATTGCAAATCCACTGATAGACCAACTGTGGATAAAGCCTTTTGTGTCACTTCAAATTCTTCTATATCGTTTACACCAGCAATTTCTCCTGTGCCACTTTGATTGAGGTAATGAAAATCAGAATATGTACCCAGCTGAAAATCTTTTTTCTCTTTTGAAGGAGCTCCAGCACAAAGCTAATCAATAGGGCTTAGATAAATACATATACTTTTTGGGAGTATGTACCTGATAAAATATATGGTAATTTCTTTCTGTCTCGGGCTGGAAAATTAATCTTGATCTTTCCAAAAGATAGGTTCTGATCTTGGCACCAATAATGTTTGCTTCCATATCAAACTGAATCTCAATATATTTACCAAATCTTGAAGAGTTGTCGTTACGAGTCGTTTTTGCATTACCAAAGGCTTCCATGATAGGATTTGTAGCTATATCATGCTGTGTTACCATCAAATTGCTAAACTGCCATCTTGTTCTTACCTAAAATTTGTTCCTCAACCTCGGTCATAGATCCGTCTGTTTTTTTCTTTTTACTGGAACTTTCCTGATCATCTGCAGTAGCAAAGTATCGCATGATAAATTTAGCACTGACAGTCTTACCAGCACCACTTTCACCCGACACGACAATCGTTTGGTTTTTTTCTTCTCTCTTCATGCAACGATAGGCATCTTCCGCAATGGCAAACAGATGAGGCTCTAGTTCTCCGCGTCTTTTTCCCGAGTATTGTTGCACAATATCTGGCTCATAAAGCGATACACGAGCAAACGGATTCACAGCAATCAAAACGATACCAGAATATGTATAGATTAAACGCTGCATGTATCTTGTTCTAATCGTATTCAAGACTAAACGAAAGTTCAATATACGCACGTATGGGTCAGGGAGAAAACAAATTACCTGCAGGTTCATTTAAATAACTCAGATTTGTCAAGTCATCTGTGTATTCCATTTTCGGTGGATTTCTTAGTGGAGGTAAAGTAGAACCGTTGGTTTTACTAATAAGAGAGAAAGTGGACTCAAATACATGTTCCTAACGAGTGGTTAGTGTCAAGAGATAGCTTGGATCAAGCTTACTTTTCCGTCTGTATCGTCCTCAAAAGTAAGAGTCACTTTGTCGTCTACAATATCATTAGATTTACAAGAAGCAGAAACCCAGCCTTCTTCTTTATCAGGAAACCAAGCTTTTGTTCCTTTTGTGTAGACTTCGACAGCTTGTTGAGCAGCAAAGTCTTTTATTTCTGGTTCTGGCATACTTGTTTTTAATTAAAAAAAAGAAAAAGAAAAAAAGAAGCGAAAAGACAATGGATCCTATCTACTAGATAATTTTGAGTTTTAAATTCGTGGTTGTGCAAATCGTATTTTAGCGTTTTACGTCACAAAGGAAAAATAGTTACAATCCATCTCGACAGCTGCTCTTTACAAGAAAGTATACAAGCCCAGATCATGATAAATTGAAGCTCACATGCTATTCAGTATATGTTACACAGTAAGTCATTCATTTCCCTTACTTGTGTGACAGATAGCTATCATAACTATTAAGTGCTTCATATCACTAAAAAGTATAAACAAGATTAAGATTCAATTCCGAAAAAAAGCAGGAGAGGGAATACGCGTGGATTGAATAAGAACTTATTTTAAACACAATGTAGCCAAGCTCAATCTTAATAGAAACTCACATTTGACACTTTTGAAGAGTATCGTTAGCAATACATACTCATTATAAGCAAAATACCTCGCTTCTTCAATAGTCCTGAAGGAGCAGGTACTTTTTACTAGACTAAGAAAAGAGTACAGAATAAGTGTTTTCAAGTAAGAATATCTGTACATTCTTAAACAAAATGACTTCAAGAAAGGGAGAAGGGAAAAAAAATGAAGTCTTCATAAGCTTGTTCAGGTCTCCTGCCAAGATAGACAGATGATCTTTAGAACCACTTTATTAAAGTAATCAATTTAGATTTTTAAATGCTCGAAAAGAGTTTTGAAGTAAACAGGAAAATCCTCTGTAAACGCGATCTTGGCAGAACCAAGTTGTGCAAACTGTTAGTGTGCTGGTTACCTTAAAAGTCATGTAGTCTGGTCATGACTATACAATGATCAGATTGTTGCCAACATGACTCAGATCAGTGTCAGGAACATACTTTGCTTAGAAGCATATGATCATTTATGCGAATAACAATAGAAGATTGCTATAATGTTGGAAGCATGGCCATATTACTAAGTCGGGCAACAGAAATAATAGATTTTGTTTCCGAGTTCAAACATGTCTCGCTTAACGCAAGTGGTTTTAGCCAGAATATGTTTCGTTTCCAAGTGCTTCTATGATAGAACATTCACTCCTTTTGTCTTCCTTCTGTTTGCCATCATAAATGTCGCATGAGCATCCATATTGCTACTATTTGAAAAAAGCCTTTTTCTCCTGTGCATAGAATGATGACGTATTAAATCCGCACTATTAAATTTTTGGTGCATTTTTATTAGAGAAATAATTTACTTTAAACTGTGAACGAAGACGACTGGTAGAAAAAAAACTGGCAGTAATGACAACACAGGTATTTACGATATTATTGCTCATACTCTTTTGTGTATGTTGTGCTTTATTGCTAACGAAATTTATACAAAACAGTGGCATTTTACTAAAGGCGACCTTCACGATACACCTACGATCTTGGATGGAAGAACTTTTGAACAAGAGCAGATCGATAGACTGAAAGGTTGTCATTACCTGCTATCCGTCGGTGCTAAACTTGCATTGTAAGCATTCTGCACACATATATTGACCTGATCTGTATCTTTAGACCACAATTAGTCGTCGTCACTGCCAGTACATACTTTCATCGATTCTTTATGAGACAATCAATGAACAGGTTCCACGTATATGTAAGGCTTGTCAATGAGCTATTGTAGCTCTTTACTTAGTTCAGCGCAAATAGGAAATTGCCGCAACATGTTTGTTTGTTGCTACCAAGGTGGAGGAATGTACACGACGATTAAAGGATATTGTGATTGTCTGCGCTCAAAAGAGTCAAAAGAACGACAAGCTAAGGCTAGAAGAAGACTCAAAGGTATAGGATATTTCTTTTGTTAAGAGGATGTTGCTCATCTCTTTGCTTAAAGGATTTCATACGTTGGAAAGAATTGATGTTATATCATGAGATTATTGTTTTAGAGACATTGTGCTTTGATTTATCAGTAGAACATCCGCAATTACAGCTATTAGAACTAGAATCACAGTTAAAAGTGCAGCCCTCTTCAGTAAGGAAAGCTTGGACACTATTATATCAAAGGTAAAAATATAGGTTAGCATATTTTACATTAAATATATTTAGTCTTGGTGCTCCTCTATGTGTCTTGTATAAACCAAAGCTTGTAGCAGCAGCAGCTCTATTACTTGCAACAAATCTATCTTCTTCAGACAAATTAAGCGAGAACTGGACAGAGACATTTGACGATATTGATGTTGGACAAATATACGGTAAATGAGAACACAGTCTATCCTTGTTTACTCATTCTTTCTTTTTTTTAGAATTGGCTGCTGAAATGCTAGAACATTACATGGAGCATTATCTACAGAAAAACTCTAGTTCATCTCAAGCAAACTCACCACATCCTTCTCAACTTCATCATACTACTAATGGTCATTGACCGCTATTCTTTAATTGTAATAAACCATTTCCTGAAATAGATTGCACGCATACATAAATATAGTCTTTGATTTGATTGCATGTTTCTTAACAGCAACTGTCGTTTAGATATGCGACGATATATCCGTTGCCTCTAGTTACACAGACTAGTAGACAATTAGAAAGATGCTTTCTTTCTAACATGTACTATTTAGTTTGGTATTATCATGCGCTTATTGGTGATACTAAACTGTACAAGGCTAGCGAGATGGACTTGAGTGAATCCTATAAGCTATTCCAATGTACTCTCCGTATATTTTCTTGAGGGGAGGGAGGTCATTGAGATCTATTGCAATTCTCCTGTTGTTGCTTTCAAATGGGCACATTGGGGGAACCATGGCAGGTGGTTTATCTGTCAAAGTAGGAGATAATAAAAAAAAAACTAGAAGTATATGCAACTAATAAAGTAGTCAAAATACTGGGTGTTATTGTGACCAAGATCAATGAAAAGCACGACATTGAAAGACTAAAAACTTCCTATGATCCTTGAAATTCTATTAGACAAATGTCCACAAAAAGAAGAAGAACATCATGCCAACGAAAAGCGTTCTTTTATTACTAAAGAAACTTTCTCCTTTTTTTTATTGTGAGTGAATTGGACATTCTTTTCCTTTCGAAAACCAGGCATCAATGCAGTGTCGATGGTATGAGCACATACAATTTAGTCTTGTAATGGTATCGTCTATAATCCATTAAGTACATTTGATAACTTTATATGCTATTTACCTAACTTAAACTCTTCAAAGCAAATAACACACTCTTGCCCAATCAATGTTGAATCTGAATTGAGTTTATACACCACATAACGTACTGAAGATGATGCCTGTCCTTTTGATAGACATGACTGTATATGCTGCTCTTGTTCTTGTACTGAATTGAAGTCAAACAAAGGTGCTACACATACAGGACATTCAGTCATCATACTGTTTCTCTTCTTCTTTTTGCTGTTTGCAATCACTATTTGCTCTACACAATGATCACAAATACGCTGTGGTTGATATGCTTCTAATTGATGATCAGGCGGCTGAATAATCTCTTCCCTAGACAGCATAATACGGTTTGTAGAGCATCGATCACAAATGATTTGACCGCATTTCCTGCAGTGATGTCTTCTCACTAACAGATTAAAGAAGCGATGACACCTTCTGCAATTCATAACTTGGTCGTTTCTTTCCCAGGCTGTTATCGTGTCATTGGTAGACATTTGTTCTTGTAACAGAGGTTGAGGTAATGTAGAACAACCCACAAAGATGGCTTTTGTTAAGGTGGTTGTGTTTAATGATCTTGTGCTGTTACTTGAATGTCTTTGATTGCTTATCTCTGGATCCACCTGCTCATTTTGTACTATCCTTTCTGTCAACATGGCTGCTTTTTTCATGATACGAACCCATCTACGTCGCTTGATGTGGTGTTTTCGATAATGACTGGGTTTTTGTTCTGACCAAGTATCGTGCTTTTGATCATAATAAGACCACCCAAGTTCATCTAACCGAGGAAATGTATGATCCACTGTCCAATCTGTCAGCCAAAACCATGATGTATTGGGTAATTTCATTTTAGATTTATTCTGTACGTGTTCTTCTTTGTGTGTATAATAATCAATAGTGTTTGTCTCTGTAGGCAAGGTAAGCGAGAGATAAGACGTGTGTTGCTGGTATGTAACTTGTTCAATGAGAATGACTGGTATCGTGATGTGGAAATCAATAAGGTGGTGTGGATCTAATAAATGGCAAAGATAGGCTTCATTGGCTGCTGCTGCCACATCATATGCTGTCTCTCCAAAATTATTTTTAACTAATGAATTTGCATTGTGTTTCAATAGCCAGAGTACAATGTCCACATAGCCCTTGGATGCTGCGTTCATTAAGGGCGTATGTCCTTGTTTACTAGTGATATTGACATCGATATGAGGTTGACTGCACAGGAATTTAATCATTTCGAAATTACCACAGGAACAAGCATTGTGTAATGCAGTCCAACCATCGCGGTCTTGGTGAAGATAATCAGCACCATGTTCAATAAGGTATTTGACTACTGAGAAATGGCCTGCATAAGCTGCTTTTAAAAGCGCAGTCTAGAATAAGGGTTAATCATGAGTTATTTATAGTCTGTAATACCTCTTCTTCTTTGTCTACAGCGTCTATTTGACAGGAGTGAGTTGATTCCACAAGATACTGAACAAGGTCGATGTGGCCTCTTGAAGCAGCAAAATGAATGGGCCTAAGGCCTGTTGTTGTATGTGGTAAATTAGGGTCACAACCGTCCGCTATCAATCTTTGAACAAGATATAATTGTCCACTGGCTACAGAAGTATGAATGCTTAACATAGGTTCATTATAAGTACGTATTATAGTAGTCATGATAATAAAGAAAAAAAAAAAAGAAGAAATAAATATATATAAAAAAAAAAGAGAGAGAGAGAAAGAAGGAGGGAGTTTTATTATTATTATGTTGGATAAAAAAGGTATGCTTCCATTCAATTATTTCCATACATTCACACACACACACACACACACAGACACATTTATATATATTTATATATTAATATTTACATCACAACACAGCAACTATTTGTCTTTTTGGCTGTCTTGTAAAACATCTTGGATTGATTGGATAAGGCTTCTGATCTATCTACAAGAGAATCAAGCTAAAATATCATGGTTAGTTTATTTCTACTTCTTTAGTTTACTTGCCTTTTCACCACGTTGAAGAACAGAATCAATCGTTTTGTGCTATAGAATTGCATGTTAGATATCTCATAAAGAAACAATGTACTTACCAGAATAGCAGTTGTTTCATCTAATTCTTTCTGAACCTTCATGATAGTATCAGCTTGTTGAGGATCTTGATACTTTCTAAGGTATTCAGCCAATTCAGGATAATCTAAAGTTTCTGCTGATTTCCATTGATCAGTTGGAAACTTGACCAAAAATTCGTCCATAATCTTGTTTAATACAGAAAAAGCAACTCTAGAAGGATAGTCTTTATCGCTAATAATCATGCCACTTACACCTTGTGGGTGAGTATAAACATGGGCAACATTATCTTTGTTTGTTTTAGTAACCACAAGTTCATAAAGTCACTTACTTTCACTTTCAACACTTTGGCGACGACCTTCTGGTGTACGTTCTGCAATAGTAGTTGCTGAAAAGTTCATAAACTCTTGAACACTATTCTTTTTTATTAAGGTCTCTTTTTTTTATTATTATTATTAGGTGATATAGTATTTACCTGCCACGTTGAAAGAAACCAAAGCTAGACAAGTCGAACTGAGAAGTCAATATCTTTGCCTTGTCAGCTTCTTTACGCAAGATTAAGATGGAATATAACTTCATTTTTTTTTGTATAAAAAAGAAAGAAAAATAGTTGTGTAATCAATTCTTGAATAAGAAACTGAGGTTGCGGGTTGAAATTATTATTTTGCGGATCGAAACTCTTTCTTTCTGCTCATTCTTCCTTCACTATTGGATCATTTGGGCTGGTATTGGGTAACACCAGACCCTTTTCAACTGCTAAGCATATTTTTGATTTATTTGTATCAAGCAAGAACATGGCAGAATGGAGCACAAAAATGTTGACATACTTCAAAGCTTGGAGATTGGCATAGGCAGAATAATAACAAAAGCGAAGAAATTTAAAATTGAAGGGAAATAATGGACCAAAAAAGACCAAAAAAAAAAAAAAAGAGCTATCAGAAAAGTCTATTAACAAAGCTAGTATATATGGACACGGCGCATTAAATGATGTAAGAAACGCAGTAAAATATAGAGCTATCCTACAAAAACGTGTTTTCTGTTTTTGAGCTGTAGCGCACAAACAAATGCCCCTGTCCTCATCTCTGCCTGCAGGCCTTTTGTTGGTTGGATTGATCCTATCTTGCTGCTGCCTATGTCGATCTATGGCCGTCAAAGGATTCTCTTGGCGCTTTGGGTGGATTTCAAAGTACACCTCTACTTGCTCATGTGGTTCATCACCTATCAGTAAAAGACATGTACTGGGTTACCTGCGCACTGCTGAACGCTTGCGGTCACCAGCTGATATACAGCCTAATCCAATTAATTATGTCTTGAACCAGTTCCCTAGAATATCATGCCCTCCAAGCCTATAAGCTCAAAGATCTGACTGTTACGCACGATGGTCAGATTGGTGTCCAATCATTTGCCAACTACTTCTTGAAATTGAGAGTATGGATCTTCCTGACAAGTCCTTCTCAAGCGAAGAAAAAGATATCTCTGGTTTGACTTTTCTCCTTTGGCTGATACCCTTGCTATATCCAGTACAAAGCGACAGCTAATTCTCTCTTCCGTCCTGTGGTGTTTATATTTCCATTATGTACCTTTTTTTTTTTAGCATACTATAACAGTTAACTCAATACATAAATCATTCATCATGCTATTGTTGAATACTTTGCTATACTTCTTAAAGGAATTTTATTAACTTTAGGACATGTTCTTTCTTTTTCTTCCGCGTTCCATCATGAATTCTTCCCAATCTTTAAAAGTAACAATATCCTCTTCAAGATCAGTTTCAATTTCATCTAATGCAGAGAGAATATCAGACTCCAAGTGTACATCAATTGTGGCAGTCTCGCGTTCATCTTCTTGAGCTTCATATTCTTCTGTACTATCTGATCGCAAATTAAATTCATCTTCTTGAGAAAACTGCATGGTTTGAAGTTCGTAGCTGTGTTTAGTCTCCAAAACAGTGTTGAGTTTTGTGTAATTAACCAAGACCAGTCGTTTCAAAGATAAGACTGCTGCTAATAACCTGGCAAATGAGGCGGTATGAGTTTCTTCTTTAGGCATTATGTACGAGCCCTTTTTATACGTAATGCTATGTTTCTCTGAAATATATCTTGTGGCAAATATTATAAGTTTCAGACCTTCCCATTGACAAGTTATGGCTTCGAATTCCTTCATAATGTCTACACTACCAAGTCGATTTGTCCATTTCCTGAGCATTAGATTCTGTAGTATTTTTCCTTTAACAAAATCTGGTTTTTCCTCAGTCGATAGATAGTCAGAATTGTCGTTTATATTACGTAATATAAAATCGACCCGCTGATTTTTGACGTTACTGAATTCTTTAGTTATGCTGGAATAACAATCGGTTCTTTTAGACATAAAATTCTTGTCGTGTAAAAACGCGTTGTCCCAAATTGCTGAATAGACATGAGTTCTGTACCATGATTCGTTATCATCATTTTGCAAGAGTTGACCGGAGGACCAAAGTTCCACAGATGTTGCTAAAGCTAGCCTGATGTAGCGACACATTGGAGTTAAAATGGTCTTGTCGGCGTAAAAGTCTGATAATAACTTATCAATATCACATTTTGATTTGCATTTGGCTATTAGTAGCAGCATCTCTCGCTCTTTTCTTGTTGTAAATGGTTGTAGGTGAATCTGAAAATGGCTCATGAGTTGCGGTAGATATGGCTGAAAACGGGATGCAATCTTATCTTTCATAAAATCAAGGTTCCCTTCGTTCCCAAACTTTTCGCATAAGTACTTCATCTTATCAATATGGTTCATTTGTTGAAATTTAGACATGTTGGCTTCTTTTTGGTTGTTTTTTTCTTGGGCTTTAGACATGTTGGCTTCTTTTTGGTTGTTTTTTTCTTGAACTTTACAGGTGATTGAATTTTCATCAAGTTCATCTGTAACTTGAGATGAGTAGAATAACTTTTTGACTTGAATTGATGTACAGATATCGTGCATACTGTTCGGTAATGTCTCCATTTTTTGCTTTTCGTCGTCAGAATATTTCACGTTACGCGTCTTATATACTTTATTGGCCTCTTCTAAATACACATCGCCTAATTCTTTCAAATCGGCATCAATAAGGGTAACCCTTAAGCCTTTATCGATTAATAGACGCGCCACCTTTTCGTGTTTCCATTGTGAGACTGGGGTCTTCTTCAAATAGACAGACATGATTTTTCTAATTGTAGATTTGTCTTCCTTTAGATTGAGAGAAAAGGTTTGTGACATTGTATACACGGTAAGAAAATAAAAAGCATTCTTCCAGAAGAAACGGAGGTAAGACCAATTTCGAATGTGACTGTTGAAATAGAATAAACTAACCTTTAAAAAATATTCACACCCTTTATTTCCTGGCTTAAACTACATGATGATATTTTAGTTATCACCTTAGTGTATATCTACAGCTATAAAGTCACTTAAACCAACAAGGTATCTTTGAACAATGCAACTTGATGTTCAAATTATTGCTTTATAGAAACCAATTGTTTATATCGGCTTAGCTCCATCTTCTATACCGGTGTTCTCTGTGGTCATGGCTAATGCTTGGGATGTGGGTTTATTGATACAGCATCCATGGTTGTTGATATGGGCTATTGAGGCAGTATCATCAAGACAACCAACAAGTATATGCATAGACCTCTGCTTGTTCCATCTTCTATACCGGTGTTCTCTGTGGTCATGGCTAATGCTTGGGATGTGGGTTTATTGATACAGCATCCATGGTTGTTGATATGGGCTATTGAGGCAGTATCATCAAGACAACCAACAAGTATATGCATAGACCTCTGCTTGTTCCATCTTCTATACCGGTGTTCTCTGTGGTCATGGCTAATGCTTGGGATGTGGAGTACCCTTTGCCTTTGAGAGGTTTTTGGCCATTTTTTTCAGGTCGCTTTTTTTGGTTCAAATCAATCCCAAAAATACCATGGATGTTAGTAAACATTGCTTGTAGGTATTTGGGGCATTTATACATGTATAAATAGGCCTTGAAGCGTCTTCGTTTGTCTAAGAAAAAGACAAAGACATGTATGAATTACTGTCTTTTTTCACTATTAAAGCATGTATTTGCTTAGTGTCTCTATTGCATGAGTAAGCAATATACTATTAGATTGGCTGTCCAAGTAAAATAGCTTATTAAACCGCACTTGATTCGCCTAAATAAAAAAAAAGACTATATCTGCTCATGAAAAGCGTCAAATTGTTAAGAAGCTCTATAATACATAACATACAAAAGATGGCCATTAAACCATACATAAAATATAGTAGAAACAGCCATATGTTCACAAACCCAATTAGGTTAAACACATATAGCCTAAAAGGCACAATACCATTTGCATGATCTAATGAAATCAGTAACATGTTGTCTTGAAAAATGTTCTTCTTCTTTCCCCCCCCCCTCTCTCTCTCTTCCAAATCATCATTGCCCACCTATGAACTCAACTAAGATACAACAAAGCCCAGCCTAAATCGACAGTATTCATTTTATAATAGTTATATTTAGTTGAGAAAGTCCTCTCAGAAATTCAAGGCTTTTCAACTTGAGTTAAACAAATCCAAAAAACGAACAAATATCCAGAATCACTTCTTCTGCAATTGCTGGTATCTAACTTTTAATTCTTGATAATGAAGGGAGGATCTAGAAAATATGAGATTCGAGCAAAAATTTGCTTACTTCCAGAAATAGTGGCATGCCCTCTTTTCCTTTTTTTTTTCTTTTTTATCTCTTCTTACCTGTATACATGATCGTCTATGTTTCCTGTCCTTTTTTTCTAATATTTATCACTATGGTTTTTTTGTACTTTTTTTTTTTTTTTTTTTTTTTTTTTTTTTGAACTGATGGTTAGACATTTACCCCATAGGGTCCAATCTTCAAAACATTTCAAATAAATATAAACTTCTACCGGGATCATAAGGATAAATTGACGATTTTTGACTTTTTCGAAACGTGCTATATTTTTGCATGAATATGTTCTATTATGTATGCTCAAAGATAGAAAACTAAAAAAAAAGGGAGCCTGACGGTAAAGATGATGGTTGTTTCTGATAAACACCCGCACCTGCAGCGGGCCGCCAATCCGCTGGTGAAACCATTACGCTTGTCAAAGTTATTCAAAAACGAATTGTAGAATTAGTTTATAAACGAAGATCCTATAATACGCTTGGTATTCGAGAAAGCCATAAACTGAAGATGAAAAGTGTATTGAGTATATAGTGTGCATAATTGATTTTGCTCATATCAAATGGAATTAAAAGTTAACCAGTAATTACAACGTATGATAATGAGCGAACTAAGATGGCTATTGTTCTTTTTGGTAGTCATATACATCAAATCAATGTCCTTCCTTAAGCACCATTTTCTTAGTTTACTGCGAAAAATTGTCTTGAAATAAATAACATTGCTTCCAAACACAACTCAAAATAGCACTTATACAATACAAATAATTTTCATACAAGGTATCATTGTATCTATTATCAGGCAATAAGAAATCATTTACAACAAAGTAGAATACACGCAAAAAAAAAATATATATATGCAATGAACCTGATTTGGTATGTTCATTATGAATCTCCTTTCTTGACTGTTACACAAACTCACTCCCTTCCATTTATCGTCACGCCTGATTCGTAACAGTTCTCTCTCTCTTTTTTTCTTTATATATATATATATATATATATATCTTGTCTGTACCTGAGCAAGTGTAATATGGGAAATAGCTATAGTACGCAAGAAATCAAACAGAAAATATACCAAGATCTCAAGATAGATGTCGCGTTCCCCTTCTTCCCCTTGGACCGAAAGACAGGCTTCAGTGCATGCTGTGTCGTAAGCTATCCAACTCTTTATTTTATGCAAAATATTTATTCAACCCAGTCTTTTCTAGGTAGACACAGAATGGGTTGAAAAACTAAGTCAGGCCTCCATAGCACTCGAGAATATCATGCTTAAGAATCCAAGTTCGTCTCGTATTGCGACTGAGGGCTCCTTACAGAAACAATTGCCTACGATCAATGTCTATGTTTCTGTTTTATCAAAACCCATGGCATCAAGGTACCCTCAATACGGCACAGTAATCAGATTAATAGACATCTACCTATAGTTTGCCACTTTATGAGTCAGTATCAACATCGAAAAACCAAACGCAGCAGACAGAAGAAGATAGATGGCCATTGATCAATTACATTCAGTCTTTACTCGAAGGCAAAGGCGCCGATCAAAAGATTGAATCTTTGCGAGATCAGTTTGGCGACTATTGTCTTGCTGTACAAGATCGGGACCCTTTAGCCAAAGTCAAAAAGATCCAGTCTATGCTTTGGCCCAATTGCAAATGGTTCAAAAAGACAGAAAGCAGCCAGGATGAACACATTGTTGTACAACTTCAGGAAACAGACACACAAGAAAGCAAAGAGGATGTTATAGACCTGGCAAACTCAAATTTGCCTGATGTGTTTGCCATTATTGAGTCAGACGATGCATTTTATTTCCTAACTTCTTATCGAGGCACTACATTGCAAGACTTGCTTACTTACAATCCAGGTGTATTGAGTTCAAATCTCAAGAAATACTTTGTGGTCTACCAACTGCTGAGAATAACTGCTAGTTTACATGATCGTGGCATTTTGCATGGTAGTCTAAAGGCATCCAGTGTTTTAGTGGATGAGAATTTATGGATTCAGTTGGCTGGTATTGAGTTTGAGCCTCATTCTCCTGACTTTAGTAAGTTGATAATCGTGTGATGAAAAGCCTAAAACATCCTATAGACTTGAAGAAGTGGCTTCATGATAAGGAGGTATCCAGAATGACAAAGGGTAAAGTTCATACAATAGACCTCTGTGTTGACATTCTTGTAGAAATACCTCAAGAGCCTTTAGTGGTTAGTTGGGTCAGGGGTAACATTTCCAACTTTACTTATTTGATGGCACTTAACCATCTAGCTGGCAGAAGAGAAGGTGACCCTAACTTTTACCCTATTTTGCCTTGGATCACTGATTTCTCGGGTGATGCTGTGGAAGATGGTTGGCGTAACTTTACGCAAACAAAGTTCCGTATCAACAAGGGCGATGAGCAACTTGACTTTACGTTTGATGGACCTGTTCCTCATCATATCACAGATATCCTATCCGACATCACCTATTATGTCTATCAAGCCAGAAAGACGCCTATCCCTGTCTTGTGTCAATTCGTCAGATCCAAATATGAGCCCAACGAATACCCTTCGTCGATGCAACGTCTATATCAATGGACACCGGATGAATGTATACCTGAATTCTATACGGACCCAACTATCTTTAAGTCCATTCATCCGGATATGCCCGATATCCAAATCCCTTCATGGGCTTCTTCGCCTGAAGACTTTATTCGAAAACACTCGGAGGCTCTGGAAAGCGACTATGTATCGGCCAATCTTCATCACTGGATTGATTTGACATTTGGTAAAGATTTGACAGGCAAAGGTGCTGTAGAAGCCAAAAATGTAGCATTGCCTTTGTTGGCTGGTCAAAATAGTTTCATGAAACATGGTATCATCCAACTCTTTAAAGAAAAGCATCCTCAACGAGGCTGCAACTGGGGTAAAACAAGAAAAGAAGCTGATCTAGCCAATTTCAAAGCCACGGAAGCAATTGAAAACGATCAAAATCATGAAGAAGAGAATGAAGAACACACCAAACTATCTCTATCTAAAAAGACAGAAGATACCGCCTCTTTTTTGCCGACCATCACTAACAGAACGCATCGAAGCAGCAGTGTAAGAACTCGCCAAACCGTTTTGTCAAAGAATGCTAGTCTTGATAGTGCAACCACAGGGCTTTTGTCTCATGTAGCATCGCCTACCACCACCACTACGACCACAGGTACTGCAGCCACTCCATCCATTGCCATCAGCACGAATAGAGATCGCACGCCTTCTATTCATTCTACAGCATCTTCCATCGACACAAGTCGCAGTTTGCCAGCTTCTTTGTTGGCAGCAGAGCCCTTGATATCTGCCTTGCGCTCTGAACCCATTCGCTTACCATCTATGTTTAATGATAATTATTTTATTGATGATTTAGATCATTATGAAGACATGGTAAATTTCGCAGCTAAATACAAGTCCATTATGTGTTACGCTGAACGTGTTGAAAATCCTGTGTATCCTAATCCGTCTCGCCGGTTCATGATCGATCCCACTCATCCTACTGAACCTGTAGCCAATGCGTTCTCTGTGGGTACTGCTTATGATATGCTATGTCTAAGTCAGATCATTCAAGCCATTTATACTGCAAGAAACGCTCGGTCCATGGACACAGATGAAACCCTGCAAGCAAATGCCAATGGGTATCTTGAACCCAACCAGAACGAATTGGGCTGCGACGTAGAGTCCACAGGCACATCCGATTTACCACCCTCTATCGTGGGTGTACTTGCTGCTCTTCAGGCTGAGAACTGGTACGAGAGGCCGAGTGCAAAGTCAATTTTGTGCGCTTCGTTTCCTGTGATGACAGTATGTGATGCTCGTTATTCTATCCCATTTCCAAGTATGATTCCTGAAATGTATGAGTATTTGGCCAGTTTTCACCAAGCGGAATGGTCGAGAAGACTTTATCTTGCAGACAAATGGATTGACCGTATTTGTGATATAGAAGATGAGGTAACAATAGAGAGAAAGAGGAAGGATATGCAATTTGACATTGAATAGGCTTTTTTACTGCTATTGCCTAGTTTCTCTCAATTATTTACGCATATAGAAACCCGTATTGGATCTGTCAGTCTGTTCCCTAAATTAGCTCAACGATTAGGTCCTGAAAGAGCACGTCAACATCTTTTAAAACGAATTATTTCCATGTTTGAAGCACTACGTCCCAACATTCCCAAAGTCCTTTTTGAAGAAAAGACCATTTATGAATTTGTCAAAAGACTTGGTATTTCCATCTTTTTACAACAAATGCTCCCTTGTTATCTTGAAGCATTAGCTATTCAAGAAAGCGATACAAAGTCTCTTGCAGGCGATTCACTTGAATATATCTGTACCTTGTTAGGCCCTGTCTTAACATCCAAACACATTGTTCGCCAACTCGTCAAGATTATTTTTCGCGATAACTTGGTACGTCCTGGTCTGATCCATACGACAGTTCGAATCATTGGAGGATTTGGCTCAACATTCACAGCTGTTCAGTATGCTTATTTGATTAGTTTGATCGATACATACCATAAGCCATCTGCTGCTTCAATCACACTAAAGAACGCAAAGACAGTTTGCTCCATCTTGACTTTGTTGCAAGACTTGGTGCCTTATATGACAAACGATACGCTTGTTACTGAACTCAAATCTGGTTTTATTTCGACTTTATATCGACTGTTAGAACCTGTGCCGCAAGCAGCTACGGAAGAAGAAAATCAATCCATGTCTCAAGAACAACTTCGATTGCGCCTTACTATTAGCATGAAAACAATGGATTATTTGTTAGTGGCAAGTCAAAAACTAACAACACAAGAATGGGAATCAACCGTAAGTAGATACACTAGTGACAAGAGCTAATGGGTCTGGTAGATTGTATCCACGCTTCAAAAATACTTTTCTGGCTTCTCAGTTACTGTAGCAGGTGATGAAGAACTTGCAAACCAACTTGGTCATTCGTTGACTTCTCTCAAGAGCTATCAGGTAAGTCAGGCCTTTTGTTTATGGCTTACTTATATTATGATGAGATGATGTATTCGTATTATCGATTTTGCCTGATTTTGACGATTGAAAAGATGCGACGTGTTATACCTACCAGGTACGTATGATCCAAGCTCAAACTTAATCTGACCTGTCTATATAGTGAAGCTATTGAAACCATGATGTTTCATCACTTTGCTTCTACTAATCTACAGATACCTACAGCCTCTGTCTCTTCTCGTGTCAGTCACATAGGATCTAAAAAACCACCTGTCATGATTTTACCTACTAAATCAGAAACCACATCAACTTTACAGTCCAATTCAGCCAGTAGCAAATTTATGTCATGGATGATACCCAACAAGCGTATGTCAGTGACTGAAGCAGAAGCCAGATCTTCTCAAACGTCTATCAATTCATCATCATCATCATCTTCTACCTCTTCGTCTTCACTATCGACGAAACAAACCATGGAAGACATGTCCACTAAACACAGTATTCAGTCGATTGATGGAGACAAACTTTACGAGTATGCGACCAAGGATTTATACATGTTTAGTTCTACTTTTGCAATGACCATGTCTTCTTCATTACCGAGTGATGAAAAGAGTTCTATAAATGCAAATGATACAAGTCAGCAGAAAGACACCAGCAAGACAACAAAACCTGTAGACAAAGAAATGTAGGTTTGTTTATGCTCTATATAGTTTCCAACACATTCATTTTAGTAAAACCAAAGTGCCTACAAGTGTCTTACCATGGAAGACGAAATGGAAGCCTTCTCCAGAAGATAAAAAGTAACAGAGCATGAGTAGACGACATGTTTCATCTAACTACCTCCTATAGAAACTGGAATCGATTTTTATCCACCAATTCTGAAGAAATGTCAAATTCAATGCAGTTTTCATTCAATGATCTTAAACTTCGAGGATTTGCAGGACACAATGGTTCTGTCAAGACATTTTCAGTCAATGAACCAGCCAAGTTGTTTGCTTCAGGCTCTCGAGATAAGACAGTCAAAATTTGGTCTTTGAATGTACATCATGGGATTGAGAATTGGGAGACAAACCCCTTTTCTGAGAGTTTAATGACCTATACAGGACACCGTCGTGGGGTCATTAGTGATGTTCATTTCTTATCAACCGGTGGACTCAATGATATCATTGCTAGCTGTGATGGACATGTTCATGTAAGTCGTCAATGCAACCTTATGCTATCGTACTAACACCATCCCTAGTTATGGGATCCTGAAACAAGTAGTTCTCTTCATCAATTTACCAGTAATCGATCTTCTGTTGTGTCTCTTAAGCCTATTTTTCAATCAAGACATTTGGTTGGAGGTACGATGGATGGCAGCTTATCCTTTTTGGATGCTCATAACTATAAGCCTTTGTATACATGGAAATCAAGTTCCATGTTGAATGGCATGATTCGGATCATTGCTGTCAACTTGTCAGAGACATTGGTTGCCATTGGGTTCTCCACAGGAGCTATTTCATTAATAGAAACGAGAACTGGTACTTTAGTAGCCAGTTGGAAAGGTGGTGACACTGAGATTGTTTCTGTAAGTTCAACCCATATGTCAACATGCTCACACTTTTTTTTTTTTTTTTTTTTTTTTTGCTAGATGAGATTCTATACAGACGAATTGCTCTTGTCTTGTGCTACAGCTGACCACTTGATCTGTTGTTGGAATGTCAATCGCTTAGCTCTTGTCAAGACGATATCTGTACCTCAAGATGTTATTTCTCTTGATATTTACAAGGATGAAATCTTGACCATCAATGCGAATAATTCAGTATCGTTTATACCAATCAACGAAGACGTAAGTCGATCTACACATCCCTGTTTATGCTCATTTAACTCTATTTAGTTTCAAGCATATTCTTCTAAATTCAAGACTTCGATAATCAAATCTCAAGTGAGTTCATTCAGTATTGTGCCTACAGATCAATTGCTTTTGTTTGGCTGTACAGAAGGAGAAATATTTTTATATGCGTAACAGTTTGACATGTCTCCTTCATTTGCAATAGGGATAATTTTGTTTGTCAGATAAACACAAATGCAGTCTTCATAAAGAAACAATTTATCCACATTTAACAACATCACACTGTATAGTTTCTTTTTGAATATGTTGTGAGAATACAGGAGTAAGCGGAAAGAATAGGGAGAAGCGTCGGTATAAATAGATGTTCTTTTCTTTCTTCTTTTTTTTTTTTCATTCTTTAAATGAAGACAACTGAATTTCTTGCTATTTGCATTGTTATTTGTGCCTTTGTGATTCAGGTATTTACAGTGGATCCATGTGTCTGTCAAGGTGTTCAAAAGCCTTACATAAGCGATATGTGTAACTGTGGGTGTATTAAAGAGGTTGATAAAGGAGATTATGTTCAAGCAGGATGGAACAGTTACCTTACACAATGCAACCAAACATTACTGGCTGATCTAGATGCTCAATTCGACAAGAACTGTCCCAAGGGTGAGGATCTCAATACAGAAGACTGCGAATATTTCAAAAACAATGTGACAGGCAAATTAACGGATCTATGGAAGCATTGTGGAGATGTACTTGACTCTGTCAGGGATGATTGTGATAACTGTGGCACGAATTGTACGCGGATCAAACCACCAGGACAAAGTGACGATTAAAACCTTTTTTTTTTTATTTACATTTATTAAAAGAGTGGGTCTAAGCAGTAGGAGCTTTGTATCCATAATCCCAAATTTGTGCTGATGGTGTTTCTGTGGGGATTTTGGCTTGTTTGGGATATGTGATGTGTCGACTCTTGACAAGAGCACCTTTATATAATCGATCACTGGTCTTTTCTAATTCATTCATGGCAGCATTCATGGCTCTAAATTGACGTTCAAGTGAACGCTCTCTTTCTTCTCTCATACGCATACGGTGAAGTTTCCAAGCACGTTCAATGGTTTCGTGTTGTTCTAAGATTTCGCCTTCTAACTTGATCATACTTTCTCTGCGAGTGGGTTCAAACAAAAGACGACGAATCACTTCAAGACGAGGATCACCACCAGCTGAATTTGAGTTGACTGGAGCAGAATAAAATCGAGCTTGACATTGATGAAGACGTCGAACAGTATTCAAGCGTACAGTGTTCATTCTATATAAAAAAGAAGTGTAAAAAGTGTGAAATAGAGGGCCCTGGTCCTCAAATTTTGTCTGTAGAGAATACAAGCCACTCTGTCGTGGCTATAGCCAATCATATGTGATAATTATTCTGTTGATTGCATTACTATTACAAACAGACGATTTATAGTACAAGAGGAATAAATAAGAATATGATACAATAAAATACAAGCAGTATGTGTGTGTGTGTGTGTGTGTGCGTATTATCAAGTGAGATCAGCAGAAGAACTAATTGTGTTAGGAGGAGCTCTAACAGCCTCTTCTGTCAAATAAGCGGGTGGTGGTTGCTGAACAGAGTCCATTTCAATTATTTCATGTTGATAAGGTGGTGGAAAACCATTCCCTGGCCCTTGTGTCATGTAGCTAGATCGATTACCCGGCGCTTGTTCTATTTCAGGTCCAATAGCAAGCACAGTGTCTCTTGCAGAAGCATCATAAGCCGGTAACACTTCTCCTTCTTGAGCTAGTTCATTTTCAATATTGATCTGTACCACTTCAATCACACAGTTGATATTGTATCTCGCTAATCGTCCTTTAAGATGCATTGAGGCTGATGTGTCACTTTCTCGTACTCTTCTAAAATCCCATTTGATTTGTCGAGTAACATCAAGCGAATTGAGTTCTTTTAAACAACTTTGTAGTGAATCGTAGTACTATCGAGAGTTATTCACAAAATAACAAGAATATATAGTTACATCACTTAATCTTCTATAATATGAGTTTCTTCTTCTTGTGGTAAAGAAAGCAACAAGAGCAGGTACACTTAACAGGATAAGAGGATACCACATTGACAAGTCAACAGCACGGGCAATCACAGAGAAGGCTGCAGTGGCAATAACAAATGTGACAGCAAGCAAGAAGGCATACGTATCTATCCAAACGTGTGGATATTCTCTGTAGACATGTCTATTGATAGTAGTAACCCGGGACAGGAATATGTCTTCTGGTAGCTATTTAAAATTATTGAGTTTTGGTCCAAGAGGATACAAACAATACACATACATATTCTCTTAGTTGAGAATATTTCGCATAGTCACTATAATACAAAGTGGATCTTCTCCAACGACGAACAAGTAATGGGAACTGAGCAAGACCCATATCGTTATAAGAATAAGAATAAGAAAAGAAAACAAAAAACAAAAACAAAAACAAGAAAATGGCTGGGAAATTCTTTTTTATACTTTATTTAGAAGATCTTATTTATTTGGTAATCCACAAAGATACTTCGGGGTATTTAAAAGTGCCTGATTCCTATTTCTTTCATTCATTCTTTCATTCTTTTTGATGGATCTTCCTAGTCTTGTCAGCAGCACAAACAATCCAATTCGTTTCTCAGAGACATCTTGGCTAACTGAAGATAGCTTTGATTCAACAGATTTAGCAACACCCTTAGATGCCTCACCACTTCCTCCACCTTCAAACATATTTTCAATCATCAACATTGTTAATGATGATCCACTACCAAACCCTAAAGGATACAATGCTATTGCATCCACATACACAAGACCCCGAGCACAAACTTCACCAAGGCCAATGTCTGCTTCTATCATTCAATCCATACCCCAACAAATCACTACAGTCCATGACAATACTGAATCCAACCTGAAAAAAAATAAGCTTTGGCCAAAACTAAAGCGTATGATCATGATGCCAAACACATCAACATCTCCTAATTCAAAAGAAGAACAAGACAAATACGCAGGTCAGGATAAAGCTAAACGATGGCTCAGTAGAAATAGAGCAAGAGTTGGCCCTCAACGATAAAATAAAATTATGTACATGCCAGAATGTCTATTCAAATTCCATCTAGGTTTTTAGTACTCCCCTCTCTCTCTTCCATTCTTGTAGTTTTTCTTTTTTTTTAGTCAATGGGGGATCTTGAGGACGGGAACGCGTAAGATACGACCTTTTTACGGTATCTCACGAACTTAATGTCCGCTTAAACATTTCCGAAATTGTTCACAATCTAAGGTTTTCAAGATCTATTTCTCCGAAAGGCATCAATCAAACTCCTCTAGGATCCAAGTTGTGGTCAATGAAAAAGTTTGAATTGAGTATAGATATGAGCTTCTATACATTTGATTTATTACTGTCTATTCAATAGTAATAGGGGTTGCTGAAAAAGGTCTTTTCTTCCATGCATTGGTACCTGCTTTCTCCTGTATGCTTGTTAATAATACAGATATACACTTTTTTTTGTTTTTGTTTTCACCATTGTGCCCCTAACACAAGTATCTCTTTTTTCCTTGCACTCCTATTAACCTTTTCTTTTGACTACACTCCTAAAAGAAAGCCTTAAAAAAAGGATAGGACTCTTGTTTTACTCTTTCTTTCTCTTTTTTTGTTTTCTACTTTTAATAATAATAATAATAAAAAGGTACAAAGTAAAGTTTAGGTTTACGTTGTATTCATCCTTCTTCTCCGTTTTAGGCAGCTTGAAAGAATCAAACAAGAGCCAAGCTTAATTCATTGATCAAAATCATATCATGCCATCTTTCCCTGCTTGGGCTATATTCATTATCGTTCTTTTAGTTATCATGGTTGTATTTTCTGGAGCTTATTATACCATTCGCAAACGCATTAGTCGAAAGAAGACAGTCATAGGTGCTCAAGAACCCACGGAGCCTATGTCTAAACAAAAAATCAAGGAACCCATCCATTCATTTAAGCACGAGAAGTCTTCTTCATACCATCGTGATGATATTGAGGCTCATGCCGGTCAACCACCCTGTCATACAACGTTATCCACCACACCTTTAACAAAACCTGAATCGACTTATTCTCGTCTATCCACCGACTCTAAAAAGACAGCATGCCATTCACAAAGTACGCTGTATTCACCCTATCCGGCCAGTCCTCTTGTGTCGAACGAAGATATGCCCATGAAACCCCAACCTCCTTTCAATGCTTCGTTTTTTTCAGATAAGATGGAACTCGACGCTTCCAACGAGCTTTACTATGGGTATTCTCAACATGACTTTGCCTCGATTCAATTAGAAGATAAACCGTTTTTAAGCACGGCTGCTGCTCATTTACAACAAAAGGCTGCCACGATCAAAAGTAGTTTGCGTCAATCGTTACGCCGAAAGAAATCCTCGGCTAAAAACCTGCCAGTCCATCAGTTCTTTTCCAATGAGACTGCTAGTACTCCCCCAGAGACCAAACCCATCAGCAGACAAGTGTCTTTGGCCTCCAGTTGGTTTCCTAACGGTCGACCCTCTTTTCAACAAACAACACCCGTGACACCCGTGACACCCGAGACGCCTAAACCTGATCTGTCTGGAGGATATTTTACAAATCATCACTATCTAAAAAAACCCTTGGCTCCATTTGGGTCAACAATAACAAAGGAAAATGTAAGCAACAAGATCATGATTGACGATATACCATCCACCTTGCCTTCGCCACAAGCAAATCAATACGATGCACAAGAAGAAATAGACTTGCATCGTGTTGCATCCAAAGAGGATCTATCAGATCAAGATTATAAAGAACCAATCACACCACAAGAAGAAGCTACCCACGCAGCCAGAAAAATCATTCGTTCTGCTTCTCGTAAATCACGTACCAGGTCCATGATTGCCTCGAGTGATACAAGCCCAAGCTTTCCTACCATCCTAACTTCAAATAAGCAGCTTTTTACTTATGCTACCGTAAGAGATAACAACAACCAAAGCATCAAGGATAATATGACAAAAGAGGGGCTGATGCTCGACTCCTTACCAGTCATGGAAGATTCAGCAAGAAATAGGGTAGGCAGTGCCTTATGTGGATCTGCTACTGTTTCAGGAAAGAAATCGACGCGAGTACAAGAACTTCAGAAAATATTGCAGAGCAGTCAAATCAAGACAGATTATGCTACGATGGATCGACACGCTTCTCTCAAGAAAATGGCTGGTTCAGCAGCAGGTCCTAAATCACTTCGAAATCTATTTGAGCCTATAGACACAAACCCAGAGTTGATTCAAACCAGTCTATCTACATCATTTACAACCCCTCCTCCTCCTCCTCCTCCTCCTCCTCCTCAAGAACCAGCTCATGCTCTTGACTCCTTCCCTAATTCCCCTTATTCTTTCAAGCATAACACACTGAATATAAAAAATGACCATGTAGATACGATCCGACGTACGCTGCAGTCTTCATGGAGTGGCCATCATCTAAACCAAAGTGAATCCAGTCAGACTTTATCTTCCAGTTCGGACATGGGAAGTATAGGTTCGAGTTGTTATAAACCCATAGCATCCCCTTTAAGCAGTCTCAATCCACGCTTACAACATCAGCATTTAGTCTCATTGTCATTAAAAGCAAATGCAGTCGTGCATCGTCCTCGACCCACAATGCCTTTTGGATTCGATCGTCAAGAAGAACCTATACCAACTGCCTCTTTTTCTTCTTCCACTGCACAGACCATGATTCCTTTAGAAGAAGACAGCAGAATAGAACACCAAGGAGACAAGCGAACAAAAGAAATAACACCCGCACAAAAAGAGCGAGAAAAATATTGGAAATCATTCGATAATAAAGACAAGGTGTCACTGTAAATTCATGCGACTTTCGTTACATTCATTTCAAGCACAGATCATTAAACTGACTTGTAATTATTCTCTCACACCATATTAAATTTTCCTTTTTTTTCTTTCTTTCTTTCTTTTTCTCTCTCTTTTTCCCTCTTGACTTCATATTGCTCACTCCTAAAGTGTGCGTATTTATATGAGTGTTGATACACAGTTTATTGACATATAACTATTCTTAACTTGCTTGACCTTCCTTTTTGAAATCCCACTTTTTTTTTTATTATTTGTTTTATTTAAAAAAACGCTTTATACCCCCATTCCATTCCATCTACAAGATGATGTTTCTCTAAATACACTTTTATGCAAACTTATACTATGACATTATTAGACTGGAATCAAATATCAAATAACATGATTGATAAACACATTCAATCATACCAACTCTTGGAAGAACTCGGTCGTGGTTCGTATGGTTGTCTCTTTCTGGGTCAATCTCTGATCGACAATCAATACGTGGCCATTAAGGTTCTGTCTAAAACTGGACTCGATACTCGTCAATTACAACTTCAACAGCTAGAAATGGATATTCAAAAACCCTTAAATCATCCCCATGTATTAGGACTAAAAGATGTCATTCAAGAACAAGATTTTATCTATATGATCATGGAACTCTGTGATGGTGGTGATTTGTTTGAATATGTCATTCAACATCCTCATAAAGAAGATGAGCTTGTCAAGACACTCTTTTTACAGATATTGGAAGGCATTGAATACTTGCATACAGAGGGCATTTATCATCGTGATATCAAGCTTGAAAATATCTTGTTGTCTGAAAAGAATGTCTGTAAAGTAGCTGATTTTGGACTGGCTACAAAAGAACGGTTTTCTCTGGAATTTGGATGTGGTTCAACAACTTATTTAGGCCCTGAACATTTTGCGAATGAGGAAGAACAAGAAGAACAAGATGTACCTTATGATGCTGCTGCTTCTGATATCTGGTCTTTGGGCATTTTGTTATTGGCCCTCTTGTTCAATAAGAATCCATGGTATGAAGCAACAACAGAAGATGTGACATTTGCTGAATACAAGCAAAATCCATCTAGTCTGTGTACTCTTTTTCCTCGTCTGAGCCATGCCTGTGCTCAATTCTTAATAGACCATGTCTTGTGTATCGATCCTCGTCAACGATGTGATATTCAAACCTTGAAACAAGCCTGGATGTCATTAACCAATCTGACTGTGATGCCTGTTGATATCATAAACACAAAAGCAAGTTATGATTCTGCCTACTTTAGTCATGAAACAGGTCTTTCATGGTCTGATATGGTTGAACAAGACTTGGCTGAAGATGAAGAAGATGATGAAGATGATGACTTTGAACATTTAACTGAAGATGAAGAGTTGTTTATTCATGTCCAAGAAAAAGAATCTTGGTGGCTTTAAATAAAATATCCCTCTACGTATATATATATATATATATGTGTGTGTGTGTGTGTGGCTTCAAACGATATATACAGACTAGATGAGTCCATTTAAACTCCACTTTGCGAGTTTCTTTTCTCTCTTGTGTTATCTTTAGGAAACAAGATGGCGACTTCTCAACAGTGTCTAGAGTCTTCTATGCTATGGTTGGCCATGTATTTCTTTTTAAACTTGGGTCTGACCTTGTATAATAAAGTTATTATGGCTATGTTTCAGTTTCCTTTTCCTTGGGCACTGACTGCTGTTCATACGCTCTGTGGTACTATTGGCTCTTATGCCTTTTGGAAGTTGGGTCTGTTTAAGCCTGCTAACCTAGGTGAAAGAGAAAACATGGTGATGCTTATGTTTTCGGTTTTGTATACCATTAATATTGCTATTAGTAATGTGTCTCTGTAAGTAATGCTAAAAAGAAAAAGAAAAAGAAAAAGAAAAAACAGTTCATGATCTCATTTCTATTGTAGTAATCTGGTTACTGTGCCTGTAAGTGATGTGTTTTATATGTTCTTATTGACAAGTGTCTAGTTTCATCAAGTCGTGAGAGCCATGACACCTGTCTTTACTGTCATGTTGAATGTCTTGTTCTTGAAAAAGTCTTATTCTGGTATGGTCTATATCTCTTTGATTCCTGTAAGTTCATCATAGGAACAAATCCATATGGTATATTGATTGCTATCTAGGTCATTGCGGGTGTTGCATTTGCTACATTTGGTGACTATAACTATACCGCCATGGGTTTCTTTTTGACTGTGTTGGGTACCGTCTTGGCTGCTGTCAAGACAGTAGTGACAAACCGTGTTCAAGTGGGTCGCCTTAAACTTCATCCATTAGACTTGTTGTTGAGAATGTCACCATTAGCTTTTATTCAAACCATGCTTTATTCTTACGCTACAGGCGAATTTGAATTAGTACAAGAGTATTATCAGACCAAGATGACATGGAATGTATTCTCTGCCTTGTTGTTGAATGGTATCATTGCTTTCTTTTTAAATGTCGTTAGTTTTACTGCCAACAAAAAGACGTCTGCCTTGACCATGACAGTAGCTGGTAAGGAAAGAATACGATAAAATATAGAATATTGACCATGATTAGGTAACGTTAAACAAGTCTTGTCTATTGTATTGGCAGTGATTATCTTTGACCTTAGTATTACTGCTACCAATGGTCTTGGTATCATTCTCACATTAGCTGGCGGTGCTTGGTATAGTAATGTTCAACTGAATGAAGGCAAAAAGAAGAGTAAATTATTAGGCGGTGATTCTTTATTGGGTGTATCTGATAAGGATGAAAATGAGTTATCTAATATCAAGGCACAAAAATAGATTCCCATGAAATAAAATGCATATAAAAAAATTTTTTCTCTCTCTCTCTCTCTCTCTCTCTCTCTCTCTCTTTTTTTTTTATCTTGTTATTATGAACCCTCAAGACTGGATTGATGTTACTGTTGAAAAGAATCATTATTCTTTAGATCATTTTGTGATTCCTAATCATTATGAAGAAGATGTCTCTAGTATTTTGATTCCTCATGGTGTCATTATGGTAAAAATAAGCATAAACAGAGTCCATATTCATTTTATTGTTCAGGATAGAATTAGAAAGTTGGCTAGAATGATTGTAGATGATTCTCAAGGACCCTTAGGTAAAGTAAATAGTAAAAGAAAAGATGTAGGCTAATAATAATGATATTAGTCGTGTGTTGTATTTTGAAGGGTGGACATCAATACTTTGCTGACTTGGTCAATGAAATCAAGAAATTACGTCGTTTGAATGGCACCAGTGTTCCCTTGAGTCTTGAGTTTATTCGTGTCAAATCTTATGAAAATGATCAATCTACAGGCGGTGTCAAGATTTCCCTCACAGATGCTGAATTAGATGAATTCAAGGATAAAGTAAGTTGTGTGTCCTATGATGTCATTTAACACTCGTAGAATCTCTTGATTGTTGAAGATATTATCGATACAGGTGCTACTATGGTTCGCTTATTGGAAAGATTGGGTAAGATTCAACCTAAATCTATCAAGGTGACTAGTTTGTTATTGAAGAAGACCGAGAGAAGCAATGGTTATGTTCCTGACTATGTTGGCTTTGCTATTCCCGATGCATTTGTTGTTGGCTATGCTTTGGATTATAATGAATACTTTAGAGATTTAGATCATATCTGTGTGATTAGTGTAAGTGTATATTATATTCATTCATAGCATGTCTCATGTTTATTATAGGATGTTGGTAAAAAGAAATATGCGGTCTAACTTATCTAGACTTGTTCTCCTCTTTTCTTGGCTAATTTGGCTAATAAAAGCTTATCTAATTCTTGTTGTGTTGTTCTATTGTTTTGTAAGTGGCTATTGTTCTGTCTATATCTCGGTACCTTTCATTTAAACAGTTGTTCATGGCTTTCAATTTATCTCGACAAGTCCACATCACTGTCACATTATGTTCTTTACTACAAGTAACAAAGTCTATAGCGTATGAGTTTATGTCAATAAAAAGCAATATTACCTTTGATAGGCAATTGACAAGCTTCTAAAGCATTTGCTTTCATTTCCTTGTAACAGTTTTCTTCTTCCTGTCTGGTTAGAGCATGGAGTTCTGACTCCTTTGGAATAAAAGGATTGCTCATAGACTCGTCTTGTGTCTTTCCCATAGTATGATATAAATAAAAAAAAAAGAGGATGTAAAAAAACAAACTTTTTCGTAGTCAATAAGTGACTGACATTCAAAAAAATTGCATAGAAAGAATATCTCCTGTTCTTTTTTTTTAAAAAAAAAGATAACATGGTTCAGAGGAACAGTAAGCAATTCACAAAATATGTGAAGCATAGTTATTTTGGTAGATGATAAACAATATTTTTATTAGAATAAATCGTGTCATGTTCAAACACTTCCCCTCCCTTTCTTCTCTTCCTCCTTTTCATTTTCATTTTGTTTAGTTTTTTTTAAAAAAAAAAAATGGTGGCAATATGCCTAGATGCTCCGAAGAGCGATGCCTTCAAACACGCAGAGGTGTTGTAAGTTTGAGCAAAAGCTCATTCCGTCCTTCTCAAGGGGATTGCCAAAGTTCTCTCCTTTCTATAGACTGATAAGATACTGAAACCTTTTGATATCCATTTCACTTACCGTTAAGCACAAAGAAAAAAAAAAGGGAAAAATAAAAAAATTCGGGAATTTATATATACTTTTGTAGAGTGGCTTGGATCAGGTGCATTTTAAATTCCTTTATTGGATAAGCGCAGCAATGATGTATTAGCTAAGCAATACTTTGTACAAAGTTCATTTACATAATTTCATATAAAAGAATAAATAGACGTCTAAATACAGAAAAGAGAAAAATTGAATTCTAAAAAAGGAACGATCGAGTGGTTTGAGTGAATTGAGCATTCCAAGGTATATAAGTTGGTATAAAAGTCGCATAAGTTGATCTATTGAGAGGGCATATAAATAAAGGAGTGTCGTTCTTAGGTGTGATTAATTAAATTAAGCTCTTCTGCGTGCAATACTGTAAGAAACACCATTACACAATAAAACCATTTGTCCAATATCAATATAGACAGGAGAAGTAAACGAATTACTCTGAATCCAGCTAGAAGAGTTATGTGACCATAAGCATTCACATTGATTTTGAGCGACGGGATCAAGAGTGACCCAATTGCAACCATTAGCGTAGACCCATTGAACAGAAGGCATTGTTGATTTGTTATCTTTGTTATTTGAAGAAATATTGAAAAGTGAACAAAAAAAAAGGGAAAGTAGTATGAAGGGTTCTTTTTATATAGTTGACACAATCAAACTCTATTTTTATGATCAATTCGCCTTGAGTTGAACGTTATCTGTCCTCGCCACACGGTCCGTTTTTTACGGTGGAGTCACATTGCTTGTCATATTAAAAAGCTGCGGTATAAGCGCAAATCATTGCTTTTCAAAGACATGATATCATTTTTAATAATATCACCATGGTAGTGCCTTATTGCAAAATAAAAATAAAAATAAAAATAATTAACCCTTCATATAAAATCTACTATGCTGCGTATAAAAGACAACACTCTGAACAAATGACCTTCATTGTTTTTTAAAAAATTAAATAGATGTGATAAATGTTGTCTCTTGTACTCCATAAATGATGTTGTAATGCCAAGTTTCTTTTTTTTTTTTGGATTGTTCAATCGCAATGTTAGACCTCTTGTCTTTGATCTACTATCTATCTCTAGAAGATCGCAATCCGAAAAGGCAAGCGAAGATCCCGGAAGGAACACAATAAAAACTTGTTTTGGATGAGTCAAAACTTAAGATGATTGGTGACCTCTGTTGAGAATTGATTTCTAGCTAAATCAATGATGTATGGCGAAGCTCTGCGCAATGGTCTTTTCTTTGACCGATCACGACTCAATGAACAATCATTTAAAGTTCTAAATAACCAAGCCAATGCTGTTGTATGCGTTAGCCAATAAAATAATCATATTCAAATGATGTTGCGTACGTGTATTTCTGGATTGTTGCACAACGACAAACCCTTTCCCCACGTTGCCAAGGTAACTAAGGGAGACAAGGGCGAAAAGCTCATTGACACTTGGCTTACAAGATAGGCTTTTCTGCTGCGGCCTTAAGATACTAATGATACCACGTATGTCCTTTTTTTTTCTTTTGCGCTTGGGCCTATCGGTTTGGATCGACATTTATTTTCTTCCTTGTTTCTTTTCCTCTGCTGCGCAGCATCAGTAATTCTATGTCATCACATCCAAAGTAGAATTTTAAAGTTATCGCTTTGAGTCATTGATATTTTGTTACGTATATCGTCTTGGCTAGAGCACAGAATGACTAAGAACTCAATGAGGTTATTAATACATTATTCTATTCGTTTCTTTATTGCTTAGCCTAAAGGCCAGTTTTTCATGACTTTTTTTTAATTTGTAATTAATTTTTGGGTCACCTTCTTAGCATTACGTTTCCCTTACGCGCCTTATTCTGCTACAATTTTTTTTTATCACGAGTAATATCAAATGAGCATTAAAAAAAGCGTCTTCCTATTCTTTCATGTATGCTGTCTGTTTTTTTTTAGAAAAAAAAAACAGGATAGGATCATGCGAATATGATAATGTATATGCCCAAAGCATATGAATAATGTGAAAAAAGTGGTCTTGTTAAAATGAGTCAAAGCAACGTATTCTTTCTAGAGAATATCCTTTCTATATTTGTCATTGACTATTCAGACTTCAAATGCTGAAAGCACAAAGTGCCACCATTTGTTTCTTTACTACATAGAAGCATCATGTTTGTTTCCATTTGAGTGATTAAGCTCCTTATGAATGTGTGTGTTTGCTTTATCAAATCATTCAAGATAGAGCATTAAAAAAATGTGCCAGCATGAGTTGATTAATAATGCACTGAGAAAAAAGCAGCTATTTGCCCAGATTTCCAAGCAAATCACAAAAAACATAGTTTAGTTTGCCGTGTCTGAATTGAGTTATAGAGTTAGTAGGGTCTAAACTGTATAAATAAATCCTTTTTGTTGCAATATTCTAGGCACAAGAATGAACCTTATGGCCCTTTTTTCTTTGAAGCCTTTTCTCTTGTCTATAGTCAACATATTCAGGTTTATGTATTGCCTAATTTAGCTTTTATTTCTGTACAACCCTTACTAACGGACCCATCGGTAATTTCTCAAACTTTTTACATCTTGAACAGTCTTAAAGTAGCATCATGCAAAGAAAAAATGCCTTGTCATCAGTGATAAAAAATGAACGTGGAGAAAATTCTCTGTTTCCCCAGATGCATCCAGAATAGAGCCTCTGCTAAGAGCTGCATAAAGACGCAGCTATTTTGCTTTGGAATAGTGGCAGCATTTGTAGTTCTTTGCTTTCTGAGTCTATTGATGTAGAACACACAGCAACTCTACTGCTAAAATCTTGAGTATAAAGCTTTGTAAACATGTCTGTCTATTTGTTCAATATTTTGATAGTAAAGTTGCTATGCTTTTCATATTAATAGGCTCAGAAAGCCAAGATCTACAACTTTTATTATTACACCAAAGCAAAATAACTGCGTCTATGCAGAATGGACAGTGAAATTGAATCTGGTTTTAATCTTCGCATATAGCTATCCTGTATGTTTTGTGTCCATTTATCCCCACATCTACATAAGAAAATGCTATCTTACTATGTTCTTTGGCACTCAAAGTAGCATAAGATACTTTTGAAAGCCCATAGGCAGCGCATTTTATATGACATCTAGAGCAAAAATGCTCAAAACACAACTTAAATGCACCATTCTTTGATAGACCATTGCTCGACAACCAGACTATCAAAACAGTCCTTTTTTCATTTAAAACATGGTCTTTCGAACCAAGAAATTGAATGGTATTATTTGTTTGGCTGTTGGATAAGTCCATTTTTTGTCCCATGGGGGGATCACGGAGGTTTATAAAGATGAAATAAAGTTCCTCCAATTTTTTTTAGAATGACCCAATGTGAGTCCGATCCAACCGAAATCAGATAAGACAAACTCTAGGTGCTTCAAATAAAAAGAAAGCAAGTTTACTAAGATGAAAAAGGCGACTTAATTTGATCATTACCTTCAAATTTGCGTTCAAATTTTATTATACACTGTCGATGATAGAAAAAAAAAGCTCTTTTCAGTAGATGTTGATTACAAAATAAATACCTGTTTATACACCATTAAGCCGATTGGCGATTTTCATCATTCTTGCATTTATTAGCCTAGTGAAGACTTTACAGTCTGTATTTATCAGCGTGATTGGTCTCCAATTTCCTAGGTCTGATAAGTCCCCCCTTTTTTTGGTAGCAGTACAACACACGCGTGCTGTCATGATCTTGGAAACTTTCCTAGCTTGATAGCATCATTGTAGACTTGTGTTATGATATCCCGACAGCTTGGTTGGTTAACAATGATATTGAGTATCTCATATGGGATGCCATCTAGCTCTGGACTACATTTACGTGGGCTTCTTTGTGTACCTAGTATGATGTCTTCATAGTAAGCCTCTTCAATTAAGCTGTCACTCTCTTCTTTAGACACGACTTTGATAATTTGGTTCGTCATAGGTTCTAAACTGTTTATGTCAACTCTCTCTTCTATACACAACTTGGAGTAGAACGTTTAGGCAGCTTCTAGCTTGGAGTTATTGTCTGTACATTCATCACTAGTGGCTGGGTGTTTCAAAATGCTTATTATCTTTTTCTTTTGTCGCCGCTTGATAGTGTTTTTGATGTAGGATAGGGGCTTTTCGTTGTTTTCGATCCATCTCTGATCGGCTCTGAGTTTATCTGTATTGCTTTTCTCTTCCTGTAATCTGGTGATTTGGCTCTGGACTGGAGGTAGTGGCGCATTCAAACATACAGGGTCTTGACTATAGAGTCGTAGCAACTTGTTTCGTTTTCTATTCAGTTCTTTCGATTTCTTTTCTCTCCACTGGTTATGATGACGGCAGAAGTTGGCTGTTACTTTTTTAACCATGTTTCTGATCGAATCCCACTTGTCTTGTGCTGGTATTGCCGGTCTAACTTGTGTTGTATATATTTGTCAAGTTCGCTTTTCACTTTGTTAGTGTATCTTTCATTTTAAGCAAGATAAGGGTTGTCTCTCCATATGCCTTTCCTATTGTTCTGTAGCTCAATAGTCAGAATTTTCTTTAGTGTTGCATGATCTGTGTATTTGTCACTCAAGAATTCCACCTTACCATCTGACATTTGTTTGAAAGTGTTGAGTCCGGCAAATATGTAATTTATGGTTGATGAAGATACCTTGTCGCTTCGCTTTTGGATGCAAGTATAGGCATATTGCTCGCCTTGTTGATTTATGCAGTCTTTCATATGCCCCTTGATGAATTCGATCAGTTGTTAAGGGTTGGCTTTTGTTCTTGTAGAGTGTTTACTTGCGCTATCAAAACTAAAATTAAAATCACCAGCCATGATCAGGTCAGGAATCATATCTGGTGTCTTGAGTAGTAGCTCGACTGTTGCTCTAAAAAGATTGTTTCTCTCGGTCACCTGTTCAGTTTTTAGACCTGATTGTGCATATAGGTTCATGATGTATAAAGGCGGAATAGAGTTGTCAACAGTTGTTAGCTTAGCTAGGATCATTCTTCCATCTTTAGATACTTTGATTTCTTCTAAATTTAAAGCATTATTGAAGTTGATTATTGAGCGATGTTTTGTCCAAATTGCTTGGTGATAGTTGAACTTGAATTTCATGTTGTTTATGGCTTCTTCAGAGGTGAGGGTTGGTATATTGGTTTCTTGACATAGTAGCATATTCCGTTTCTTGGTCTTTAGTAAAACAATAAAATTGTCTGTGGTTTGTTGGTTATTGTTCATATGTAAGTTTCTGCAGTTTACAGAGCCTATTTTAATGTATAAGTGTTTGTATGTATTCATTTTGTTTTTTCTAAGCCCCCCCAATTATTAGTCCAGCTCATTCATTTTCTCCCCACCATTGTCAGGAAAAGGAGAAGACGTTTGAGTGACAATTTCACTTTCAACGTTTTTACTGAGTCTTTTTGTATTTGGAGTCAAAGATTTACTTGTTTCAGGAGAGAGAGCGTCTTACAAGTTACGCTTAATTGTCCTGTTTAGTTTACTTTTCTCTTTAATAGTCGAGCTGAATGAGTGTCTGCGGGTGATAATATCATCTAGCTTTTTGGTTTGGTGACTTCTGGAGCTTCTTGGTGTAGAAACTGACTTGATGGTAACAGCTCCCTTCATAGGGTGACTTGGTTCGCTGGCACATCTACTTATCATTACGCTTCTGTTCTCCAAATCTACTACTTCTTCCATAACAGTCGCTTCACTTTCTACTGCCTGCGGCTTTGGATCATTCTTGAGTAGTTCGAGCAAATGGATCTCTCGTCTAATTCCTGCAGTATTGTTACTTTTAAAGCCAGCTGTCATATCTGACTCCTCTTCAGGTCTAGACTTTCCACTTTTGGACATTCCTCCTGTTTTGTTTATTTTGGGGTCACAATTCCAAGGTGCCGTAGGGCATTTGGCTTGCAAGTAATTAGGACTCTTGCAGTGGATGCATGGCTCTCTGGCTCTTTTGGGGCAGTCAAATTTGATGTGTTCGCCCGTATGACAGTCAGTGCAAATAGGCTTCATTTGAGACCAAACAATGTTCAGTAATACTCCTGGAAAACCTACAAGTTCCACTTGAGGAGTGAGCTCAGCTGCATACGTTGCTTCTTTTAGTTTATCCCCATTAAGTGTAGCAAAACCGCGACCAGTGAACCAATCGGAGTCAGCGCACTTGGAGATACTAATGTTCAAAACATCGCTAAAGCGTTCAAAGGTATTGATCAATGCTGTCTTCAATACTTCTTCCATGCCCAAAAATTGAACACAATCGATTACAGTGGAGTTTCGTTCTTTAGATTCCACAGAAGTTGAATAGGCGTTGAGAGGTTTGAAACTACCATTCTCAACATTTGGTGACACTTCAAAGATATGTCGTTTTTGAGCTTTAAGAGCGTCTTTAAAGGACTGAGAGAATAATTGATTGCCTGGATTATGACTAGAATCTAACGTTGAACCGCCTTGTAGGGAGGTCCTACGGCTATCACTCTGATAATTAAGCGAAATAGCTATGAAGAATTGTCAAACTCAAGATTTCCACGGTTAATACCCTTTAGTCAAAAGCCATTTTTGATCAAATTTTACATGTCGCTTTTTTTGATCCAAATCAACTCCAAAAGTATCATGGCTGCTAGCAAACACAGCCGGTAGGTGTCTAGAGCATTTATACGTGTATAAACAGGCTTAATGCTGTCTTTATTTGCCTGAGAAAAAAAAGGTAAGCCTTCACTGTTGAAGTAATTTTTTGACTGTTATCTCAGTCATATAAATAAATTATATAATACTTAAACGCTTGTTCGAATAAGTAACTTATTAGAAAGAAATTTTATTCCACTAAATCAAAGAAAAGGAATGTTTGCTCATGAAAAATGTCAATACATCAAAAAACTTTATGGTTCATGATATCTGAAAGGTGGCACAAACTACCATAAATTTACATTGTCAATTTAATTACATACTTTTTTTATAGTGAAGGATGCGCCCAACTTAAAACGTACAATTTCATTTATATGATCTAACGAGAAAAACCCTGAAAGTCAATTTATATTTATGCACCTAGTTCAAAGCGTTTGTTTCTTGTTGCGAAATTTTAGACATCAAAATAAGTGTGGCACTGCGGCATTTGTGATATTTGCATCCCGACGAAAGCTACTGCCGCAGCTACCGCGACATAAAATATATTTAAAGCAAAAGGCAAGTCTTACGTGATAGCTCTTTATTTCCTTTTCTTTTTTTCTCTTTCTTTATTCATGGTCTCTGAAACCACCTCTTTCAGCTCTGTTTTACACCAATTACTGGCACCACCTTCCAAAGGAAAAGGAAAAGCAAAGCAGCAGCCAACTGATATTTTGTCTTTTCATGAAAACAAAAAAAACTGGTCTCAATCAGTAGAAGACTTTTGCAACTTTGTTAAAAAGTGCCAAAACAAAGAAAAAGAACTTCCTGAAGTTTCTTTCGGTAAACATATCGAATTTCATGTTCCAAAACGCTCTTTTGTAAAACCTCGCGTCAACCAAGTGCAAAATGCGACAATAGAACCGACAGCCATCAATCATGTTCCCGAAAAACAAGTCACTGCTGTTTATGATCGAAATTGGTTATTGCAGTAAGTTATGCAGCTGTTCAATGCAATGATTTATTCAATTTATTAGACAATCGCGTAATTATATATCCAACAATCCGCATGTCAATCTGAATGAACGACAACTGTGCACAGATATTTTTACAATTATTCGATCTGGAGATAGCGACGACGATATTCAACAGACACTCGTTGATTTGTTAGGATTTGAATCACTTGAGTTCATCATAGAATTGATTACAAACCGTACTACCATTGTACATAATATTATTCGTATGTCAGATTATGATGATCAAGTAAAAAACAAACAAACAATACCAACTGAAGCTCGAAGACCAGTTTATGGAGCCCAATTTATTGTTCAATCTGAAAAAGAATTAAAAGAAGAAAAAAGACTTCGAAAGGAACAAAGGAAGGCCATGAAAGCACAGAGTAGAGTAGAAGGTAATGTTGTTCATGATAATACATGTTGCTTATGGTGAATCTAGATGACGCCAATGCGGTTTCCATGAGCATTTTAGGCTTTGATGGTGAGGATTTACGACAAGCAAGAGAAGAAGCTCTTTTAAACGCGAGCCAGACACCTTTGTTTAGTTCAAACTACAAATCAAAAGCAGGCCCGGTTTATCCTCATGTTTATCAAGCTGCACAGTCAGGTGGTACTTTGTCACTCTTCGGTTCTCGGTTTGCATTACCTGCCGGTACTGTGCGTGAAGATTACAATGATTATGAAGAGACAACTATTCCTGTTCCTAAAGTAGCACCTGTTCGCACTGGAGAAAGAAGAGTCCCTATTTCTGAGATGGATAGTTTAGCAAGGGGAGCTTTTAAGGTAAAATAATAGTAATACCAAGAGTTGGATTGACAAGAATTAGGCTTATGAAACACTCAATCGAGTTCAATCCATTGTTTATCCCATTGCTTATGAAACAAATGAAAACATGCTTGTTTGTGCCCCTACTGGTGCTGTAAGTAACTTGCTTTGTTTATCTAGCTGCTCATTTTTTCTAAATTGTAGGGTAAAACAGATGTTGCCATGTTGACTGTACTCCGCTGTCTATCACAACATTGCAGCTCTCCTCCCCGTAAAGGAACCACTGAGATTGATTTTACGATCGCCAAAAATGATTTCAAGATCGTCTATGTAGCCCCTATGAAAGCATTAGCCGCAGAAGTGGTTGAAAAGATGAGTAAAAGACTCAAGTTTTTAGATATTAGTGTGCGTGAATTGACAGGTGATATGCAATTGACAAAGGCAGAGATTACAGCTACTCAATTCATTGTCACTACACCTGAAAAATGGGATGTCATTACCAGAAAGGGTACTGGTGATGTAGAACTAACACAGGTAAGGTATTCCAACAGAACAAAGCAAAATGCTGATTGCTTTTGTGCTATAGAAAGTGAAATTATTGATTATTGATGAAGTTCATTTGTTACATGAAGATCGTGGTGCTGTTATTGAGAGTATTATTGCAAGAACACTTCGTCAAGTGGAATCCAGTCAATCTTTAATTCGTATTGTTGGTTTATCTGCTACTTTACCCAATTATGTTGATGTTGCCGCATTTTTGAGGTAAACGTGGTGAATCAAGCTTTTTTTTATTCACTCCTTTGAACAGAGTCAACCCTTATCAAGGTCTCTTTTATTTTGACAATGGTTTTAGACCTGTTCCCCTTGAACAACACTTTTTAGGTATCAAGGGCAAACCAAATTCTACTCCCTCCAATGAAAGAATGAATCGTGCTTGCTTTGATAAAGTATCTGAACTTGTCAAAGACGGTCATCAAGTCATGGTCTTTGTTCATGCAAGAAAAGAAACCGTCAAGACAGCACAAGCCCTGAGAGAAGAAGTGGCCAACGAATCCATGGATGGTAAGTAACCAGAGCATTTTTCTGTCACTTACTCATGTCTATTGTTTGTAGCTTATTTTGATTGTGTTGACTCGCCTAAATACACTCAATTCAAGCGAGAAGTAGCCAAATCACGTAACAAGGAATTAAAAGAATTATTCCAATATGGCTTTGGTATCCACCATGCTGGTATGCTCCGATCTGACCGTACCTTGACTGAGAAGATGTTCCAGGAAGGTGCCATTAAAGTTCTCTGTTGTACTGCGACTTTAGCTTGGGGTGTCAACTTGCCTGCTTATGCTGTTGTGATTAAAGGTACTCAAGTCTATGACTCGACCAAAGGTAGTTTTGTTGATCTGTCTATTCTGGATGTACTCCAAATCTTTGGTCGTGCTGGTCGTCCTCAATATGAATCTCATGGTGTTGGTTATATTTTGACTACACACGATCGTTTGTCCCATTACATCTCTGCTATCACACAACAGCATCCCATTGAATCCAAGTTTATTGAAAACATTGTCGACAACCTGAACGCTGAAATTGCTTTGGGAACAGTAACCAATGTGGATGAAGCTGTTACTTGGCTTAGTTACACTTATCTTTATGTTCGTATGAAAAAGAATCCTATGATTTATGGCATGGATCATTCAGAACCTCTCAATGATCCCTTACTTGGTCGCAAACGACATGAAATTATTACTACGGCTGCACGTAAACTAGCCCAATGCCAAATGATTATTTTCGATGAAAACACCGGATACTTGCTACCCAAAGACCTTGGCCGTATTGCTTCCAACTTTTATATCAAGCATACTAGTATTGAAATTGTGAATACCATGATGAAGCCTCGCATGACTGAAGCAGATGTGTTGTCTATGATGAGTATGAGCTCGGAATTTGATCAAATTAAGTCTCGAGAAAACGAACACCAAGAACTGAAAAAGTTATTGGAGAATGCATGCGCGTGTGATATTAGAGTAAGTTCATCTATTTGACTTTACGTTATCTCACAACAGCTATCATTTTAGGGTGGTACCGAAGACACACATGGAAAAGTGAACATCTTACTTCAAGCCTATGTATCTAATGCTTTTATTGAAGACTTTGCTCTTGTCTCTGATTGTGCTTATGTAGCTCAAAATTCAGGTCGTATTGCCAGAGCTTTGTTTGAGATTGCTTTGAATAGAAATTGGGGACCTACAGCATCCGTTTTACTTCAAATCAATAAGGCTATTGAGAAGCGCATGTGGACATTCCAACATCCCCTACGACAGATGCCATTGCCATCTGACATCATTAACAAATTAGAAAGCAGAACGCATGAAGTCTCTATCGAAGAAATGCGTGATATGGATCCTAATGAACTGGGAGACCTTGTTCGTCACCAACGTATGGGCATGACTATCTCCAAATGTGTGGATGAATTTCCCATGCTTTTGCTTGATGCTCGCATCGCACCTATTACACGCAACGTCTTGAATGTTGAACTAACAGTGACGCCTGACTTTATTTGGAATGATCGACTTCATGGCAGTGTAGAACCTTGGTATATTTGGGCTGAAGATTCCGAAAATGTTGAGATCTATTATTCGGAATACTTTTTATTGTACAAGAAGCAGTTTGGTGAGCCTATTAAGATTGTATTCACTGTGCCCTTAGTGGAACCTCTTCCTTCCCAAATCTATATCCGTGCTGTTTCGGATCGTTGGTTAGGTGCTGAAACAGTCTTGCCCGTTTCGTTTCAACATTTGATTCTACCTCAACTTTACCCTCCTCATACCGATTTATTGGATCTCCAACCTTTGCCTATAACTGCTTTGAAGAATGAGGTTCTTGAGGAGATTTGTGCAAAGCGATTTACACATTTCAACCCTGTGCAAACGCAAATCTTTCATACATTATACAACACAACACACAATGCGTTGGTAGGTGCTCCCACAGGTTCCGGTAAGACAGTGGCTGCCGAGCTTGTCATGTGGGCCGCTTTTAGAGACAGACCTGGATCTAAAGTGGTTTACATTGCCCCCATGAAAGCTTTGGTCAAGGAGAGAGTCGCCGATTGGAACAAGCGCTTGACAGGACCTATGAACAAGAAATTGGTTGAGTTGACAGGTGATGTTACTCCAGATCTTAAGACTATTGAGTCTGCCGATATTATTATTACTACACCTGAAAAATGGGATGGTATCAGTCGTAGTTGGCAAAAGCGTAGTTATGTACGTGATGTGTCTTGTGTGATTATTGATGAAATCCATTTACTTGGTGGTGACCGTGGTCCTATTTTGGAAGTAATTGTATCTCGTATGAACTATATTGGTTCACAATTGGATCAGAAAGTACGCATCGTTGGTCTCTCCACTGCCTTAGCGAATGCTATTGATCTAGCCAACTGGTTAGGCATTGATAAAGTGGGTCTTTTCAATTTTAGACATTCGGTTCGTCCTGTTCCTTTGGAAATATACATTGATGGCTTCCCTGGCAAGCATTATTGTCCTCGTATGGCTACCATGAACAAGCCTACTTATGCTGCCATTAAGACACACTCTCCTACTCAGCCTGTCATTGTGTTTGTTTCTTCTCGTCGACAAACCCGCTTAACTGCTCAAGATTTAATTGCTTATTGTGGTATGGAAGATAATCCACGTCAGTGGTTACATATGGACGATACTGAACTAGAGATGCTTTTGAACTCTGTACATGATGAATCCCTTCGTATGTCTCTCGCCTTTGGTATTGGTCTTCATCATGCTGGTCTAAAAGAAAGTGACCGAAAGATAGTGGAAGAACTCTACTTGAATCTCAAGATTCAAATTTTGATTGCCACTAGTACACTTGCTTGGGGTGTCAATCTACCTGCTCATTTGGTTGTCATTAAGGGCACTGAATTCTACAACTACAAGGAACGTCGTTATGTTGATTTCCCTATCACTGATGTACTCCAAATGATGGGTCGTGCTGGTCGTCCTCAATTTGACAACACAGGTATCTCTCGTGTGTTTGTTCAGGACAGTAAAAAGAACTTTTTCAAAAAGTTTTTGCATGAACCTTTCCCAGTTGAATCTAGCCTTCACAAGTTTCTGGATGACCACATTAATGCCGAAATTGTGGGCGGTACTATCAAGAGCAAACAAGATGCTTTGGATTACTTGACTTGGACTTATTTCTACAGACGTTTGCAACAAAATCCTACTTACTATGGACTGGATGACATGACACAAAAGGGTATTGATACTTTTCTGTCGGGCACAATCAATGATGTCTGTGCTCGTTTAGAAAAAGCAGGTTGTGTTGAGATTGTGGATGATTTTGAACTGCATCCTTTGATCTCTGCTCGTATTGCCTCATACTACTATCTTCATCCTCATACTGTTCGTCATTTTCGTGGCCATTTAGACAAGGAGTCCCAAATTGATGATGTCTTAGACGCACTTGGTAATGTACCTGAATATGAAGAATTGCCAGCTCGTTGTCAAGAAGATGTATTAAACAAGGAAATTGAAAGTCGTGTTCCTTATGAGGTTAAAGGCACACCAAACTATATCAGTCCTCATGTCAAGGCAAACGTGTTAGTACAAGCTCATATTACTCGTTTAGAACTGCCTAGTTCAGATTACATTACAGATCAGATCACTGTCTTAGATTCTGCTATTCGTTTCTCTCAAGCCATGATTGATGTAGTTGCTGATAACGGTTATTTGAATACGAGTTTGACCATCATGAACATGCTTCAGTGTATCAAGCAAGCACGCTGGCACACTGAATCCAATTTGTTGACATTACCATACATTCAAACGAGAATGCTACAAGATATTCGGCACAAGAACAAGCCTATCAAGTCTGTTGCTGACCTTTTGAGACTTCAAGATAACCAAGTCAAGCAAGTCTTTTTAAATGTTCGAGGCCTTGATGAAGAAAAGATTGAAAAGGTAAGTTTCTTTTTTTAGGCTGAGTTTATCGACTAACATCTTGTTACCTAGATTCAACAAGTGATAAACCGCATGCCATCCATGAAAGTAAAGGCTGAAATTGATACAAAGAAATCCTATCTGATTCCAGATACAGAATACAAGATTTCTATTCAGCTGAATCGCATTCAAAGAGGTGACAAGAAGAAGGCCCATGATGGTCGAGTCTATGCCCCACTGTTCCCCAAACCTCAATATGAATCTTGGTGGATTGTTCTTGGTAACACAGTTAACGATGAGTTGCTTGCTTTGAAACGTGTCAGTATGCGAAATGGCCCAAATGAAACTTTGTTGAACAAGACGAGTACTACCATCTCTTTTGAAACACCAGAGCACCTTGGTAAACACAACTATACACTCTATGTTGTGAGTGATGGTTACCTTGGTTTAGACCAAAAGATTGACCTTCCTTTTGAGACTAGAATGGATTTAGATTCTTAATAAATGACTAAATGCATTTCATTATACTTAAGGTTCGCCACCTGTACAACTTGCATGTAGATTTTTTTCAGGCGTCTACATAAACATTCATTATTGAAACAAGGTTTATTCAAATATTGAAGCTTTTGTAAAACGTAGTACGTTAAGTTATGTATTTACCCGAAATAAAAATTAGTCCAATTTTTTGTCATTCAAATTCAACATGATCCAAGAGCCCTTTATTTATCTTTAATGACTCATGTTTTTTGGGGGAAGATACAGTGTTTTTTTTTTTTTTTTTTTTTACAATTGCTTTTATTCGTTTACAATACGATCATAGATTATTTTACATGTAATAGAGTAGCTACAATACTGTGACATAGAAATTATACAAAAAAGAAAAAGGTTCATAAAAATGGCCAAAAAGTAAAGAAAAAAAAGGGGAGTGGAATGAATGTGTAGAGTAATATGAAAAAAGTTATTACGATTTAGAAACTAAAGAGTAAGAAAAGGGGGAAAATGACAGAAGTTGGTCTGAAAGAGGGGGTATTTGGTTGGACACTTTACGCGCCGGCATCCTTCTTCGCTGCAAAGACCAAAAGGTCAATTACACGATTAGAATAGCCGTATTCATTGTCGTACCAGCTGACTAGCTTGGCAAAATTATCGTTCAGTGAAATACCCGCAGACGCATCGAAAATGGAACTTGCAGGATGGCCAACAAAGTCAGTACTTACAACCGCATCTTCTGTGTATTCCAGGATACCCTTAAGATTCGTCTCAGACGCTTTTTTGATAGCTTCCTTGATCTTTTCATAAGACGCGCCCTAAATAGATAAAGTATTAGTCGTGTTTCACAAGTAAGAACAATAAAAACTCTATTTTAATCTCTTACCTTTTCAAGTCGCACAGTTAGGTCTACAACAGAAACATCAGGAGTAGGCACTCTGAACGCCATACCAGTCAACTTTCCATTGAGATCAGGGATTACTTTACCGACCGCCTTAGCAGCACCAGTGGAAGAGGGAATAATGTTCGCACCCGCACCACGACCACCTCTCCAGTCTTTGTTCGAGGGACCATCGACCGTTTTTTGAGTCGCCGTAGTAGCATGGACAGTTGTCATTAAGCCTTCTAGAATACCAAATTCATCGTGGATAACCTTGGCAAGCGGAGCAAGACAGTTCGTAGTACACGAGGCATTAGAGATAACAGTAAGATCAGAAGAATACTTGTCTAGGTTGACACCACAAACAAACATGGGCGCATCTGCCGATGGGGCCGAAATGATAACCTTTTTCGCCCCACCTTTAAGGTGAGCAGAGGCAGCTTCCTTGGTAGTAAAGACACCGGTGGACTCAACGACATAATCGGCACCGTTTTTACCCCAGGGAATTTGAGAAGGATCCCTTTCAGAATAAACCGCAATAGGATTTCCGTTCACAACCAGTTTGCCATCCTTAGCTTCGACCGTACCTTGGAATCGGCCATGAGTCGAATCATACTTGAACATATAGACCTAAGAGAAAGAGAATAAGTATTTATGACTATGAAACACATTTGCCAAACTTACCATATATTCAAGATCAATGAAGGGGTCATTAATAGCAACAACCTTAACTTCAGGATTGTTGAGAGAAGCACGCAAGACAATACGGCCAATACGACCGAAACTATTACAGAGTCACTCTAAGCTCCTCCCTTCCTCCTTTTCTCCCCGAACTTACCCATTAATACCAGCGTTGATAGTCATTTTTGATAGAATTGTTTAGAATTGAGATTGAGATAAAAAAAAAAAGTAGAAGAGTAGATTTTTTTTGAGAGTCGTAAAAAGTTTATAGATTTTTTTGGGTCGTTAAATGTGTTTTTTCAATAAGTTCGTTATAAAGAAAAAGAAGATCGTAAAAAAAAAGAAAAAAAAGAGGTCGTTAAAAAAAAAGGTCGTTAGAAAAAAAGCGCTTGTAGATTGTTTTGCTGTTGTTTTTTTTTCTTTTCGTTAAGAAAGAGAAAAAAAAATAAAGAGTTGGTTATGAAGTTCAATCGAGTTCACAAAGACAGAGGATTTATATACCTTTTCAAATGGCTCTGTCTGGGACCTAATTGTAATATGTTACGCCTTTCCCCCTTTTGTTTGGACTTAAAACATTTCCTAAATAATCTCGCGTTTCGCCACAAAACAACTCTCGCTTTAAAATGATCACGCGTTTAATATTGAGTGTACTAACTGCTAAGAACGATAGTATGCTTTTAATAGCAACTACAGATAGTGTTCTGTAACGAACTTTTGGATTTCAATATGATCTTCTTCTGTAGCTTCAGTCAAACAAAATAGACTTTATTGTCTATTGTTGTGTTATTGTCTATTGTTGCGTTATTGTCTATTGTTGCGTAACAAGCCCTATTTTTTTTTTTTTTTTTTTTTTTTTTTTTTGGGCGTAACCAACTCAGAAGGTAAGATGACCATTTCTCGACATTTTCCAACTCATTCAGAGTGAGGATATCATTCGACACGTGTAGAAATTAGTAATAGAGATTTCGTGCCTGATTAAGAATGGCATATTCAAGTAAAACAAATATCCTCTTGACTTTCATTCATATTTGCAGCTCTCCTTATGCAATTTGCTAAAATAAACAAAGACACTTTATAAACGCAATCAATCGCTGAAAAGTATTTCTTCCTCAAGTTTCTTTTCAACGCATTTACACAAAAGTTGAGTGGGCGGAGTCTTCTGCCCCTAAAGAAACCAACTTTAGTGATTATGCACTCTGTGATCAAGTGAATGGTGTATTTCTTGTACTCTCTTTTAGTAATTAGAAGCCCTTCATACTGATATTTCCCGCATATTTCCCCTTCACAAACTAATTGGTCTTTCTCGACGTCTTGTTTCTGAGCAAGACATGTCAATTTTGGCTGAGGTAAAAATAGCATTACAAAATCATCATTATGCCGAAAAAGTAGTTTGCCTTGGAAACAATATTCATGATAAAACACTATTCAAACGAACAGCTAATAGTACACTTGTATCATTTACTGTTTATAAGAGGGCACTTAAGGTAAACAACAAACGCGTTGTTAAATAAATTTTGGCTAGTTTTTTACTAACTTCTACACGTGTCGAATGATATCCTCACTCTGAATGAGTTGGAAAATGTCGAGAAATGGTCATCTTACCTTCTGAGTTGGTTACGCCCAAAAAAAAAAAAAAAAAAAAAAAAAATAGGGCTTGTTACGCAACAATAGACAATAACGCAACAATAGACAATAACACAACAATAGACAATAAAGTCTATTTTGTTTGACTGAAGCTACAGAAGAAGATCATATTGAAATCCAAAAGTTCGTTACAGAACGCTCTCTATCTGCTAAGAAAATATATATAAAAAAAGTAGGCGGAAACAGAAAATACAGGTCATGCGCACATAGTACATCCATACACCTTACTGCTGATTGTTACATATATGTACATATGTAAAACTTTCTTTATTGTTTCAAAGGAATACAGGTGGTCGGTTGATCTTGTTTCGCTGTAACCGTAATACAAGCCAATCTATGGCATCTTCAACTCCATTCCTAAATTATATTAATGAATAACAACTTGGTTTGTTGATTATTTACCCTTCTAGAGCGCTGACAGGTAATACTCGAGAATCACGCGCACCCAGTTTCATGGCAATCTTGTTGAACACTTCTTTTATTTCTTCTACCTTTAAGGCTCCCGAGACATCCTGTTTATTGGCAACCATCAAGATAGGTACACCTTCGACAGCATCATTGGTAATCATCTTTTCTTTGGTATGCATAAGTTGGTTGTCATTTAATTAGTTGTTATTACCAAAAGTGTCTCTACACTCATCTAAGCGAACAGGGTTTGTTGAATCTACAACAAATACAATGGCGTGGCATTCTGAGTAATATCTTTCCCAGATTGACTGTAAATCTTTCTGTCCTCCCAAATCCCAAAAATTGATTTTCGATGACTTTATATTTACTTTACCGACTACAACATATGTTCTTAGCAACTTTCTTCTTTATGCGTTCTCTATTGCTTACTGTTTAAACCCACTGTAGGCGCAATTTTATCTGGATCTAGACCAGCTATTCCCATATAAATTGATTTTATGCGTTCTAATAACGTCTAGTTGAGATGGCGGTTTAGAATCACTTTTTATGTTTTGAGCAAACTCGACTTACTGTTTTTCCTGCATTATCAAGTCCAATAATTAATACGTAATACTCTTCTTTCCTTGTAAGGTGATGATAGAGTCCGCTTAGCAAAGTATACATAGTATTATTCTGAAAAAACAAATAAAAAGAGAAGTGGTTACAACGTTGGCGATACAGAAATGCATAGTCACAGACTGAGTATGTATTTATCACCAGAGACCAGTTCCTCGATACTGTTATGCATGACAAAATAAACAATTTTAGGCGTTATGTATTGTATATCAATTGGGCGTATAAACATAGAACTGTGCCTAGATCAGAACATAACAAATACTTCATTCTTACGAAAATATCGATTGTGAGCAGTTTGTACAATGGAGAAGTTGTGGTTCTGATGATTGACATTATGCAAATCTTCTTCATATACTTTTTGAGTCAGCAATGCCATTATATATTTGTTAGAAAGAAAAACTACTAGCTATATAAATATCTTTACATTAAAAGACACTGCGTAAACGGCCCGGCTATGGTATATGTTTGCTGTTTACTATTCTCAGTGACATTTAGAGTCATTGCTAGTTCTTTGGAACGATAAGTTTGAGTATCTTCTTTGGAAATCACAAATAAGTAGCTATACTAAATAAGTCTAACAGCCATTTAAAGCACTAGACAGAATGATTTGTTGCGTAATAAAATAAGTCTTCAATACCTGTAGATAAATGTTAAAGGTGTATCAACGCAAGAACAGTCAATTGAAGGCACAAAGGCAGCTATCAACGAGTAGTCAAGAATTTCTGTTAATATAAGGACACTCTTACAGCCTCAAATTGGCTTACACGGCCTTAGTATATATTACTTGCGAAAGGGACAATGTATTACAGAAGAGTATGATCTCCTTCAAGTCAATTATGCATCTGGAACTCACTCACTGTGACGCGTTTATTGTGTTTTTATTTTTTGTTTTATTTTATTTTATTTTTTTTTACAATGCATCTGTTTCTTTTTCGCGTTTAAACACTCTTATGAACACTTTTAGTGCACTAGCTGATCCAAACGAACCTATTGAACCTACTGATATTGAAGTAAGTATGCTCTTATCCCTGTCTTTTACTGAGCTTTCTCTCCTTTTCTTGTAGTTTTTTACTTTCACTGGCTTGGTTCCCGACGCCAAAGTTGCAGTTCAGAAAAGTTCTTTTGAGATAGAAAAATATCCAGCCACTGTCTCTTTACTGGCCTGTTCAAACCAACATGGAAACTTTGTAGCAGCAACCAACACAGGCTTTTTATTTGGCAACACCAAAGCTTTAAGAAAGACTTTTTATAACACTGAAAAAGGTGCTACTTCTACACTTGAAGAAGATAAAGTCTCTGTTTCTCTTGATAGACCAGTTCAACAAGTCAGATATTCAGCCAATGAAGACCAAATATTGATTGCAACAGCAGGAGGACAATTGTTAGTGTATTCAGTACATGATGTCCAAACAAATGCAAGTTGATTATTAGAGAATGAGCCATAAACTAACGTATGTTTTGTAGAAGGAACACGTCAAACCAATCCATACTTACAACCTGGGCAAAGAAATCATTGATTTAAGGCCTAATCCAGAAGCATTGCCCAACTTGACAGCCATCTTATTTAAGGATCAACGCTGTCAAATCATGGACACCACAACAGGACAAACACAATGTGACATACCACTTGATAATGTCACTGCTATTTGTTGGTCACCCAAAGGCAAACAAATTGTGTGTGGTAAAACAGATGGTAGCCTTCAGCACTTTGATATACAGGGCACTAGCAAAGATGCTTTGTCTATTCCAAAGCCTTTAGCTGCAGGTCATGGAGATGAACAAGAAAACAGATATGTACAGGATGTATTATGGATTGAAAACCACATTTTTCTCGTCTTATACGCTCGTCCTCGACACCAAGAAGAAGAGGATTATGTCAATGATGGCTATATTATCAACAGAAAGCCAACAACAGGCAGTGCAGGTCCTGAATACATTCGTCTTGCAGAAGTCACGCCTATTTTCAGCACAGAAGGTCGTGGTAATCATTTCTATATGGAGATTGTCCGCGGCCTTGGTAGAGAAATCAAGCATTTGGTGATCATTGCTAATGCTGCCACTGCGGAATTATCCGTTGTTGGTGAGACACAAGATGGTGTCTGGTCAACATGGCAATTGCCTGAAAATGGATTAGCAAACCTTCCTTTGTCTGAAGAAACATCAATGGACACATATCCTCTTGGTTTAGCTTTGGATTTAACAGCGGATGAAAAGTTGCCTCCTGTGGATCCCAGTGAGAACGAGACGGGTGTTGATCCTGTACCTATTCTCTATTATCTTAATGATGAAGGCCATATGGGTGCTCATCATTGCTATAATGTTGAGCTTGCCCGTAGAGGTGGATCATATAAATCAGAAAACCAACCTTCCAACACAACAACAACTACTACTATTACATCATCAGCGCCCGTTTCTGCCTTTGGTACATCTGCTTTTGGTTCTGCTATGGAATCAAAGAGCACTGGTGGCTCATTCGCAGATCTTTTGTCTGGTAAAGCAGCAGCACCACCTGCTACTACTACAGCAGGTGGGTTTGGCTCTATTGGTGGAGGAGGTCTTCCTTCCTTTTCAAATTTAGGTTCAGTACCAAAAATATCATCTGGATTTGCCAATGCATCTTCATTCAGCACGCCTGCTAAACCTTCTTTTGGAGCTACTACAGGCTTTGGTTCAACAACAACTACTACTACTACTACTGCCAATAACAAGCCTGCTTCTGCGTTTATTGCACCTCAAAAACAAGAAGCAACAGAGAAAAAGCTTTCTTTCTTTGGATCTACTTCTACTAGTGAAACCAAACCTGTTTTCGGATCCTCTACAGACACCAAACCTTCTCTTTTTGGATCTACTGCTGCTAATGAAACCAAACCTGCTTTTGGATCTACATCAACACTCGGTGGATTTGGTTCTTTGGCTAAAAATACTGTGCCTGGGGCTACATCGTTTGGATCACCTTCTTCTCTTGGTTCTGGTGCCAGTTTTGGATCATTGGCAAAGAACACTGTACCTGGAGCTACAACACCTAAACCTTTTGGATCATCCTCATTTGGTAGTAGCTCATTTAGCTTTGGTGCTTCACCATCATCTCCTGCTGCTGTTACTACTACTACTACTACTACTACTACTACTACTTCTATTACTAAAGCTACACCATCTACTGTTGCTGCTGCTACAATAACAACTAAAACTACTACTTCACCGTCTCCTACTACTTCTCCACCAGCTCTTGCTGTTACTAAAGCTACACCAGCTCCTGCTACTCCTACTACTACTACTACCACCGCCGCCACCGCCACCACCACTAGTGCTACTACAAAACCATCTACTACAACACCTTCTACTCCTACCACTAAACCCACATCTGAAGCACCTAGTAAAGACACCGAAAAAGATTCTACAAGCACAACAAAGCCAGAACCTACAGCAAAGGAAGGCATGGCAAAAGAATATGAATCTTTATATATCATTGTCAATCAAGAGTTAGAAAAGGTATATATATATACATATATATAGGATATTCATGGTTTTTGTAGTTGAAACAATATGCTGAAAAAGCTTCTGTGGTTATCAATGCCAATACTAGCTCGTTTGGACCAAAGACAAAAGAGAATTTAGCATCAGAAGGATCCTGGTGTTTGACTGACTGTGCTCAATTGGGTTCTATCTCAAAAGAACTCTTGACAGATGCTCAAAAGATAGAAGAGGAACTCAATCAAACTGAAAATACACTGCAAGACCTTGTCTTGAGCTGTAAAAAATGTAAGTAAAATGAGTTGCTTTTATCTCCTTTGAACTCATCCATCAACATAGCCATGGACAAGAAGGAAGATGTTGCTTATTTACTGAAAAAGGATGTGGATCATCATGTTGTTGATATTATGGACAACCGAGAATTAGACGTAGAAGCCAAGTCTAATTTGAAATCACTCACAAGTAAAGCAGACGTGTTTGGTGGTGCATTGGATGATTTAGAGTACAAGTTTCAAGAAAACAAGAGAAGAAACAAGATTCGCAATGATCATCAATCAGGGTAAGCTGTTTCTTTCATGCTATAGTAAGCTTATGTTCTTCTTAGTGAACTCTCTTTGTATTCTTTACACCGCGCTGTCAGAGATATTGAACGAGACATGATTTGCAAGAGCAAAGAGGTTGCTGAACTAGAAGAAAACTTTGCTCATTTCAAATTAAATGACAGTAGAAGAAGAGCAAAGCGTGTTGCTTTTACCTGCGATGATCTAAGCGATACTGAAGATGAACAAGAGCCCCAAATTACTGAAGCGTCTATTCAACATACAACCAGATACCTTCGTCGCTATAACTTCTTGGACTGTGTCTGTGAAGAAACGAGCAAGCGAATGCCTATTGAAACCACCATAACTCAGTAAATAAACAGTTTATTTTACATTTTGTCATATTTTATAAGTTTATTGAACCATCATATCCTACAGACTCTAGTTAGCTTTCATCATGTTACTCGGTGTGGGTTACCTGATCCATAGCAGAAGATTGCTCATTAACAGGCTGAGAAGAAGTTTCATTAGGGTTTCCTCCCCACTTGATTGTGTATCTGAAGCAAAATAAGTATAAGCAATAAAGGATACCAAACTTACCTTGTCACCTTGGGTTTATCAGCCAAGATGTTTCTTTGCAATTTATCGACAATCACTTGTTCAGGGGGATTTTCGCGTAATGCTTCATCCTTGTATTCATTGTTGACATAATAACCAACACGGACAAATTCTTGATCCTTGTAAAGACAGCTCAACAAAACAACAGTGACCTCCAACAAGTCTTTCTTTGGTAAAAGTTCAATTTTAGGAGCATCTGCCTATGACAATCATCGTCAGTCAAAATGATACACATGCTCTGAATACATACAGCAAAAATGAATTTATTGACACCCACAGGAACAGGACCCACCATGATAGAATCAAGCACTTGGTCATATTCTGAACTTTCAGCAGCACCAACATAGATCATTCGCCATTCGAGGTCTATTTTAACAACACTCAGTCTAACAGTTTAAAAAAAAAAACGAAAAAAGTTACCATCTTCAAGAGGAGAGTTGCATTCAAAAGTGATTTCAAATTGAAAAGGGTTTGTAAAACTAGTAGGGTTATCCAAGACTTGAATATTTAAAAGGTTAACAAGAGCCATGGTTGTATAATAATAGTAATAATAGTAATAATAATAATAATAATAATCGTAATCAAGGAGAAAAGAAAAAAGAAAAAAAAAGAGAACGCGTCGTATAAACGCGTTCCTACATAGCAAAAAGTCGGACATAATGTCCGGCTCGGATCTGTAGTCAAGGAGCGTCGTTAGTTTTTTTAGAGCATCACACCAAAGAGAGTCCGAAGGTTTTGAAGGGACAGACGATGATACACACAACGACCCTTCTTTCTGTGCACCTTATTCAACCATGAAGTTCAGTGCTGGTAATGATACATACAGATAGGATGGATGAATGGATGGATGAACTCATCTTTGTGTATAGACGTCAGTTCTTCTCGCCGCAAGAGCAGAAAGGCTCACTTTACCGCCACCTCCGATGTTCGTCGTACCATCATGAGTGCTCCTCTCTCCAAGGAACTCCGTGAAAAGCACAGCGTTCGTTCTATCCCTGTTCGCAAGGACGACGAAGTTATGGTTGTCCGTGGTACCTACAAGGGTCGTGAAGGTAAGATCGTCCAAGTCTACCGTAAGAAGTGGGTTATCCACATTGACCGTGTCTCTCGCGAGAAGGTTAACGGTGCCACTGCTCCCATTGGCATCTCTCCCTCCAAGGTTGTTGTCACCAAACTCAAGTTGGATAAGTCTCGTGTTGCCATTCTTGAACGTAAGGGTAAGAAGGACGCCATGAAGCAAGTAAGTATAAAAGAATCGATTTTATATGCGTGTACTGACATTGTTTTAGTAAACTGGCTACTCTTTTCCCCCTCCACTTTTTGTAAAGCGTCAATAAACAAAAATCTCAAAACATATGCCATTGTCTCTCTTTTTTTTTCTCTCTCTCTTTTTCTCTGTTTTTTTTGTGGATTAGTGAGAGACACAGTAGTCTACATACACCATGGTTTCTTACACAGAAGAGTAGTCATAGCAGCATGAACAGTCAAGGGGACATGATACATTGATTCGAAATAAAAACTAGCCCAATTTTTTTTTTTTTTTTTTTTTTGTTATTCGAACTTAGCAACAAAGGTATCCTAATCCAAGAACCCTTTAAGTGACAAGATAACTATTATTCATGTACCTCATACTCTGCTTAAGTATTTTATTTTTGCTTGTTTATTCAACACTGACTTTTTTTAAGTAAGTGTAGTACTATATATTGTTCATCAATGATGTTTATATCCACTCTAACAATGCAAAAAAGAAAAGAGAAGAAGGGTGCTTTTGTTTGCTACACAAACCTATGCTTTATTTTTGTAACAAGTCACTTTATTTATTTACTTTCCTTTTCTCCTTCTTTTATTCTTATGCTTCAAAAAAGACTGTTTCATGTATCCAAAAAATGGTATAAGCATTTGACGCCATTTACTTGTATCAAACACCCTGAATTTAAGCGTAATCCTGCTTTTTCAAAAGTAAATATATATATGTAGCACTTGTGTTGTTGATATAAATAACTTAGATTTCAAGTAAAGACGTTGATTATTTTAAATCCATTTTAAGCAGCAATAACATAATTCATGATACAAATCCTGAAAGCCTTGATATTGTATCTTATAATACAGACTGGTTTAATCTTTACAGAGGTGCTTCTTCGTAAGTGCAATCTATATATATATATATAAATTTCCCATGCGTTAATTTGGATTAGACTATGTTTATTCCCAACATCAACAGAACAAGTCAGTCAGATTCTACGTTATTGTAATCAACACCAATTGGCTGTTGTTCCTCAAGGAGGTAATACGGGTGTCAGTGGTGGTGCAGTGCCTGTGTTTGATGAAATCATTGTCAATACATCCAAAATGAACCAAATTCGACATTTCGATCCTGTGTCTGGTGCAGTGGTGGTAGATGCAGGTGTTGTATTGGAGAATTTAGATCAGTTTCTGGAGACAAAAGGATACACGGTGCCCTTGGATTTAGGCGCTAAGGGATCATGTCAGTTGGGAGGTAATGTGAGCACCAATGCTGGTGGATTAAGGTTGATGCGGTTTGGTAATTTGCACGGTAATGTGCTTGGTCTTGAAGTTGTAAGTAGAGCATCATGATGGAATGTTACTGATAATGAAAGGTGTTACCGGACGGTACCATTCTGGAAAAACTGTCCATGTTACGTAAAGACAATACAGGATATGATCTGAAGCAATTGTTTATTGGTGCAGAAGGTACATTAGGTTTAGTCACAGGCGTATCTTTATTGATTCCCCGACGCCCAAAGGTAACAAGAAGGTGGGGGTGGACAGTATGCTCATCAGAGTTTGATAGGCTGTGAATCTTGCTTTAGTAGGTGTGGATTCATTTGAAGCAATCCAAAAAGCTTATGTCATGGCCAAAGAAGATTTATCTGAAATCCTTTCAGGTAAGTCAAAAAAAAGAGAAACTGTTTATATTAACATAGATAAACAGCTTTTGAATTCTGGGATCATGATTCAGTAGGTGTGGTCAAGCAAGAAATGATGCAGGATACAAATTACCCTATTGAAGGAAAATATCCATTTTATGCACTATTGGAAACTCAGGGAAGTAAACAAGATCATGATCAAGAGGTATCCTTTTTTTTTTTTTTTTTTTTTTTTTGTTAACTCGTATATTAAATTAAACAAAACATAGAAACTAGATGGATATATTCAACGTTTAATGGAAGAAGGCATTGCTCATGATGGTGTGATGGCTCAAGATGCTAAGCAAATTCAAGCTCTTTGGTCTTGGAGAGAAAAGATTCCCGAGTCTATCAATAAGGCAGGTACAGCCATGACTTATGATGTGTCAATGGAAGTCCCTTTACTTTACAAGATGGTGGAAGATGCCAAAACATATTTTGGTAGTAAAGGAGAGTTGGGTCCAGACAAAGTGTATTCGAATCTATTGGGATTTGGACATGTTGGTGATGGCGTAAGTTGAACTTGATTCTATCTAAGCTTTTAATACATGGATAGAATCTGCATATCATGGCCAACTTAAACAGGTTTGATCAAGGTGCACAAGAAGCAATGGATAAATTTGTGTTTAATTGGGCGAGTAAGTTAGATATTTAAACTGATCATGATCCTCATTCTATATAGTGAAGCATCATGGATCCATCACAGCTGAACATGGTGTTGGTGTAGCCAAAGTAAACTATATGGCTCAAGCCAAATCACCTGTTCAGTTGCACTTGATGCGTATGATTAAAAAAGTCATGGATCCCAATGGCATCATGAATCCGTATAAAGTAGTGCCTGAATAAATTATTTTATAAATATAGATTATTGACATACGCATTTTGCCTTTGTCTTCATCTTTGTCTCTTGATAGTCTAATGCTAGTTTGGCTGCTTGATAAAATAGTTCTTGAACACCTTGATCTAGTTTAGCTGAACATTCCATATATGCCTTGGCCCCAATTGTCTTGGCTATCGCTAAGCCCTAAAGAGAGAGAGAGAGAGATGCGTAAATCATTTGTCATATGTGTATTTACTTACTTGTTTGTATTCCACTGGTCCTTGAGAGATTTTTTCCAATTCTTCCAATGTTCTTTCATCTTGTCTTAAGTCTAGTTTACATCCTACTAACACAATAGGTATTTCAGGGCAAAATGTCTCTAATTCTCTAATCCACTGTACATAATGAGCCATGGCTATTTTGATTGACTTTACCTTTTCTTGGACATTATCTAATGAATCAGGTGCATCAATTGCAAAGCATAAAAGTAAAACATGTGCATTAGGATAGTAAAGTGGGCGTAGACGATCATAATCTGCTTGACCTATATATACTTGTGAGTATTTGCATATCTCTGTAGTCTAGATACCTTCTGTATCCCATAGACCTAGTGATATTGACTCCCTATCCACTTGCATAGGTTCAGCATGACCTCCATGAATGGCAGGTATATAATGCTATTGACATGTTAATGCTTACTACGGATATTGAATTTGATTACTCTTGGAAATCCATGATTTGCAAATACAGATATTAAAGATGTCTTGCCACAGCCTTTATCCCCAACAATCACTAGTTTGATACGCTTTGTACAAGTAGAATTCATTAACATGAAAAAGAAAAGTAAAAGAGATTTCCCTTTTTATAAGAAAAAAAATAGTCTCATAAAAATCTGCTGATAATCCATAAAAGTAACTTGACACTTGTACCCACGTAAGCTTATTCTGCTTTGAGTAACCATCATGCTTATCACACAAAAAAAAAAAAAAAAAAAAAAAAAAAAGATGACATTAAAATAAAGACTGCCTTTTTCTTTCTTTCTTTTTATTATTATTATGAGTTTAGACGATACCAAATGGGAGTTTGATATTCCCAAGTTTTGGGACTTTTCTAACTCTATACCACAACAAAGACCTAGTGAGAGTTGGTTTTGTAGGTGGGTTGAACTTGGTAGTCTTGTTTCTCACTATAATTATTAGGTGAAAAGAATATTTCAGGGCCGTCTTTTCCTGTAAAGAAAAAGAGAAGGGCACTGAAGATGAGCACAACAAAACAAACACGACCTACCAAAGATAGTGTGTTTGATAGACTAGCACGCGAAAATACTATTTCTTTTTCAAACAAGCATGAATTGATCATTGAAGACAATAGAGAAGCCATATCTGAAAAAGTAGCTCGTCTAGAAAAAGCTTCTCTGCCCTATCGTCCTTTGAATAAAAAAGAAGCCACAAAAAGAACAAAAGAACCGATAAAAAGCAAACCAGAGGATAAAACAAATCATCGTGTAATGACACAGGCTCGCTCTTCTTTTGCTCTTCAAAAGATTCGTCATAGTATTCAAGAAGAACAGCCTGTGGTGGACCAAGAAGAACGTCTCACTCGAGAAATGACACGACACTTTTTCAATGAATTAACACACAAGACAGCAACAGACAATCAAACGCAACAGCCTTCATTAAAACACAAAGAAGCATCACAGGTGCAAGCCACCATATCTTTGAAACAATCAGATCAGCCCCCAACACCTCAGGAACCATCTATTTTAAGTAAAGCCTCAAAGGCACCACAAGAGCAACCATCTACCATATCAAAGCCGCCAGTACCCGTTCTCAAGAAAACAAAAGATCAAGCGGTATTACCTTCAAAAAAACCTCAAGATCAATCAATCAACAAGTCGAATAATATAGACATGCAGAAAGAAAAATCCACTCAAAAACCCTTGTTGGAAAAGAAGATCTTTAGACAGAAACGACTATCAGAAATCATGTTCTTTACAGACGACAGAATCAAACGGGCTCGTTTGGTATTAGCTGCCTCAAAAGAAAAATCCAAATTGTTTACTATGGAATCTAATCCTGTTCAACCACTTTTATTGCAACGCCAACCCTCAAACAAATCAGTAGCTAAGGTAAGATCTCCTTGTCATTCTATATGGAATGATTCATGTGTTTGTAGTTAAAAAAATCCACTTCTACTTCTGTTCCTTACTTGCCTTTTACACCAACGATACCCAAGAGTCCTGCCATTCGCAAATAAAAATTGATTTGCCGCTATTTGTGACCATTGAAACTTTTTTTTCTCTCTCTCTTTTGCTTTTTTTTCTATATTATGGAAGTAACTTCACAGACAGAGATCCCCAAGAAAGCAGTACGTGCCTTAAGAGTACGTCTTCAAGTTGTTAAGAAGCACTTGGACCCTGTTTTAGCTAGACCTATCAATGATATCTTTTCTAAATTATCACTTACCGAGAGATATGAATTAGAAGTCTTATTGTCTTATTCTCTAAACACTTTGTTCTACATCTATTTGAGAACACAAGGCTCAGACCCTCAAAAGCATGATGTGATGAAAGAATTAGTAAGTAGTTGATGTATGCATTTTTTTGTCTAATTGTACTTTAGGCCCGCGTTCAACAATATATTCAGAAATTAAAGAAGGCCCGAGGAAAAGAAGAAAAGCGTAAGTGATAATTTGATTTGCATGGATCTCATTATGGAATGTATAGCTACCATGAAAGTGGATAAAGACGCTGCATCTCGATTTATTAAGGCAGCATTAAATGAAGAAGCACCAGAGAAAAAGAGAAGATTAGAAGAAGAAAAAGAGGAGGAGGATAGTTCATCATCATCGTCAGAGGAAGAAGAAGTAAATAAGAAAAAAGGCAGAAAAATGGACGTTTTTAGCAGTGAGTATATATAGTTTGAAAAATAATAGGATGTATATTCATCTTTTTTAATAGAAACACCCTCTAAAAAGAAAAAGAAGAATTGAATAAAATGTCTAATCTATATCTATCTATCTACATATCATTATTTTGCTTTAATCTACGGTTATCAGCAAAGAATCGTTTGCCCATTTCATAACTGGATATCATAATAGCACAAGCAGGAGCCACTTTGACCACACGAGGCACAACACCTCGAAAGAATCCAGCAGCGCCTTCTTTAGCAAAGATATTCTTGAGGATATGGCCCAATCTTGCTTCTTCTGCATCTGAGCTCACTTGACGCTGTGTCTTGACAACATCAAAGGGTGTTGTTAGAACAGCAGCCAGCATGCCACTAGAAGCACCCGATAAAAATGAGGTTTGGAAATGTGATAAGTCATGGTGATGCTGTAAATAATGCTTGATTTTTTCATATCCCATCCAATAAATACCAGAAAATGGCACATCTCTCAACATGGTCGGTAATAATCCTCGCCATAATGCTTGTGGTCCTTCTCGATGAACCATCAGTCTGACTCCATTCCATACACTTTGAAATCCATGTACTCCTTCAGCAGATTGCATTCGAGTTCGAAACAATTCAAGGGGAGACACGACTAATGCTGCCATGGCTGTACTTTGTCAATACCATGTCAATTGAGACATATGACTTACTTCTCGCTAATCCTCCTGCCCATAAAGGTGAGTAATGATCAAGTGCTGTGTTGGCTAGTTGTGAGTGCTTTGCATAATCTCGAATATGATCATATCCGACAAAATAAATGGCAGTGGATGGTAATGCCATCACCAAACCAGGCATAAGACCTCTCCATAAGGCGAGCACACCTTCATTTCTGAATATAGTGGATAATCCATCCTGTTCATGTATTAGACATCACTCCAAAAAAAAAAAAAAAATACTCACCATAGTGCCTTTGTATTGATTTATGCCTGTCTTTGAAGATTCTTGAAGTCTTGTTTTTACCACATCCAAAGGGTTCACTTGATAAAAAAAGATAAATTAAACATGACAGTTTTATGAACTACTTACTAAATGACATAGTAACTATAGCACCTGTACAAGCAGACACAATTTTTTCAAAAGAAGAAGACCCTGCTGTACTCAATACTCTTTGTTTTCGGTGCTCATGATCGAGTGTTAGATCTACTTTTTGAGCCATAGTCTCACTCATGACAATGGAAATAAAGAAAAAAGAGTTTTTTTTTTCAGTCGTATCAACTGCTGAAATTTAAATCTTTGATCATCGATTAGTCCAATCAGTGGGATTCAATACATCATGAATTGTGCACCATGGTGTGACATGCTTCATTTTATTTTATAGGCTAAATTTGACTTTGTTCGCTTTGTTTATCAAAGACGTTTTTGATTCTCGATAATGACAACTAGATACAGTGATAAAAAAAAAATTGTTTCCATGGCAAATCAAAACTCTAAAAATTTTATCTGTGCCTGGCTAAATGAATGAGTTTTTTAAAAGTGTCAAAAAACGACGTTTTTCTATCTTGAGCTATTGATAAAAGTTATAATGCTTTATTTTCTCTTTCTAACGGTATAGAGAGCTTCTCCACTTGACTAGTAAAATATTGAACAGTTCAATGATTTTACATTTATTTTTTTCGACTGTTTTTTTGCCTATTGCGCAAAACTTTGATATCCAGTATTGTATACAAAAACACTCATCGTAAACTATCTACTTCTGCGGCCCTTTCTAGTGCTTAAACATGACAATAGCCTTGTCTTTAACTCACAACATCGAAAAAAGGCAAACTGATATTGAAGATTGAAAAAATGCCCTGATGTACCCCTTTGACCATTTTGATCAACTCGATTTTTTATGTCCTATTAGCCATATGCTCTTTCATTGTCCAACTAAAGAGAAGGTATGGAAGGAAATCATCTTTGAGTTTCTTTGGCCTACCACTTCAATATCTGATATCCAAGAGGCTCTCCTGTCCCTGGACTTCTCGTACATCTGGTACTGCCAACGGAAAGGAATCAAACCATACAGAATCCTCATAATTACTCTTTCACAAATCTGGCTTGCTCATATGAGATTTATCTTTGACAAGACCCCCATGGTGCCCACGGCCATATTAGCAAGCATCCGATTCAATGTTCGTCAGACTATTGAAGAGGATCAATGCCATTCAATCCTGTAACTTTTTTCTATATATTTTATTTTAGTTTAGTTTATTTTGTCTAGTGTGTTTCGCTTTATTTTATTAACTTTCATTTTAATTGCACCCGCCTCTTCACTTTGACTATTACTCTTAGTGTACGCGGCTCAATCAATAAACACATTTTAAAAAAAAAAAAAAAAAAAAAAAAAAATTATGTCCAAAATAACTCTAAAAGTACCCAATATTCTAGTTGCCATGGTTTCTATTTACTCTATGTGTTGAACGGGCATAGAAGCATTTATTTTTTACAATGCTATGTCTATACTAAAGGAGGCTTTTATACCTATTTTTGACATCATGACCTTGAGAGACAAAGTTGAAAATAATGCTCAAGCTTAATTAGTTTTTTTCTTCATTTAGCTGTCGAATAGTTGTGCACTTCGAAACTCGCAAAGTTGTATATGCACTTTTGATTTTCTGCCAGTGTTTACATATCAACCATAAGACACTTTAAACATAGTTTTGTATTCTCAAGTATGTTGATCCATTTGATGCACTTTTATCAAAGCCGTTTATGTTATGATACCAATCATTGTACTTGAATCCCTATTTTTTTTTTATTAATCATTCTCTATGTTAAAGGAAACCCCATACTTGAGAAATGAATAAGTACGCTATTATGATATAGGATAAAACTTACCGTGCGTAAAACATCCTCTTTCTTAGTTCTACACTCTCCATATAAAGTGCGTCTAGTGATTTATGCTTGATGTGGCCCAGCTGTACATTCCTAACAAAGCTATAAAAATCACATACGGCCACCAATCGATCACGACACCCTCCATCAATCATTAACCATGGATCATGACTCCCAAGTCGAAAACGATATAGACGACCCCACACTTGTCTTGAACAAGTAGCACAAACCATAGGTTGATCCTCCCATTTCACAGATTCGATCAGACATGGTTCCTGAGCCATACAAAGCATCATCTCTTGCATATTCATGCGTGATTCCGAGTTTCCGAATAACAAACAAGGCTCAATATCTTCTTTTTCGCATTGTGTCATGTAATCGTTTTGTGTACCACATGAACCATAAGAAGAAGACGAACAACGGTTGTTTTTAGTCGAGTCGATAAAATTATGAAACAAGGCAAGTTGAGCTTGATCGTGGTTGTGTACATCTATCTTATCAAACAAGGCAGGGAGAGAAGAGGATCTGGGTGGCGGTATAACTACTTTGACCATGTTACTCTTGAGTTCAGCAAGATGATCTTGTGCAATACAAAGCAATGTCTCCAATTGGACTCTTTTTTGTTTTTCTTCCACCACCATTCGGTTTGCTTCTTCAAATAGTTGAATACTCAATTCTTCTAATTCTCGATCTGCCAAATCTTTTTCACATTGCATTTGATTCCGCTCATTGTGGAATTTGATTTCTAATATTTTGTAACGACGTACTTCTAATTCGCGCCCCTTTAATTCAGATCTAAGTTGTTGTATCTCAAGTCTATTCTTATCACAACAAGATGAATTCATAATTGAAAATAAAGAAAAAAAAGAAAGAAAGAAAGAAAGAAAGAAAGAAAGAAAAATAATGACACTACGTATTTCGTATATGAACAATCACGTATTTGAATCACAATAGGCTATATATGTTCAAATTTACAATGCGGAGCTTCCATTGTTCTTTATATAGATTATTTTTACTTATTATTGGGATACTTTCTGTAATACCGTGCTTCCACTCTCATTTTGAAAATCCCGCCTACTTTTTCTTTTCTTGCACGTAAGCCTGAGGTTGAATTGCCCACAGTGAAGACGCTGGTTTAGTCAAATGCTTGATCAACCATTTAGGAAGAGTATTAAATGAAGTCCAATCAATATTCAGCCAGAGCATCTTTTGCTACCTACGCTTAAATGACAGTTCAATTGACTTTTTATTAAAATATTACCCGTAAAACATGTCATTTGAATATCTTGATACCTTTCTTTGTCTCTCTCTCTCTCTCTCCCTTTTTTTTTTTATTCACTTGTTACTATTCAATGTAGGTACATATCTTGTTTAAGAAAAGACTCCCTTCAATTATTGCTTTTCCTTTCTTTTCTTTTCTTTTTTGTACAAAACTTTTCCCCTTGTCTTTTGCTTTTTTGTATCATTTCAGCTTTAAAAATAATCTCATTTTGAAATTTGGTTTTCTTTTATTTTCTAAAAATGTCCCAAACATCTGTAAATAGAGTAAATTGTATTAATAAGCTGAGTGTGTTTATTTACATAAAGTGTTGTTTGACTAATTCTAATTGAGTCTCCAGTGCTTGTATTTGTTGAACAACACGCTCTTTTTGAGTGGAATTAAGCTGTTGTTGAATTTGGGGTGGTATGATAATAGGGAATGCGTCTAAATCACCAGTTTGATTTGGGTCTAGATGTATACTTGTTTCATTATTTATCTGCACAGAAAATGGCTCTATTCTAATAGGTTCCTAAATAGAAGGATAAGTCATACGTTATTATGTCATTTCTTATTATTTTTCTTACTTGTTCAGTCTGTAATTGAATGGACCTATGCAGCAATGTAAATAGCTCATATTAACAAGACATGACCTACTTTTTCCTTGACGTATCAGTACCAATGCGTTTTTTTGTTTGCTGCTCTAGAAATAGTTGTGTACTTGCACCAAAGGTCTCACAAAACTCTTCTAGTGTTAGTTCCCGAACAGACTTGAGCATCTTGTTGATATCTGTATTGCCTTGAGCGCGTATAGAAGCACACATAAATTCAACTTGTTGTTGTATATCTTCAATTCGTCGTGTTGCTATTTCAAGTATGAGTGTATCATTGTATGAATTGATATTTACTCTCTTCCTCCAAGATCTTGATAGCTTCATCGTACTTGTCTGTTGACTGTAGACTATTCTTGTGGCTTGGTTTAATCGTCATTGGTTAGAGAGTAGTGGAAAAGAATCTGATTTTGAATACCAGCTTCAACGTGTACCTTTTTTTTTTTTTTTTGCTATGTCTTGGAGAAAGGAATAATATTTAACCGTTCTTCACTAAAGCTATATGCACTTAAGGAGGTGAGTTTCAAAAGAATGATTGGTTATGGATGTGTCAGTAAGAAAGCGTCATGTCAATTCTTCTTGCTTCTTCTTTTTTCTTGCTGACAAAGGATACTATGTATGATATCATACTTGCCGTAGATAGTACTCACATTGATATTCCGATATTTTAACACACTTTTTTTTTAATTCTCTGTCTCTTTCTTTTTTTTTCCTTTATATATATACACACTACACTCAAGATATAAAAATTCAAGTTGATATCCATATTTCCTTCTCTTTTCTTCTTCTTTTTTTTTCTCTTTTTACGATATCAGTATTTTGATCGGCCATTGTGTACTCTATGACAAGAGATGCTCTTTTGAAAACGACTACACCCTTTCCTTGTCTTGACCGAGTCTTTTCTTTCCTCAGCAAATCCAATCTTCTTAAAGTAGCACTTGTGTGTCGACAATGGCATACTCAAGCATCCCGTAAGATATGGTCCAGCTTCAAATTTGTACGAGAACGAGATTTTGAACGGATATTCAGCATCATTGCAAAGCGAACAGCCATAGCCCAGTATGGGAATTTCATTACATCACTCGAACTTGTCCACTCGGACAGCGATTTTAGTATCAACGCAAATCATATTATGCTCATTACTGCGCTTTGTCCAAATCTACTGTCGATCGATATCACCTTTGACCATACCCACCGTGTTGCTCCGCCCGTAGCTCCACATTTGCGCAGACCATCACAACAACAACAACAACAACAACAACAAAGACCTGGTTTACCACCTGTACCTACCACACCGAGACAACCCTATACACCTTCCTTGCCCTTGGCCCACTTTGCTTATAATTGTCCTCACCTGAAATCCATTCGACTTGTATCTTATTTACCTAAAACAGATGATTCTGTCTATGAAATGGCAAAGTACATGACTTCAGGTTCACTCGAGTCCATCACACTCAGTCATTGTTCGACTATCCAAAGCTCCACTCTTTGCAAACTCGCCATTACCAACCCTCAATTGAAATCAATTCAGCTGAATGGAACTACACCTGTCAGTGATGCTAGTCTAGCCAGCCTGATTGATCGCTGTGGGCCCACGTTAGAATGTCTGACCATAGGCAATGCACATTCACTTACGGATAAATCTATAGGGAGAATTGCTTTGAAATGCAAAAAGATTCGCGATATCAGTATATTCAACAATACAGAACATGTTTCTGAAGATACCCTGACTGCTATCATTACCCATTGCCCTACATTGGAGACCATCAGTCTAAGCGATTCACGCTGTTTAGGATCCGCCTTTTTTCATTCTGTTGTACAACGTGTCAATATTGAAATGGCCAGCATTGATAGTCATCAAGCAAACACCAAGTTCGGCCTACAGCGACTCTGTCTTGGTGGTGTGAAGCGGGACATGATCCATAGTCAATACATGGAAGAGTTGATTGACAAAAGTACAAGTAAACATGATATAAACCAACCTACTGTCATTCGAGGGAATACAGTATGGTGGCAAAGACTAATAAGCACAACGTAACAAATTTATAGAATTCTCTCCCTTGTACATAATGTATTATTCACTTGTTAATAATAATAATAATAAAAAACGAATGATTTTTTAATGAATTTTTTTTTTTTTTGTTTAAACTTCAAGGTTAGAAGGGTTACGACCTTCTTCTCTTTGAGCATCCCACTTTTCAATCTAAACGACACTTATTAAACCGTGTATCAAAACATCACTGTGACTTACCCATTCGTTAGGGCACAAAGAGCGGTAAGCTTTTTGGAATTGCTTGCAGGGTTCGAATTCTTCACCACGAGCATTGATACACTTGAAGTAATCAACATAGTTTTGCCAGCAGCTATCGTTATATTAGTGTCTGATATTGTTGTTTTCATCTAAATACATACTGCTTGGTTTGGTTGGTGTTGGGGAAACTGTATAAATAAAATGTTAGTCTATCCAAATGATGTCTAAAGAGAACACGTTACCGAGCATCGAAACCAACTAAAAAAAAACACACATTAGTTATACTTTTCATCTTTTTTCTTTTTCTTTTTCTTTCAACCGCATACCAGTGGTCAACTTTTGTGTATCAACAGCGTCAGACATCTTTGTTATAAAAGTGTAAGAGAGAAGGGAGTTCTATTTTAAAAAAAAAAAAAAAAGAAAAAGAAAAAGAGATTTTTTTTAGCGTCCACTAACAATTTTTTGGTGGGGAGGCCTGGTACAAATTCAGCTGCCTACAGATGGCTTTGAGTGATGTCACCCTCATGTTTGATTGGCTAAACAAATAAAGAACTTGATCTACTTACTGCCAAAGTCAGGGCAGTGAAACGACTCTTTTTTATTTTTTTATTTTTTTTTTTTACAGTTATCCGTGTATTTTCTTATTGTCTATATTTGCTCAGAAGATGAACAATGACTGTCTATTTTAGAGCAGAAAAAAAAAAAGGGCATTGAGAATGATTGTGGTACTCACCTCCTAAAAAAGGTGATTCTGTCAAACTCTCCCTTAAAGAATAACCAAAAAAAAAAAAAAAAAAGAGATGTACAATGACAATTGTCTTTTATTTCTATTATAATTATTAACAAAACTTATTTTTTCTTTTTTATGTGCATTATTTATATACAGTCAAACCTATGGAAATTGGCGTTTTCACAAAAATAATTGTCACTTTCATAAAAATGATTGGCCGAAAGGCAAAAATAATTGGCGGGAATTGCAAAATAAAAGGCACAAGCTCAATTCTTTTTGTCTTTTTGGCCAAGAATATTTGTCCATGCTAAGTATCACAAAGCTTATCCAAATATATGTCCTATTATAGAATTTTTGTTTTTGGTAATTCAAGAAGGGTAATTGGACTATGAAACATCCCATATGCCAAAGGATTTCGTTGTTTTTATTGGACTAAGGGTAGTAATAATACTTCATAACTTAAATTATATGTAAGTAACAGACATGGTATACAATATGAAACATAGAGGGCTTGGGTGACGTATAAAATGGTAACAGATTAGAAGTCAACGGACGGCTTCATGTGCTTTTGTTGGTGAGTATTCAAGATTCTGTCTAAATTCAGATCAACATGTGCGGGAGATTTCCTTTTGCGATTGCTGCTTGCAGTTTCTGAACAGTAATTATCGTAAAATTGCTGGAGCATTCTTAGCTTATTCAATTGCATACAGAACGGAGGCAATTCCTGAAGTGAGGCGGGGCATTGGACTTTCATCAGCTCAAACATGACGGTGGCACCACTCGCATGTTGAGTAAAGCCGTATGCTGTTATGTTTAATCCTAGATTTGGGACAGAAATATGTAAGTTCAAAACATGATGCAAGCTGTTTAGTTACTTTACCTATAGCTTGTAATACTAGAATGCATTCAGTATTATATTCATCATACCCATTACTTGCAAATAAAGCCAGTCTCAACAAATCACCGTGTGTTTGGTGCGCATTATTCTTTTGGTAATCCGCCTTAACCTCCGCAAAACCTATGTGTTATGGGGACAATGATTTAGGAGAAAGAAAAGATGAGTTTATTTCTTTTAATCACAGATAATATTTATGGTAATTATCGTATAATAGAACACCTGTATATTGGCTGATTCGTCTTTTTTCGATCAATACACATCCACCATCTGGTCTCTTATCATGGTTTTTAAGATCGGTTTTTGTGTTTAACCTATTAAATGAATAAAGAATTAAATATACTGCCTAATAAATTGTTTCAGAGTTCATTTTACCATAAGAATAACTGCGATTTTTCTGGCTTGTGAAAAAGTGGCGATAGAATAGGTTGCAAATACCCATTAATTAACTCTGTCTCCTCCACCTTATGGTCCAACAAATTTTCGGTAGGAAGAATATTCAATCTAAACAATTAAAGTTATATAAATTAAAACGCGTTGCATATTATATGTTTACACATCTTACAAATTAATAAGAACATCTACAAGTCTCCTATCTTGTTTGGAGGCTTTCTTATAAATATCAAACAGTACCAACTTAATCGAATCCCTTTCATCCTTTTCAACGTTAAAGCTCTAAACAAAAAGTGTGAGTAATAATCATAAATTAAGACTATTGTATCTTACACCAAATAATTCTGTAATATCTTTGAAAATATGTCTTTCAACTTTTACATCAGAAATGTAATTGTTAAGCATATTTTTGTGAAGTTCCTCCATGTCTATTTGTTCATACGTGCGTTTTTTTTTTTTAACAAAACAACATTTTGAAGTGAGCTATGGGCGAAACAGTGTGTCATTAATTATGTTACGTTGAATCAAAACTTTTTTACTTACAGTATTTCAAACAAATTGCTATTAACAAATAATCCATATGTTTTTGCTTTTGAAAATGATTTATATTGAAATTTTCGGAATTCTTGAAGATATGAAAGCGTCTCTTCATTTAAACTAATACGGCTTGAAAAGGCTTCTTCGTTTGTAGTAAACGGTTCTTCCTCGCTATCACTGGGCTCTGAACTATCAATAATGTTGCTATGATTGTTGCTACTATTGCTGTTAATATCCTGCGTGTTCATCCTTTGCGTCAATAAATCATTGGTTGATTGTAATAGAGGTATAGAAAGTTTGTGTTTTTCAATTTCTAAGGCCTTGTCAGCTTGTGCTTGAAACCATAATGTGTCGAAATCTAGAATCATGGAGGGACATCTTTTTGCTTTGGGAAAGATTTTTTTGTACTCATTTCTGAATTTTGTAAGCAAATTCTTTTTACTGACGGCAGCATTATCGAATTGTTTCATAAACTGTTTGATCAAAAGAATGTTTTTGTCAGCAAATACATTCAAACCTTTTTTTTTCGAAGTTTTGAAAAACTTCTCTAATTCTTAACAAGGGAATAAGTGAGTAATTCATTTGATCATTCCGATAGAGCTACCTTCTGATATTTGAGACATAAGCGAAATAAGGGATTGTCAAAAAAAAACACGCCTTACTTGGATGTGCTATCATGTCTAAACCCAGACTCAAGAAAATAAAAGCTAATTAGCTGGCAAATACCTTTTATAAAACCACATCGAGTTCCTCATCAGTCAAATGCGAATAAAAGAACCAAGGGCTTCTGTGCTCACCTTGTACCAGACAAAACGGCTTCCGCTTGGTAAAGCTTACGGCTCTCGATTTGCAGGATTTCTTTTATTCGCATTTGACTGATGAGGAACTCGATGTGGTTTTATAAAAGGTATTTGCCAGCTAATTAGCTTTTATTTTCTTGAGTCTGGGTTTAGACATGATAGCACATCCAAGTAAGGCGTGTTTTTTTTTGACAATCCCTTATTTCGCTTATGTCTCAAATATCAGAAGGTAGCTCTATCGGAATGATCAAATGAATTACTCACTTATTCCCTTGTTAAGAATTAGAGAAGTTTTTCAAAACTTCGAAAAAAAAAGGTTTGAATGTATTTGCTGACAAAAACATTCTTTTGATCAAACAGTTTATGAAACAATTCGATAATGCTGCCGTCAGTAAAAAGAATTTGCTTACAAAATTCAGAAATGAGTACAAAAAAATCTTTCCCAAAGCAAAAAGATGTCCCTCCATGATTCTAGATTTCGACACATTATGGTTTCAAGCACAAGCTGACAAGGCCTTAGAAATTGAAAAACACAAACTTTCTATACCTCTATTACAATCAACCAATGATTTATTGACGCAAAGGATGAACACGCAGGATATTAACAGCAATAGTAGCAACAATCATAGCAACATTATTGATAGTTCAGAGCCCAGTGATAGCGAGGAAGAACCGTTTACTACAAACGAAGAAGCCTTTTCAAGCCGTATTAGTTTAAATGAAGAGACGCTTTCATATCTTCAAGAATTCCGAAAATTTCAATATAAATCATTTTCAAAAGCAAAAACATATGGATTATTTGTTAATAGCAATTTGTTTGAAATACTGTAAGTAAAAAAGTTTTGATTCAACGTAACATAATTAATGACACACTGTTTCGCCCATAGCTCACTTCAAAATGTTGTTTTGTTAAAAAAAAAAAACGCACGTATGAACAAATAGACATGGAGGAACTTCACAAAAATATGCTTAACAATTACATTTCTGATGTAAAAGTTGAAAGACATATTTTCAAAGATATTACAGAATTATTTGGTGTAAGATACAATAGTCTTAATTTATGATTATTACTCACACTTTTTGTTTAGAGCTTTAACGTTGAAAAGGATGAAAGGGATTCGATTAAGTTGGTACTGTTTGATATTTATAAGAAAGCCTCCAAACAAGATAGGAGACTTGTAGATGTTCTTATTAATTTGTAAGATGTGTAAACATATAATATGCAACGCGTTTTAATTTATATAACTTTAATTGTTTAGATTGAATATTCTTCCTACCGAAAATTTGTTGGACCATAAGGTGGAGGAGACAGAGTTAATTAATGGGTATTTGCAACCTATTCTATCGCCACTTTTTCACAAGCCAGAAAAATCGCAGTTATTCTTATGGTAAAATGAACTCTGAAACAATTTATTAGGCAGTATATTTAATTCTTTATTCATTTAATAGGTTAAACACAAAAACCGATCTTAAAAACCATGATAAGAGACCAGATGGTGGATGTGTATTGATCGAAAAAAGACGAATCAGCCAATATACAGGTGTTCTATTATACGATAATTACCATAAATATTATCTGTGATTAAAAGAAATAAACTCATCTTTTCTTTCTCCTAAATCATTGTCCCCATAACACATAGGTTTTGCGGAGGTTAAGGCGGATTACCAAAAGAATAATGCGCACCAAACACACGGTGATTTGTTGAGACTGGCTTTATTTGCAAGTAATGGGTATGATGAATATAATACTGAATGCATTCTAGTATTACAAGCTATAGGTAAAGTAACTAAACAGCTTGCATCATGTTTTGAACTTACATATTTCTGTCCCAAATCTAGGATTAAACATAACAGCATACGGCTTTACTCAACATGCGAGTGGTGCCACCGTCATGTTTGAGCTGATGAAAGTCCAATGCCCCGCCTCACTTCAGGAATTGCCTCCGTTCTGTATGCAATTGAATAAGCTAAGAATGCTCCAGCAATTTTACGATAATTACTGTTCAGAAACTGCAAGCAGCAATCGCAAAAGGAAATCTCCCGCACATGTTGATCTGAATTTAGACAGAATCTTGAATACTCACCAACAAAAGCACATGAAGCCGTCCGTTGACTTCTAATCTGTTACCATTTTATACGTCACCCAAGCCCTCTATGTTTCATATTGTATACCATGTCTGTTACTTACATATAATTTAAGTTATGAAGTATTATTACTACCCTTAGTCCAATAAAAACAACGAAATCCTTTGGCATATGGGATGTTTCATAGTCCAATTACCCTTCTTGAATTACCAAAAACAAAAATTCTATAATAGGACATATATTTGGATAAGCTTTGTGATACTTAGCATGGACAAATATTCTTGGCCAAAAAGACAAAAAGAATTGAGCTTGTGCCTTTTATTTTGCAATTCCCGCCAATTATTTTTGCCTTTCGGCCAATCATTTTTATGAAAGTGACAATTATTTTTGTGAAAACGCCAATTTCCATAGGTTTGACTGTACATTCAGTTTCTAGATTTAGTGTTTTTCTTTTTTTGTTGCCTATGGTTATTATTCACAGACTTGATGTTGCTACTTTTCTGTCTTTTACTATTTGTTTTTGTGTTTCTGGATGTACTAGGAATAGGAGAACCGGGTGGCGTCTTTTGCTTTATCATAGGAGGTGTATGCACTTTAACAATCTCTGCCAATGTCTTCTTTTTTGGCTCAACAACTGTAAGTGGATCAGGTGTTTTTGTGGTTGACCAACGCCTTGAACGTTGAGGTTGATCCGTCACCCAAACAACAGGTGTCTCCATCAATGGTGGCGGTGGTGGTGGTGGTGTTGCTGAGTTTTTTGATATACTTGGCCATTCAATACCACTAGATCGACGCCTTTGTTTCTGATGACAATGATGGTGATTTGAAGCATGACCTTTTGTACGTCGATAATGATTTCCCGTTGTCTTTTTTACGGGTTTTGATTCTATTGTAGCTTGTTGTTTCGACTGTAGTTTTGAAGAAGGCGGATTTTTATGATACCGTGCTAAAATCTTATCTACAGATTGATCTGTACCGTGATTTGCACTGATGTTCAGCATAGAGAGTAATGTAGAAGGAACAGGAGGTAATGGGTGACTACCATGCCGTGTATTGCGTACTTTGAGGATCGAATCTAATGCTTGTGGTGAACTAAAACGTGGATGAAACGATGGTGAATGTGACATTTTGGAAGCAGGGGATGAGCGCAATGTGCTGATATGAATAGGTGAAGGATAAGAGCAAATCCCATCTACCATGCTTCTTCGTCTATCATAAGGATGCGTACTATCAGGATAAGGCTGTGATAAAAAGAAGAGCGAATTACGATTCTCGGTGGGTAATGTCAAAGAAAGAACATCGGTATGACTACTACTGTTATTGTTGCTGGAGGGTATTTCAGTAGTATGGGCTAAAGAAAGAGACTGGTAAGGACGGCAAAGTGCATCTAGGCTTTCTCCTGCCAGTAAAAGGTCTAGCGATCTTTGGAATTCACACCGCAAACCATACACGGATGTCACATCAGCAGAGTTTCCCAAATTACGTCCCACATTAAAAGGTTCTTCTACACACAAACTCATTTTGTTTCTTCCTGTGTCCCATCCTTTTTCATGTTTTGATAGATATCTTCCATGTCTGACAGAGATCACTTGTTCATCATAATCAAATTCAATAGCGTATCGACGAAAAAAAGCAAACAATAATCCGCCCAGGCTTTCATGGTTCTCTGCGCCAAATCCTTTCAGCTTATCTACATTATCAAAAAAGTAGTTTTCGTCTTTATCTTCATTCTCTATTGAATGAAGCACTGGTAATATAGGAGGATGACGTTGCTGTAAAAAGTTGATAATCATGCATGTCCATGTATACGATGATAATGTGCCACCATTGGCTAATTGATATATATATATATATATATATATGTATATATAAGCCTACTTTTCTTCTGATCATGCTATGCTTACCTGCATCATTCAATGATCGCTGCTTTGTCCAATGCTTAATAATCATAATCAATGGTCTTACACGGGGATCTAATGCAACATATGTCTTTATCATTTTGGTATTCTGAAGGGCTATTGTATTGTTGACATTGATATCGCACGAAAGTTGTCTACACTGCATCAATAGAACTATCCTGCCATACATACACTTACAATTCTGGATCAAATAGGCGAACAATAGGTACTTTGGCACGAGGAACACAGACAATGTGTTGCATACCACCTAATAAATGAGCTTGTGAGATGATATTCGTATTGCTACACTTTACATTTTCGAAATAATTTGGCAAGTATTCGAACATTTCTTAGCCCTGACCATGGTGTTGTGATACACAAATCAACATCAGAAGAACTTGTACCTAAATCATTGACTGAAGAACTGTGATGTGGTCAATAGGCTTATTCTTTATGTATTCCAATCTTACCCAAACACATTGGCCTTGATGTCATGCTCTGGCCATTCACTGTTCAAGATTTTTTCCATCAATTTGACGAATTTAATACGTCTATCATGACTTTCTTTACTAGGCAAAAGTTCCTTTTTATAGATGGTTATATACATAAATAAAACAATGCATTAAATTAGAGATAGTACATACATAATAAAGCTGAATAATATCAATGGAAAGATTATCTTCTTGTTGTATGTCGAGGTAACAAGGAGTAAAAGAACAGTTAGACTCGTCGGTTGCGAGGTCATCCAGTAGAGATGGTACGTTCTCGATACTATCTTGTATTACTGTTGAAATTTGAGGCAAATCATTTTCAACCTTGATATCAAGACAATGCGTGGATGCCTGCATCCTCTTCTTTATGTTATTTATTCCTTAGTTGAATGGTACTTCAAAGAACAGAAAAGATGTTCTCTTTATAAAGAAGTAGAAGAAAAGCAAAACTTTACAAAAAGGTTCGTCTTGCTTGTCACTTAAAAAAGTCACAAAAAAAATTGCCCTGAGATTAAAAAGAAGACAAGAGCCTTAAAGAAACAAAACATTGGTTGTTGTATCATCATTGATTATTAATGTGTTCATAGTTTGCGCAAATAATCGTAGTACCTTGAGAGGTCTCTCTCTCTTTTTTTTTTTTTTGTACTCAACATAGGCTTAGTCTATTTTACATGTTGATAGCTAATTTTTTTTTTATTGACAAGTAGGTATGTATGGCAAATAAGATATAGATGTAAAATGTAGAGTGCAAATATGAAGTAATAATAACAATAACAATAAAAAAAGTGAATGTCATTCTATATAAAAAGCGGCATAAAAAAAAGGGCATAAATTAAGAAAAGGAATGGGCAGGAGCATAGTTTGTTATTTAGCATAATTCATGCATGCTCAAGAAATTATTCTTCTGGTATTGTCTTCATTTCATCAACACTTTCATTACTAGAACCTTGCTTGCTCTCTTCTAGTTCTTCTTCGTCATCTTGTTTGCGCTTCAATGAACTTCCGCTTGTCAAGCTTTCAATGATAGCATCTTTCTCTTCTAAGCTTGTCTTCAAAGAAGCGATATATTCATAAGCATACTGAAGTAACAACACTTTAGAGAGGGGTTTCATGGTTGCCGTTGTCTCTTCATTCCCTCCTTCTTCTGTAGCTTCTTCCTCTGTACCAGCCTTTTTGGTGATGCTCTTTTCTAATTCTTGTTCCTTGATAATCTGGGACATCAATGACTTTTGACGCTTCACATATCCATCTTCCACTTCACGACGAAGACGATCAAACCATTCCTTAAGTGAGTCTCGACGCTTTTGTTCTGCAGCCTTATGTGCTGTTCTTCTGACCTCAAGCCCACTTTTGATCTGGGTAGAAAACGCGATACCGAGAGCTGCACCTTTACCTTCCATCAAATTTTGATAATTAGATCGAGTAGCCAGGATGTGTTCTGCATCTTCTACTGAATGGACCGTGTTGGCCTTTGTAGCACTGACCATACTGCTGGGTAAAGGTTTAAGTCCCGGATTTAATGTAGGACTGATCAAGAGAGGCTTTAATGCACGAGGAGAAGCATGAATGCCGTTCACAATCTTGGGTTCAATGGATTCTCGTCTTTGTTTCTTGTGGCGTATGGATTTTTCGGATTTTAAAGGACGAGAAGAAGGTCTGCGAGGGTGAAGAGCAAGAGGGGATGGAGGAGCAGCAGCAGCAGCAGCAGTCGTGGTAGGCTGGCTAGTAGTGATAGGAACCATAGCAGTGGGTGTAAGCATGGGAGACATGATTATGTTGTTTTCATGCATCGCGTTAGAAATCGTGGGTTGAAAAACAGTACTGGACGTAGAGACAATGGCAGGACTATAAGTCATGGAAGAAGCTATCGAGGTTTCTAGTGATTGAGATGTGTTTGGATAGAATTGTTGCATTCTTCCACTTGAAAATTGAAGTTTGGATGGCGTTGCATGGTTTACTTTCATGTTCATTAAGGAAGCAGGTGTTGCTGGTTCCATATGAGGTGATTGCAAAGGAGAATTTGGCTTTGACATATGGTGGCCCATTGCCATAGGTTCTGGTGGAGTAGCACATTTTTGTACGAGTGCTTCTATTACCCAATGGTTAATTTTTGTACCTTAAAACAAACTAGTATTACCATTTTCAGAAGAATCTCTGGATAGACAAGATTCGGATGACATTAAACCCCGCTGATAATTATCATCATGATACTGTGTCTTCTGAAGCTCTGAAAGCTTTTGAGTAATGATCATCTTGGCTTGCTCTAACTGCTCATATTGCTCACAGATTTCATTCACAGACATATTCTGGTATTCTTCACCTTTTTCACCTAGCGTGTTGTTGTTGTTAGGTGATGAAGTCACGACCATTTGATTTTGAAATGTTGCACGCTTTTGATGGCGATCGACTTGTGGAAGAATAGCAGGTGATGAAAGTGGAGAAAAATTCATGTCATTGTTAGAAGAAAAGCCGAGTTGTTTGTTTTGCTGTACTTGATAGCTGTAAGAAGGGGTCATAGCTGGTGATATAAGAGGAGTAAAAATATCCTAAATGATCAGACACATGTCGATAAAAGAAAGAATAAATGATACATACATTTATTATCATTGTTTTTGCTAGTATATACCTCTTGTTGATCATAGCACTCATTTTGAAGTGTAGCTGAAGCAGGCCTACTATAATGAGGAGAGGCCCTGATTTGGTTGGGTGTGTTGTCCGTCGTACTACTTTTGAAGGGAAGAAAAGTACTTATGTTATGATCAGCATGATTCGGCTGAAACAGTAAATCAATATCGTCTTGAAGTTGGTCATAAGCATTGTTATCATTTGCCGAAGACGATTGCTGCTGCTGTTGCTGTTGCTGCTGTTGATGTTGCTGTTGTTGATGTTGTCGTTGATGATGATTATGATGAGAATATGACTCCTGTTGGTTAGACAAATTTCTTAGCATGTCCATATCATTCATAGCGTCTACCAATTGAAAGGTAGACAGATCCATTTTTTAAGGGTTTCTTTTTTTGATAAAATGATCGCAAAAGAAAACGATTAAAAAAAATAAAATGTTCTGAGAAAAGAAAGAGCAAATGCTCATGAAGGCTGAGGGGTTAAAAAAAAAGAAACTGTACAGATAAAAGTGTAATGTTGAACCATAGTCAAATCAATTTACTTCTGGTCAAAACGTGGGCCAGATTTCCTGCAATAACGGGTCACTATAAGGTAGGACAGGAATGTACTGGTTTTTTCGCTCATTTAAATCAACTGTTCACCTCAAATTCTCGATCGTGATTCGCCCATATTTTTAAGATCAGGCAGGTTAAATGCATAAATATCATTCGCCAATGCTACACCTTGTCTACAAGAGATCGTTGTTCATCTCTTTTTTATATATAAAATAGATGAATACTTTAGAGAACTAGATCCTTTCTACTCTCGTCATGGGGCTCTCACATGAGATATTCTCGATACTAAATTGAGCGCATAAGATATAAAAAAATCATAAGAAGGTCAAAATGATTTGATAAATGTCAAAAAAAAAGGTCAATTTACTACAAGCTATTTCGAATCATGAAAAAAAGAAAAAAAATACGATGAAGACATCTATCAAAACCTTAATTTTGTCCGTTAGAATTAGAGACGGTGTAATAAGGTGATACAAACCCGGCCGTTATTTTTCAAGTGTATTTTACAGACGATTGTATCTTCTGTGTTACACAAACGCATCTGCTTTTGACATTCATCGTCATTGTGCTGTTCTTGTGCAACCATAGCTACTTTCTAACAAGCAGAACTGATTGGGCATGTCTCTTGTTCATATTTCAAATTAATTCAAATTTGTGTTTCATAGAAACAATTCAAGCAATAAGCTTTGATCCATGTAAGGGGTTCATTATACATGCTTGATACAAAGTAAGAAAAAGCTTATATTTCCCTTATTTTTATGCATTGATGAGTAAACAACTAGTATCTTTGTCAACATATTTCTTCTTCAGTATATTGTATCTGTTCAACCTTCGATCTGTTTATATGCCATAAATATTTTCTCTTTGCATTCTTCTTGTCAAATTCAACTACTTGATAGGAATATCATTTTTAATAGGCTCATGAATATAAATAGAATTTAGGAGAAGGACATTCTTTTATTATCTTTTGCTAATCTAACTTGTACAATTCTTTTTGTGAACAATCAAATCTTTGGTCCCTTAGCAAAGATGACAGAAAGAGCAAGTCAACATTAAACTTGAGAAAGACTATTGAAGCACTTTCTTCTTCGTCTCAAAAAAAGAATGTTTCAGCTGGAATGAGCTGTTGTTACTACATATGAGATATTCTTTCTTCCTTTCTTCACCGCATCTATGTACTACGTAAACAGAGCCTGATTCCTTACATAAATTAAAAAAACAATACTTTCAATTGACTTAACTACATACAGAGATATTATAGCAGAATATGTGTATTATTTATCTACATTTTGCTTGTATCTATAAGCTATGATTGTATTTTAAAATAAGGCCAATAAACATACTTTTATAGAAATCAAGAGAATACCTTAAGAATAAGTTATGGTTTAATATAAAAATAAGCGCAATGCAATGTAACCCTTTATTTGTCTGAGACAACATTGTTGAGCGAGCAAAAAAGGTTTCATTCGATGAATGATGGTAAGTTCGATGATAGCGGAAATTTAAAACGATAGAAAAGAAGACAGGGACCAAATATTTTGTCTAACTCTTTAGTTACCCTCTTTGTTCCCTTCAATCAAAGCAGTCTTCTTTGTCTCCGCTTCTAAATAGTCTTTTTTAAATTTTTTTATGAGGCTTTTACGAATAACAAGGATAATGAATAATGAAAAACAAAACAAAAGAGAATAAAGAATATAAGACTCTTTGTCATTCGTTTCTATTCAAGATCAACGTATCACTTTTGCCTAATGCACAAATACAAGCAAAGGTCTCGTAAAAGAATCACTCCAATTGCCCATTCCATTTTGTTATGAGACAATGTTCATTCTTGCTGCAAACAAAGCCTAACTTTTTCTATTTCCTTTGATTTATGAACATGAAAAATTAATGGTTACGGTCGACTGATAAAATACATTAAATAAATAAATTTATTTCTTATTCACTCTTTCTTTCTCTCTTTCATTATATTCTTTGTCAAATGCTTAAACCATTCTTGTACAAAACCAATCTATTTACGTAAAAGTAGTCTCTTTTTCGAGTGGACGGAGTGTTCCCCTTCTTTAAAAACTAAAAAATTGTTCTTTTTCACAAGTCCCATTTTTTATTTAATCGAAAAGTCAAAAAAAAAAAACTTTTTCTTCTTTCTTTCTCTCTCTCTTTTCTTCTTGTCATCTCAACATACACACTATGCAAAATCACTTCATGAACCAAGCTGAGGCCTTTCATATTAACCCCTATATGTATCTTTGCGATAAATTCACAAGGTAAAAGATTTAAGATTTTTTTTTCAAATAAGAATGCAGCATTTACATATTATGAAAAGCCCAACTTCATTGGAAAAGGATGTGTATATCTCTCCAAAGGATTGCCAGAAGAGAAGAAACAGCCACCTTTTTCGTCATCTTAAGAACACCAAGAGAACCAGGAAATCGAAAAAGATTATATTGGGCAAACCATGCAATGGCAAACAGAAAATGAGCCTGCAAGAGCTGAAAGCATTGAGCCGACAGATTAAGCCTTTGTCGGCAGCATCCGATGCTTCCAATAAATTGAAGCCCCGCGACTTGCCTGTTTGTTCTTCCTACCATCATCAGGACGAAGAGAAGAGAAGCATTGCGATGCTTAGTCGATGTCTGAGAGAAAACATGTATAGAGCTAAATCGAGAATGCTGGACAGTCTAAAGAAATCAGATGCGCCTCAAGATGCCCAAATTTATAAAATTCTCATCAGTAAATCCACGGGCTGTGAAGGTACAACTCCTGATTTGGGCAACAGCGATAATGAGGATGACTGCAGTAGTGTAAGCACTCTATCTTCTCTTCAGTTTCGATTGATGGCAGATGAAGCAGGCAAAGTTTCTGTCGTCTTGTCTGACCCTTCCCAACAGCAGGATAACAATGACAGCTGTGGATTCATGCCAGTGTATACCCCTCCTATGATGAACGTCTTTCAAAATCCTTGGTCAGTTCAAGAGAAAGACAACAATTATGATGTGACTGAAGATCAGATAAACTCTTGGTTGCAACGCGGTGGTCATGACGATAGTATGAGCCTAATTACTATGGCGACAGATCAAGAACTGGCTGGTAAATATCATTATTATTTTTTTATATGTGCCTGTGACCAAAGTTCTCATTTATTCTTCCTATTTAGATTTGTTAGATTTTGATATGTAACCATCCGCACGCACATACATTTATATATATATATATATATATATATATATATACAAGCATTCTATTTATCTACATTTACATAATATACATTCACATCCCCATATACACCCACACTACATCTATATATCTTCAAAAAGAAAAAAAAGAAAGAAAAAAATGTATTCTATCTCTTTTCCCCCTCCCCTTTTTCTCTTGTTTATTCTTTTTCTCACTAAAATCAGTATTGATATAAAGTATCATTACTGTGCTACGGTACACCAATATTTGGTATGCATGTCTAAAGAACATTTATTTAAATGGTGTCAGGGCAAAAAAAAAAAGAAAGAGTGACATGAAATGGTGCTAAAAAAGCTTCAGGGCGCTAAATGAAAAACAAAGCAGAAAAAAAATTATAGTTTTTCCCTAAAAAATTTTTTTTTCGCTTTCTTCTTTTCTCTAGTATACTTTCCTTAAGTTTATTTATTCGTAATGCGTACAATTCGAGGATTACAGATAACATCGATTGTTGTCTTGTCCCCTGTTTTGTTGATTATGTTTTCACTCATTTCTATGCTTTTCTCTTCGATTTATTCTCACATTACTGGTTACTTTATATCTGTCCATGAACAGAAGGTGACAATAAGAAACGCTACGGATATTCAGCAGTACAACAGCATACCACTTTATCCAATAAAAAAGATTCGACTCTTTACTCGTTTACGGCAATCATCTTTATCTTCACTGACTACCATTGTAATCTGTTTGTATGCAATCTATGTTATTTTCAAGGTAAAATAATAATAATAATAATAATGTTACTGGGGTGTATGCGATGGAAGATCAATTCAAGCGGCGGATCAACATTAACTTACTTTTCCCTTAGAAACGGACTCATCAACAGCAAACAGAAGAGACAAGCTTGTTGAATCAACCACGATCAAAAAATGCAAAGAAGAAAGCATCTAAGCGTCGAAAAACAAAAAGACAACAACAAGCAAAACAAAGAACCCGATCCAACACTGTGTCCTCCCAAGAAGAAAACCTGACTGTAAATACCAAACAAGAACAAACAAATGAGAATAATAATAATAATAATGAACGGGTGAATGTTGTTTCTGAGAAGAAGCAAAAAACGATTGAAGGAAAGGCTTTTGTAAATAATCATTTTTTCCCTTCTCCTACGTATTCTTGTGTATCAACTCCAATCGAAAAAAAGGTAGAGACTATTGATTTGATATCACCTGAAACAACACCAAGTCATAGTGAAGATGAAGAAGAAGAGGTACAAAAGAAAGAAAGCAATTGGTATTCTCCTTTTTCAACTGGTTTAGACTTGGACTTTTTGCCAAGATTCAATCTTATGGACCCTCTCTGTCAATATAAAATTGACTTTAAATACAATACCAACATACCCCCACAGCATCATTACTATCATTCTCATCATCATTTCTATCATCCATATTTTCGAAATCCCTTTCATTCATCACAAAACGTCTCTTGTATTCAAATGCTCGAAAACCATCCATTCATTTCTTCTGCAGAACCTCACCAACATCATCATATTTTTGGTCCTATTGGTGACAGAAAAAAGTAATAATAATAAAATGTTATTTCTTTTTACCATAAAAGTTGAATTTTTTCTTCTGTGTTGATCAGTTTACTTGTGTAACTTGTGGGTGATTCAACCGGGTAAATCAATGCACACATTGCCATTTGAAATCTGTCTATTGACTTTAGGAATTGACGTCACGTTTTTGCCTCTTTGTTCAATTACGGGAAAAAGGTAAATGATGCAATGACAAAGAGATCATGTATAAAAATAACTTCTTGAACGCACGTACACATAAGAACACACACACACACTATGAACTCCGATGTTTCTCTCAAACGTAATCAATGATATCATGTTGATGAATTAAACAACAGTTATATATAAAGAGGGGAACAATTTGGATTATCTTTTTCTTCTTTATTACTACAAAATGAACGCCAAGTCTTTCCTCGCTATCCTCACTGTTGTCTGTATTATTGCTGTTGTCCAAGCTCAAAGCTCAGGTAAGATAGGAAATGACATGAAATAACACAGCCTAATGATATACTATAGCCAACCCAATTGAATCCCTTCAAAGCAAGGCATCTTCTGTTGCTGCTAGCGCCACCAACACATCTCCTTCTGCTCCCTCTAACACCAACACAAGTGCAGGCTTTTCTTTAGGCAATGGCTTGTCTTCTACTATTCTTATGCAAGGTCTTGTTCTCTTGGGTGCCTTTGTCGCTAGTTCTCTCTTGGCCTAAATATACATGTAATTTTATGTGAATAAATCATCATTTGTTGTGTATATAAATATATTTTATTGAGAGTGTGAAAATTATTATGATACAAATTATAGTTATCTTGTACTCATTCTTCTAGCTCTGACTCTGAGTGAATGGTCAAAGATGGGTCTCTTGCTTGTCTTTCTTATTCTGACTGTTCTTTGAGCAGTGGTAGTCGTTGGCGTAGGATTGGAAGAATGTGATTGGGATGATGTACTTGGTTTGGGTATGACAATGGCTGATAATGGTCTAGCGTGGCGTCGTGTGCTTAACAAGGATGATCTTGTTTCTTCAGGAATAGCATTAGATGCATCCAAAAGAGAGGTAGAAGGTGTTGCAACTGTAGGACTGTCTGTTGCTTCTACATCATACAGCATGGGTTTAAAAGAAGGCATAATAGCTACAGAGGCACTCATACGTCTTCTTCCTCCATGCAATTTATCCATATTATTGTGCAAGTGATGTGTATGGTGTCCAAAATCAAATATAGTTGGACTGGATCCTCCTCCATCTACCAACAAACTAGAGCTATTTTCACCTTGAATGTTACGTAACATCTTGTTTGCCTTCAAGTAGATTGAATCAATATTAGGCTGTTGAGTAGAGAATGACTGTTGAAGTTGTTGTTGGCTGACACTGGTTGATCTCTGCCGTGTTCTTCTGTCACTTCTTCTTCTGACCTTCACATCCAATGTATCCTTTTTCAATTTATCCAACAAACTATGAAGAATAGCCTTATCGTCTTCTGTGTTTGGATTCTTGGTTTTGGCACCCGCATTACTGTTGGCTCGCTTCCTTCTTTCTTGTTCACGTTTCTTTTGCTTCTCAATACGATCTTGTTTAAGCTTATGCTCTCTTGAATCAGCCGAACATTTTTCCCAGCTGGTCGTGAATTCTTTAAAGATACCAAAGAATTCATCTGGTTGGATCTTTTTAGGATCTTCACCATAGAATCGAACAGCATGTTCATAGCTCTCGTCCATTTTTTTTGAGAGCATACAGATACGTTTGAATTCTGTGCTTGCTTCTTTGAAAAATTGGTGCATGGTCGTAGCAAACTTGTCTAGCTCAACCACTTCTTCTTCCTCATTAATTGGATAATGGTCACGTAACTCGACTTCAAGTTTACTCAATTGTAACTCGAAGTTTTGATACTCAATTGCCATTTCGGATCGAGAGACTATTAAGGAGAGTTAATTTCCAATTTGAAGTATGATAGTTTTTTTTTCTTTTTTACCTTTTGAAGCTAACCCACATTCATCCAATTCTTCCAGAAAAGCAAGAACGGAAGGAAAGTTCTTTTCAACAGCATCAACTAAAAAGTGTAAAAGTGTCGTGGATTTTGAAGTGCCTTTGGTATCAATCAACTATAAAAAAAGAATGAGTTTGGTATGTTTATATGTTTGTCAAACCTTATTTATACTAGCGATCTTGATGCCAAAAGCACCGCCTCGGTAAGTGTTTCCGTTCAGAAAGTTACCTAGTAAGAGCACCAACTAAATACATTAGATACATGCTATCTTAAAGGTGATATCCACTTACATGTAATAGTTCTTTAAAGTGTTTTGCATCTCTTAAAGCTAAAGAAGCATTGTATACAGAAGTCATTTGCTGATATTGTTAAGTATACATGTCGATCTCTTTCTAACCTCTTACCTTATGAAGAACAGTGTATCTTTCCAAAAAGGTAGATTTGAACAACATGCATTCCAATCTCTCCTTTAGTCGGCTAACTTTCATCATCTAATTTAAGAATAAGTATCTGGAATATATATATGCCTTCAAATCAGCATACCTGTAAACAAAACTTTTCTGGCACACCAAGTTTTTCCACTTCTTCCAAAGGAGCATCTTCGTAAGCAGAGAGTTTGACTGCTTCATCCTCAGTGGGTAAATATTTAAGTAAATTCAAGATGATTTGCTCATCCATAAAATACGGATGAAGTTGCAAGAAACTATATCGAATCTCATCAAATGGTATTTTCTTCACAATGTTCTTGATAAAAATATCTATAAAAACAATAAATACAGAGATCTTTTGTATTTGTTTGGACTTACTGAGGTTATAGGATTTCTTTGTATCCAAGATATGCGTTTCTTCTTTTAATGGCTTTGACTTGATTTCAACAGCAGGTCTTTGTGCAAAAGTCAGTTCAACATCATCAAACACACCTGCTTTAGCAAGTTGATATTCCATAATAGAATCGGCAGAGTCAATTTGTTTATGTAGCGATAATTCAATGTCTCTCTCGAATTCATTCCAGATGGTCTCTTGAATATTGGCAAAGTTCATCTTTTCCCATTCTACGAATTTGAGTTTTTGTTTTGCTTGGAATGCACTTGGTTTTCGTCCAACAGCACCAAGAAAAACAGGTGGTAATGGAGGAGAAGTATTGGATGCTTCAGAAGAGGTGTTGTTATCAGCTGGTGTATTGGATGAATTAGATGCCGAGATTTTTTTAATTGGTGTTGAATTCATGGGAGCTGGTGGAGGTGGAGGTGGAGGAGGTGGAGGAGGTGGAGGAGGTGGAGGAGGCGGAGGAGGCGGAGGAGGTGGAGGCGGCGCTGGTGTAGCAGGTGCTGATAATGATGGTTCCGGTGTCGGTGCTGGTGTTGGTATAAATTCCTCCTTAATGTCAGGCAAAGCCTCTGATTCCGATTCCGTAAATTCAAGCACAGGTTCAAGTGAGGTCTTTAAAGATTCGGCAGGCTGGTTAACTGTTTCAACTGACTCGGTGGATTTAGGGACAGGCTCAAGAGAGGTTTTTAAAGAATCACTTGATTGATTTTCTAGTTCCAATGATTCAGGTACAGTCTCAAGTGAGGGCCTCAAGGATTCGCTGAGTTGATTTTCTGTTTCAGTTGATTCAGCCAATGGTTCAGGAGATTCATGTAAAGATTCAAGCGAAGACTCAGGCTTATCTGATATAAACTCTGGCGCATTGGATTGTGAATCAGGCTCAGGCTCCGACAATACAGATTTAGTTGCAGGATCAGAAGGTGCGATAGTGGCAGGTGTTGTTGCTGATGCTGGAAATATGTATTCTTCTAATTGATTAAACATGGGAGATGCTGCTAATTCGCCATCTACCAATACAGTAAATGCAGGCAACGATGATTTTCGTGTTGTAGTTTCCTTATTATCATGATTTGATTTGGGAACAATAGCTGAAGAAGACCTAGGTGTGTTGCTTTTCCTGCTACTGTTCGTGCTACTGCTATTCGTATTTTCTCCCATGATAGCTCCTTCGTTAATCGACCTGCGTGTTCTCTGGGCGCATGAAACTGGTTGAGTAGTCTCTTTTTCTTTTATTCCACTTGCACTTGATCTAGAATTCTTTCGACTGCCTGCGAGGCTTGGAGATTTCGTGATAGATCGTCTCTTTTGCTGCGATGGTACATTATTACAATTACTGCTAACTGAACTGGATGTTGAATCAACAGAGTTCCCTCTTGGTTTCGTTGTTTTTACTACTGCTGCTGTTGTTGTTGCTGTTGTTCCCACTGGATCATTGCTCGTTCTACGCACAAAACTTCCAATCTTGGTTCGAAGGGATTGTCGTAGTGTGTCTGAAGTACCAGCACCTGGCTGTTGTGGAAGAGGCGTTGAGGCTCTTGAAGAAGAAGGCGGAGCCGCTGTTGGTTTAGTAGGTGGACTTTCAGGAGCAGGTGCAGTCCAAGAACTACGCAGAGGATTGTCGCTCATTGGTTTTCTTTTTGTAGTATGAGTTGATCCAGCAGCTGTCACGGTTGATCTTCTCGAAAGTGTCTGCGGCTGTGGCTGCTGCGCTTGTTGTGCTTGTTGTGCTTGTTGAGAAGGCGGTAGTGATTTAAAGCTACGCCGTTTAGGAGATGGGTTACCGTATTCTGTCAAGTTGCGTACAGAGTCATGTAATTTACGCATTTTGGTTTCAGTGTCCAATAATTCAGATTTGTAACGTTCCTCTGTGCTCTTGAAGAAAATCTTGAGCATGGCATTAGTTTGTTTTGATAAACTCAATTCTTTTTCAAGATAGTCAATTTTTGCTTCCAAGGAGCCAACCACATCTTCAGAACCATCTGATAACAAGTTAGAAACAAAGGTGTACTTGTCTTGACTTACCAATCTGCACTTTTCTTTTGCTGATGTTATCTTCGTCCTCTTCTTCTTCTGCTAAGGCATTTGTGAATTTGGGAATCAAACTATGTACAGTAAATTCGGAAACATTCGAGATATCATCAGGGTAATAATTGTTCTGATCCAAGGCAACTTGTTGAACTAACATCTCAATCAACTGATACTGATAATTACTATACAGAGTATAAGTCATTGCTGCACCCATATATGTGTTGTGTATACCTTTTTTCAGGACTATCTTGAATTTTGAGTAAATAACAGAGAATATTATGAAGGCTCTGATAAGCAGGTGTATCTTGTGTCTTTGCAATCAGCATTTCCAGGACATTCAGTGGGTCTAAGCTATAATATACTTCCATATCCTCTTGAATTGTATCAGCTTCAATTTCATCTTGAAACTTTTGTATTGCCAAGCTGATATGTTCATGGTTTAGCAACTCCATCTTTTGAAACACATTCTTTATGCCAGCTTGTTCTAATTCTAAGCTCAGCATGATTCGTTCCTTTCTGTCCTCTACAATATCTGGCCTTACAAGCGTATTGATAAACAGGACACTGATAAACTATACAACAAGTTGAGTAAGTTGCGAGATGGTGTCTATGCTTACCATGTATTGAGTGATTTGAGCATCACCTGCACCCACCATGCCCGTCATTTTGAGATCATTACTAGCGCCCACAGCCGAGCCCATTTTACCTCTTCCGTCCAATGTTTTCTCAAGTGCCTGCATCCAGGCATCAAAACGGCCAAAATCAGGGCCGTATTGCTTTAATAGTTCCATACCACGCAACACCATGGCTCTTCCGTTTGGTAAAAAGCAAAAAGCAGTGAGCGATTCACATGCTTGCGTTCTTGCAGGTATATAAGGTGATACAAGTGAGATACAAAAGTTATCTATTATGCGTGAATGTTTGAAGGCTTCTTGAAGACCGGATTTCTTGTTCATGAGTGTATTCAAACATTTCAGTATTTCTAATTCTATCTTGTGGTCGTTTTGTGTTCTACCTTGAGTGAGCTATGGGTCACAACATCATGTAGCTTACCTATTTTGTTTCTTCTGAATTATACCCAGCTCCTTTGCAATAATCTGCATGCCGCCATCCTCGATGAAACGTTCTAACCAGCTTTGTACAAGAAAGACATATCAGTACCTGTATTCCCGCTTGTGTTTGTGTTATTATTACCTATCCGAAGTACGAATATAATACGATACTTCCAACATTAGTTCATATGTAATTGCTTTTTGTTTCTGTTTCAAGATTTTGACGTAATTGGCTGGTGGATTTGTCGAAGTCTTTTTGATCTCTTTTGTCGCATCGTTATGGCTGCGAGCCACTTTTGTTTTGCTTGGTCTTTTAGAGTTTGGTTTGCTTGTAGGTGTAATAGGCGATCGCTCATCCGATAAGCTAGCTACTTGTTCTACATTCAAATCCAACTGTTTCTAAAAAAGAGTATGAATATGACAAAAATGATAGCAATCAAAACTTACTGCGACTTCTGAAAATAAATCTTCGCCTGCTTCAACAAGTGTTGTTTCACCATTCAGACCATACAGGTCTGATGTGTTGATCCACAAGCTGTTTGTTTTGCGTGAAAGATCTAGTCCAAGTTAGCCAAGTTTTATTTTGTTTGGTTTTGTTTTACCTGGGGTATCTTTAGATGAGTTAAGGGCATCTAGCCTGTTCAAGGCTTGTAGTGTTTTCTCTTTTTTTTCTTTTTTTATCAGGTTAGTATTACTCAAGTTAGCGCCTGGAAGACTTGAGATAGAAGAAACAGAAGTTCTTCTGGTATAAGGCCGTCGACTGCTCGTTTTTCTGCTGTTGCGCTTGTTTCCGATATTTGATATAAAATCCATTATTCTCTATCTTTTTCTCTCTCTCTCTTTTTTTTTTTTTTTTGCTCACACGTTAAAGTGTGGCATATAAGTACAATAAAAAAGCAAGTAGATACAGTAAAAAAAAAAAAAAGAAGGGAAAAAAAAGAGGAGTAACAGATATCAACAGAACAATAAACACAAAAAAAAGGCCTTGTTACACATCTACTCCCATTACCTCGCGATAATTTGTCTTATGAACTAATCGTAGACAACAACAACATAAACCTTAAATTCTCGGGAGAACACATCCTCATATCAGCAGAAAAAAAAACAGGTACGCTTGTGTTATTGCTATAGTCACTAAAGACATAAAGAAAAAGAAAAAAAAGTGTTTTGTGAATACCTATCAAATCCACGTTCTTTCTATAGCAATCACGTTCTTGTACACAACTTGCGTCGCTTGTGTACATGAAGCTGAGCTTGTCTTTGAAATGCTCTATATGCGGCCAATCATTACAAAATGATTATGTATGCACTGTTTGTACTTTAGTCCTGAATGAAAAAGGAAATTACATGCAGACTTTTGCTTTGCGGAAAATAATTACTATTCGCAAAGTGAACTAAAAAAAAAAAAAAAGAACTGTGAATGTTGAGTCTCTTTTTATTTCTTTAGGTAAGGCTCCTTTAGTCCATGCTTTCAGTAATCATCACTGATGGCACACTATTCAAAAGAGTTTCATGTGCTTTTTAGGAAGCAATATTTCCAAGCCAGCTTTTCTTATAATGGCATGAAGGTCCCATTCTTCGACTTGCCTCTAATAAGGTAAAAGTGATACACGATGTTGACTAGTTGGTCTTTGTCTCTTCTCTAAGGATATAAGCAAAACCCCCTTGTTAGTTATTTTTGGATAATAACTTTGAAATAGTCAATGTCATATGGCCAATGCTGCTGTGTAATAATCAACATATTTGACAATTGTAAATCTAAAGCCAAAACTAAGTTTGTTTGTTTCATTATTGACTTTTGATATCTGATCTCAAATTAAATACCACTCTAAAAAGCAATCATTTTTATGGGGAAATATTGCGTTAGGAATAGTGATTAAAGAAAGCACTTTGTAAAAAAAAACAGCTTATTCATAAAAGTTACTTTGTCAAGAATAAACAGGTTTTTTATTGTAATTCATCCAATACATGTAAATTGAAGCTCTAAAATGACCAAGTATACTTTCTGCTGTAACTGCTGCTATGTTGATCAGTTCTCTAAACAAAAGAATTAAACTTTTGATACTGGATTTTCAAACGGTCCAAGGGCACGGCTACTTCTGTTCAGAATATATATATATATATATATCAGGATTTTTTGATCACTTGAGCTACTTTGAATTATTATAACAATATCAAAAATGTTGGTAGTTCGCTCAAATAGTATGGTCATAAAGCAATTTCATTGGGCCTAAACCAGAAATATAGATAACCAATAGATGATTAAACCTTTCAATTGCTCTCTTGTCAATGATAATTTTGATTAAAATAAAGATATGAATCTTTGACATTTCCTTTTTTAGTGTCATCTTGCTATTAATGGTCCACAGAATTAACAAGTTTAAAATTATAAGCAGCCCGTTGCGGACTTTTCACTTTACAAAGTTGAAGTTGAAAACTTTTAGATAAGATTATCGTTTTAATGGCCGAAATAAAAAATCTTTTTGTCTGTACAACATCCTTCTTTTTTGAAGCTGTCATCTAGAAATCAAATTCGTGCACGTACAAACCAAAAATGAAAGAATTGTTTGATATGGGCCACCTTTTTGTCGAGTAGAATATTAATAGTTGAAAAATTTATAGTGATAAAAGAGAGCAGATTTTTCAGAAAAAAAAAGCCGTCTCCGCTTGGATGCAGATTATACAAATCATGGAGACCAACAATGACTCACAATAAAAGAAACCGCTTAAAATAGTCACTTTTTGTTCCACTAAAAAATGCTTCTTTGCATATAAAATGTTTGAACCACATCTTGTTTTATCTCTTTTTCTTTTTTTCTCTTCGAAAACATACATCTTTTTTTTGGGGAAAAACAAAGCTTCATCAATTTAATACTTTGACAACAAACTCCCAAATTAAAAAACAATCTTCTTTTTTGTAATATTTATATGAATATTGCTTTTAATTTAATTACTTCTGGTCTTTTGGCATTCGATAAAACATACATTGACAACATTTTAATTAAGTAAACATGTCCTCCACTCAATCTTTTGGTCTCATTGCTCCTCCTACTTCCTCTCGCGAAGGTGCTGCTGCTAAGGTTTCTGAAGAAATCCTCTCCAATGTCCCTCTTGTCAATGTCAAGAAAGTACTCATTGTAGGCTCTGGTGGTCTTTCTATTGGTCAAGCTGGTGAATTTGATTATTCAGGTAAAAACAAAAAGAGCTTTTTTGTTTCTTGGTAGCAATGTCTTATGAAAATATACATAGGTTCTCAAGCCATCAAAGCTTTGCGTGAGTCTGGTATTAAAACCATTTTGGTCAATCCCAACATTGCCACTATCCAAACTTCTCATACACTTGCTGATAAGGTCTACTTTTTGCCTGTTACTTGCGAATACGTTTCCAACATTTTGGAACGTGAACGTCCTGATGGTATTTTACTTACTTTTGGTGGTCAGACTGCCTTGAACTGTGGTATTGAACTCGATCGTTCCGGTATCTTGGAACGTCTGAACATTAAAGTTCTCGGTACTCCAATTAAAACTTTGATCACATCTGAAGACCGTGATTTGTTCGTAAAGGCTCTTAATGGTATGTATACAATTGAAACTCAGGAGATAACAGATCATCTAATTTTTTTTTAAATTAAATCAGAAATTGACGTCCCTGTTGCCCAATCAACTGCTGTCGATACCGTTGAAGAGGCATTGAAGGCCGCTAGTGAAATCGGTTATCCCGTTATCGTTCGTTGTGCTTTTGCCTTGGGTGGTCTTGGTTCCGGTTTTGCTGATAATGAACAAGAACTCCGTACACTTGCCACCAAGTCTTTGACACTTGTCCCTCAACTCTTGGTTGAACGTTCCATGAAGGGTTGGAAAGAAGTTGAATATGAAGTCATGCGTGACTCTGCCAACAACTGTATCACTGTTTGTAACATGGAAAACTTTGATCCCCTTGGTGTTCACACAGGTGAATCTATTGTCGTTGCTCCTTCTCAAACACTGAGTGATGAAGAATATCACATGCTTCGTACTGCTGCCATCAAGATCATTCGCCACCTGGGTGTTGTTGGTGAATGTAATGTCCAATATGCCCTTAATCCCAAGAGTTTAGAATTCAAGGTCATTGAAGTCAATGCTCGTTTGAGTCGTTCAAGTGCTCTTGCTTCTAAGGCTACAGGTTATCCTCTTGCTTTCATTGCTGCCAAGATTGCTCTCGGTCATACCTTGCCTAGTCTTCAAAACGCTGTGACCAAGACAACCACTGCCTGTTTCGAACCTTCTCTTGATTATATCGTCACCAAGATTCCTCGTTGGGATCTTTCCAAGTTCCAATACGTTGATCGTCACATTGGTTCTGCCATGAAGTCTGTGGGTGAAGTAATGGCTGTCGGCCGTACTTTTGAAGAAAGTATGCAAAAGGCTATTCGTCAAGTGGATCCTAGCTTTTCTGGTTTTGATGGTCTTCCTACTCCCTTCGAAGATGTGGATGATGTCTTGGCTAACCCTACTGATCGTCGTTTGTTTGCACTTGGTCAAGTGATGTTGAACAAGGACAAGGCTGTTCGTGATAGATACACAGTTGATCACCTCAACAAGCTTACCAACATTGACAAATGGTTCTTGCACAAGCTTCAAAAGATTGCCAACATTCACCTTAGTCTTGGTGAACTTTCGATTGAACGATTGCCTGTCGATCTCCTCAAGAATGCTAAAAAAACTGGTTTCTCCGATGCCAAGATTGCCAAGTTGATCGGTGCTGAAGAATTGGCTGTCCGTGCTCTTCGTAAAGAAAACGCCATTGTTCCCCACGTCAAGCGTATTGATACAGTTGCTGCTGAATTCCCTGCTCATACAAACTACCTCTACACGACTTACAATGCTGCCACGAACGATGTCAGTTTCGACGAACATGGTACTATGGTTTTGGGTTCTGGTGTCTACCGTATTGGTTCTTCTGTAGAATTTGATTGGTGTGGTGTTTCTTGCAGTCGGGCTTTGCGTGCTCAAGGTGAAAAGACAGTCATGGTCAACTACAACCCTGAAACTGTCTCTACTGACTTTGATGAATGTGATCGTTTGTACTTTGAAGAACTTAGTTTTGAACGTGTGATGGATATTGCAGAATTGGAAGGAGCTAAGGGTATTGTTGTAAGTGTGGGCGGTCAACTTCCTCAGAACATTGCTTTGAAGTTGCATGATGTCAAGATGAATGTTCTCGGCACTTCACCCTTGATGATTGATGCTGCTGAAGATCGTTTCCAATTCTCCAAGATTTTGGATAAGGTTGGTGTTGATCAACCTGCTTGGAAGGAATTGACGAGCGTTGAAGCTGCTTTTGCCTTTGCTGAAGATGTCGGTTATCCTGTCCTTGTCCGTCCTTCTTATGTTCTTTCTGGTGCTGCCATGAATGTTGCTTACACCCCTGATGCTCTCAAACACAACTTGACTGATGCCACCAATGTGTCTCCTCTTCATCCTGTTGTGATTACCAAGTTCATTGAAAACGCTCAAGAAATCGATGTGGATTGTGTTGCCAGCAAGGGTGCTGTCTTGGTTCATGCTGTCTCTGAACACGTTGAAAATGCTGGTGTTCATTCTGGCGATGCTAGTTTGATCCTGCCTCCTCGCGATCTTTCTCCTCAAACCATGAGCCGTCTCAAGGACATTGCAGATAAGGTGGCTGGTGCCTTTGAAATCACAGGTCCCTTCAACATGCAAATCATCAAGCAAGACATCCCTGGTCAAGAAGAACCTCTTCTCAAGGTCATTGAATGTAACTTGCGTGCTTCCCGTTCATTCCCCTTTGTTTCCAAGGTCCTTGGTGTCAACTTTATCGATGTGGCTACTCGTGCCTTGGCTGGTAAGAATGTGCCTGAACCTATTGATTTGATGGCCAAGGAGTACGGTTACCAAGCCGTCAAGGTCCCCCAATTCTCCTGGACTCGTCTTCAAGGTGCTGATCCTTTCTTGGGTGTCGAAATGGCCTCGACAGGTGAAGTTGCTTGTTTCGGTAAAGACAAATACCAAGCTTTCTGGGCCGCCATTCAATCCACTCAAAACTTCCGTATTCCTTCTCGTGGTGCCGGTGTCTTGATCGGTGGTGACCAAGTGACTGACAAAAAGGACTATGTGCATATTGCCCAAACCTTCCATAACGAGCTTGGTCATCCTATCTTTGTTCCTACCGAACAAGACAAGCTCTTTTTGGAAAAGGAAGCCGGTGTTTCTTCTGTCTGTTTGCCTATTGCTGCCTGTGCCGAAGACAAGCGTGTGTTAAACAAGCATTTCAAGGACAACAACATTGATTTCGTGATCCACCTTGCCAAGATCCGTGCCCCTGACCAATTGGATGAAGGCTATGTCTGTCGTCGTGCTGCTGTTGATTTTGGTATTCCTTTGATCAATGATTCTAAGGTGGCCGTTCTCTTTGCCGATGCTTGTGTTCGTCATCGTACAGATGAACCTCGTACAGCTGAAAAGATTCCCGATGAAGTCAAGTGTTGGAGTGAATTCGTCGATGCTAAAATTTAACTATAAATATTTCATCATTATTTAAGACATCTGTAGATTTAGACATTTCAAAAATAAAAACTATTATTATGCACTCTCAAGTAGTAATTTTGACAAGGATAAACATAATTTTGATTGGCTGAGAATAGCCGTAAAGAACTTTCAAGAATCTATTCAAAAATAAAATAAAAAAAAAAGACGCGACTTGTAGAGTTATTTGTTTATTTAAAATGTTTAAGGATTCGAATATTGACTGTATTATAAAAACATGTCAAACGTGTGTCATTGTATTTAGAATTGGAGTATGAACAATAGGAAATATAAAATGGAAAGGAATGAAAGAAGAGAAAAAAAGAAAGAAAGATATAATATCTATAAATATTATGTATAATATATATATAAAATGTATATAAAAAAAGAAAAAAAAAGGAAAGGGAACAATTACATGCTGATGTTATGTACATGATAATGTATATATGTGTGTGTGTGTGTGTGTGTGTGTGTGTGTGTGTGTGTGTGTGTGTGTGTGTGTGTGTGTGTGTGTGTGTGTGTGTGTGTGTGTGTGTGTGTGTGTGTGTGTGTGTGTGTGTGTGTGTGTGTGTGTGTGTGTGTGTGTGTGTGTGTGTGTGTCAGTTGTATATATATAAATTCTTCTTTTTTTTTCATTGTTGTATATGTATAAGTTAATGAACAAGACTGATGTAATTATTTCTAGAGTCACCAACACTGAAAGATCTGGGACGATTGAGTTTGGCGGTGGTGGTGGTATCAGTGACAGACAAGTGAGAAACAGTTTGATGAATAGGTACAAAGCAAGTATCATGAGGCAAAGGGTTGCTAGTACGGATGATATTAAGATCTTCCATCATAGTGGAATGAGAAGCAAGAAGAATTTGTCGAAGTTCTTGGCAAGCTTCGTTGTCTTCTTCTGTCCATATGTCACTGGCAGTGGTATATGATGAGGGCTTCTTTGGGCGAGGTGCAACAATGTTCATTATGTATGTATATGTATAAATATTTACAAAAAAAGAAGATGAAAGAGAAGAGAGGAGAAATAAAATGTGTTACCAATTTATATCGTAATCGGAGTTTGCCCATGTTTAAGGTTCAAGTGTCACTGGGGGCTGACGTTTGTTTTAAACATATTTGGTTGGTTCAATCGCAATACAAGTGTGTGAGCGTGTGTGCATGTACTAAAAAGGCTTAAATTCAATGGATTATATTTTTAGAGAGAGTGAGATAGAAGAATAGTTGATATTGGCTTCAGTGTATGTAAGAAACACAAAGAAATCAGCTTTCAGTTAAATTCTCATTTTCTCATCTATAAATATCTGGATAGAGAAAGAGATAAAAGAAATCACCAATAGAAATACAGCTTATTTCTTTCCTCTTTTTGAAAAAAAAAAAAAATACGAAACAATGATTGCCCGGTTTGTTCCTGAACAAGATCCTAGTTTTTCTTTTCTTTTTTGGAGTATGATAAAATAAATATTGGAAAGAGAGAGAGAGAGAGAGAGAGAAAAAAAGATAGGGAGAATCAAAAGTATAATAAAAGGAAAGACATGCTTCTCCAATACAAAAAAAAAAAGGAAAACTTGTGTGCAGCTGCTTTTGAATTATAATTAAACAACGCTTAATCAGCTTCATTTTCTCTCTCTCTCTTCCTCTCTCTTTTTTTTTTCCCTCTCTTTCTCTCACATTATGGCTCCCAAAGTAACAGCAGCAACAGCAGGGGCAATGCTAAAAAAACCAGTAGCTGAAGACGATTTTGAATCACAGCAAAAGCGCAATGTACGACAACCAGAAATGTGTGTTGATTATTTGTCTTATCAATTTGATGAAATGGATTTAGCTGTTTCTTGGAGAGTTATAACAAAACAAAAAAAGAAGTGGTAGATGGTATTCGACTAGAGAACGCGTCTTGGAGAACATGGGCAAAGCAACGAAATAACCTCAAGACAATAAGTCCTCAAACATTGAATTGGTAAATAGAAAGAAAGAGAGACCAGGGTTGATTTTTTTTTGGGTAGGTTAAAAGATAGTGATGTGACCTGGCTTTATGGACCATTACATACAGTAGTTCAAGAAGAAGAAGATCCATTTTTGGCACCTAGAAGAGCAACTGCTGCAGATACATTGGGATTAATGCTACAAGAGCAACAAAAACCTAAACTAAAACCAGCTTTAAAGAAGGTCACTAAAGTTGATTTATTGAAGCGTTCAGTAACAGAACTTGACCCACTCAACAAAAACCATCATCATCGTACAATATCTCTTTCAGAAGCAAATGAAGAATTGAAGGCTGTCTCACCTGCTGTTTTAGCAACACACCGTCAACCTAAATTAAGGTTTAATACTCAAGTGGAACAATGCATAGCCATTACTGCTGAAGAAGCTGCCAGAGAAGAAGAAGAATACAGCAGCAGTGATCCAGATACAGATGACATTGTCACATCTCATGTAGACCATGTTTATTATAGAAGATCATCTATCAAGAAGATTGCACCTGCTCGCTTAAAGAAATCACAGTCTGATCAAGACACAGACGATGTCTCCTCTATCTCCTCTAATTCAACTTGCTCTATAAGTAATATAACACAATCTCCTATGTGTGAAGAAGAAAAACAAAAAGAATATAAGCCTTCTTTTTATGATCGACCTACTGCTGGACAAAGTATTCGAACTGAAAAAATATCTACTATTCATTCATACAAAGAAAAGAGCCATGTGGCAGAGCCAGCTCTAGTGACAATGCATCAAACAGCGACTGATATCAACAAATCCACTCATCACACGAAGAGTCCTGGCATTTTTAATCATATTGCAAATTGGGCCTCATCCTATTTGTGGCCAGGACAAAAGAAGTCTGATTTTCCTGCTGCAATAGAACACCCATCTTCATCTAATCATACTTCTAAAGCTCATCATCAATAGAATACTTTTTTCATGTACAATACCATCATTGAAATAAATGTTTATGCACTATCAAGTGACTGTATAAAAAAAGACAGTCCCTTTTTTATTCTTATTTTTTTTTGTCTTAAAAAATATTTTATAGTTCTTTACTCTAACGTTACTCATGACAGACAACCCTTATCTTGCTCACTTAAACACCAAGGAAGATAATAGCAATCCCTTTAAGGGAATGATTCCTAGAAATACAACTGCTAAACAAGCAGAGAAGCTTGAAAATGCTACTACAAACCCTTTTACCGGCAAGGCTTATTCTGCAAAATACCAAAAGATCTTGGAAGGTAGACGCAAACTTCCTGTTCATGCTCAACGTCAAGAATTTTTGGACATGGTACACAAAAACCAGTTTGTTGTTCTTGTTGGTGAAACTGGTTCCGGTAAAACAACACAGTAAGTATAGGCTTCTATGCAAACTTTTTTTTTAATTGTGTAAAGAATCCCCCAATTTTTAGCCTATGATGAATTGCCTCACTTGAAAGGAAAGATGATTGCTTGTACTCAACCTCGTCGTGTGGCTGCCATGTCTGTCGCTCAACGTGTCGCTGATGAAATGGACGTCAAGTTAGGTCAAGAAGTGGGTTACAGTATTCGTTTTGAAGATAACACAAGTCCCAACACTTTCTTGAAATATATGACAGATGGTATGCTTTTGCGTGAAGCCATGTCTGACCCTTTGATGAGCAGATATTCAGCTGTGATTCTTGATGAAGCTCACGAACGTACACTTAATACTGATATTTTGATGGGTCTTTTGAAAGAAATCTGTAAGAAGAGAAAAGATTTGCAAGTCATTGTCATGTCAGCTACATTGGATGCTGGTAAATTCCAAAAGTACTTTGATGATGCTCCTTTGTTGGTAAGTGTGTTTCTCTCAGAAAAAAAAGGTCAATCAACTAAGCTTGTCATAGTCTGTACCTGGTAGAACTTTCCCTGTCGAAATCTTTTATACTCCTGAACCTGAACGTGATTATCTTGAAGCTGCTATTCGTACCTGCCTTCAAATTCACGTCAGTGAACCTGAAGGTGATATTCTTGTCTTCTTGACGGGTGAGGAAGAAATTGAAACCGCAGTAAGCAAAATTAAAGCGGAAGGTGATGAATTGATCCGCAGCCAAGGTGCTGGTCCTCTTAAGGTAGTTCCCCTTTACTCTTCATTACCTCCTCGCGCACAACAACAGATCTTTGAATCTGCTCCTCCTCCACGCAACGGTGTTCCTGGCCGTAAAATTGTAGTGTCTACCAACATTGCTGAAACTTCACTTACCATTGATGGTATTGTCTATGTCATTGATCCTGGTTTCGCTAAGCAAAAGGTCTACAATCCTCGTATTCGTGTCGAGTCCCTTTTGGTCTCTCCCATCTCCAAAGCCTCTGCTCAACAACGTGCTGGTCGTGCTGGTCGTACTCGACCTGGTAAGTCTTTCCGTCTGTATACTGAGAATGCCTTTAATCAAGAATTGATTGAGACCACATACCCTGAAATCTTGAGAAGTAACTTGGGCAACGTTGTTCTTCAATTAAAGAAGCTTGGTATTGATGATCTTGTCCATTTTGACTTTATGGATCCTCCTGCCCCTGAAACATTGATGCGTGCTCTTGAACTCTTGAACTATTTGGGTGCTCTTGATGACGATGGTGAAATGACACCTACCGGTGAACTTATGTCTGCCTTCCCTCTTGATCCTCAATTGAGTAAGATGTTGATCGAGAGTCCTAGTTACAACTGCTCCAATGAAATCCTCTCTATTGCTGCCTTACTCTCTGTACCTCAAATCTGGGTTCGTCCCAACAATGCTCGTAAGGCTGCTGATGAAGCCAAGGCTCAATTTGCTCATGCTGACGGTGACCACTTGACCCTCTTGAACGCTTATCATGCCTACAAGACAAACTACGAAGACCCCAACTGGTGTTATGATAACTTCTTAAATCACAGATCACTCAAGTCTGCAGACAATGTGAGAAACCAGTTGATGAGAACCATGGAAAAGTATGATTTGGAATTAGTGTCTACTGATTTTGAGAACCGATCTTACTATACAAACATCAGACGGGCTGTTGTTGCTGGTTACTTTATGCAAGTCGCTCATCTCGAACGATCTGGTCATTATTTGACTGTCAAGGATAATCAAATTGTACAACTTCATCCTTCATCGTGTTTGGACCATAAGCCTGAATGGGTGTTGTATAATGAATTTGTGTTGACCACACGTAATTATATCAGAACATGTATTGAAGTCAAGGCAGACTGGTTACTCGAAGTTGCGCCTGCTTATTACGATTTATCTAATTTCCCCAACTGTCATGGAAAACGTCAACTTCAAGCTATTGCCAATAAGAAATATAGAAATGAAGAAGAAAAGAAGTCTTCCAAGAAGAGAAAGCATTAAAGAATTTTAGTTTCTTTGTTATACAATCATCATTCCATTTTTTTTTTTTCGTTTATACACTACATCCTATTTAGATCATTACAGATTATCTTGTGAATAATAAAGGCAACGATATCTAATTAAAAAAAAAAAAAAAAAAAGTCCATATTTATTCATAAATAGCATATAAAAAGAGCATAAAGGCATAAGTCTAAAATGAAGGAATGAAACGTATGTGCAATGATATATATATACATAAAGAAATGCAAGAGAAATAAATACACAATCTAAATAATGTTTGGCTTAAGCTCTTCGACGTGCAATACTGTAGCAAGTGCCATTACACATGAGCATCATTTGTCCAATGTCAACATAGACAGGGCAACGGAAGGATTGGCTTTGTATCCAGCTGGAAGAGTTGTGTGACCATAAACTTTCAATATGGCTTTGTGCTAAAGAATCAAGAGTAACCCAAGAAGAGCCATTGGCATAAACCCATTGAATAGAACCCATTTTCTTTTTAAAAAAAAAGTAAAAAGAAAAGTAGGATATTAAAAAAGACGTTTCTTAAATACATGTTGTAAGTCTATTTTTATAAGGTCTATCGTCACCTTAAATAGGAACATTCTACCTCGCCACAGCTAAAAAAGAAAACTGAGCAACTCTTTTGTGGTCATTAGCCATTTTGTGTAATGGATGACGCTAAAGGAGTATTTGAGCCACGGTTACATTTTTTTTTTTTGTAATTGATTTCTTGTTGTTTAACCACTGTTTTTGTTATCATTTAGTTGTACATGGTTTATTCAAGTAGCAATATAGTTGTCTTTAGTTTGTCATTTTAATAGAGTTTTTTCTTGGAAGAATCCTAAAATTGGGTCATGCACGTCATTTAATGTTTGTGCGCTTCGCCACTATTTCCCGATTCCTCGATGATCTAGAAGAACATTCTATTCAACAGCAATTCATTTTGTTTTTTTTATTGAAAACAATATGGCAAACAGACAAATAGAGATAATTTCGCATATAAAAAGAAAGAAAGGTTTAAGTGTAATTCGATGCTTTGTATTGATCTATTTCTCTCTTGTTTATACATCGTTCGATATACAAGTTGCCGCAGGATCTTCAAGCCATTGTCTCCATATGGAAAAAGCATAACTTTATAAGGAAGCAAATAGTGGCTCTGCGTTTTATAGATTTTAGAGTTGAAAGACTCGGTATCTATATATATAAAGACAACATTTTTTATTTTTTTTTTATTTCAACTTGATGGCATCAACAATTAAATGGGCTTATGCAAATGGAAGCAATTGGGTTATTCTTGACAATCAAGCACAAGACAATATCGAGCGATTGTGGGCCTCAAACTCATCAAATTGGATCAATTCTCAAATGTTTCGCAAACCTGTGTACGTTGACATTCCACATATGATGCTTCTGTGCGACGGGGTGTCTTACAGTATAGCGCGTTATCGAGCATAAACTTGTTTATTTTGACAGAAACAAATGTGTACAAAACAAGTTTTCATTAACGCGATTGCATTAAGAAAATCTATGTAGGCATCCACGATGCAAAGTAGATCTTTATACCTTAAGAACCAAAATAATGTCTGATATAATTTAGGAAAAGGGTAATTCAAAGAGCAAAAAGAAACTTCATTCATATAAAACACAACTAATAAATAAACACAATGCGTCAATAAATATGTACTGCTAAAACAGTAAGATTTTTTTTTCAAAAAAGGGGTACAATCATGTACAAAAGCAAAGAGGGTTTATATAGTTTTTTTTCTTCAGAGTACTTTCACAATGGCTATTTTTAACCCGATATTTTTAGCGCAAATCTATTTTAACACTTAAGCTCTAGCTACAAAGTTTTGGTTTTGTAGTTGTACAAACAAATGAAGCGCCTCATCATCTGTCGCAACATGCTTTTTCTAATTTATTTGAATATGTTACTATAGTGTACCAGCCAATCAAAAAAATGTGAATGCTTTCTAATTCTCGGTAAACTTCCTTATAAGTGCTTATTGTTGTGTTCGATCAGTTTTTAACTAAATATAAACTATTACTACAAGGCCCTGTTGTTACATGACCATGACAAGAGCAAGAAGAAAAAAAATTTTTTCTTTACAACTTGATGAATTGTTAAAGTGCCTAAATGCTTGAGTTTAAATCAAGAAATCAAAGGGAGCCTTAAATTTTTCTTTCATATTCTAGTATATTCTCGGAGTCATGAGCAGAACATAGGAATTCAAGGCCACGATAAACGGGCTCGTTTTATCGGCTTATTATACAATGCTTAATAAAAACTTATGGTGACGATGTGGCTCTGTCTTATGTGTATTAGGCAACTCTAAATGTACATTTAGACAATTCTAAAAATAATAAAATTAAATTTTGTAGTTGTACAAGAAAACAACAACTTTGGGCTGTTCGATCACTTTCAACTTATTCAGTGAGAATGGAGAGCCTTTAGAGAATCAAAAGGCGTTTTCGATCATTGCACAAAGAACAAAAGTCTTTATCGTAAGTTTGTCATGATTCATGATATAGTCAAGCGACAATTGATACATGCAATCACATTAAATGAATCAAGGCTTGTATATTAAAACTTTAACATAAAGAAAAATAGTAAAATTTCAAGTAATACACTGCCAAACAAAACAAGAACAAAGTTTACCTGATGTGCAACCATGCGATATATAAATAAATCAAACCATGTCAAAGCGAGCCGTCTCTTCTTTTTTTCTCAAGTCAAAAAATAATCCAAAGAAGATACAACAGTATACAAAAGATAAAATGTTGATCATTGTTATTAATTGAAGTGAGCTACATTTAAAAGATCTATAATCAAAAAGAATGGCATCATTCAGAACAAAAAAATAAGTAGGACAAAGTCTAAAAATAAATCTGTTGTTGTATTACCAAGCATTGTGAAGTTGATCTTTTCTCTTTTATTTGTTAATTGGGGCATAATTTACATATTTGACATAAAAGTTGAATCTATTTAACCGGATAATGTGTTTATGTAATCATATATATCAAACGTTGCCTTGTGTTTTTTTTAAATGGCAAGGGCCCTTTGAATTCAATTGTTGTAATCACATTCATCCGATAAAACTTTGTGCGATATAAACCTTAATTGTAGTTAAAAGACCAGCTGATTGACTGTTTGATATAAGGATGATTAAATAGTGTGTACCACATTTAATGTATAATAAAGCCTCTTTGAAAGTGTCACTTTGTGGCAAAATACGAGTACCATGTTAGGACATATTTCTCTTTTATTAGATAGAATGTAACGAAAGCCTAATATTCATAAAAATAGATCTCCCCTTTCCTTTTAATCTCACCAAGTATAAAAGGACCTGATACTTTGTTTCTTCTCCTTTTTTTTTTCTTCTTGTCTACTTATCAGATTAAAATTTATCAGATAAACTAAAAAGAAAAAGAAAACAATGGCTTCTGTTCAATGGGTTTACGCTAATGGTTGTACCTGGGTTACTCTTGACCCTATTGCTCAACAACACATCGAAAGTTTATGGTCAAAAAACTCATCTAGTTGGATCCAAAGTCAATTCTTTCAATGCCCTGTTTATATTGACATTGAAAAAATGCTGCTAATGTGCAATGGCTTATCCTATAGTATCGCTCGTCGTCGGATTTAATTATCTGTCAAATAATTCTTCTTTATGGCTCACTATGTATACACTTATAGCATTGTTCTGGAAACTTGTACATGTAGACTCTATCCTTAAGCACTCATATTCAACAAACGAAAACCTTATATATACATATACACTCATTACAGCCCTTATACCTTCATTATTTTTATTGCATCGGATGCTCATCATATTTAGACCATGTATAATTATTATCTAAGAAATAGCTACTTCCCTTTTTTGTTGTATGTAATAAAAAATGCTTATCTTATTCCTCTTGCATTATATTCATACTGTCACGTGCTCTAATGTAGTCTGCTGTCAAACAGACTAAGTCACTTTCAAGGGTAATTTGTAATGAAAGGGACCTTTGTGATACAGAGTATATTACTTTGCAACAAGGCTATATACCTATGACGCTCAAAACCTTTCAATTTTTTTTTTGACTGTTTTATACGAGTGGAGATTAATCATCCCTTACAAGCTTTATATATGAATCAGTAAAGGAGACGTGTCATGTTTACTAAGAGCACGAAGTATCTAACCTGGCTGAACATTGAGGTTTAAATTGAAGGATTGTCTATAACAACAATCTCATTCAAATCAGAGCATTCATTTTCCTACCTTGTATTACAATCCCTTCTTTTTTTTAAAAAAAAGAAAAGTATCTCATAACCTTAAGAAAAATTTAGAGGCATATGTCTTTTTTTTTTTTTTTTTTTTTTTTTTTTTGCAAAACTATTGCGACTTTAAAACTTAAAATCATGCCATGGTTGGATTTTAATTGAGAGCGGAACAATCTAAGAAAACGTGAGGAATTGAAGCAGAGCTCAACTTACTTTCTATTCTCCTTTTCTTTTCTATGGTTTTTTTTTTAATTCGGTTCATGTAGTTACTCAAAACATACACGGTAGTTACAAAATATGTTTTGTGTAGCAAATTGACTTTGAACCTAGGAGAAGATGGCATTCATGCAAATCAGTAACTTTCCTTTTCCTTAAAAAAAGAAAGAAAAAACGAAACTACAGAGTGTATATAACATCTCTACCTGCTTTTTTCTTTTCTTGGTAATGTAAAAAAATGGTGTGTAATCCATAGTGTAATTGTTGGCCTATATGTGTACTTGATTTGATACAAAATCGGGGAAAAATTAACCCTTTCTTATAAAAGAGGCTTATGCAAGCACATATAAGCTAGCTCGGTCGTTGAAATCAAAAGTGGTATGGCTGAATTCATGATAAGTATGAAGAAAAGATGTGCGTTTTCACTATAGTTTGATGCTCAAGAAAGACAAAATTTATCCCAATGAGCAAGCTATAGCTATTTAAAGGTATTCGCATTCTGATTTATATAAAAGGCAGAGGGTACCCGAGACTCTTGTGTTTCTATAGACATTGTCTCTTTTTTTGTAAGAAATCAAAGATTTGCACATAGGTAGCATTCCAAGACCAATAATCGTCACTATGTTTTATTGAAAATTGTCATATAGATGACGCTAGCTCACCATAATGGTAAACGCAAACTAGAAACTGTTTAATAACTAACACATACAAAAAAAGCAACTATCACAGCTCTGTGATATAACGAAAAAGATGTATATTATATATTAGGCAAGCGAAAAAAGAAAGCATTTGCTCCGTACAAAATGTATAGATTTTAGATTGATGCTGACGCATGCAAGAAAAAGTTTGTCGTTATATTACAGTGCATGATTAGTTTAAAATCTTATATACAAATGGTATTTTCTTCTTTTAGATGATCTTTTTTTTTAAAAAAAAAAGACCGCAAAAACGATTTAGATGGATCAAAACATGCATGAGATTGTATTCATTAAAGAGCAAGCGAATACACATATTATTTAGTCTCTGAAAGGCAGCATTAAGTCTGTTTATATGTGGTTAAATTGGTTTTATACTCACTTTTTATGTATAGTTTTACTTAAAGAAAATGTATTCATTTCAAAAGGACCTTTTTGTGATTTAATGCAATCAATGACACCTTGCCCTGAAAGAAACGAACTTATCAGCTCATGCATATTTATACACTTTATAAGGAGCTTTGTTATTTGATAGAAATACGCCTTTTGCTAGGTTTATCTGGCTGATATTTCTCTTTCACGAATTTACGCGTTTTAGATCTATGTATGTCTTTAAATCGTGATATTTTTTCACACTTTCCTTAATAGATTTTCAGTTTCAGTTTTGTTTGATGTTGGTTGACGAGTGGTTCTGATTTGTCTTTCTTTTTTTCTGCATATCCTTTGCCGATCTACTTCCAATGTCACTTTGCTTTTTGTTTTGGAGTTGTTTTTTTGGCTAATATGACAAACTTGTGCATCGTTCAGAAATAGAAAAGAGCAATGGACCAAGAAACGAATTCCTGCTGTGCCTTAGATCAGAGCATTTAAAATAGATATCAGTCATACGACTCGAATGAATTCATAGATTGTTGAACAAATAATTGAGAGGTTGTTCAATAAGTCTATAACAAAGACAAGTACTTTTTTTCGGATTCAGTTCAAAGACTGACAAGCATGAATTAAGTTTGATGACATACCTTAGGCTTTCGTTTTACTCGATCAGACAAGAAAAAAAAAAGGATCCACAATCTGGAGTTTTCTTTCATGTAGAGTTTATTTGAACTATATAAAATCTGGTAAGATTGATAATTGAGAGTCTTTGGACTTTAATTCAGATATGTCAATGGGGCTTTTACCAATGATGTAAACGTTGTTTGTTCATTTTATGCAGTCTTTTTTTTGTTTGAGAAGAGCAATATTTCTGGGGGGTTTTTTTTTTTTGAGATTTAAATGGTTAAAGTTAAATAGTAGATGTTGAGATTCGTTTCTTCCCGAGGTTTATTCAAAGTGTGTTGTCCTATTTAGTTTATTGTCATGATACTTTTTTTTTTTCACAGACGTCTGCAACAATGCGCCTCAACCTGAAGCTTGCTACGTTGTGATGTGTTGAAGAATCTCTAGTATATCAATGCTTTTTTATTCTCAGTTTTGAAAGCAAATTAGCTTCCTTTACTGCAGATCTACCTATACTATAAACTTAAAATAAAAGAAGAATACAGTAAAAGAGAAGCTGTTTGTTGGGAAATTTCATTATAGTATGGTGAAAACCTGCATGGTCCTGACTAGTGCCAACTGCACACTTGGGATGATAAACAAATAATATAACGTGTGACGCCTTCTGAGCATATCCAAAAGATAAAATAAAAGTTCGAAACCATGTTGACTAAGCAAAACGCATAAGGAAATGGATTTACGTCTTCGACTTTCCTAATTTGACAAATTCAGGGTTTTCTATACTTTTCTATCGACTTTAATAAGAGTCAACATATTGAAGCAAAAAAAAAGAAAAAAAATAGGGCACCTTAAACGAACAAGGCCCCTCTATAGTATAACGTATTTTACATAGCTTTATTGAAAGATTGTGTTGAATTAAAGAGAAAACAAAATCTGACGGTTATTAATTAAGGTTATTTCCTTTTTCTTGTAAAACAATGTTTAAAATTAAAAAGCATGATCTTCTCTGCACTGATAATGAACGTAATCGCACTTCCAGATATAGAGGCTGAGATTGAGTGCCTGTTTTTTTTCTTATATAAAGCGAGAAAGGTTCCATGGTTTGTTTCGATATTCTAAGAATAATAATAATAATAATAATAATAAAATGTCTGCTGAAAACGATACCTTCAATGCTTGGGCCGGTGTTGCCAAAGATCAACCTCTTGAAAGGGTTCAACTTCAATTAAGACAATGGACAGAAGATTGTGTCGAAATGAACATCACTCACTGTGGTATTTGTGCTAGTGATGTAAGTAGAAGCCTCTTGTTTGGTCAGATCGCTAATATTTTTTATTCTAGGTCCACACACTTGAAGAAGGTGAAGAATGGGGATCCACAAACTATCCTTGTGTTGTTGGTCATGAAATCACTGGTATTGTTACAAGAGTTGGTAAAAATGTTACCCATTTAAGGGTTGGTGACCGTGCTGGTGTCGGTGCTCAATGTGGTTCTTGTCATGAATGTGACCATTGTAAGTCTGGTAACGAAAACCTTTGCTTCCGTAATATGGTTACTACTTACAACTCCAAGTGGGAAAATGGAGATAAAACCTATGGTGGTTATGCTGATAAATGGAGAGGTGATTGTCGCTTTGCTTTTAAGATCCCTGATCATTTGTCAAATGAAGTAGCTGCCACATTCTTCTGTGCTGGTGTCACTACTTATGCTCCCTTAAAGCGTGCAAATGTCAATTCTGAATCTACTGTTGGTATTATGGGTCTTGGTGGTTTAGGCCATTATGGTGTCCTTTGGGCCAAAGCCATGGGTGCCAAGGTGGTTGCTATCTCTAGCGGTGATCATAAGCGTGAAGTTGCCAAGGAACTTGGCTGTAATGATTATATTAATTCCCGTGACCCTGAAGATTTGAAGAGATACACAAAGAAGTTTTCTCATATTCTTTGTACTGGCTGTAGCTCTGATTTTGAATGTAAGTTGACATACATCAAAGAAAAGAATCTAATCTAGTTAGGGTCTACTTACCTCGCTCTTATCCGTGGTAATGGTTACTTCCTTAACGTCAATGCTCCTCGTTGGAAGTTCCCTGCTATCTCACCTTTTGTTTTGTTGATGAATCAATGTTTTATTCATGGTTCTGCTATTGGTTCTCCTGCTGAAATTGAAGATATGCTTAAATTTGCAGAAAAAAAACAAATCAAACCTTGGCTCCAAAAGTATTCTATGAAAGACGTAAACAAGGCTCTTGAAGATTTCAGAGCTGGTAAGCCTAGATTCAGATTTGTATTGGAAAACTAGTTTCATATATATATATATACTCAATAAAAAAAACACTGTCATTTTTAAAAAAAAGGGATGGGGGAAACTTCTCCTTGATATGACTCTAAGAGGGGAATGATCGACGCTGTCTTACCAAGGTAGAAATGACTATGGGCGATGATTGAAACGGATTCAATTTGCTTTGGTGTAATAATAAAAGTTATAAAACTTGGCTTTCTGAGTCTATTGATGTAGAGAACACAGCAGCTTTGCTAGCAAAATATTGAGAAAATAGGCCGACATGTTTACAAGGTTCTCCACTTGTATCATGTCATCTTCATAACACACTTGGCAAACAAACTCATGCACTAAAAACTACAGCCTCTGGTGCTCATTTTGAGTACTTAAGCTTGTTGATAGCTTCCTTTTTTGTCTTGCAGCGTCGAAAAGAAGCTCAAAGAGTTGTCAAACTCGAGATTTCCAGAGTAATACCCTTTGGTCAAAAATGGCTTTTGGCCAAATTTTACATGCCACTTTTTTTTTTGGTCCAAATCAACTCCAAAGATACCATGAATGTTAGCAGACATTGTTTGTAGTTATATAGAGTATTTATACGCATACAAACGGACTTAATGTTGACTTTATTGGTCTGAGAAATAGACAAAGGTGTACATGGGTTGTTGTCTTTTTCACTGTCAAAGCATTTGTTTACCTGGTGTTTCTGTTACATGAGTAAATATCAAATTACTTATCTAAATAAATTACTATGTTAGTAAGGCACTTGGTTTGATTAAATTAAAGAAAGGGAATATTTACTTATGAAAAACGTCAAAATGTTTAGAAAATTTATGATATATGAAAGGTAGCCTTTCGAATATACATTAAATATGGTGAAAACTATCATGAATTCATACTCTCAATTCGGCTACACACTTTCTTTATAGTAAAAGACATATTCATGTTAAAAGGTACAGTAGCATTTCTATGATCTAGCAAAATCATTAATATTTTGTATTGAGACAAGCCCTAAAATTCAATTTGTGTTCATACACCTAATTCAAAGTGTTTGCTTCTTGTTGATACAAGTACTTTATAACTATTTCTTTGGCCGGTATGTCTACTTTGATTAGTATGTTCGTTGAAATTCATATGTGTATTATCTGCATTCGGTTTTTCTTGTTACTTGTTATTTCTTTTTATCTATGCCTTTTGAGAGATACTCTTTATTGATCTTTTTTTGTTTGTTCATCTTGAAATAGCAAATCTCACTCTTCATTTGTTCTTTATTGTTATTGCTTTTCCTATCATCTTTGTGTGTTCTAGTATTTATCAATAAAATTGTCTTGTAAATGGCCAACTAATGATGCGTAACAAGCTTTGGTTGATTTCTAGCCCTAAAACTCTCTACTTGAGGTTGAGTTATTCTGATGTTGGGATATGCTAGGACTTCATGCCTCACTTGCATTGTTACAGTCCACCTTTCATTTTGGTACTCCATTTTTCAATATGTTCTCTACAGTCAATTCCATCACTTTCAGAAGAATTTGCAAACTGCTCGATACTAAAGACACATAAAGTTTTTTCTAAAAAATACAATGTCCTTCAAATGATCTAATAAAACTAATACACCCAAGAAAAAGAGCTTTGATGAAAGGCTCTACACAACCCTACCTATAGCATCACGCCAATGGATACAGACACATCAGTCTTTTTGCCTAGCCAATTATCGCTGGTTTATTCAATTGTATGGCTTTAAGAGGGAGTGTCTGTATCCGTGCATATGCTGGTTAATGGCTGTTACTCTTCTGTTCTCTGCTCTTTCTGATTGCCTAATGAAATGCTAAAAAAAAACAACGAATACACAAGACTATATCTGAAGATCCATGTTTTCGTTTATTGTTTCGTTTTAAAGCCTTTCAAGTCCAAGTATATACATTCCATGGCTCTAATTCTCTCTTTATGTAAAATACCGCTGAACTATTTTGTTGTCGATATATGCCAATAGTTTCTTGTTGTGTTACCATTTGTGTGTGTGTGTGTGTGTGTGATACTGATGGCGGTCATTTAAAATTGCAGTACAATTTTTTCTTTTTCTTTCCCTTTCTTGATCTTTAAAACTACACTTTATGAACCAAATCACACTAAGGTGTCCTATTTGTAACTCAAGCAAATCTCAAGAATCAAAGAACAAAAGCTTAGCGTAAGCCTTATTACTGCTTTACTTGAACTAAATTACTTTATAGATTCTGTAAGAAATGTCAAAGCACTTATTTATATCAACCATTAGATGCCTGGGACAGTGAAGTAGACGAAGAGAATGATAGTGATGCCTATATACCCAGTAAAAATGGCTCTGATGAAGATGATGATATGTCAGAAGCCCCTTCTTTAAAAAGAAACAGTGGAGCTGCGTTTAAGAAAAAGAAGGCCAAAACGAAACAGGAAGAGGAAAGAGCAAGTGAACCACGACGTATGTTTGCTACTTTTACGAGAATCAATCGTTATGATGGTAAGACTTGCTCTTAAAATAACCGGCTTAACTTATTGTCTATAGACTTGGACGATCAGGAACTAGAGCGAGAACCAACACCTCATTATGAAGTTGAGCCGCCTGCCTTATCAACACGAGGTAGTCCAACACCCTTTCTTGATGATCAAGTAACCAGCCCTGCAGACCCAATTGTTACAACACCTGTTGATCAGCTAATGGGCGAAGCGCCCCTAGACTCTCCAGAACAGCCCATCCTTAAAAGCCCACCCTTATCAAGTACGAGTGTTCGCCTACCCAGCTCAACATTGTTTAAGAATCGAAGTAGTATATTCTCTGGCAAAACAGCTAACTATTTTGACTTCTCTTCTGATGAAGAAGACAGCATTTTTAGTCAACACCAACTCAATAAGAAGCCAGTCGTAAACAATGTGAAGCCAGAAATCTATCGTAAAATGTTCAGTTCAAATGATGACAAACCAGCTCCCAAGCGACACCAGTCTCTCAGTTCATTTAGTCGTGCCATTGGCAACTTATTTGATAGTTCAGATGAAGAGGATATTGTGGCTCCTAAACGTTCATTTATCAAAAAAGAACCCATTATCAAGCAAGAACCTATGGACTATTCACCAGAAATTAAGTCAAGTAGTATTTTCTCTCGCACATCAAAGCTATTTGATTTCTCAGATGATGACGATGACGATGATATGGCTACAGTACGAAAGAAACCAGTTTTTATCAATCCACTTGAATTATCTGATAGTGAAGATGAAGCGCCAATTAAAAAACTAAAGAGTAAACAAAAGACAAAAAGCACTGATCTGCCTGCTATCTTTTCTGATGTCTATTTACCAAAGCCAAAGGCCAAATTACCCAAGCAAGACCCATCTGAATTCTCTGATATTGAAGAGATGCCTATGGAGGATTACCGTAATATAGATAACTATGGACGCACAATCGACATTGATAGAAGAAAGGGAAACCATATTACCATCACTAAGCAAAAGCGCCTATTGTATGAGAGTGAGAGTGATAGCGATACGGACCAACAGAAACTAGGAATATACCAGTCAAGATCAGTCTATAGACCCATATCTGACAAAACAAAGCACCCTACAGAGCAACAGATTTCACTCAGTAAACTATTACAAGAAAAGAAGAGAAGACCATTGCATCGATTTAATCCGTTTATCTTGTTCAATACAAAGACTAGAAGGAAGTTAGCACAAGAGAATCCAACATTAACAGTGCATGAATTGAGTCATTTGGTAGCACAAGCATGGCGTGGCCTTGATAGTGTAAAGAAAATACATATTTGTACATAACTACTCACACTTTACTAGGAATCCAAAGCTAAAATTGAAGAAGAAGCAAATCAAATGAAGCAATTGTTTATACAGTCAGGAGGAAATGGGGTTATTCGACCTAAAAGACCACCAAATAATGGTTTTATCTTGTTTTCTAATGAAAATATGACACAACTAAGAAGAGAGAATCCCCATCTGACCACAGTCAATGCAGCTAGTAAACTACTGGCAGACAAATGGCGTGCGCTTGATGAGGTAAACACTGCCTGAGATAGGCATGTACTGAATTATTTTTATATAGAAAACCAGAGATAGATACAAAGACAGAGCATTGAAGATGAAGAAACGATGGATAGTAGAAAAGCCAGAGGATCATGCAAGATATATAAGCTTACTCAAACGTCCAGAAAAATCATTATTCCAATCTATTCACAACTAAAGAAGACTTCCCATGTATATAATAAAATATCTTTCTTTTCTTTTGTATAAAAAAAAAAAAGAGCCCAATTGTCTTTGATTTCATCTCACAAAAGTAGCAATGAACTTGTATTTCCTTGCTAGAAAATAACTCAAAAAGAGATAGCAACACTAGCTATTCTTCAATGAAACTGCAATCACAGACCATAGAACTATTACATCTTGTATACGTAGCTGTATGAAAACCAAGTAAATAAGAAATAGCTATTTTAGCTTTTCCCTAAAAATAAAACCTTGATAAACTCAAAACTTTCTTTTGTAACAAAACTCGTATTCATTGATGTAAACAGATCATAGACTGGTCCTAGGCGTTACTTTCGACTATCAGTTGAGTAATCAACATAATGTAAACAAACGATTTACTTTGTGATACAAGTAAGAACAAAGTATCCGCTATCTTCTCTTTAGAACAATATTTTCAGATAGTGATAAATGATAGATTCTATCTTGTCTGTGTGCCATAATACATTGTCAATAAGCATATAGACTTGTATAGTTTTTACATACTTGAGAGCAAATTGATCTTTGAAAGTTACACAAATCAACAAAGTTGTTTATGCCATCAAAAGTTCTTTTCATCATAATGAAGCCAATATAAACAAAAAGATCTCATCTCTAAAGCATGGGAACAAAGCAAGTGTAAATGATAAAAAGCGAGTCTAGAAAAGAACCTTTTTTTTGGTCTTTCTTTCATCTTATTTCTCATTCTCAAGACTTAAATGCAAAAAAAAAAAAAAAGGTATTATGTAGCATTAAATTTATGTAGCTAATATTGTTAGTCTCTGTCTCCACGTCTCTTCAAATCAAGCAATACTATGGTGTCTCTTTTTTACAAATCAAAAGGCTGAGATTATTTAGCATACATTTCAATACTTGATTCATCTGATTCTCTTTTGTCTATCTGTCTTCTGGGTACTCTACAAGAACACACAAGCAAAAAAGAAAAAAAAAAGAACGTCCTTATTGACAAGAACCTTCTCTCTGATCTTATCTCTGTGAGTAACTGGCTGGTAGAAGGAAGACTGATGTCGCTTATTGAATCGCGTAAAACAAGGGTATCTGTTGTTGGCCAACTTCCGCGAACGTCTACTCCTGATAGGCAAAGTACCGAAAGAGGGAAACGCACTATGCATTGTCTTGAAGGATACATAGTAGACCTGTAGGGATTATTGGTAGAAGGGTTCACAAACATTACCTGTGCTTCCCTTTGTCAACACTGATAGGTTTGTTGTGAGGAAAGAGCCAACAGAACTAAGCTTTAGCAATAAGGATTATCCTCTGAATTCTACCACAAAGTTGCTTGCGCTATATACGAATTTGCTCTCTTTACTGCTTACTGCTTACTGCTTACTGTCTACTGCCTACTGTCTACTGCTTACTGTCTACTGTCTACTGTCTACTGTCTACTGTCTACTGTCTACTGTCTACTGTCTACTGTCTACTGTCTACTGTCTACTGTCTACTGTCTACTGTCTACTGTCTACTGTCTACTGTCTACTGTCTACTGTCTACTGTATATCAACTGATATTTGATATCAAAAGCATAACTAATACCACAAAACTACTATTGTTACTTTACTGAACCAAGTCTCTTAATGCAACAAGTTAATAAACTTCTTCGCCATTTACCTTAAATTAAGCGATATTTATCCAATATAAAACACAATCAACCTCAATCAATAGTTGCTGTGCTTGATGCAAATACAAAATACTGTCGTAGTTTACCGGCATAGTTTGTGATAAAAGACGCTGAAGATCACGGGCATTACAACAAAAAATTTGCTTATTCTAAATCAGTATTCATTGGCTTCATGAAGTAAATTTGAGCAAAAGCAATCACTGAAAGCAATAGCTTTTACCGGTTATTTTGAGTGTTCAAACATGTCGATGGCTTTTGTTTCACAAAGGACAAAACGAGCATTAGCAGCGATATTTGAAATTGATGCAAAGGGGTTTACCTAAAGAAAAAAAAAACTGAGGCAAAATGGTTTACTTTTCATATATCAATGTTTCTTTTAAATCATCTTTGAAACTATCATATTGCCCTAGGAATAAATGTCTGATTCTTTGTTTTTTAATGCATGAAACGATGATGTTAAAGAGCATTTGATATAAAAAGTATGTTCTTTTAGCAGAAAGATCAAAGCAAAAAAGAACTTGTATGATCAAGATACAATACATGCCTTCCTTCCATCTAGTAATTGTCTTTTTTAGCAACCAATTCATATTGTTATTGGTAAATTGTATACCAGACAAATAGGGTTGTGCAGACGAATTAATTGGCAATTTTTCACTTGTGATATGTGTGGCCATTCGATGAAAGATAAGCGGATCTTTAAAGGACAGCGATTGTGCTTTAACATTGGTCAGTTTAATGTCAAGTTGACTCACTTTTTTTTTTTAAATTAAAGGGTCAGTTATTGGAGAATTTTTTATTTTAAAAATCCTTCTTTCCCCTTCTTTTCAACATTATGGCCCGTACCTTTACATACAATAACTCACCTGGACTTCCTTGGATTGTTCAGAAATTTGGTGGTACTAGCGTTGGTAAATTCTTGGACAATATTGCCAATGAGGTTATCAAGTAAGTTTGCTCTTTATATCGTTTAGGGTCTTAACCTATTCACAATTAGAGAATATGTCAAGCAAAACCGCCTTGTGGTTGTATGTTCAGCAAGAAGTGGAAAAGATAAACAAACAGGTACCACCAACCGTCTTATCCGTGCTGCCAATGATGCCTTGAAACCCGGATCCAAAGAATACTTGGATATTGTGTCTGCTTTATTAGAAGACCATCTTCAAGTGGCTGCTGAAATGATTCATGATGAAGAGATTAAAAAGGGATTAGAAAATGATATCAGATCTGATTGTGATAAACTCAAGTCGTTTTTAGAAGCTGCTCAGATCATCAATGAAATCTCTCCTAGATCAAAAGATATCATTATTGGTGTAGGTGAAAAGTTGTCTTGTAGAATTGTTGCTGCTGTGTTACAAGATAGAGTAAGTCATGAGCACTAGTTATGTTGTACTTATGAATTAGGACGTGGATGCACAATTTGTGTCTCTTGAAAACATCATTGATAAAGATTTTGATAAATTAGACCAAGATTTCTACAACTATTTGGCTGAAAAGATGGCTAAGGCTGTTGAGCAATGTGGAAACAAGGTCCCCGTTGTTACTGGTAAAGTAAAACATCGATTTATGAAACATGCAGCTTATTTTGGTTGGTTAGGTTTCTTTGGTATTGTTCCTGGTAGTTTGTTGAGCTCAGTGGGTCGCGGTTACACAGATCTCTGTGCAGCATTGACGGCTGTAGGTCTCTCAGCTGAAGAACTTCAGATCTGGAAAGAAGTAGACGGTATCTTTACAGCTGATCCTCGTAAAGTGAAATCTGCTCGTCTCTTACCTATCATTACACCTGAAGAAGCATCTGAATTAACATACTATGGTTCTGAAGTCATTCATCCTTTTACCATGGAACAAGTCATTCGTTCCCATATTCCCATTCGCATTAAAAACGTCGAGAATCCTCGTGGCCAAGGCACTATTATTTTCCCTACAGACATTGTCTCAAAAGACGGTACATCCACACCTCCTCACTCCCCTAAAGTGTTGGCTGAAAACGGTTATTCCTTGGACTTGTCCCGCAAGTACCCTACAGCTGTCACTATCAAAGACCATGTGATTGTTCTTAACGTCCACTCTAACCGTAAGAGTGTCAGTCATGGTTTCTTTGCAAAGATCTTTTCTACTTTAGATCGATATGGTGTTGTTGTTGATCTTATCTCTACTTCAGAAGTTCATGTGTCTATGGCTCTTGGTGAAGATAGTATGGATAAAGAATTAGATCATGTTATTGCTGATTTACGTTCTGTTGGCAGAGTAAGTTTGCTTTCTTGAAGAGTAAGATGGACTGATTTCCCCCTTTCTTTTTTTTTAAGGTGGATGTCATCAAAGACCTTGCTATCCTTTCTCTTGTTGGTAAACAGATGAAGAACATGGTGGGTATTGCTGGTATGATGTTCAGTACCTTAGCTTCTGCTGGTGTCAATATTGAAATGATCTCACAAGGTTCTTCTGAAATTAACATTTCTTGCGTTATTGATGAACGCAGTGCAGTGACTGCAATGAATGCTATTCATGACCAACTCTTAAGCAAGCGTAATAAGCTTGTCTTGCCCTCTCTTAAATTATCATTAGAATAAATAGATTCTTTTTTTTTTGCATATATATATATAAATAGGACATCTATCACGTTTTTTTTTTCTTTTTTTAGCCGGCGTAATTTTTTTTTTTTTTATTCTTTTTCTTTCTTTATGAATATGAGTGAACAAGAAACCTCTTCCTCTACTTTACTCTCCTCTAAACTCAAGGCTTATGACGAAGAAGTAAGTCAATAAGGACTTAACAATAACCAACACAACTTGTGTAGAACGATAAGCTGTTGAGTGAAATCAGAGACAACGAACAAAAGTTTACAAACTCTCTTCGTGAACAACTTGAAAAGGTATATTTCATAAACTATTACCATGTAGCTTATGTCTGTAGGTTCGCAAAGACAAAGCTGTATTGGAAGCTGACCTCAAGTCACGTACAAGAATATATGAATCCAACCTGAATCAATTAAAGACAGTCAATGCGTAAGTCAAATAACATATCAATAAGACTCATCATCATGATTAGTAAAGAGAATACAGATTATCTACAAGAATTGATGGCTATTAGTGACTTGAATGAACTCAGAGATCAAGTCAAGAAATTGCATGAAAAATGTGTTGAACAAGAAGCGCATATCAAAAGACTAGAATTTGAATTGGAAATGGAACAAGGACATGTCAAGATACTCAAGCATGATAATAAAATGTTGAGACAAATGGCAGTTGATATGGTAAATTTATATATATATATATATGTTTGTGTGTGTGTATTGACTTTATCTATGCTCTGTAGAATTCAATGGCAGAACAAGAAGAAGAGTTTATTTCTAATCGTCTACTCAAAAAGATCACTGGTCTCAAGAAAGAAAAGGGAGAATTACTTTTACAAGTTGAACAAGAAGAAGAATACATGACAAACATGCTTCAAAAGAAACTAAATCAACTTCAACGTGAAAAGATTGATATGGAAAACTCATTGGAGCAAGAACAAGAGTATATTGTCAATAAACTTCAAAAGCAACTTGAATCCATGAAATTGCAACAACAACAGCAACAACAACAAAAGTCTCAGTCTAGTTCTCCTTTACTATCTGTACACCATGATGCTACTGCTGGCCCTGTATCTCCTGTCATGTAATCATTTCCCTTTATTTATTTATTTATTTATTTATTTATTTGACATTTTTTAGTCCCAAGAAATGGAGTTCTTCTTCTACTACAAGCTCAGTCAATGAAATTCAAACTGGCACTGCTGAAATGTTACTCTCCGAAATTGCAGTGCTCAAGAGCAAGACGACTGAAATGGAGAAAGAATGCAAGTAAGATGCAACACAAACAAGTACTCACTATCACTATAGTCCTTTTGAAGATGCAACAATGTAACAAATACAAAAGTGAATTGATCCAATTCCGTAAACAATCTGGTTTACCTACAGACGATATTCCTTTGGATGAAGGGTAAGACACACAAGCCTATGGTTCTAAGTCACTCAATTTCTATAGTATTCCTGCTGTCTTTAGAACAGTGCCTCCTTCACCTGGAAGAGGTAGCCGAGTAAGTTTAGAGTGTGACCATCAGCTGATCCTGATAACATTTGATAGGTTCGTCGTTCTACATCCACTTCTTCTCAAAGATCTTTGGCTTCAGATAAGAACATCAACAACATTCCTCCACTTCAACTTGACGCAACTGAACCTATGCCTCCTTTTAACAGATCAAGTAAGTCTACATTCTATAACATGCACACATAATTTATATCTTGTCATAGGATCTAATAGTTCAACATCCAATTCTGTACCACCCAAATCATCCAGAAGAGTTTCAGGCACTTTATTAAGTTTAGCTTCTCAAAACAGTTTGCAATAAAGATGTTACACTTGCGGAATTTCATTCATGTTGTTATATCTTCTGCATATGACGCGTCGAAACTTTTTCTTTCTTTCTTTTTCTTTACTTTATAAATGACTATCAAGCCTATCAATGAGTATCCTGTTCATGGCTTGATGCCTAAACAGGACACTCAAGCTGCCAGTTTCATTAAAAAGTTCCCTGAATATGATGGTAGAGGAACTGTTATTGCTATTCTCGATACTGGTAAACTTCTAGAAAAAAATAATAAAAATAAAAACAAAGGACTCTCTAACGTGATGTATTAAAACTAGGTGTGGATCCAGGAGCTGCTGGTATGCAGGTAAAATAAGCAACAAGGTAAAATAGAGTTTAATGAACGTATCATTAGGTTACTACTGATGGAAAACCTAAAATGATTGATATTGTGGACTGTACTGGAGGAGGTAAGGATCTTATGCATAAAAGAAAAAAACGGGATTGATCGTCTGATAGGTGATGTTGAAACCACCAAGATTGTGAAGCCTACAAAAGAAGAAGATGGCAAGCAAACCATTCAAGGTCTTAGTGGCCGTACATTGATCTTGGACGATGCTTGGAAGAATCCCAGTGGTGAATACCGTGTGGGTCTTAAACGCGCTTATGAATTGTTCCCTAATGACTTGACCAACAGAATTAAGACTGTAAGTAAACGACATGGATCCATACAATAACATCACTCATCTTGATTCAGGAACGCCGCCAAGTACATGACAAGAAACACGCTCAACTTTTGAGCGAGGCCCAAGCACGTCTTGCCGAATACAACAAAAAGACAGATAAGGACCAAGCTGAATTGACCGAATTGGAAGATCGTGTTGAAGGATTAAAGGCGTTGCAAAACAGCTTTGAGGATCCTGGCCTTTTGTTTGATTGTGTTGTCTTTTTTGATGGCAAGGATTGGCGAGCTGTTATTGATGTGGATGAATCTGGAGACTTGAGAGGTAAAACAGGAAATTGTTGCCTAAAAGAGAACAAAATTTTTGGCTGACTTTTGATTCTAGGTCAACCTTGTTTAACAGACTATCGCAAAGAATTACAATACCATACGTTTGGAAAGGCAGATTTACTCAACTTTTCAGTCAATATCTACCATAATGGTGATATACTAAGGTAATATGATCAAAGTATCAATACCAAATGATTCACTTCTTTGATGTGTAGTATTGTGACATTGGCAGGTAGTCACGGTACACATGTTGCAGGTATTGCCGCTGGCAATTTCCCCGATGAGCCTGCCCTGAATGGTGTATGTATATAAGGAAATATGAACTCGAAGTAGAAGTACTCAACATTTTTCTTACTATGTGTAGGTCGCACCTGGTGCTCAAATTGTCTCTCTTCGCATTGGTGATTCACGTCTTGGATCCATGGAAACAGGTCCTGGCTTGACCCGTGCTGCTGCTCATCTTGCCATCAACAAGGTAGATTTAGCCAACATGTCTTATGGTGAATCTAGCAGTCTTCCTACTGACGGTCACTTTATTCAACTCTTGGCTAAGGAAGCCATCGGCAAATCAGGTTGTATCTTTGTCACAAGTGCAGGTAATGATGGTCCTTGTTACAGTTCCATTGGCGCACCTGCTGGCATGGACGCTAGTTTTATTACTGTGGGTGCTTATGTCAAACACGCTCAAATGCAAGCTGAATATGCTCTTCTTGAATCCGTTACTGAACGTCCTTATACTTGGTCTTCTCGTGGTCCTACCACAGATGGTTACCATGGTGTGGATATTTATGCTCCTGGTAGTGCTATCACAAGTATTCCTGTCTACGTCTTGAACAAATTGGATCTCAAGAACGGCACAAGTATGTCGAGTCCTAATGCTTGTGGTTGTATTGCTTTACTTGTGTCTGCCCTGAAGGCCCAAAAGCAAAACTACACACCTTACCGAGTCAAAAATGCCGTTGTTCAAACAGGTAAATCAGTAGATGACCCCCTTGATGTTGGATTCATTCAAGTCGACAAGGCTTGGGAATACCTTGAATCCTATAAGGATCGCAAAGATATGGACTTATTATATAGAGTCACTGTTCAAAAGAGAGGAGCTCAACGTGGTATCTATCTTCGTGAATTAGATGAAGTCAGTCAGATCCAATACCTCTATACTACAGTAACACCTCATTTTATGGAAGAAGAAGATCTCGAGAACCCTAAATACAACAAGGCCAAGTTCAATTACGATGTCCGTGTTGCCCTTGTTGCCTCTGAATCATGGATTACTGTACCTGATTATGTCTATCTTTGTTCAAGCGGCAATACCTTTCAAGTTAAGGTAGACCCTACCTCACTTTCTGAAAGCCAGTTCCATTATGGCCAAGTACTTGGCTACGATACTTCTGCCCCTGAACGTGGTCCTCTTTTCCGTATTCCTGTCTCTGTTGTGAAGCCTACTGTTCCCACAAAGGGATCGATTCATTACAAGAGTGTTGAATATGGCCCTGGAGATATTGTCAGACGCTTTGTCCAAGTCCCTGAAGGAGCTACCAGCTGCGAACTTGTGATCAAGGCTCATGCTCCCGCAGACAGCACTGCTCCTGCCAGATTCATGCTTCATCTGTTGCAACTCGTGCCTCAACAAAATCAAAAGAAAAAGCAAGTGTATGGATTTGCTTTGGGTAATGGTTCTTTTGGCGACTCTTCTGCTGATGAACAAATCATCAAGAAACATTTTGCTGTTCGAGGTGGTCTCAATCTTGAAGTCTGTCTTGCTCAGTTCTGGTCGAGTCTTGGTAAGCACAGTCTTGACTTGAGCCTTCATTTCCATGGTGTTCAAGTAGGCCATGATCAAGGTTTGATTCGTCTTGAGCCCCAAGTGACTCGTTTAGACATTACCAGCCCTGTGCGTAAAGAAGACAGCTTGAATGCCAATGTGAGCTTCAACAAGCTTCGTAAATACATTCGTCCTTCAGATGCTACTATTTCACCTATGCACCCTGACCGCGATACATTGCCCAGTACCCGTCTAATGTATCAACTTGTCCTTTCTTACAAATTTAAGCTTGAATCAGCTACCACCATTACAGCACGCTTTCCTACTGTTATGAACCGTCTTTATGAACACTTTTTAGCCGGTGTCTTTGGTATTATTTACGATGCCAATCAAAAGGTCGTTGGTTACCTGGATGTCTTTGATCATAACATCAAGTTGAACCAAAAGGGAGATCATACTATCATGCTTCAATTATCAACTGAACAAGAAGATGTGCTTGAAAAACTCAAGGATACTCTTTTGGAATTAGATTTGGACTTGAAGAGCACTAATTTCAACACATTTAAGACCATAGCTGATGTCTTTACTCAAAGTAGCTCCAACATGACCAAGATTGCTCTTGAACGCAAAGACCCCAAAGTGTTGTACGTGGCTGCTCCTACAGGTAAAGACAGCATTCCTAAAGAAGCCAAGGCAGGTGATGCTTTGGTAGGCAAATTGACTTTCTTTGGTAAGGTTGATGGTGGTGAATACAATGTTGTCTACACAGTACCTCCTACACCTACAGAAAACAACAAGAAGGAAAAGACAGACAAGAAACCCAATGATCAAGAATTGGAGCAACAATTAAAGGAAGCCACTCTCAATCTACATATTTCTTACCTCAAGAAATTTTCTGCTGATTCTGCTGCTTATAAAGATCTCTTGAGCAAGTTGGAGTCTTCTTATTCAGACGATATCGCTCTTTTAGAGTACAAGTTGAATGCTGTATGGACCGCATCTGCTGGCAAGAGCAGCACAGATTGTTTATTGAAATCAGATCAATTGACACAAACACAAGCTGATGAAATCATTCAGACTGCAGACAAGATCCTTGCCAAATTCAATGAACGCGAATTGCTCGAATTCTATGGTCGTAAGAAGCCTGACGACGAAACAGAAGAACAAAAGGAAAAGCGCAAAGAAAATGACAATAAAAAGAAACAACTTGTCAATGCGCTTGAAAACAAGGCTATGGCATATGCTGCCATTTCTGACAAGGAAGGTTTGAATGCCACCCTTCTATCTTTGGAACAATGGAATACCGATGATAGCTTGAATTCCTTGTTAGTCAAGGTACAACGTGATCGTGCATTGGGTCATCCAGGCACAGCTCTCAAGTCTATTCAAAAGTATTTGTCTGATGTCTCCATTTCTGCTGATACTACCAAGGATGTGATCAAGGCTTGGACTGTTCGTAATGAACTCTTGAAAGAACTCGGTTGGTCCTTATGGGCTACATATGATGACAAATGGAAGCTAATTAGACAACCACCTTATGGTCTTGCTTTGTTTTAATTAAACTGATTTATATATATATTTATGTACAATGAAAGAAAAGAAAGAGGAGATGATATTAATTAGTGGTAATGGATGAAGAAGAAGAGGGTTCTTCATAACGTGGTGTGTATTCGGGTAGATCTAAATCTACATTGACTGCATCATCGCCTCCTCCAACTGTGATGGTTGTCTGAGTTGGCTCAGTAGGAGCAATATTAGGCGATTGCTCTATGGACTCTAATGTAATGGCAGGATAGTCAGTAATAATAATGGGAAATTCAAGCGTAAGTGGCTCAATGGTCAAATTGGGAGGTTGGCTGAAATGAACAGTAAGTCTACAACGATGAGAAATTTCCAAGAATGGGTCGAATTGATGCGTTTGGATGGATCTAATTTTGGGATTACTGGATAATGGTATAGGTGATCGAATAAAATGAGTTTCTGAGCTGCTTGAGAATGAAGGTAGGTGGTAAACTGCGGGTGGGAAGCGTGTGACTATTGGTGGTAAACTATGAACACCTTGTCTTGTACAAAACCTGAATACAGGATGAGTATATTCAAGCAGATTACCTTGCTCTTACCTGTATGTTTCAATTTCTTCAATAGCTAGCTGAATTCTATCTACTTCCACTCTTTCCTTTTCAATACTACAGCGAAAAGCCACTACGACCTCACCAGACTCTACTGCTGTTGCCTTGGGAACTTCAGCAGACCATTCAAACCATTCTCTCACACCATTGTATGTACTGCAGGGAATCATGGCACTTGGACTTGGCAAATAATGTCGATGGATGGTTACTGTCTTGTGGGTTTTATATTTCTTGAAGAATGTCCCTGCAGAAAAGTTGGCAATCAACGTATATTCTACAAATGAATGTCGAGTTCTGCAGCTGCCTGGTAAATGAGGTGGTAAATGAAGGCCAAACTCAATCGATTCTTCCCCAGAGAATATAAGCTCTTTTTCAACTTCACAAATAGGCACAGTGGTTTGAATTTTTGTGTATTCTGAAGAGTCATCCACTATATCGCTATCGCGTGGGAAAACAGAACGAGGGGCGTTTATGTCTATGCCTGCTTTACCCACAAATTGAAGGGTCACTCTGTTCCACTTGATTTTACGGTCTTGAAAAATTACTTTGCCCATTAATTTGGTTCGTACTTGGTACATGGGATTTTCCCTTGTTGCAGGGCCGATGAAATAGACAGGTGCATCGCTAATTTCTAAAAGTACTGGTAAATGCTTGCTGGAAGATGTACTTTCATTAGTAAATCGCTTCATACCAAAAAGCCTATTCTTTTTAGAAGAAAAAAAAAATATAAATAAAGAAAAAAGGAAAAAAAAATCAATTGGTGGTTGATAAAAAATTTGTTTTTGTTTGTGTGACAATCAATCCATTGTCTGTGTTTTATTGAAGCAATTCCTCGTTGAGAAGAACAAATGAAATGAAGGTTTGTAAAATCAAAAAAGGGTATGTATGTTGAATGCAAAGAGGGAAAGATATGTTACAGAAAATGAAAGCAAAAGAAAACAAAAACTAGTAAAGCACACGAGTTTGAATATTGGCACGAGTGGTAATCAGAGCACTGTAGAGTTTTTTGACATCAGTCACATCAGCAATGTCGGCCATTACATAAGCAATATCACCCTTGGAGTCAGAGTATTGCTTTTCCACATTATGGTCAGCAAAAATCTCATTGATTTCCTACAATAGGTTAGTTTGAATATAACTATGGTTTTGTATGCTTACCCTGAGTACACCTGGAATATTTTGATGAATGTAAAGAACACGAACCATGTTCTTGTCGTCTTCACGGATAGCACGCAAATCAATTTCAGGGAAATTAACAGCACCAATAGAAGTGCCTTCATTGATAAACTTGGTCAAGGCAGTGGAGACTTCAATACCGATCATGCTTTGAGCTTCTTCTGTAGAACCACCAATATGAGGAGTCATGATCAAGTTCTTTGCGGTCAATAACTCGGGATAATAGTCAAAGTTGGGACCATTGGCAGCAGGTTCTTTGGGATACACATCAATAGCAGCACCAGCAAGATGACCAGACTGAAGACCCTTAATAAGAGCAGGAATTTGAACGACAGTACCGCGGGCATTGTTCAAGAGGTAAGCACCTTTCTTCATTTGTTGAATTTCATGATCGCCAATCATGTTCTTTGTGTCTTCAGTTTCAGGGACATGCAAGGTAACATAGTCTGAGATAGCTAAAAGCTCATCTAAGCTTTCAACGGGCTTAGCCTGACCAAGAGGCATGATTTGAAGCACATCATAAAAGTAAACAGTCATACCCATGGCTTCAGCTAAGACAGACAACTGGGCACCAATATGACCATAGCCAACGATACCTAATACTTTGCCACGAATCTCAAAGCAGTTCTTGGAGACCTTATTCCAGATACCTTGGTGCATTTCAGTGTTACGGTCACCGAGTTGACGTGCAAGCATAATGATTTCGCCAATCACAAGTTCGGCAACAGAGCGAGAGTTACTGAAAGGTGAGTTAAAGACGGCAATCTATTTAATACAAAAATGAGTAGGGTTATAATTGATTAAACTACTTACACCTTGTTTGGCAGCAGCTTGAAGGTCAACTTGATTAGTACCAATACAGAAGCAACCAATGGCCAATAAGTTTTTGGCTTGGTCAAGTACTTGCTTGGTAAGCTTAGTCTTGGAACGAATACCAATAACATGCACGTCACGAATTTTTTCAATAAGCTCATCACCAGCCAAAGCTTTAGCATATGTTTCAACCTAGACAACAATAAGTAAAAAAAAAAAATAAGCATTTAAAATTCACTTACTTGATAGCCTTGTTTAGTAAATGCCTTGACAGCTGTTTCGTTTACATTTTCCAACAACAAGATTTTGACTTCACTTGTGTTGAAAGGACGAAGTACTTTAGCTTTGGGTAAAGTGAAAGAGCCGGAACGAGTACGCTTGGGCTCTTCGGGTTGAGTGATGTTTTCCGATGCATGGACCATGTTAGAGATGTGATAGATAATAAAATGATGAATAAAACAAGAGAAAAGACAAGATTTATATAATGCTTGTCATTTAGGCAATTCAGTCTCAGATTAGATCCAGATGATCATTGCGCAATATCTTTCGAGTCACGCATAAAGACGAAAAATGAAAGGACCATCGTACAGGATTTCTTCGGAGATTGACAGTCTTTCTGACTCATTCATAGAAGAAGAATAGTCAAGAAATTTGTATTGCTCGGTGCAACAGTAGATAAGGCCGATTTCTGTTTGGGTCTCTATTGGCAGTTCCCATCAACTGTACTGAAAGAGAAAAAAGGAGAGGAGAAGAGAGAGATAGTAAGCGAAAGAGCAAGATATATGTATTTCGGAATTATAATTCGTTTGATACACTGATGATGATACTGATATGTTTATATCTTGACTCATCCTTTTGCTTTATGGTTGAAAGAAGCTATTGTTTGCTATTGCACAACTTTCCTAAATTAGCTACCATCAGATAGCCATTTTCATATGTCAAAAGCAATGCTTACAGCAAATAGAAAGCGGAAACTTAATCTATGTTGATTGAACCACGTAACAAAGATTCATAGGCAAGTCTTTGTTTGTGTTCACTCATAAGAGAAAAAGGGGATTCGAAAGCATAAATCTCTCATTGTTCCTAAGGATCAAATTTCTTAAATTGTTAAATGTCTCCTCTTCCCTTTTGTGTATCAAAACCTTACATTTAATTTTTGAATTTTTCATGTAAAATGATCAAGTTTGATAAATTAAAAAAAAAGAGGAGAGAATATGGAACCCTTTAATGTGCCTATGCATATATTGTTAGGAGAAAAGAAAAGAAAAACGTATAAATTGTGAGTGATCAAGGATTGTTTTTTGAAAATTATCATCTTATCAATATGAAGTTCTTCACCATTCTCACTGTCCTCTCTGCTTCTGCTTTGGCTGCCGCTGCTCCTTGTACTCATGAAAGCCACCATGGTCACAACTCAAATTATGAAGACAATAGTGTACATGTCAACAAAGAAAACACTCAAGCTATTGGTGGTGTTGCTAACAAGGGCTCTAACAGTGGTCTCGTAAGTATTTTGTTATTTATCAAGATTTATTCTGACAAAACCATAGCTCTCTGGTCTTCTTGGCGAGACTCACATCTTGAGCCATGAAGAAACCAACAATATTGTCACTCAAAAAGGTGAAAATCACTAATTCATTTTCATATTGCATGCTTCATTGTATTCCATACTCTATTCATTTCATTGCATTTTCACATGGTCGGCATATTCACTACAACAAGCTTGTTCTTTATCAAATAAAATTTCATGGTTTGTCTTTAAATCTCCATTGGTATGAGATGAAAACATGCTTTTTTTGTCAATGTTTAAAAGGTCAAGTAAAACAAATTATACAGCTTACCATAACTAGTTTCCTGAATAAAAAAAATTTTTTTTGATAAAGCGATTCATACTACTCAAACATAGAATGAGTACCTTTATTTGCGAATAAGAGTATTTGAGCTGAAACATGTTTCTCACTTTTAATTGATTGGCTTTGACAAACCTGCTGAGTATCTTTTTATGAAGCATGCTAATGTTACTGGACTAGAGAGGCCAGAATAATAAAAAAAAAAATCTCTATCGTTTAACACTAAAGCTTATCTATTATGTTATTATTCCACATGGTTAGTAAAGAGAAGAAAACAAAAGTGAATCAAGTTGCCTCTAACGATCGTAGCATAGTGCTTTGTAATGGTACTAAATTTCTAGCGTTTTTGAATTAACTGGATCGGTATTATGAGCCGAAAGATTAGAAATTAGGCATAAGCTAAGATGTCTACGGAAGCCTGTAGTTTTTCCATGGTAGCACACCTTTTTTTAAATGATATATATAAAAAGAAATACTGTATATTTCTAGAAAAGAATGTCGTGCCTCTAAAAAGACGACATAAAAATGCAAATGGTTCAGTTATTGATATTAACGATTCTTAATGTGTGCTGTATTTTCAATTTAGTTAGCTCTTAATCTGTGTCATTCCAAACTTGGAGAGAAAGGAGCAATGTTACTCCTGGCATTCAACTCAACAACAAGTATCCCACAAGAAGCTCTGACTCTCAAACTATTATGCAAATCGTCTATATTGTCGATTGTAAGAAAAACTGTCACTTCGTGCCGGCATGGCTGGTAACAAGTTCAATACTGGGGAGGGGTGAAATTGCTGATTTCTAATTAGTAATATGAAACTGTTACTCAAGACACCCATTGCGTTTACGCTAGTCTAAATAGACTGCTGCAAAATCAGTTGTTGAATTGAAAATGCAAACTGTAGTAAGGTTTCTTTTGACAAACACTGTTGTTGTGCGCTTTCTCGTACTACTATTGTCCTTTCTTTTTCCAAATCAGGTCGACCATCACTAGAATTGAATGGATTAAAAGTAAATTGAATTTCTGTATTTGAATAAACAACCTTTACGAGAAAAAAAGCTTTCTTAGTAAATGTATATTTTATGCCGTTCTTTCAAATTGAAATATAAAATGATCGTCTTTTCTGTGAAAATTTAAATAGTTTATTTCGTCTCTTATTGGTAGACACATATTTATCTTTCTTAACTCTCACAGAGACTTTGAGCTGCTTTTTAATATTTCGAAATGTGCTATTGCATTGTTTCCTCTTTAACAACTAACACATATGCGCTTTGTTGGTTGATCGTAACTTAATTGAAGATCATTCTAGTTCGCAAGCAGCTTTTTCTTTACTAAACTTACAAGCTTCAAATCCTTCCATATTAGTTTTAATGATTTGAAATGCCTATTGTTGAAGCATGCTTGCCAATGATATTTACATTTATAGCAATTTATTGAAGACCCGATCAGGTAAGCACCCTTAAACCGGAACAGCCCTTTAACCTCCCGAACCAATCAAATATATTTTCGAGCAATGAAAGCCCTTTTTATTGCAGGAGTGAGTCAATGCTATAGTTGTTTTAAAAGGCAGCAAGAAAAGAAGTACAAAGATTTCAGACTTCAAAAAAAGCAATAGCAAGGCACAATTCTTAAATAAGGACATTATTTATATTGATCTTAATATTGATTGGACCAACAATAATGACTTATGCATGTTTTATGCCCGCCAATTTATCACTCAACATTCCGCTCCATATCTTTTTCTGTACATTCGCTGTCTTTGGTTTCTTTTTTGTTTCTGTTTTTACCAGTATTATTACTTGGTGGTACAATCGAGTGTTTTTTCTTTTTTTAAAAATAAGGACTCCTTCCCAGGGGTAAAGCAGGAGAATTTACAAAGTAAAAATGGGAATTTTTATTGTTGTTTCGAGTCCAGACGCTTAGTAGAGTCGGGATAAAAACGAATAATTTTTTTCTTTTGACTTCTTGATCGTCAAATCTATCTTTTTATTTCTTTTTCCTCTTGTTTCTTCTTTTTTTTTTTTTTTTTTTTTTTTTTGAGTATGATCAACTCTTTTGAAAAAAGATCAAACAAAAGGCTAAAAGTTGGCAGGGCATGTTATACTTGTCGCGCTAAAAAGATTAAAGTATGAAGAAATTAAATTTTATTTCATAAATAGTTATTATTAATCTTTTTTTTTTTCTTAGTGTGACGGATTAAGGCCCTGTATGCAGGTACTTAGATAATAAAAAATACAAAAAATTTGATATTTACAATTCATAGTGCAAAGGTATATAAAATAAAATAAAAAGCTGGTAGCAAGGTTAAGATTAATTAAAGTTTAATACAAAATAAACAAAAAGCTCGGCAGCGCCCGTGCTCTTTCTACAAAGATGGTTCACTTGAATTGGATCAACAAGAAAAATCTAGTGAAACCATACACAGTAATAACAGCGAACCTCTTGGCACATTGAAGACCAACAGCGACAGACTCGACTCTAATGAAGACAACAGTAATGATGATAATGATGATCATATTTTGTTTGCAGACACATCTTCAGCAAATCACAATAGATTGAAGCGAAAAGGCCCTTTGATGGAATCATGGATAAGCAATGCATTGGGATCTCTTGGCGATAATCTACGAAAGCTATCAAGCGTCGATAGCAATCGCCTATCAGAAAGGCTGCTCAATACAACAGATTCTTATGGAAACTTTATTATGTGGATGCCTGAACCTTCACTTCCAAGTCGTTATTCTGGTTCAATCGAAATGCCATCGCGTGACATCCAAATGGCCTTGATAGATCAGTTTTTTTCCGAACGTTACGAATCTATCGCGCTTATTCCTCGAAGTTACTTTTATGAACAAATCAAAACGAAGGGACTCTTGGTGACCCCTCTTTTGCTAAATATTATTTATGCACACGCAGCTCGATTTGTCAATATACCTGATTGTCCAAAAACAGAAGTCTTCCTTCAACGAGCCAGACGACTTGTGGATGACTTTTTGGATGTGCCTCGAGTTAGTACAGTGGTTGCTCTTTATTTACTCAGTCTCTATGAACCAAGCCCTAGCATTTATCGACCCGGCTCGTTTCAGTGTAGACAGTGGCAGTATTCAGGCATGGCCTGTCGCATGGCAATCGAGCTCGGCCTACATGACGATACAAATGTACACTGCAGTCTTACGCCTGTCGAAATTGAATTGAGAAGACGAGTATTCTGGGGCTGCTATGATCTTGATAAGTTCCAAAGCGGAGGTTGGGAAAGACCTTGGATGATTCCAAAATGCTTTATCAAAACCTTACGTCCATCGCCTTTACTAGAAGAGTCAGATGAAGATCGCCTCATTATTAATATTTTCAGCAAGAAGCTTCAATTCATGAGCATTGTGGAAGATGGACTAATACTCTTGTCGGCTAGTCAATCTTTTCAACACAGCGATGTAAATGATTTTCTTGGTATTGTGCGTGAAGATATGATCAACAATATAGCAGACAACCACAACAACTATCAGAAATGGCTTCGGTCTTTACCTCATGAAATGCAATGGACGCCTACTTCCACTATGTCAGTTAAAGATGTGCTAGAACTACCTGCGCCACGGCCAGCTATAGCGCATATGCATCTGTACTACAACCTCATTCATCTAAATATATTGAATAGAGTGACCACAAATTCGGTTGTGCAGTTTCAGACAAGAGTTACAGGCGCATGTATAACTCAACTCGTTTATCATATGTGCCAATCACCTTCTTTTATTGTCAAATTCGATTTTCTAGTACATACCCTGATTCATGCCATCAAAGCACACATACGCTTTTTAGACGATCCTGATATTAATCTAGCTCAGCAGGCCTGGCTTCTCTTTGATAGATCTATCTGGTGTATGCAACTCATCAATAATTATGCCGTCATACCTAACTGTAGTAAATTTCTTCAGCAAGTTCAAAACATTTATGGGATACACATGTCTACCTCAAATGGTAGAAATACAAACAATAACGATAATAATAGCAGTAATCATAGTGATACCAATACCAACAACGACCATGGATTGTCACCCAAGAGACTTCATGATAGTAATGAGTTGGCTGAAGAAAGAGGACTCATAGGTCACCCTAGGGTTGCCCCACCTCCTCCACCTCCTCCACCTCCTCCATCACCTCCTCCGCCTATACAATTCTCTGATATGCCTCCTTACCTTGATTGGACGCCCTCCAACATGAATCATCAACAACAGAATACAAGCAACAATATTATTCAAATGACTAATGCCAACAGTAACGGCAGTCGAAATATAATTTATTTAGACCATCAGTATCGATTGCATGATAGAAGTAACAACCGTTATGACCAAACAGTAAGAAACAGCTCTTCACAACTATGGAGCGAAACAAACAATCGACAATATGCACTTGGTAACAGAAGCAACAATAGTTCAGGCAACAACAATACGAATTATAATGCGGGTGAAATTGTTGTTCCTAGCCAGCTTTTAGTTGATGAATCACCATATCAGCGACAAGAGTCAACATCACAGCAAACGCCACCACCCCCACCACCACCAACACTGACAAATTCACCTTCAAATGCTTCGAACGCAAGATTTGCCCAACAAGTGTCATCCAATCCATCCTCTACCTTATTATGGCAAAACCCTCCCCCAACAAATTCTAATAGCAATTTGACAGGTAAAGAAGCACAATACCATAACATGTCTGTCTGACATACCTTATAGATGAGAATGAGGCGCCTGTTAGAAAAGGACTTGGAGAAATTTACATGTCATCAAGACAACATTATGAAGAAATGATAAAAAGACCACCTTAATTAAATAATAAAGTTTTATAATACACAAGTCTATTTATAAACAAAAAAACGGAAGGATATAAGAGTAAAAAAGATTAAGCAGAGCCAACGTAACCATCCTTTTCAAGCAACAAGATGATTTCGTGAACAGCTTGAGAGACAGATTGCTTAGTAATGTCAATAGTCAAGTCAGCATTAGTAGGAATTTCATAAGGAGCATCAAGACCAGTGAACTCCTTGATTTCACCACGTTGAGCACGTTCATAAATACCATCACGGTCACGCTTGATACATTCTTCAAGAGGAGTAGCGACATGAACAAGGTAGAAACCACCGTATTGTTCAATAGTCTTTCTGGCAGCATCACGAGCTTCAGTATAAGGAGCAATAGGAGCAACAATGGCAGCAGCACCAGCACGGGTCAATTCACCAGCAACAAAAGCTTGACGAGCAATGTTGATATCACGATCACGCTTAGAGAAACCGAGTTCAGAAGAGAGCTCAGTACGAACATTTTCACTAGCCAAGAGAGAGACAGAACGAGTAGATTGTTGGTTCAAAGACACTTGAAGGGCACGAGCAATGGCATTCTTACCAGAGGCATGAAGACCAGTGAAGAAGATAGTGAAGCCTTGTTGGCTACGAGGAGGGTGAGATTGACGCAAGACAGCAACAACTTCAGGGTAAGAGAACCATTCAGGAATAGGTAAGCCGTTCTTGAGACGACGACGAAGTTCAGTACCACTGATGTTCAAGGTCTTGACACCTTCGGGAACTTCATCGGCAGGAATGTATTCATCAGTATCGGGAGAGTAGGTGACCATTTGGAAAGGAACGATTTCAATACCGATTTCTTCCTTGTACTTTTCAACCAAGGCTTGAGCATCATAAGGACCATAGAAATCAACACCTTGAGAGTTCTTACCGGGACCAGCATGGTCACGGCCAACAATGAAGTGAGTGATACCGTGGTTTTTACGGATCAATGCGTGCCATACAGCTTCACGGGGACCACCCATACGCATAGCCAAGGGCAACAAACTGAGTTCGGCCATACCGTTAGGGTACTTGGGCATCAAAGCCTTGTAGACACGAACACGAGTGTAGTGATCAATATCACCGGGCTTGGTAAGACCAACAACAGGGTGAATGAGCAAGTGAGCCTTACGTTGACGAGCAGCACGGACAGTCAATTCACGGTGAGCACGGTGCATAGGGTTACGAGTTTGGAAGGCAACAACACGGGTCCATTGAAGCTTCTTGAAATGTGCACGAAGTTCAGTAGGAGTGACTAGAGAAGAAACATTAATCACAACCAATAACATACAATGTACTACTTACATCTGTTGGCAACGTAATCATAGTGAGAAGGAGGTTGAATGGCTTCAAGGGAACCACCAACGTTGAGTTCCTTAGCCTTGTTGTGAAGGTAGTTGACAGCAGGATGGGCAAGATCATCAGCACCATAAACCAAAGTAGCTTCCTTGGATTTGTCAGGTCTGTAAACATCCTCAACAGTCAAGATAGCCAAAGGTTCGTAATCACGGGGATCCAACAAGACAATACGCTTGGAGGGTTCAATCTTGGCTTCATTCACTTCTTCTTGGCTAACATCAAGAGTGATAGGAATGGGCCACAATGTACCATCAGCAAGACGCATGTTCTCAACGACACTATCATGGTCGTTAATCATCATTCATCCTCTCTTTTTCCTTTTTTGTAACTTACCCTTCATAATCCTTTTGGTTCAAGAAGCCTTCAAGAGGAGAGAAACCACCATTCAAGAGCAATTCAAGGTCACATAATTGACGGTCTGTCAAGACAATAGAAGGCAAAGAGGCAGCTTCAGCCTTAAGGCTTTCTTGCTTATCAGCGTCACGAAGTTGAAGGTCCTTGAGGACACCACCATGAGGAACGTTGGCCATTTTTAATGAAATATAAAAGAAAGATGTGGATTTTTTTTACCGAGATGTTTGTCAACTTATAAAAGGCTAACTTGTGATGTAGCGACTCAGGCACATGATGGCGCAATTGGACGACATCCAATTAGAAATGACTGACATCCATGTTGAAATCTAAGGTTAAAATCTGATTGGATAAAACTGACGTAGTTTGTCTTTATCAAGTTTGAGATATCCTCTCTTTCATTTCAATATTGTATTTCTCACCAAATTTGAGAAAGACTCAACAAGCAAAACTAGAAACTAGACTCGGCTACCAATACATTTTTGTTTCTTGCTGTATCTCAAATTTGGTGAAGAATACAATAGATGTTCTAAAAAGTGTTGTTTAGCACTGCCAATTCGGGCTAACAAACAAACGGTCACATTGCATGACGCGAAGCTGTAAGCTCTTTTTTTGTGTTTTTTCTTTGCATATTTTTCTTCATGGAACAACACGTTGTATCTGCTGCCCTTCCCATGCTTATTTTGGGTCTCGGATGGACAGGGCAATTTTTAGCCGAGCTTTTGGTGTCTCTACAGTTAAACTATGCAGCAACAACACGTGACGGTAGAAATAACACTATTCAATGGTCAATGCCTTCGGTATGCCAAGATATTGATGTTTCTTCACTACCTTTTGCAAAGACTGTACTTGTTACTTTCCCGGTTATGCAACCAGAATGTATGTCAGCGCTTATGGACGCTTATGAAACAAAACACCAAGCAAAAACTCAATGGATTCTTCTATCTTCAACACGGCCTTTTAACAGCAATCCTGCCGATAGACATACACCCTTGGATAGATCAAAAGACACCGGACGAATGGGTGCAGAAGATGTGGTAATAAAGCACGGCGGCTCAGTGCTGCATTTAGCCGGTTTATGGGGAGGTCAAAGGTAGTACGGCAACTATGAATTATCCGCTAATTTATTTAGACAACCAAAGAATTGGGTACCTCGTTTTCCAACGCAAGAGGCCATTCGAAACAAGCTTCTAGCACGCCAACTGCATTTAATTCATGGTAAGGATGTAGCAAGATCGATTGTTGCTGTTCATGATCAATTCAAACCCGGGGAGAGATGGATTGTGACAGACAATGGATGTTATGATTGGATAAAGCTGTTTTTAGTCTGGGGAAGTGAAGAACAGATTGCAATTGCTAGAGACTTGGCAGCTCATGATGAGACTTGTCATCAGGCACTTGGCAGTGGTTCTTTAGAGGAAATTGTTGCTCGAGGAGGAGTCAAGCCTCGCTTAGATTCAAGTGAGTTTTGGGAAACCTTTGGATTAAATGCAACAAAATATTTGACAATTGAATGATTTAATATCAAATCAATTAAAATAAATTACTCTCTTTTCTCCCCAGCAAGCGCCCTCCTTTTGTTACTAATTTAAGCAACTTTTTATTAACAATCGGTGTCTTAATATGCTTTATCCTTGCTCTTGTTTCTCTTGAATTTTTTTTCCTTTCCTTTCTTTGTTATTTATCAAATGGATTTTCCGTGGCTATCGGACACCCATAAACATTTTGGAAACAAACAAAGGTAACGCATTGATGTTTTTAATTGCCTATACTTATTGTTGATTCATTAGTAATCAACCCACTACTAATTTCACAGACAATGCAAGACGCGCTCGTGCAGGCACAATGCCTTCCTCCACACTCCCTCCTTTGTTTGACTTGAGCCCATATATTGCTCAACAAAAACCACAACATTCTGGTTCAATCAGTAACCTTGATGAGAGTCCCCTTGATGAAAATTCGAATATTGCAAGCACACTTGCCTCTCTGGGGTTACATGACGACGATGGACCAACACCTCCAATGCGCCATCGTGCTTTTACAGTCTCTTCAAGACAATATCCCGACGTATCATCTTTTAGTCTCTTTCCAGAGCAATCTGTTCCTCATCGACGTCCAAGGGCCATTAGTCTTGGTATGGCAGATAGAAAAGGGTTTTCTCCTTTTGATCATTTTCGTACAACTCCAAATTTGACAGACGAACTATTGTACAACACACTTCCTCAAATGGAGGAGGAAGTCAATGAGGAAGGTGGAGGACATCAAACACCTTCCCGTGCGCTATGGTTGGGTAATATTAATCCTTCCTTGAGTGTGCCTGATCTCCACAAGATGTTTGCACGTTATGGCCATGTTGAAAGTGCACGTATCTTATCTGACAAAGAATGTGCTTTTGTTAATTTTGATACTGTGGAGTCTGCAATAGCTGCAAAAAAGGACCTTGTCAATCGACTCGGTAGTAAAGTCAAGGGTAGTGTGGTCAAAGTAGGTTTTGGAAAAGCAGATGTTAGTTTAGCTATGGCACTTTCAAACGAATCTGGCCCTAATGCTCAAGGTCCCACTCGCTCCTTATGTAAGTGAAAAAAAAAAAACGAATGTGTATTTATGGCTAATATTTGCAATAGGGGTTGGAAATATACCATCCAATATCAATCCTTCTGTATTACGATCTTTGTTTCAACCTTTTGGCTCAATTGAGTCCATTCGCATCCTCTCTCACAAAAACTGTGGTTTTATCAACTTTGAGCGTCAAGAAGATGCTGTACGTGCACGCAAGCATATGCAAAACAAAGAGATTTTAGGCCCTGGCACAGACACTGTTCGTGTAGGATTTGCCAAGGCACCTGAAACAAGCGATGTTATTGAAGATGTAGTAATTTCAGGCAATACTGTCACTTCTTATGCTACACCTTCTCAACAGCAACAAAAGCAACAGCAACAGCAACAGCAACAGCAACAGCAACAGCAACAGCAACAGCAACAATTGCAGGACAAGACAGATTCAACGCAACGGAGCAGTGTCATTTTGATGGCTACAATGATGATGAATGCTCAAAAACAACAGCATCAACAAGAGTCTAATTCACTGAGTAGTATGGATGAAAACAAACGTCTGGCAATTGAACGCAAGTTCATTATGAAACAATTGGGTTATGAAGAGAAAGAAGAAGCAAATCGCACACCCATTGAATATGCAACATATATTCCTATTGTACTTGAATTTAGCGCTGATCGTCAATTGGGTCCTCTGCGTCTCCGAGAGATTAGAAAGGCATTAGATAATGGACAAGCTATTCCTGATATTGAAGCTATTGCGTCTGAATGTACTGACGAAATTGTTGAACTCTGTAGTGGTATGTAACTATGAATGCATTGACTATGTATTTATACTTTTTATAGACTATATTGGAAATACAGTAGTTCAAAAATTATTTGAACATTGCTGTGATGAAACCAAAACCATATTGCTTTCTAAAATTGCCCCTCATCTGGCCTCTATTGGTGTCCATAAAAATGGTACTTGGGCAGCACAAAAGATCATTGATACAGCCAAGACAAAGAAGCAAGTTCAGTTGATCTCTGAGCATATTGCTCCTTATGTTCCTCTTTTGCTTCTTGATCAATTTGGTAATTATGTTGTTCAATGCTGTTTACATATGGAACAAAATCAGTTCATTTTTGATGCTATTGTTGACAATTGCTGGGAGATTGGTCAAGGTCGTTTCGGTGCTCGTGCTGTTCGTGCTATTCTAGAGAACTCATCAGTGACTCGAGACCAGCAGGTAGATATATAAAAACTTGCTTTTGTGTGTCTAACATATAAAATAGATTTATGTGGCTGCAGCTATTATGCAAAATGCACTTTTGTTATCTTCAAATGCCAATGGTTCTATATTACTGAACTGGCTGCTTGATACCTCTGGATTACTTCATCTTACCCTCTAGAATATATTTTTTTCTTTTTCTTTTATTTGCATCATACAAATTGTACACAACACATCAAATGTATATATTAAAGAAGAAACATGCTTTAAGCTAAAAGTTTCTTGAGCATTTCTGTTAGTTTCTTTTCTACAAATACAAACAACATGTCGTCCGAACTTGATAAATCTAAACTAACATAAAATTGTTGCTTGTATTTGGATGCTATTCGAAACAATAAATACGATTGATGATGGGCAAGTGTGTTACCTAATCTACGGGATAAGTTGCGACTTTGTTCAGAGACATCTTTACTGAATATTGAAGTGGCTGGTGCATGTGTCTATTCCATGTTAGACGCGTTTTAGCATAACAACTGTTTTACTTGAGAGCCAAAGGGAGGCATAGCAACAGACAAGTCACCTAGTTTTCCGTCTGTTTTACCAGCCCAAACTATAACCGTTTTGTCGAGTTGAGTCACTTGAAAGTGAATAGGCTCAGTCATAAACAAATGAGTTGCCTGACTTGTTAAGAATTTAGATTCAACAATCATAAAGAAAGAAAAGAGTATCAAATTTTTTAAATATACACTATTTTATTTTATTAGAAAAAAATTTAACGGGTCTTGAAGTAATCCAAAAGGACGTTCATGGCTTCAGATTCTTCTCCGAAGTCAGTGACAGCAACACAAGAACAGCCAACAACCTTACGAGCGTTACCTTCACGGTCAATCTTGCAGAGACCGGCCCATTCACCAAGCTTCTTGGCGTCAGAGACCTTGATCAAGTTGATGTTGTGTTCAGCACAGAGGGCTTCAACAAGCTTGATGTATTCGGATTCAGTACAGGTTTCAACGAGAACAGCCAAGTGAGCTTGACGTCTGTTAATTGAAAAAAGAAATAGAGAAAAAATTATCATCAATACTTTTTTTGTTCAAATCAAAAAAAAATCTCCCTTTTTTTCTCTTTGGCTTTTCATGAGGATCAAAAAGAAAGAAGAATTAGTGATAATTACCTGTCAAGAGCCTTAACAGCTTCCTTCAAACCACGAGCAAGACCATCGTGAACAAGGGCACGACGGAGAACTTCTTGAAGAGCGTCTTCAACAGACATTTGACCAGTGGTGGTGGTTTCAACAGCAACTTCGACTTCGTTAATGACTTCTTCGTGGTCAGACATCTGTGGATGGATTAGTTTAAATTGATGGATGGCTATCGTATACGTACATTCAAGAATGGATTTGAAAGGAGAGAGAGTAGTTGAAGGCAAGAGGAAAATGGATTAAAAAGCAGCAATGGCTTGGTAATGTCCGATCCGAAAGTGGTTAATGCAGTCCGCACTACTGTGTGTTTCAACCAACTGTCAAATTGAATTGACGCACTAATCACTCTTGTGATCCCCATTTTTGACGTCTTTCTTCTCTCTTTTTCTGATTCTTTTGTCTGGTTATGTCAAATAATAACAATAACAATAACAACGACACCAATAACAGCAACAATAGAGTCAGCGGACCTACTTCTGCTTTGACCAGTTTCCTTAGAGTAAGAATAAAGCACTATACCGATGGAAACTAATGACTACGCAATCTAGGAACATGGTATTCGTGTCCCCAATACTGGCAGAAGAGCCAGAAGAGAGGCTCAAAGAAACAATGAAATCCCACAAGAACAGGAGGAACAACAACCAGAGTCTTCCGCAGCACCTACCGCCCGAACTTCAATGCTCTATAGACCCTCTGAGAGAAAGACAAAGGATAGCAAAAAGAGAAAGAAGAATGATGGCAGTGATGAAAGCGACAGCGATAGTAGCTTTGATCCCAATGATTTTAGGCCCTCTTCTTCTGGCCCAAGAAAACTGCCTACTGGACGTGCTCGTATTGCTTTCTGTGATCAATGCAAAGGAAGATTTGTACGCAAGACGGAAAATGAAAATATTATTACTTGTCCCAAATGCTTAGCTGGTGAAACTCCTTCCAAAAAACCTTCGCTTAGCAGAAAAAGGACAATTCCTGCTGTTCAAAAGAAGAAAATTTATTGCGAACATCAAATTCCTTCTTTGCAAGAGATTTGTGTATCTGTCGTTGCTGAACACATTGACGAAATAGACACTTTTGGTATCATTAGTGATGAAAGCTTTGAAAAGCTAGGCAAAATCATCTCCCGTAACCGCAAACTGACTGATCAGATTGCGAAGCTGTTTATGGAACCTGATCGCAAAATCTTGAGCTTGGGAGATTGCTCTAAAATGACAGACCATGGTTTGTATATGATTTCTCAATTTTGTATCAGAATGGAAAGATTGTCTTTGATCTATTGTGGTCATATCACAGACAGAACATTGCTAGCTTATTGTGATCGCCTGCACCATTTCAAGTCCTTGGAACTGTCTGGTCCATTCTTGGTGACTAAGGAGGCCTGGATCAAGTTTTTTGAAACCATGGGTCCTCGCTTAGAAGGATTCTCACTTGCCAATACAGCTCGTTTCCTCCAAGAGTGTGTGGATGCACTTGTAATGTATTGCCCTAATGTCAAGAAACTAAAATTGAAGCAACTATCCCACATGTCTACTAATTGGCTAGCCTCGCTTGCTAAGCTTAAAAAGCTGGAGTCTTTGGAACTGGCCTGGCCAACTCATGAATACAAATTCGATACAAAAGACATGGTCCATTTGCTCTCTAAAGTAGGTCCTCATCTAAAGGAGCTTTCAGTTAAAGGAGGTCATCATTTAACGAATGAAATCCTGTCTGAAGGTATTTTAAAGCATTGTCAAAACTTACAAAAATTAAGCTTGGAGCAATGTGGACAATTGACTGCTGAAGCCATGGTTGAGTTTCTTGATAATTGGAAAGCAAGAGGACTTGTTGAACTTAATGTAGCTCGTTGCACTTCGTTTAATGATGATGTGCTGAAGGCTATTGTTCGTCATTCTGGCCAATCATTGAAACGTCTCAATTTGCATAGTTTGCAGTTATTGACAGCTTCTGGTCTTGAACTATTGGCAGGCAATGGCAGTGATTTGAAACCTTGTCGCTTTCTTACTCATTTGAATTGTGGATTTGTACGATCAATGGACGATTTTGTATTAAAAAGACTCATTGATCAATGTGAATCTCTTGAAAATGCTCAAGTATTTGGATGTAATTTGGTAAGCAAATAATGCAGGAATTATTCGATACTAAAAAAAAACAACTATTACAGCTTACAGATAGTGTTAAGTTGAGAGATGGATTACTTGTTGCAGGCAGAGAATTTTAAAATTAGACTTATTCTTGCTTTATTCTGATAGTTTCAATATATTTTTCTAACAAAGGATTGCCTCCTAAACGTTTGATTTCAACTAAAATCTCTTCTTCTTTTTGATGGAGGAATTTACGTACATATTCAAAAGTTCCTGTCTTTTGAATGATTTCCAATGCATATTTCTTTACCTCAATGTTCGTTGGCTTTTGACTAACAATATTCAGCAATTGTCTGTTAGAGACATCTTTCCGGATAGCATGAATGATAGGGAAAGAAAATTTGCCTTCAGTTAAATCCTCGCAAAAGCCTTTGTTTTGTGTATACTACAATTGTTAAGTTACATAGACTTTTTTTATCACTATACTTACTGTGTTGGATTGGAGGTTCATGTAGTCATCACGCACTTGAAAATGAATACCAATGATGTTTACCAAAGAAGTGTAGTCACTAATAGCTTGATAAGAAGAGAAGTTTGTGGCCATCTTTCTAACTTACATTTCAGTTTGACTAGCAGCTTGCATTAAACGAACAGCCAATCTTAATAACCCACTTGTTTCTATTTGAGTAGTTAACGTTTTGAAATTGACCGGAGACACGTACTATTGTTGACCATATCAATATATTCCTCTTCAGTAGGGCATGTTAAGCTGTCTCTCCAATACAACTCAATGCCCTGACCTTTATGTAAATTAATCAATTCTTCGGTACAAGCATGAATCATTTCAGGATTGTTTAGTCTCATGACTTCCTGTAGAGCCAGAAAAATAACATAGTTTGCTGTATTAATAGTCTGAGGAACACCATAGATATGATGAGCAACTGGTACACCTCTTCTTAAGTCAGAATCATCTTGTACATCATCAATCCTATAATCATAATAAGTATTATATCTAATTTTGTTCATCTACTTGCATTAAACTGGCATTGTGAAGCATGCCCACTACTTTGTTCACTACTTCAGTCACATCTTCGGACACATTGAGCCACAAGTTGAAAGCAGATATCAACTTGGTACGAATTTCTTTCCCCGGGTGTGAGATTAAGTAGTTGTAAGGCTCAAGAATGATCTATACAAAGTTAGAGAAAGAGCATAAAGCGCATTCACTTACTTCTTCGGTAGTTCTTTCTTGTGCTCTATTTTGTGGGTTTAACATGTTACGCGTTAAAAAAAAAGAAGAAAAGAAAAAACAATGTAGTATTTATATGTCATGCTCACAAAGCGGTATTTTAACCGTGATGGCTTTCAATCGAAGTTTTGAACGGATAAAGCATGATGGTGGGACGGTGCGTGTAACTTTGATGTTCTTAAAATAATCTCCATTTTAATCATCCATAAATGCTTTGTCCATATGAGGCGAAATGACAAAGCAGGTATCAACGCAAATTTGCCCTGAAAGATTGGTACAAAAATGAAAAAAGTAAGTTTTGTTGCGAAGAAAAAATGAACAAGCCAAAATGAAATGTAGATAGCTGTTGTGTTCTAAATACCTGATTCAATACTCAAATCGCATCAAACCTACAAAAAGCCTATCATACAACATGTAGTTACTCAACATTTTGATGTTTTTCATAAGTAAATATTCCCTTTCTTTGATTTAATCAAACCAAGTGCCTTACTAACATAGTGATTTATTTAGATAAGTAATTTGATATTTACTCATGTAACAGAAACACCAGGTAGACAAATGCTTTGACAGTGAAAAAGACAACAACCCATGTACACCTTTGTCTATTTCTCAGACCAATAAAGTCAACATTAAGTCCGTTTGTATGCGTATAAATACTCTAAATAACTACAAACAATGTCTGCTAACATTCATGGTATCTTTGGAGTTGATTTGGACCAAAAAAAAAAGTGGCATGTAAAATTTGGCCAAAAGCCATTTTTGACCAAAGGGTATTACTCTGGAAATCTCGAGTTTGACAACTCTTTGAGCTTCTTTTCGACGCTGCAAGACAAAAAAGGAAGCTATCAACAAGCTTAAGTACTCAAAATGAGCACCAGAGGCTGTAGTTTTTAGTGCATGAGTTTGTTTGCCAAGTGTGTTATGAAGATGACATGATACAAGTGGAGAACCTTGTAAACATGTCGGCCTATTTTCTCAATATTTTGCTAGCAAAGCTGCTGTGTTCTCTACATCAATAGACTCAGAAAGCCAAGTTTTATAACTTTTATTATTACACCAAAGCAAAATAACTGCGTTTTTATGCAGCTCTCAACAAAAGTCCGATCCTAGATGCGGCAGAATGGATAGTCAAATTGAATCAATCTTCGCACACAGCTATCCTGTATGTTCTATGTCCATTTACCCCCCCCCCCCACACACACACACACATCTACATAAGAAAATGCTCATATCGCTATTTCTCTATGTTCTTTGGCACTCAAGGTAACATAAGATACTTTTGGAAGTCCATCGACAACGCATTTTATATGACATCTAGAGCAAAAATGCTCAAAACACAGCTTAAATGCACCCTTCTTTAATAGTCTGGTTGCTGAGCAATGGTCTATCAAAAGGGTTCATTTTCTCATTCGGAACATGTTATTTTGAGCCAAGAAATTGAATGGTAACATTGGTTTGTCACTTGGGCGGAATTTATGTTTTTGACCATGGAGGATCCACGGAGGTTCGTAAAGATAAAAAAAAAAGCAAAACTCGATCAGGAATTTTTGGAATGCCCCAATGTAGGCCTGATCTAACCGAAATCAGGTAAGGCGATGCCGACCATCAAAAGGGTAACTGTTTGTATGACTCAATGCATAAAATGCTCATGGGTGATATTAGCTATAATACATGACATTTCTGAGGCTAAAGAGAGTAGTTTTAAGCATCACTAACGGTAGATATCTTGTAGATAGATGGTGCTGTGATTCAAACCCCGGTTATCTTTTTTCTTGAATACTGACATTTACAAACCACAATTGCATTTTGATCCAGTCGCTACAACGACTAGACATCAGATACGCAAAAGCAGATAATAACACTATAATGTATTGAAACCAACATCGCTGCTGGTTAGCAAGTAAACTGTGCTCTGATCAGCTCGTACTGAAAATAAAAGACAACAATAAAGCAACAAATGTGAGTGGATAAAGCCGTTGCACAAGTGGGGTTCGACTCATTGCTTTTATTCAAGACTGTTTGTGGTCAGTAACTGAAGATGAATAGACAATATACAAGTACAAGATCTACTCAACGACAAGTAATTTGTTATGTGTAAGCAAAGGATGTTAAAGCCTCTACCCAAGCACTTGGTCATAAATGTAGTGTGTGTTTCTACAGCCACTGAAATACCATCTAAATAAATAAATAAAAAATAAGTTCGTCTAAAAGTACTTTTCAAGAGGATACTACACTTCCATTCAGGCAAGTGCTAGCTCCAAGTAGGCGATGGCCAGTCATTTTACCTCTAAAATTTTATGAACACATAGCTTTAAAAGTTGAATTGCCTTGGTCAGACAACGGAAATCAAAAGAAGCAAATAGTCCTTTTAGGATAAAAGGTAAAGACATCAATACAATTTAAAATAAAATTGGTAACACTCCGTCCAACTTTTATCTTCCTTTCTTTGATACAAATAAATGTCTGCAGCCAAACCAAGGCCTCCTCGTTTTTATTTTTGGCGAAAGACTTTGTCTTTATCTGATCTAAATCTACCTCGTCGAGCCAAGATCACTATTGACGCTCTGCGAACACTTAGTTTGATCCCCTCATTTCTTGGATTCTTGTATAATAGCAGGCAAGCACTTCAGGTACCTTTTCGAGATGCTGGTGGCGCTGTTGTTCTTCAGAGTTCCCAAATAGACTATATAGTTGGCAGCTTCTGGGTAAGTACGTCAAAGACAAACTATAATTACTTATTCATGAGTAGTGTGCGCTAGCAGGTTATTGGAATTGGATTCTAACAACAAGCATGATGCGACGTTGGATATTTCATTATGAAATCAGCAGTGCAATTGTGCGTTTGATTACATTTATTGTGATTACTTGGTCGATCTCTGCTTGGGTCAATACACGCAATGGTCCTGAACAACCCATCCGTACTTGGATGATCAACTGCTTTATTCTACTCATCACAGATATTATTCGTCTCTCTATTGTGTCTGATCCAAAATACCATGGCAAAGCAGCTAATGTCAAAGATCCCAACCTGTTCTTAAAGTTGACCATCATGAAAGTCTTGATTTTCCCCATGTCAGTCGCCACTTGCCTGTCTGTGTTTGCAGTCTTGTATCAAATCGACCAACTTCAATATACAACGAGCCAATTGATGATAGGAGACGCTTCTTTAAACAATCACTTGTCATCTCCACAGTCTATTTCTGTACTTGTGCTAATCATATCTTCCTGGTCAGCGTATGATAGACGCCAAATGCTTCGAAAATCAGCACTTCGGTTACTCTCTTCGCAACATATGACAGTCAACTATCGGTTTATAATTGGACAACCACCTTCAGCTACACAGCAACTCTTAAGTGCATCTAAAATACTTCAAGAAGCAGAGACATACCATGATTTGATCATGGTACAAGCCTCAGATACCAAAATAAACAAAAGCAGAAAAGTGTTGGAAGCATTTAGATGGGCCAAAAGTGTAGATCATGATTATGTTGTCAAGACAGATGACAATGTGTTTGTCGTTTGGGACACTGTCTTGAAAGAGTTACAGCATGCCTCAACATCTTATTATTGGAAAGGATCAGTATGGCAAAATATACCCTTACGTATCGCTGAAAAAAGTCTGCAGATCGACTACGCTTTACCTGTTCTTCCTGCATATACCCACAGCATGTTTTATATCTTATCAAAAGACACACTTGACTTAATTGTCTCGCCTAATTCAGTTCGCAGATTCATTGCAGACGATGGCAAAAATGTTGCAATTTGGCTATTTGGATTTGATGTACAACCTATACACGATAGACGAATTCAAGATGATGTTCATGTATGTGAGAGTGACATGATTGCCAAGCGCATTCATAAACTATCAGACATGTCCAAAATGTATTTTAATATCGTCAATGAACGGTCTCAATGTACTGGAATAGATGGCATACATTGTGCAGTGTGCTACTCTTGCCAAGGTAAGCAAATGAACTGGAGAACACTGAGTTTGGCTTGCAATGACCATGGCATCTTTTTGCAAGAAATGTCAGGATTTCATCATATCACAGGCTTTAATAAAGGACTACTTAAAAAATGATACTGTGTGTTTCCTCAAATAGCGCATTTGGCTTAGTATGTTTGCATACTAACTGCTATTGTGCACCTTCAATAAGGACTCAAATACAGTCATATTAATGGTAGTAACAGGAATTCCCCAGGCAATACGGACAAGCATTCCCCGTGTAAACGCTTTGGGCCCTTCTTCATATCGCCACATATCACGAGCAATCTTGATAGGACCCTCTCTATAAGCCTGTTCTTGAGAAGATACTTGCCACCTTGTCTTGATAATGTCTAAAGGTGTGGAAATAATAATACCTATTGTACTTGCTACAGCAGAACAGAACAAATAAACCATGAATGTCTGATCTCGTACTTCCCAGTAGCTCTTGAGTTGCTCGTACACAATAAAATAAGCAATTGAATGAGGTAAAAAGACGGCAATCGACATCCAATAACCACGATAAAATCCAGCCATACCATCGTGTTGGGCAATTGTTTTAACAAGTCCTATTGTGGTATAGTCCATGATTTGTAATTGGCTCTTGGTGACTTCCATTGGTGTGAAAAAAATGCCTGCAGATAACTCTGCAACACAGCCAGATAGCGCATGGTTGATCAACGCATCTTTATGTAACCATGTTGAAATTGAGTCTAGATAAGACTTGGAATACTCATAACAGGTAAGGTAGACTGTCAGGGCAGGTACAGAAAATAACAGTGTAATGCCTATCCCTCGATAAAGCGCAGCTATTGTTCTGAACCATTTTTCTTTTGTGGGTTCATGGTCTACTAAAACCGTGTAGGTATTGGATTTGGTTTGTAAACGTGTTTTTATTGTATCCACTATAGTATAGCAGTCAGAGAATGAAGGGAATACGTATGTTATTTACAAGGATATGTTACTGAACGGGCTATAAGAGCTGCTATACTCGAGGCTACAAGATAAAAAGTGTCTATCATAAAGAGAGAAAATAAAGAGAGAAAATAAAAAAAAAAAAAGAAACAAAAACCATTTATCCACCGCTAACAGGAGGAATAATGGCGATTTCCATGTTGGGTTGAATTAAAATAGTTCTTTCTTGGTCTTTGGCAATATATTCCATATCTATTGCATACATACTGGTCGATAAGAGTTCTTTTAAATTGGTGCCATATTGTTGTACTAAACAAGTTGACAAATCAGTCAAAGTCCAGTTATTTTTTATTTGAATCATTTCTTGTTCTTTTCCTGTAATGTCCTTTGCAGCTGCAAAATAAAGCATAGTGATCTAAATAGGCACATGAGTCAATATCCAAACAAACAAAACGCACCTTTTCCATTTGATTTGTAATAGAGAGAAAAAACGAGAAAAAAATAGGGCCTGATTTTGGCTGACTTTTTATTTTCATCTTCTGCGTAAATCGCTTATTTGTTCTCCCCTTCAATTTAAAAGAGACCACGTCTTTGTTTTTAACTTTTTATCTTTCTTTCATACAATATGGCCGTAAGTAACAATAAGAAAAATTCGTCAGTCTTTAATCTATTTTTTTCTCTTTCTCTTTTATGTAGCAATACACATTTAACGTTGAAATGTCCTGCTCTGGTTGCTCTAATGCAGTTAACAAGGCATTATCTAGACTTGAAGGTATTTATAACAATCATAATAAGACTTAAAGATTTACTTTTTTTTTTCTTTTCAGGCATCGAAAAGGTTGACATTAGTTTAGAAGAACAAAAAGTAGTTGTTGATACCAATCTTCCTCGCGAAACTGTTCTTGAAGCCATTAAAAAGACTGGCAAGACCGTTAAAGAATAAATTAGATAAAAAAATTATTATTTCATAGTACATAATTTAACTGCCATTCCAAAAAATGGTGATTTCACCATCGCCTGGTGCTGACATAACACTATCCATTTTGTTATTTCTAGCTATACTTTCTGTTGACGGCGAAATAGGTGATGCTTTGTTTTTGTCGTCAAAGGGGTTTTCAGATTCGTCTGAATTTTTTTCAGGAGGTGATGGTGTTACATTTGCAGGTTTTTCTGGTTTGATTGTCTTGAGAGAACCACTTCGTGTTAAGCCATCTGCTTGTCTAACAGTCTTAACTCGCATGATGGTAGGTCTTGCGCGTAATGCTTGTGTTGCTTGAATTACAGTAGCTTTTTGTTGTCCCACAATTTGTGATTCAGAAGAACCACGTCGACTATAATAGCCTGTGTTGGTGGTCATAACACTTGGTGCATTGGAGACAGGACGATCACTGAATGGATCTTCAAGGTCGTTATTAAACGTAGCAAAACTGTTATAACGAGAGCGAGCTGCTTCAGATCCTTCAGATGATTCTCGTACACTATGGGTCGAAGGTGGTATAAATGTAACAGGAATAACACCTGAAGTAATCTGTCTGCTGTTTTCTTGCATTTCAAGTGTTCCTTTGCTAAGATTAGGATTACGAAAAGCGAGTGGTAGGGCAAGTTTCTTTTTGTTGCGACGGCGTACAAAGAAGAACACAAGTACGCCAATTACAAATCCACCACCTACAAGGCCACCTACAACACCGCCAATTAAACCAGCATTGGAAGAGGAACCGCTGGAAGCATCGACAGTTGGGAGCCCAAGTGCTGCCCTCGATACACATTTTGAATCAGGACAAACACCGCACGTTGTCATGGTGCTCATGGTACAAACTTCATTGGCTGAACAACTGGGTGTACAACTTGCTGAACAATTAGATGGATTACAATCTAAATAAGAAATAAGCAAGTGATTCATATTAAATTACTCTGTGTACTTTACTTGACGCCGCAAAAACACATGATATAAAGATCAAAGCAGCTGAAAGGAGTGTTTGTTGGCTGTTTCGAATTGACATTCTATCACCTACTCTCTGTTTGCCTTCTTTTTTTATGTAGGAAAAGAAAAGGAATGGAAAGGGTGGATATTAAACGATAGTTTTTAAAAAAAGAGGCAAAAGAAAAAGAGAACAAAAGAATTTAGTTCTAATAAAACGACCATGTTACACTGATATGAAAAAAGGAGGTTACACTATCTGAGCGGATATATAAACAAGTTCCACACTTCATAAGATGAAAATTCAAATTCAACCTAGAAGGGCATAAAATGTACATTCAAATGTTGATCGAGACTTGTAATACGAGCAAGAGGGTATTCCTCATCCATTTCTATTCCAATAAGCTCATTGAAGAATCTGTCCTTATTTATCTTTATAAAAGACTTGAATATTCATTTCGATTTGTTCTTTTAAAAGATAATGCTGAATTTGAATTTTAAAGTGTGCCATAATCCAGTCATTCCAACTTAAAGCAAACGACATTGGTCAAACTTATTTGACATTAGCAAACATCTCTGTCACTTAGTAATAACGCAACTTGTACATTAGGCTGTATAAGTACTAATCCAAAGGGTATCGGCTGCTATATTAGTTAATCAAATTGTCTAGCTCTTTAAAAGTGACTTCAACATCATGTCAAAGAAGGCACTCGAAGATATATCTAAGGCAATCATTGCAAACAGACATATATCAATAAGAAGTATTTGAAGACTCTTGTTTTGTAGTTTAAGCAAATGTACTACAAATTTTGAAGATAACGAGAATGAAGACGAACATTATGGCAGTTATACCAAACGAGATTCAATCAAAGATCTTGCTTTGATAACTAAAGAACATAAGAATACTGCTGCCGCCATTTCAGTTATTATTAACTTCTACAGTGTTTCACCACTCTTAATTTACCTGCTTTATTGTTAGAGCTGAAGAGCTAGTTGATGTAGAGATGTCTTACATGTTTATCTAAAATCAATGGGAATTACTCTGTCCACTGCAAATATGCACAATCGCCTCCTAATACCCTCATCTATAAAAGATCCTCTGTATCTCTTACCTTCTAGATCTCTTGCTACCGACATTTTTAAAAACAAATTGAGAAATTCAATTGATGTCTTACTCTTCTGCTGACCTACTATCTGTGCAATCCTATTTCAGGCAGACTAGTTGGCTCACTCAAAACTTCCTCAACCGTCCGGCTACTCCGACGAACCTTTTGTCAGACATCTCCTTCGTATGAAACACTAGCTAATTATCGTTATTCTCACTCAAATCTTTTACATTTTCCCTTTAATCCCAAAAGGGAGTTTTTTTTTTTCCTTTTTTCTCCAGAGACTTGACCATAGCAATACAGCAAATAGATGCTAAGTGCTCGCTGGCCTTTTTTTTTTTTAGAAAAAAGTACAAATGCATAATTGTAATGAGCTTTAAAGTATGCAGAATCTTTTCTGTTTTTTAATATTTTTTTTCACGAAAAAGAAGGATATTCAATTAAAAGTTGTTACTTTTTGGAGTATTCATTGTAGTAAGCGGAATGTTACCCAAATTCATGTCTAAATTCATTTACAAGAAACATGCTCAGGTAAAAAAGGGTCATGTCTCGTAATTATAGTTCTGCAATAAGTATATATGCGTGACAATCAAACTTACACATTCAATTAAACCCATCAGCTAAAATAAGTCTACATTTGAAGCGAATGACATTATGAACTGTCGCCACGACCATCAAGAAAACGTTCATTTGAATAAAGTCACACAGTATAATGATTTGATAAGAGATATGAAGCTAGAGAGTGCGAGCCATAATTAGATGGCTTCAATGAACAGTTTGATCAAGATATGTTACTTTTAAGAACTGGTATTACAAAAGAACAAAGTCAAATATTTCTTCTTTTCTTTCCTTTTTTTTTTTTTTTTTTTTTTTTTTTTTTTTTTTGAACAGTGGGTTTGGTGGTAGAGTTCTGCATTTCTAAAATGTATGCTCTTGATTTGCATGTGGCATACAAAAGTGATGAAGAAATTTGATTGCCAACAAAAAGAAATAAAATGACTATGTTTGTGGTGGCAATCAAAAGCATCTATAGAATTTTTCCATTTTATAGATTGCATTGCTTTAAGGACAAAAGCAATCAGGGCTCTTTGACTTCTTCTATCAGTCTGTCTTTTTTTTTTTTTTTTTTTTTGCTCCAGTAGATAAAAAAAAAAAAAAAAAAAAAGACTTCCCCCCCCCCATTTGAAGTGTTTGTTGAAGAGAAAAATGAATTGGTGATACATTGTATTCTCAACATCGTGGTATAATCTCAAAAAAGTCAATTCTGCATATTTCCTTCTTTTTTATTGTTGAAAAACATTGTTCTTTAGAAAAGAGTCCCAATCATTCCATGCAATACTATTAGGAAAGTCCCAAATGGGCATACAGGGATTAGGCGTGTTGACTAAACCACCATTGTTGGATTCTTGAATAGGAAATGCAAAAGTGTTTGATGAAGTAAATGACTGAGTATTGTTCATTTGATAGCATGGTAAATCTTGTAATGACAAGTCAACAGACTGTAAAAGGTTGTTTGTGTCTTGTTGATTTGAGTTTAAAGTGTAGAATGAATTATTGGTTTTAGGTAGTTCAAAGAAGTCTACCATGGCTGAAGAACAGGCCTCGTTGTTGTTGTTGTTGTTGTTGTTGTTGTTGCTATTGTTGTTTTTCTTGGAGCGTGGAGCTTCTGGATTATAGAGTAAGTTAGATAATTTGTCAGGTAGTGAATCTTCCTGATGCTGAGACTCATCGTCAGCTTCATTAGATAATGTAATTTCGGGACTTGCTTGTCCAAATTCAATCATAGATACATCAAAGCTCTCTATCAGTTTTTGAAAAAGCTTGACAAATCTTAATTTTTTCAAGTGCTGATCCGTTTGGTAGATCTTCGCACAACGAATCAGTGCTTTCCTACTTTCTTCTGCTAATTCCTCGTTACTGCCCTTTGCATTGTGCAAAAAGATAATAGCAGCTTGAAAAGACGCGCTTAAAAGTAATAAATTAATAACAACTTAATTACACAATCAATAAACTTACTAAAGTAGCAGGTTCCACGGCAATGCGACATAGGAGTTGCGATCCATAGCCTCAATAATGGATGCCAGCCTAGTTGCAGTCGTTGTACAGACCTGTAATGCCTTTTGAGACATTTGTGACCCACTATTCTTTCGGATAAAAGGACGATAGAGCAACAGTAAAATAGCACTATAAGCAATATTAACAACACCTGCGGATGCACTAAAACAATAGTTGGGATTGTCTAAATCAATCTGTAGTTCATGCGGCAAAGATGCTTTCCAGTCTGCTAAGTCATGGTCTAGAATCTTCAAGAGCTCTAGATCATGAGCTCGGTCATGTCTGGCTCGTGTAGAATGAAGTCCGACTAATACTCGCCCTGAGATCTGAGACAACGTAACCAGGTACAAGAAGGCTGTATACACTGGCTGTTTCTGCTGCAGTGATATTTCTGCTTCCATAATTAAAATAGGCACTGCTTCACATTTGTTGTTTTTCGCTAGTTGCGAAGGATAATCGAGCTCATAAGGTGAAGGAAGTTGAGCATCAAATTCTTGATCCACAATAGAGATAGGTCTGCCTAATTCTGCAGCTACCCACTTGTCCATCAAATAACAAGCATACCAAATTCTTTTTCTCAATTCAATTTCATAACTTGGAATTCGCCATGTTGAACAATCACGGTGAAGACCCATATCTTGAGCAATGCGAATAGCCATGCCTGAAATAAGCCAATGACTAGTACCCTCTTCATCATTTTCGTTATGGCCTACAAACATACTCTGCAACATTAATGCTTGTATAGTACTGATCATGGATCTTTTATGGGCAATAGTGTATAGCTTTTGAGATTGCGTCTTTAAATAGGTTTGAATCTCTGTAAGTTGTTCTGGTGTGTAGTCAAACACATTGGCGTCTGATAGATCAGAAATAAAGACAGAAACTCCTACAAATACAACAGAATACAACAAATATTTGTCTGGTGGTGTAGGGCAGTGAAAGTAGTATTCTTCTAAGAACTGAACCTTGTTGATAATAGGACAATAATGATGTATACGCGTAAAATACCTACAACTTAGTTTAAGCCCGTTTTTGTGTCATTTACTTACATATGGACCAGATAATCAGCAAGTCTTTCTGTGATCAATGGCATATCCTCAAAGATTTCAATGCGATTGATTATACTGCCAGCTGGTGGAATAGAAGCTGCTGTTATTTCTTGTGTCTTCATAATTACATGCTCGTCTTCGTCGTCATTGACCTTTTGAATAAACCATGAAGGTTCCCGAGGCAAAGGATGCCTTTTATGGTGACGAAATAATGCATCATTCAAGAAATGAACGCCTGCACTTGAACCAATATACCGTGTTCGTTGATAGTTTGATATCTTTAATCCTTGCATTTGCTTATCTATTGAATCGCACTCATCGTCTTTTACATCTTGATCAAGCAAGAAACAATCATCAAATTCAGTTATGTTTGCTTCTGGTCCTGGTCCCGGCTCTTTATTGTCTTTTGGTTCATCAATATGAATAGACTGATCGTTTAAGCAGGGATAGTCTTCAATCGCAGAAGCAATGTCGCTTGTAGTTTGTTTCTTTTTAGCTATTCTATTCAAAACGACTTCCATCCGTTTGAGTCTTGTCTCTAATTCTTCAACATAGCTTCTACATTAGGAGGGATTAGTCTTCCAATCTTGCATTACAAAACAACTTACCCTGAACTAGGTCCTCTTTTCTTTTGCTCAACAAGAAAACTACACTCTGTTTTTGTATGTCGACATTTTGAACAAGGCTGCCGAATGTCAGCGTCACACCGAGTCTTCTTTTTTCGGCACATATCACAACTTCTTTTTGCTCTTGTTCGTTTTCTTCTTTCAATATCATGTGCTCTGGGTGTTACGTTGACTGGTGCTGGTGCTATTGGTATCATGTTTCTGTTTTTTAGAAAATGTCAATTTTATACTTAATTGAAAAAATAAAAAATAAAAAAAATAATCATTACCTAGAATGCTGTATTTTGACAGAATGTTTCGGAGAAAAGCATAAATCAAATAGAAAGACTAGAAAGAGAAGATAGAGAGGTAAACCTATCAGTGGCAAGAAAGCTTGTAAAATACTTTATTCTCAAAATCAAAGAGGACTACATATCTAGCTACAGTTAGCTTAAGATAGTGACCTCACAATAAATATTTGGTTCAATAAAGAGTGTTTAGTTGCTCTTTAATGCAAAAATATCGACGCAAGTAGGACCGAAGGCTTATTAAAGGGAACATTAAAATAAACCTATGTTGGTGTAAGAAAAAAAAAGAAAGTGCTGGAGACATTATGAAGTTATTGACTTTATTCCGATAGGTATTTACGATATATGGTTATTATGTTTTGTACCATATATTTCTTTACTGTTGTAATGAAGGATTTTGTCTGTTTATTGATAAAAAGTTGATTTGAAAAAAGATAACCGAGGTTTGAATCACAGCACCATCTATCTACAAGATATCTACCGTTAGTGATGCTTAAAACTACTCTCTTTAGCCTCAGAAATGTCATGTATTATAGCTAATATCACCCATGAGCATTTTATGCATTGAGTCATACAAACAGTTACCCTTTTGATGGTCGGCATCGCCTTACCTGATTTCGGTTAGATCAGGCCTACATTGGGGCATTCCAAAAATTCCTGATCGAGTTTTGCTTTTTTTTTTATCTTTACGAACCTCCGTGGATCCTCCATGGTCAAAAACATAAATTCCGCCCAAGTGACAAACCAATGTTACCATTCAATTTCTTGGCTCAAAATAACATGTTCCGAATGAGAAAATGAACCCTTTTGATAGACCATTGCTCAGCAACCAGACTATTAAAGAAGGGTGCATTTAAGCTGTGTTTTGAGCATTTTTGCTCTAGATGTCATATAAAATGCGTTGTCGATGGACTTCCAAAAGTATCTTATGTTACCTTGAGTGCCAAAGAACATAGAGAAATAGCGATATGAGCATTTTCTTATGTAGATGTGTGTGTGTGTGTGGGGGGGGGTAAATGGACATAGAACATACAGGATAGCTGTGTGCGAAGATTGATTCAATTTGACTATCCATTCTGCCGCATCTAGGATCGGACTTTTGTTGAGAGCTGCATAAAAACGCAGTTATTTTGCTTTGGTGTAATAATAAAAGTTATAAAACTTGGCTTTCTGAGTCTATTGATGTAGAGAACACAGCAGCTTTGCTAGCAAAATATTGAGAAAATAGGCCGACATGTTTACAAGGTTCTCCACTTGTATCATGTCATCTTCATAACACACTTGGCAAACAAACTCATGCACTAAAAACTACAGCCTCTGGTGCTCATTTTGAGTACTTAAGCTTGTTGATAGCTTCCTTTTTTGTCTTGCAGCGTCGAAAAGAAGCTCAAAGAGTTGTCAAACTCGAGATTTCCTGAGTAATACCCTTTGGTCAAAAATGGCTTTTGGCCAAATTTTACATGCCACTTTTTTTTTTGGTCCAAATCAACTCCAAAGATACCATGAATGTTAGCAGACATTGTTTGTAGTTATATAGAGTATTTATATGCGGTTAAATTGGTTTTATACTCACTTTCTATGCACAGTTTTACTTAAAGAAAATGTATTCATTTCAAAAGGACCTTTTTGTGATTTAATGCAATCAATGACACCTTGCCCTGAAAGAAACGAACTTATCAGCTCATGCATATTTATACACTTTATAAGGAGCTTTGTTATTTGATAGAAATACGCCTTTTGCTAGGTTTATCTGGCTGATATTTCTCTTTCACGAATTTACGCGTTTTAGATCTATGTATGTCTTTAAATCGTGATATTTTTTCACACTTTCCTTAATAGATTTTCAGTTTCAGTTTTGTTTGATGTTGGTTGACGAGTGGTTCTGATTTGTCTTTCTTTTTTTCTGCATATCCTTTGCCGATCTACTTCCAATGTCACTTTGCTTTTTGTTTTGGAGTTGTTTTTTTGGCTAATATGACAAACTTGTGCATCGTTCAGAAATAGAAAAGAGCAATGGACCAAGAAACGAATTCCTGCTGTGCCTTAGATCAGAGCATTTAAAATAGATATCAGTCATACGACTCGAATGAATTCATAGATTGTTGAACAAATAATTGAGAGGTTGTTCAATAAGTCTATAACAAAGACAAGTACTTTTTTTCGGATTCAGTTCAAAGACTGACAAGCGTGAATTAAGTTTGATGACATACCTTAGGCTTTCGTTTTACTCGATCAGACAAGAAAAAAAAAAAAAAGGATCCACAATCTGGAGTTTTCTTTCATGTAGAGTTTATTTGAACTATATAAAATCTGGTAAGATTGATAATTGAGAGTCTTTGGACTTTAATTCAGATATGTCAATGGGGCTTTTACCAATGATGTAAATGTTGTTTGTTCATTTTATGCAGTCTTTTTTTTGTTTGAGAAGAGCAATATTTCTGGTTTTTTTTTGAGATTTAAATGGTTAAAGTTAAATAGTAGATGTTGAGATTCGTTTCTTCCCGAGGTTTATTCAAAGTGTGTTGTCCTATTTAGTTTATTGTCATGATACTTTTTTTTTTCACAGACGTCTGCAACAATGCGCCTCAATCTGAAGCTTGCTACGTTGTGATGTGTTGAAGAATCTCTAGTATATCAATACTTTTTTATTCTCAGTTTTGAAAGCAAATTAGCTTCCTTTACTGCAGATCTACCTATACTATAAACTTAAAATAAAAGAAGAATACAGTAAAAGAGAAGCTGTTTATTGGAAAATTTCATTATATTATGGTGAAAACCTGCATGGTCCTGACTAGTGCCAACTGCACACTTGGGATGATAAACAAATAATATAACGTGTGACGCCTTCTGAGCATATCCAAAAGATAAAATAAAAGTTCGAAACCATGTTGACTAAGCAAAACGCATAAGGAAATGGATTTACGTCTTCGACTTTCCTAATTTGACAAATTCAGGGTTTTCTATACTTTTCTATCGACTTTAATAAGAGTCAACATATTGAAGCAAAAAAAAAGAAAAAAAAAATAGGGCACCTTAAACGAACAAGGCCCCTCTATAGTATAACGTATTTTACATAGCTTTATTGAAAGATTGTGTTGAATTAAAGAGAAAACAAAATCTGACGGTTATTAATTAAGGTTATTTCCTTTTTCTTGTAAAACAATGTTTAAAATTAAAAAGCATGATCTTCTCTGCACTGATAATGAACGTAATCGCACTTCCAGATATAGAGGCTGAGATTGAGTGCCTGTTTTTTTTCTTATATAAAGCGAGAAAGGTTCCATGGTTTGTTTCGATATTCTAAGAATAATAATAATAATAATAATAAAATGTCTGCTGAAAACGATACCTTCAATGCTTGGGCCGGTGTTGCCAAAGATCAACCTCTTGAAAGGGTTCAACTTCAATTAAGACAATGGACAGAAGATTGTGTCGAAATGAACATCACTCACTGCGGTATTTGTGCTAGTGATGTAAGTAGAAGCCTCTTGTTTGGTCAGATCGCTAATATTTTTTATTCTAGGTCCACACACTTGAAGAAGGTGAAGAATGGGGATCCACAAACTATCCTTGTGTTGTTGGTCATGAAATCACTGGTATTGTTACAAGAGTTGGTAAAAATGTTACCCATTTAAGGGTTGGTGACCGTGCTGGTGTCGGTGCTCAATGTGGTTCTTGTCATGAATGTGACCATTGTAAGTCTGGTAACGAAAACCTTTGCTTCCGTAATATGGTTACTACTTACAACTCCAAGTGGGAAAATGGAGATAAAACCTATGGTGGTTATGCTGATAAATGGAGAGGTGATTGTCGCTTTGCTTTTAAGATCCCTGATCATTTGTCAAATGAAGTAGCTGCCACATTCTTCTGTGCTGGTGTCACTACTTATGCTCCCTTAAAGCGTGCAAATGTCAATTCTGAATCTACTGTTGGTATTATGGGTCTTGGTGGTTTAGGCCATTATGGTGTCCTTTGGGCCAAAGCCATGGGTGCCAAGGTGGTTGCTATCTCTAGCGGTGATCATAAGCGTGAAGTTGCCAAGGAACTTGGCTGTAATGATTATATTAATTCCCGTGACCCTGAAGATTTGAAGAGATACACAAAGAAGTTTTCTCATATTCTTTGTACTGGCTGTAGCTCTGATTTTGAATGTAAGTTGACATACATCAAAGAAAAGAATCTAATCTAGTTAGGGTCTACTTACCTCGCTCTTATCCGTGGTAATGGTTACTTCCTTAACGTCAATGCTCCTCGTTGGAAGTTCCCTGCTATCTCACCTTTTGTTTTGTTGATGAATCAATGTTTTATTCATGGTTCTGCTATTGGTTCTCCTGCTGAAATTGAAGATATGCTTAAATTTGCAGAAGAAAAACAAATCAAACCTTGGCTCCAAAAGTATTCTATGAAAGACGTAAACAAGGCTCTTGAAGATTTCAGAGCTGGTAAGCCTAGATTCAGATTTGTATTGGAAAACTAGTTTCATATATATATATATATATACTCAATAAAAAAAACACTTTGTCATTTTTAAAAAAAAGGGATGGGGGAAACTTCTCCTTGATATGACTCTAGGAGGGGAATGATCGACGCTGTCTTACCGAGGCAGACAGAATAGAGAAATGTGCTGTTATTTACACGTTTTTTAAATAGACAGACTCCTAAATAGTAACTTTCCGAGGAGAGAAAAATAATAATGCCCAGCAACAAATCATGATAAATTAAGAAATGCTTATGCTAAGCTTTGTTCTGCAAAAGGTAATATTTCGAGGAATAAATAAATCACTTTCTCCCCCTCCTCATAAAATAAAAATATATAAAAAAACTCCCTCCTTCTCTTTCTTTCTTTCTTTTTTTGAAACAAACAAAATAAAAACAAAATAAAGAATTTTATAGTACAGACTTGGTTGCCATGCAATCAGACACTAAGCACTCTACTACTTCACGCGCACCTTCACCTGTGCCATCTGCAGTACTCTATGAAACCAACAAGACCAACCACTCTTCACCTCACTTACCTCTTCCACATGCCCCACAACGTCGTTCTAGCTTCTCTGCCGATCATACAACCGAACAATGCTTAGAAAAACCACTTGTTAGTCAACGGTCTTTCCCCCACTTGCGTAAAAAACATCGCCGTGAATCCGATACAACAGTAGAAGATATAGGCTCAGATATTTCACTGTCCGCAGAAGTACCCACTAAGTTTGCAAATGAAAAGAGAAATCATGATTTCCATGCCTTGTTTAGAAGCGTTCCAGATCATGAAAGATTAATTGATGGTAAGCAAAAAAAAAAAAAAAAAAAAAAAAAAGGAGAACAGAAAATCCAATTTTGTTTTGTTTTGTTTGTTATTAGACTATGGCTGTGCTCTTCAAAAAGAAATCTTACTTCAAGGTAGAGTCTATATTTCCGAACACCATCTCTGCTTCAATGCAAACATTTTTGGCTGGATCACAAACGTAAGTGATTTAGAGTTGCACACATAAATTCTTATCCGAAGTTTAAAGTTGGTCATTGCATTTGCAGACATTGAGGATATTGAAAAAAGATCGACAGCTATTTTCATACCAAACGCAATCTTGATTTCTACTAGTTCATCCAAGGTAAAGCATACACAACTATAAACAAACAAATTTATCTGTCTATTATAGCACTTTTTAGCTTCCTTTCTTTCACGTGATCAAGCATATGACCAAATGGTTGAGAATTGGAAAGCATCTAAAACAGCCATGGCCCCTATCGATGACGAAGAAGAGGATGATACAACCAGTGCTTTTTCAGATGATGAATTTAGTTCTTCCTCGGACTATTCTGAAGACGAATTAGTCCGTCTGAATGGTAAACTACATACACACAAATAGTAATGATTGACTCTTCTTTTAGATACACCAAACAAAGATCGACAAGGATCATTAGCATCACTGCCTTTACCAAAACATGCATCGGCTGAAGAAGTAGCCAGACGCCGTGCTATTTCAGAAGTAGGCCAGCGTCCCATGAACATGCAAGACGAGACTAAAGAAGCAACCGAAGCCAATCAATTGATGGAAAAGACGGAATGTGATTGTAGTAAAAATAATCAGCATTTTCCAACTACTGTCATGGACAATACATATGATACCACCATTGACACCATGTATAATTTACTGTATAATAGTTCATTCATGCATACTTTTCTTACTGAATCAGAAAAGAGTACAGGTAAAGAAGTCTAGCATGAAACCACAGTATCTTATGATGTGATAGATGTGTGTATAGGTACATGGTCTGAAGGCTCTGAGGGTTGTATACGTTCTCGAGAATCATCTTATGTAAAATACCTCGGTGGTTCAATTGGACCCAGGACAACCAAATGTTACTTGGATGAACAAGTCCAATTTTGTGATTTAAGCAACTATGTCAGTCAACTCACCATCACACGCACGCCTGATGTGCCTTCGGGTGGTTCTTTTACAGTCAAAACACGAACATGTCTATCTTGGTGTGGTCAAGGACAAGTCCGAGTGCTGGTCACAGTGCTTGTCGATTTCACCAAATCATCCTGGCTGAAATCCACCATTGAAAAGGCTACAATTGATGGTCAACAAACCTTTTATAAGAACCTAGATGCTGCAGTGCGCAAGCAACTCGATAAACCAAAACGTACGCATCCTAAAAAGAAACGGCGTCCCAGACATCACCGTAAACAAGCTACTGAAATACCTGCTCAACAAGACACGGAACAGCATGCATGGATGGTCAATGGGCTTAACTGGATCATAAGCCATGCTAAACCACCCAACACAGCACAATTGACAGTGATCTGCATGGCGATTATGGTCTTGACTAACATGTATATTGCACTTAAAATGGCAGGCGTCGATAAACAATTGGATCAAATGGGTCGTATGCGCCGTCCTCATACGTCTTATCACATGGACCTTGATGACCATCAGACTTCCTTGTGGCAATTCTTGTCAAAACTAGATCCAGACTCACAAACTGACTTTATCTATCCTAAGCTTCGCAACCACAATAAAGAACAAGACGATCAACTCGAATTTTCCAAAACAGCCAAAATAAAACTGGACCAACGTATGCTTGAATTGGAGAAAATGATACAAAAAGCAGGAGAAAACATGGAGCAAGTAACTCAAGTGGTTCGAGGACAAAGAAAACGAATTTTGAATCAATAAAAAAAGTTAATTTGTATTATGAATTATAATAGTCTAAGTGAGTAGATTTCTAAGCAATATATCTACAAAAAGCGGGCTAATTCACTGTTGGAAATGCCCAAAGAAGGAGATTGAGTATTTAAAGCACGTAATAGCTCTACAAGTTCAGCGCGTGTGGCATCGTCTAATTGATCTTCATTAGACAAAACATGATGGAATACAGGGAGGAAGTTGGGAATTTGACTATGAATCTACATACAGGCGAAATACATTAGAAAAAAAGGGGGTGGAAAGATCACTTACATAAGCATTGTTAGCACGAACAAGTGAAAACAGACACTTGAAGACAGGTTCATTTTCAGCAAAATCAGCCTTGAGTGGAAGCACACTGATAAACACAGGCAACACTTGGTCAAGAGGAACAGCATCAGGACGAGCCATGATCAATCTAGCAACAGCACCTGTAGCATTGTCGGTGATATTAGGCACTGGCTGGTTTTGGAAAAGAGGATACAATGCAGTTAACATCACAGGGTACTGTGAAGCAAGATCGATTTGAGAATTGGCAGCAAGAATACCTAAAGCATAAGCAGCATTGCTTCTGACAGAGTGATCTTCATCAGCACATGCCTTGATAAATAACTGAAGAAGCCGTTCAGTATGAGGAGTGACAGCAGACTTGATGCCAGTGATACATTCACCAAGACAACCAATGGCCATAGAGCGTTCAGAAGAAGTCTTTGATTTCTTGTAGTATTTAGCAATCAAGGGCATAAAGACATCAAAGTAAGAAGAATAACCTTCACCCACAGTCTCACATATGGTGGCAACAAGATCACCAGCAGCACTGATCAAAAGAGACTCAGATTCGGCTTCTTCTTCTTCATCAACAAAGTCGTCATCATCGTAGCTTTGTTGACAGATGGATCTTTTTTCAAAGATATCAAGGATATTTCGAGAAATTTCTTCGACATGTTCAGCAATGATGCTTGGACCCATCAATTTGAGAGACTGGATCAATTCTTGGCAGATTTGAACAACAACCATCTTGTCATCTTCATCTTTCCACATAGTCAAGACAGTAGGAATAATGATGGATGTCATGTTTTGGACATTTTCATGGACAGGATACGACACAGGCAAACCAGCTCTCCATTCTTCAGAACCAGACATGAGATAAAAGGTCTTGAGGAAACTAAACAAACTACCAACAACAGCCTTTCTGACACCGTCAAAGAGGTGGTAAGAGAGTTCGGTCAATTCTTGAACTGAAGGCTCAACATAGGGCAAAAAGTGAGTCTGAGTGCTTTCAAAGATTTCACCAAGTGCATCAGCAGCAAATTCTTTTTCATCAGCAATAGCAGAATTAAAATTGAAACCACTATCGTCATCTTCATCATCGCCCAAGGTAAGGTCGATTTCGCTACCAATGTTAGCATCGTCCTTTTCTTCAGCCTTACAGGAAGCAATAATGGAAGGCATGATGGTAGGAAGATAAGGAGCAAACTCTTCACCAAACACACGAGCCATGATGGAGAAGAAAGCATAAGAACATTCGCGAAGACGAGGAGAGTCTAAAGAGAGTTGCTCAATAGCCAGAGCCATCAAATCCTGAGTGAAAGGTCTGAATTTATCAGCACCGACAGCTTCAGCAATAGCACCAGCAGAATCAGTAGCTACACCACGAAGCAAGGTTTCATCTGTGCCTTCTGTCAATGTCATCAAATGACGAATACGAGGCATGACACCACCAAAGTAAGGTTCAAACCCTTCACCAGCAGCATGAGCAGCGCTACCGATAGCAGCCATGACAGTAGCCTTAGTTTCTGTTTGAGGAGCATGGTCCAAGAGAAACAAGAGCTTCTCCATCAACATGGGCAAGTATTGCAATACTTCATCGCCTAAACTTTCGAGAATGGCATCAAGTGCATTACAAGCGTGCTTGGTAACTTCAGGGTTTGTGTCGTTCATCAAGTTGAAGACAAGAGGAAGCAAGATTTGATGGCTTTCAGAAATTTCAGCCGGCATTTCTTCAGCAAGACAACCGAGAGCCATACAAGCAGCACGGCGAACAATGATTTCTGGATCTTGAAGACCAGAACATACAAGAGGTAAGAGCTCGTTTAATTTAGGGCTCATGTATTCAGCACAACCTTCGATAATGACAGCAAAGGACATCATGGCTGCCTTACGGTAGTTGGGATCAGGGTTTTGCATATAGGCAACTACCATAGGCATCACGATAGGGAACACTTGTTGAGGAGGCATGTTGGTAGCTAAGGCATTTAATACTTTGAAGGCCAACTATGTACAGAAAAAAGTGAGAAAGTGTCATAACTACAATGCATACACGTACACGAGAAGGAGAATCTTCATCTACATCTTCGGGATCTTCTTCAGAACCAATAGGCATCAATCCTTCTACAATAAAACCAACAAGCTTCAAACTTCTAATCTTGTTTTGTTTACTATATGTTTGAGTTAGATGATAAGTTGGTCTCTTTTATACACTTACTATACAGCAGCCCACATCAAAAAAGAAAGGGCCATTACACGAAGAGAATCATCCAATTCACGGTTAGAGCCCACTGTCAAAAAGAATCGAATCAAATCCACTAAATGATTAGACAAAAGAGGTGCATCCTATGATATGGCTTAGATTTACTCTTGTTTGATCCATAAATAGATAGATATTTACCAACATCAACAAAGTATCAAACACTTCGAATATTTCACTAGCGCTTTCCTCGTCACTTTCTTTTAAACATTGTTCTAATACATTGACCATACCAGGAATCATATTTCTGAATGATTTCTACACACACAAAAAGTAAGTTCATGAAATACGTTCGCAAGATTAACGTACAATGTTTTCCTTATCTTCAGTTTCGATGAATTCAGCCAATTTACCCAATGTCCTAATACAGTCATTAGCTTATGTAATCATACACTTGACCCTTACAATACAGTCGTGACTCGGACACGCTTACTTTCGGGATCCACAATAGATTTTTGAAACAAATCATAAAGAGGAGCAGTATGATCCATAAAGAAATCGGCAATCACTTCAAAAAGGGTATAAAGACAGTAAGTACCCACTTCGCGATGAATAGCAGTGGCACTAGCACAAGCTTGGTTCAAAAATCCTAATAATTCTGGCCACTTGTTTTCGGGAACATCAATACGAGCAATAGATGAAATAACACGAGCAGTAGAATGACGAACAATTTCACTTTTTAAGTATAAGCAAACAACCTCTATCATGGTTTACTTACTGTTGTTCGTTCAAGGCAATTTGCAACAATTGGCCACGGATAGCAGCTTGTGCTGCGTCAGGGATATCTTGCCATTTCTTGGAGATACGTTTTCTCAATTCTACAGCGGCCAGTTGACGCACAGGGTGGTGGGGTGAGCGACTGATGATTTCTACAAGAGCAGGAATACAGTCTGCTGAAACATAGAATTGATTATTCAAAGTAGAGGTGGCCTAAAAAAAAAACTTTTTTAGATTTTTTAAAAAAAAAAAAAGAGCACATACAAGTCGAATAGTTTCAGAGTCTTGAGCTGTAGCAAGCTTAGTTAAAAGCTCTTCAAGGCTTGTCACAAATTGCTGTAAAACATATATTAGTACATGGTGTTTGTTGATATGAGCAACATGCTATACCTCCATAGTCAAAAAGGTCTAAGAAAAAAAGAAAAAGAAAAAAAAACTTTAATCTAATTTATTGCCCGCAGAGATACAAGAATATCATATTAAATGCTTAAAGAAAAGCGAGTCACGGAGGTTGAAACTAATGTACAGCTATTTGTTCAAACTGATGGTACTACAGTGGCTTCATTCACTTGTAAGAGATACATGCTCGCTGCTCTTTATATCTCATAATATCTCTATAGTAACTAGATCAAAAGCAAGATGTCTGACAGTTATAGAGCCCTTTGAACATTGCTTGTGCATTGCAAATGAAAAAAAGTCCGTCTATTTCATAAGCAAATCCCAACAGCCGCACTGCGTCATCATTGAGATACGCGTCGTTCAAATAAAGTGCGCATTTCATCTTTCACTTTTTTTGTTCTTTTTCTTTATTATAATGGCTGACCGATACAGTTTCTCTCTTACTACCTTTTCTCCTTCTGGTAAACTTGTTCAAATTGAATATGCCTTGAACGCTGTTTCTCAAGGTGTTACTACTGTTGGTATCAAAGGTATATATATACACATTATTAATATATGCTAAAACATATAATAATATAGCTACCAATGGTATTGTTATCGCCACAGAAAAAAAATCAGCATCCAGCCTTGTGGATGATTCAACACTTGAGAAAGTTGCTACTATCTGTGCCAATATTGGTATGATTTATTCTGGTATGGGACCTGATTTTCGTGTCCTTGTCACCAAAGCACGTAAAGCAGCACAAGCATATAAGAGAGTTTATATGGAAGAGCCTCCAGTACGTATTCTTGTTCAAGAAGTAGCCAGTGTCATGCAAGAATACACTCAAAGCGGGTAAATACAATCTTGCTTTTTATTATTTCGATTCCTAATATAATATTTAGTGGTGTTCGTCCATTTGGTGTCTCTATTTTAATTGCAGGTTATGATGAAGTGAATGGACCTTCACTTTATCAAGTGGATCCTTCTGGATCTTATTTTGCTTGGAAGGCTACTGCTATCGGAAAGAACATGATTAATGCAAAGACCTTTTTGGAAAAGAGATACAACGAAGAAATGGAACTAGAAGATGCAGTACACACAGCTATTTTGACTGTAAGTTTGGTTTCTATACTATACTTTTTCTAATACCTGTCATAGCTTAAAGAAGGATTTGAAGGACAAATGACAGAGAACAGTTTGGAAATCGGTATCATTGGTACAAGTACAGTTGGTGTCTACGGCGGTGAAAGAAAAGAAATTCCTTTATTTAGAAAATTAAGCTTAAATGAAGTCAAGGATTATTTAGCAAACATTGCCTAAAAATGCGAATAAAAATATATCTCTCTGTGTGTGTGTGCGACATTCTGAATTAAGGAGAAGTGAGAGTTCAAAAAGACTTTCAGTTTGAGAGGGAGTTCAGTTTTTCTCCCCTTGAAAACACAAAAATTAAAATTGTTTATTTTTTTTTTCTTCTTCTTTTCTTTTCTATATAGATATACTAGTCATAAGCATATTAATATTTACCTATCATCCTCTTTAGCCTGCTTTGTATGGCCATGTGGATTTCTCGAAAAATAGCTGCAATCAACAAACCTTTGCCACCTGTATTCAATCAAACATCAGATCATGTACATGAGTTATTTATATTGACACTATTCGGCACTGAACGTTCTGTTTAGATCAACCCACTTGTTGTAGTAGTCGTAGGTGACTCAAATGTAGGCAAATCAACCTTGATACGATTTGGACTACAAGACTTGATTGCCAAACACGATTCAAATCGACCAGGTAATCTTTCTCCTTATTTCCCTTTACTGCTATTTAATTAACATATGTTTTCAAGATCTACAGTGCCACCATACAAATATTATGTTGGACAGAGTCGATTATCCTTTGGATGTCATCGAAATAGAGCCCAGCATGATTGATTTACTCACAGTAAGTTATAGGTTTTTATACGTGCATTGGCTTATTTTCTTTTGAAAGGAAACTATTCATGGAGGACTAGTGTGCTATGACACAACAAATAAATCATCTTTAGCATGTATTCCTGATTTACTAGGCAAGTAGTGCACTTATCTTATTCGATGCTAATTTTATATAGACTATTTTACCTCCCGCCATATTCCAACTTTTCTTATTGGGCTTAAAAGTGATTTGGTTTCATCCTGTCAAGTGGTTCCGGACCTTGACTTTTCAATTCAGCATTACAGAGTAGACACATTCTCGGAAGACGGTGTACAACGCATACAAAACATCTATAAAGACTTGCTTGGTCAATATGATCCGTTACTGTCTCAGGATAGAGAGGAGATCAAGACTCGTCCCAATACGTTAGTGATGTTGACAGACGAGTATTTTAGTACAGATCACAATGGTTCCACTTGTCTCCATATGGTAAACAAGAAAGAAAGAAATTCAGCATATTCATCACACTATACTCATCTTAGTAGTAGGCGTGGTTCAAAAGACAGCAGGTATTTCTCTTTTTCTTTCTTTCTTTTAATTTTTATTATGCCACTTTTATTATTTAATAACGTACTTGAATACTTTAGTGATTCTTTTAATATTGGATTGACACCAGATGATATTGTTGATCGATTGTTATTTATTGAGTATAGTAAAGCAGGTAAAATGGGTGTCCTTTTTTTTTTTTTTTAGGAGAAGACAAAAAAAAAGTGTAACTCCTTATTTTTTTTTTATCTAGATGAAAACATCATACCTATCTTTTTGACATTTTTTCGTAAATTTATGAAGCCATATGAGCTCGTACAGAAACTAGTAGAGAGGCAAAGTACAACTATCTATTTAACATGTATGCTGACAAACAGATATTAGATTTGAAGAGGATGGCCTTTCATCAGATGAATCACCAACAGAGTTACAAAAAAGGTATTATTTTTCTTTCTTTCCCTTGTTCCGGTCAATTGTGTAACTTAACCACGCGTTTAGAATTCATAGCATTTTCACATTGTGGCTGTCACATTATTGGAACGACTTTTATGGCTCGCATGCTCGACAAAACATCATTCTCTTTTTAGACCGCATTTCGAAATACGAGAGTCTCACGCCTATTTGTGATTCATTAGCACCACTTGTTGTACGTGAACCACCAATAGATGATCCAGACAAAGCCTGGGGACTAGTAGATGATCAAGACCAGATCACCACACGTAAAAAAAAGGACAGTGGTTATGCAAGCGGGTTTAATTTTTCACCTACACGTCATGAATTCATGCTCAAGAGTAACCCATCATCACCACGTAATACAGTCATTGAACCAGCATTACTGTCGCCCAATTTGAATCGGTTACTGTCACGCAGAAAGCAAGTGTCGCATTCAGAATCACATCCAGATTTACGATCTTCTTATCACACAACGGAATTTCCTAGACTAGCTGAATTTGCAGGTGGTATCATCAATATTGATACTATTCTTCATCAGAGTCAACGTACGTCTGTCATGACACCTTCGATTGCTACTACACATGGAAATGATTGGAATTCTTCGTTCGGTCACCATTTTGCTTCTAGTCTGATTAGTTCTTTTCGTCAACATCGTAATGATAAAGACCAAGCAAGCTTTAATTACAAGACATTCATGAAAGCATCCGACCATGCGATTGCTGATCAATTGACCTGGATCGAAGCTGAGCTTTTTACACGCATTAAAGTAAGCATAGCCAACGTCCCATGTGGACAACTGATCTTGTCTTTTTTTTTATGTAGCCTCGAGAATTTATTCGGAATATCTGGAATAGCTCTTCTTGTTCTAGCAGCAACAATACAGTGATGGCGTCAATTGCACATTTTAATTTTATTTCAGCTTGGCTAGTGACGATGATTGTAACACAATCCCGGTTGAGCAAACGCGTTGCCCTATTGCAAAAGTTCATGCTAATTGCTGTCGAGTTACGAAACCGTAACAACTACAACACCTTAATGGCTATCCTGGCTGGTATCAACAGTGCGGCTGTGCTTAGGCTAAAGCAAACTCGTCAAGTGGTCTCGACTAAAAAAGTGTACAAACAATTTCAAAGCCTAGAGCGCTTAATGAGCACAGATCGGTCGTTTAGTTCTTATCGCATGGCATTGAAGGCTTCTGACGCTCCCGGAATACCTTATCTGTAAGTGACGTTTTTTCAGAGTCATGTTTATGGTAACTCATTTTTCTTAATAGTGGAATTCATAATCAAGACTTGGTGTCGCTTGCTGAAGCCAATAAAGATTTTCGTACGGATGGATCTGTTCATTGGGAAAAGTTTCGTTTGATGGGCGAGACCATCATGGCCACCATGAAGTTCAAGTACCCAGGCTATGCTATCGAACCTGATGCTAAACTACTAACGTTTATTGCTGATTGTTATATCTTGTCTGAAGATGTATGTATAGTACCAACACTGTCTGATACTAATTATATTTTTGTATAGGAACAATACAGGCGATCGACTTTAATAGAGCCAAAACTAGCTTCTACGAATACAAACAGGATTCGAGACTTGTGGCTAAGATTGTAAGCATGCTTTCACTTTTATTTTATGTACATACACAGATAACTATATCACTTCTACCTTATTATTACTCTTTATATGTATTTCTTAATTTTTCTTCTCTTTTCTTTATATATGAAAAGTTCATGTATAAATAAATCATCCTATTTATAAAAACATTGCCTTTTTGTCTACATACCAAGTGGACTTTTTCACGACATCTAGTTATGAAAAATAGGCCAATTTGAATATTTCCTCTAATTGCAGGTCTTTTTTAGAATTAGTCTTTTGCTTATCATTTTTTTCAGTTATTATGCATACAACATAGACAATATGATAGCGATAATTGCTTCAGGGATGAGAGATATAATATCGCTTGAGATCAAACTGTGTTACGCATTATGAAAGCGATAAAATGCGATCAAGAATCACATTTCTAAGCATATTCCTGAAAAATAAAATTGAGGCACGTCGGCATGAAAAACTTCATCATTTTCAAAAGAAGATCCTCCGAAAGCCAATCAAAAGCGGTAATTAACAGTCACGTGACCATGAAATTAAATATATTTAAGCGGAACATATTATTATATGCGTCTCACTTACCATGTCACAGAAAATAGCGATTCCAGTAAGAAACAGCCAATTGAAGTTGAATATAACCTTCCAACAAACTATAATCCGAACAAACGAAGGTTTAAACCACAAGTACTGAACAAAAGAAGAAAGAAAGTCCGCCTCAACTTGATTCGCATTAGTAAAGCCAAGCACACTTTAGATTCGTCAAGACAGAAACATCAATCAGCTTTAAGTATTTAATTACTTCCTTCTCCATATGTTATAGTTTATATATTTTAGTACAATTAGAAAACATATAAATACTGTGTTATTGATACTTGTAAGTTCTTCATCTTATACTTACTGTATCAATACACAGGTAACATTACATTTATTATAAATAAAGATCTTATACTTACTGTATCAATACACAGTTCCTTTCTGTGACGTCACGTTATTTCCAGAATATTTCCCAGTGAATCTATTGGCTAAGAAACGTTCTATTGTCTCGTGACTTGACTATAAGAATACAAACCTAAGTAAAATATCAAATCGACAACCATATAAGGGGATGTAGCTCAAATGGTAGAGCGCTCGCTTAGCATGCGAGAGGCACTGGGATCGACGCCCAGCTTCTCCAATCTTTTATTTCGTTGGTAAATTTCGTGAGACGTTTTGAAAATTCTCGGCCTTTTTTCGTCGCAAATTTTGGTGGTTTTCAAACCAAAGACTTATCATTCTTCCTTTATTTCAAAGATTCCGTTTACTCAATGCTGTTGTCTTGTGTCATCTCTCTTTTCTGCATTAAATTAGAAAATAAATAACAATTTACAAATCATCAACAGTAATATTTTGATAATGCTCCCTAAAATCTATTTATTAAAAGAATTCTGAGTATGTCTATAGACAGGCACCAATGATTAAGATGTAATAAAAATATCGAATGACTTTTGATAGTCTTCGAAAAAAATGCATTATATCATTGTGATATCTATCTATATTGAAATGGAGCATGCTGTTGTTTGCTTTGTCCATTCAGGATTGATAACATAATGGTACCTGAACAGAATTTTAGTTTAATCTCAGAAAATGTCAAACGTCTTATGTTCTTTTCTATAGCACATTTGTCAGGGGAAAAAAGGAATTTTTTCATACTTGTGGAGTACAAAACATACAGTCTCGATTCTGGAGAAAACACCAATAATGGTTTAACAATCATATCCTTGAGATACTGAAGACATACTTACGCAACGCACGTAACGATGCTAAGAAAATAATGATCCAAGATTTAAAGCTAATCTATGACTCAGTAAAATTTTTCTTAATAAGTTCATCATTTGTATAGTAGCTCTTTAGGCTACCAGAATTTCCTTGCGATTAAGAAAACCTTTGTTTTTCTTCTAAAACTGTCATGAAAGATTGACATAGACTTCAGTAAATAAATGACAAGTAAGACAAATGTTTACATTCTTTCTTTAAAAAGCGGGTATTTCACTTTGTCAGCAAACTCTGATCAAACTGCGCTAATACACAATGTCGGCATTCTTTCTCTTTAGATAAAAAACGTTTCATAGAAAAAGTATCTCTTGTAGTATGAAACATATTTTTTTTTTTGAAACCGCATTCTCCGGAACAAATGCCTTTAGTTAATATCACAATGTATTTCAAATAAGCCAGGCATGGTTTCAAGTACCTCTTTATTATAAATCAGTTCATCTCGACATAAAACTAAAATAGGAAATTTTTACAAAAACGAACAACATGCTGCGCAAAGAGAAAGAGAGTCTAAACATAAGTGAAAGAAACGGATGGTTTAGTTGATAAAAGTTCATTTTACAAGATAAAAAGGAAATACGCCTGCATGTATTCATGACTCTCTTTCTCTCTTTCTTTTTAGAATATGTCCATAGATTAGCATTAAAATGGAATTTTATTGATCTTTTCTTTATTTATTCATTAGAGTTTGAAACTAAAAGACGTAAGTAAAGAGAAAGAGAGCAAAAAATAAAAAAAAAAAAAGCATGACTTATTCTTTATATAGTAAGCATTAAATGCAGTTAATGCATTGCATGGAAAGGGAAAAAAAGGGGGAGGAAGATAAGAGGAAAATCCTTGGTGGTGTCATTTGCACATATGGTAGCAAAGTAGATCATGTCACACTTGTGATATTAATATAACAGTTCATGGAACAAAAACAAGTAAAACAAAACAAAACAAAAAACGTGGTCAACCATTACATAATATTATGATTAACGGGCTAAACAATGAAAAACACATCGTAAGTTTATCAAATGCACAATTATTCTTTTTTCTTCTGGTGCACATACATGCACGCCCGCATACAGATGTACTTGAAGTGAAAACCAAGATTTATACGATAGGGTTGATACTACTCATTTATATCGTCATTGTCATTCCTCCTTTTAGAAAAAGTCATCCAAGAAAAAACGAAAATGAACATATATCTTTTTGGTGTACCTTGATTCACATGAACGATCTGTGTAGCAATGAACAGCGGCTTTAGGATGGCATCATTCTCTTCTGTCAATACCTATTTTAAAAAAAATTTGGTTCATATCTCGATCACTGTATGAAACATTATGTCAGAGAGTGTACTACACTTCTTTTCTTTCCCATCTTCTCTTTCAAGTTGTCTCTATCAGTCACCTAAAAAGATTTCGCGTGATTGTTGGCATTGAAAAAGGGCGCTAATAACCTTAATGTATATGTATCTCCGTCTTTTTTTGAAAAAAGAAAAGGCGCCTGTCCTACACTGTTATTGTATACTTAAATATATTTATAAAATATTCTTTCTTTGTGTTGCCAATGGAGGTAACAAAATGACGGAAAAATACCGAACAAAAAAAAAAAAAAGGTACAATGGATTCATGCATTGTAATACTTTACTTTTCCACTCTTCCTTCAGATTTTTACGTCATTTATATTATGGCAACAATAGCTATTAAGGACAAGAAGGTGAAAGGAGGAAAAGGAAGTTTGCTTTAGAATCCAATGCAATATGCACAGACCAAGATCTGGGCTGAATTTACTAAGAAAAAAAGGCGTTTCCCTCCATCTTTTAGCCTTAAGCCTTATTGACAAGAAAAGGTATAGAGAAAAAGAAGTACAGAGAAGAAAGTATGTTGAATTTGGTATTCTGATCAACTCATTTGATTCATCATATGTTCCCCTTTAGAAAAATAAATAAAGTGAGTGTCATTGGCCCGCAAAGCATGCTTTCCATATCCGCCATTACACAAGAAATAATTCACACACAGACAAAATTATCATGCTCTTGGTTTTTTTTTTTATTTTTTTTTTAGTATAAAAATCCCAAAAGAAAAAAAAGCAATCTTTTTTTCTTTATTTATTTTCTCTAAATATTATAAGAATGACGGATAATAATTCTTCACCTTTCAAATTAAAGAACCCTACTGCGTATCATATCTTGGCTACTCAACAGCAACAACAACAACATGTCTCGTTAAGTCATTTACAACTTGACAATTTAGAGGACCAGTATCATCATCCTCCACCTACTATTGACTTTAGTGAATACTATCTCCAAAGACAACAGCAACAGCAACAACAGTTCTTATCGCCTGAGTCTACTTCGCCCCCTTTGCAAGACTTTGATGATCTGGACAGCTTATCTAGTGGTTTGCCTATCAATTTCAGCAATATGATGATAGTGCCTGAGCAACAAAATTATTTTTTCTCATCGCAACCAAAGATAAACACAAGCACACTCATGATGTCAAGCCAACACAACAGCTCAACCGATATTTTCCATGAAGAATCACCTTCTGATTACTCTTCTTCAGTAGACATGTTTCCTCATCATCAAAGAAATAATAGCATGGGTAGTAGTAAAGACACTGCCTCTTTGGCTACTTCGCCACCTTCTTTTATGTATGACCAACAGCCTTTTTCCGCTCCTGCTCAAATGGGTTATGAATTCCTTACAAATCACATTCAAAGTATTACTTCTTATCATCAAGACAAACACAAGAGTTTAAGTCATAGCTTAGCTGCTACGGGTGTAAATAACCTTGATGAATACGAATCAATTCAGCTGAATCAACAGTTGCTTTCTGAAAAGAAGCGACGTAGAAGGGAATCTCACAATGCAGGTAAGTTGTTAAGCTTTATACCAATTTAGTTTCTCTAACTTGTATTTTTCTTAGTTGAAAGAAGAAGAAGAGAAAATATCAATGAAAGAATTCAAGAACTTGGTACATTGCTGCCAGAAACAATGCTTGAAGAACTTGCATGCACAAGTCTAAATGGTAACAACAATAAGCCAAACAAAGGCGCTATTTTACGTAAATCAGTCGACCATATTCGTATCTTACAACAAGAAGTGTCTAGCTATAAACATCGCATCTATGAATTGGAAAAGCAACTAGCTGCCTTATCCACTAATACTACTAATACTACTACTACTACTACTTTTAATACTACTACAATTGCTACTAATTAATTCTCATGCCACACATATACATAGTTCTATTCCCGTTGTTGTATACACACTTAATTATATATTTGTAAATTTCGTTCCTTTTCCTTTCCCTATACATATATCTTATTCTTTATATATATATATATATATATATATATCTCATTCCCTCATTTGTTATCATTATTATTATCGTTATTATTCAAAAAAATTTTTTTAAGTAACTTATTTGTCCTTGATTTGCGTGTATGCATTTGGTAAAAAAAAATGTACCTTCTTTTGTGCAATATGCATTCTTTGCTCCTCCAAGAATAGTAACTTCAAAACATTCGGGATTATTTTTGATTCTCTTCTTTGTATCACCTTTAACCTGACACTTGGTTCGTATATTTTTTTGGGGGGTTATTCACTATAGACAATAAACAAGATTACAATGGTACAAGTTTGTATAACGCATTCTTTTTTTGTCTTGATTAGCCTTAAAAAGTAGGAAAGTCCTTTTATAAGAAGAAAAGAAAAGTGTTTTCGTACTTAAAGCATGTTTCAAGCTTTACACGATATATTTGAAGCTTACAAAGATCATTGGGAACTTTCTTTTTTCAGGAAGCTAACTCAAAGCGGGATTTTGTTGTTTTGGACATGCGAAAAAAGAAGAGATAACATAGATGGTTTACATTTTTATTTATTTAGAGTTATAAAGATAGTATTATTAGTTTTTATAGATACAAACACAAAAAAAAGTGTCTCATAAGCTCATTTCTCTGACAAAAGCTAGCTAAGAAATGGTTATCTGAGACGAATATATATATATAAAGCATCCTAGTGTATGCATGATAAGTATCAGTTTAACTCTTTTTAGTTTCTTGTTATTTGCAGCAACTCGAGGTCCTTGAAGTTGCAATTTCATTTCATTCTTGCATAAACCGGTTAATATTTCTAACCATAGAATATGTCTTCATTCTCCGCATGAGTACTTTGCTCAAGTGTAAGGAACTCTCACAACAGAAGTTTTCCTCTTAGTCATGATTAAAGAAGCAAACGGTAATTTAATTTAAACTTCATTTGCAGCTTATACAGGCTCGCAGAAAAAATATTGGATGTCTTTTAATGATTTTTAAAAACAAATAAAAATTGTATGATTTCCATTCTTGAACAAGTTCCCCAAAGCATCATAGATGAGCACTATAATAAAAGCTTAGGTTGTTTACTTGACAAAAAAAAAAAGAAAGGACTAATATTTGATGTATCTACTATTTGCATCAATCACAGCTTAGTATTAGTTGATTATATTGTGTAGTGGTATAAATGTAATGATTTAAAGCAATTATGCAATTGACAAAATCATTCAACTACCTTCTCTTATCTGTGTCAGTATCTTACATATATTGGTTAATATATGTTACTAGTTTATTCTCTGTTCTTTCTTATAATCTAATGTAAGTAACAATATATATGTATATATTGCTTATGCATCTCATGCTCTGCTTAATTTCTAGCATTTATTTTTCCCCCCAACAAGTTTTTTTTATGAAAATACATGTATGTTAATATACATCTTTATTTTCATACCATTCAAATCTAAAAATGGTCTAAATGGTGTAAAAAAAAAAAAAAAAAAAAGGCGGGAAAAGCGAATCTACAATTTGGCTTCAGACTCGATTTCAGTCATCATCAAATCTCTCAAATCATTAGCAGCATCTTCAAGAGCTTGCTTGAAATGGTGAGTACCATTCACATAGCGTGTACCATGCACTTCGAGATCCTTTACACTAGCCACATTGAATTGAAGTGCATTGCTCTTAATCATATAGGCACAACCAAAACCATCGTTGACAACTTGACCCCAACCATAACCATCAAAGTGTTCAGAAGACAATTGAGAGGTAGAGAGGTACCAGTGAGAAGAGTAGGCATGGATAGGTTGAGTGAACAATTCAGGCTTTTCTTCTCCAAGCTTCAAACTATTCTTGAGACCAAAGAAGTGACGATCAACACCGTGACCATTGACAGCATCAGCCATGTAAGCCCCTTGTGCCTTCAAAGCAGCACGAAAAGCAGCAATCTTGACTTGGTTAGAAGCATGAGGATCTTCCATAGTCTTGACGAAGGTCACAGATTCAGTAGAGACCGTACGAGCAGTTTCGGTACGACCACGTTGGAATTTACGTGTTTGAGCAGATTCATACGTAGGGCGGCTGGTACCAAACATCTTGTAGTAAGCGAGCTGAATGACCATTTGAGCATAACCGTCAGGGGAGCACTTGAATTTCTTGATCAAGTTCTTACCGTAGGATTGGTAGGCCAAGACAGTCAATTCATGCTTGTTGATCAAGCGCTCAAAATGAGATTCGGCGGATCGAATGTCCTTGATAACAGCATCGTCAATATGGAAGTTGAGTTCTTGAGGCACAGGAATATCAGAACGCACATTAGCAGAACCATGTTGAATCAAGTTTCTGTTTAGACTATACATAGGTCAATACCAAAACTAAAGGTCATTTTGTCTCTCTCTTACCCATCACACACATATTCGTTCAAGCGACAAGTGGCAGTACCATCCATGCAAGAGTGCTAACATGCTATTAGATGCATACACTTTTCATCTGATCTTACCTCGCCCATGAAACCAGCCTTACCGTTCTCAAAGACGATAAACTGAAGAGGTTTATCAAAGAAACGGTTACGGCCATCACCATGCCAGCAAGCGCGGGAAGCTTCATCACGGGTAAAAGGTGATTGGTCGTCCAGACAGACAACAAAATCGGATGATTCTATCTTTTCCAACATGCGAGCATTCTCAGGGTTTACAGACATTAAATGCTCACGGTACTAAATGATTAGGCGGATAGTAAGCAAATTGGTTTCCCATACACATATTCCAATGTCCGCACATTACCTCTGTCCATGTATCACGGTTATCTGATGTCAAGACACCAAGAGGAACACCTTTTGAGTAGCCTGCTTGATCAATGATGTTCTGGAATTGCTGTTGAAGTTCAGCAGTAGACAATTGTTGGCCCTTATGGAACGTATCGACCACATAGAATTTGTTTTTACGAATCACAATCACATGATTGTTCTTGACAGGATCATGGCTGATTTCATAATCAGAAGGTTTCTTTGGAATGCGGCAATTGTTAAACATGTACTTGTATGAGTCCATACACATAGGTTCACCCTTGGCCATTTCAACAGACAATGTCTTACTATTCATCAGGAGGTTAACTCAAAGATGCATTCTCACCACGACTTACTCAACAACCTGTTTCTTAAACTCAAGAGCAGCTGTAGTGATAGCAGCAGCGCGTTCAGCAGGATCCTTGCGTAATTTGTCATCTTTATACAAGAAGAAATAGCTGACATAGATCACAACAGGATCACGATAACCCATATAGGCTTGATCAAGCCACCAATCTTCCATCCAGTTAACAATATTAGGGTCTTGAGCTCGAGCCATAAGACGTTCTTGAAGCTGAAGACCGAGACCACCAGGTGCTTCAAAGTCCTTTACGGCTTGTTCTGTCTTTTTGTATTCGACATCGTCAACAAGAGGACGGATCGTCTTGAGGTACTTTTGTAAAGTGGCACCCAAGGCAGGCACAGGGAGTTTGGGAAGGTTCTTTTGGTATCGTAACATAGGACCTGCAGCTTGAGGATCAATAGGTGTCTTGGGTTCAGGTTTAGCAGAAGCAAAGGTACGGCGTACCATGGCTGTTCTCTATTTATATGTTAAGCCATCATTGATGTTTTCTCTACTTACAGCGGCCATAGTAAAGCGAGGAGAGACTTTGGTAGTAGCTCGAAGAAGAGACATGAGAGTTATGAGAAAAAGAAAAGAAAAAAAAAGACTATTTAATCGTGTCAGCAGAAATTTAGAGAGCGTGATACAAAGTGAAAAATCATTTGCTATTACAAATGAAAAATTCCCCACATCTTTGTACAACCACGGATTAACATTATTCATTTATTATTATTATTATTATTGTACACTTCTAAAATAACATGTTCATGGCCTTCATGGAGTATTCTACACCCAAGAAAGTAGCAGCATTGGCAGGGAAAGCTCTTAACATGGCAGGGCCAAGACCCTTAAAGAGAGCAGAAGGACCATCTGCCTTGAGTGTCTTTTTAAGACAATCACCCAATCCGCTGTATGTACCGGCAGGAGCAGATTGTAAACGAGACTTGAGAACATCAGGAGGAATAGCAATTGTCCACATAGCAACACCAGCCATACCTAACAAGATGAATATCATACATACATACATACACACACTCATGTACTTACCACCAGCAAACAAGACAGCACCAAAACTTAAATCTTCAGGGCGAGCACCTTCAGGTGTAAGACCCTTCTTGATGAGTTCATAGGCAACAAAGTAAGCAGCAGAACCAGGAGAATCACGCAAGAGAGTAGCACCTGTACCTCTCCAGATAGAACGAACACCACCTTCTTTGTAGAGTTGACGAACAACATCCAAAGGACCTTTGTATTTGGGATCACCTCCTTGACCTTGAATCTGCATCAACACCTTGACACGCTCAGAAGGTGCCATGAACAAAGTGGTAGGAACAGCAGAGAATGCGCCAGCAAATGTGATTTCAGCCAAAGAAAGAGGTCTGCTCACATCGCTCTTTTCTCTTAAACCATACACAATCTTTTTACCTAAATCATAAGACTATACCAGGTTAATCCAAACTTGCTCAAGTCGAACAGTAAACACTTACCCAGAAACTGACGGCAAAGATGGGTGTGACACTAGCTAAAGGAGTGGCCATACCACGGTATAAACCCAAAATACCATCATGTTTAATGATTTGTTTGAAACAATCGGCCGTGTTCTTGTAGAGACCTTCACTTGTCTGGAGACGCACCTTGACGAGATCAAAGGGTTGACTAAGAAACATATGCTCATCAGTATATCTATATACATAGTATGGTGGTTACTTTACCCAACCAAGACAGAAGCCATACCACCAAAACCACCAGAAAGGAAAGACTTGATAGAAGAAGCAGTATCACTCTTGACCTCGACAGTAGTAAGTTCAATTTGCTTTTGTTCAACAGACATTTCTTTTTTTGTGGGGATAAAAGAAAAAAAAAAATAAACGAGAGAGGGGAAAAAAAGGAAATTATAGCTGATTTCTTGCATGTGAATTTTATGTTGCACTAAAAAACGATTTGTAATCTTAAAACCCATTGATGGGAGACTGAGGGGGAAGAAAATGAAAAAAGGCTTTAATAGGTTGGCTGAATCAACATGTATAACGAATAAGAAAAAAAAAATTAGAATTCTACTTGGAAGCTATTAGATAAGCACAGCTTATTTTTTTATTTTATTTTTATTTTTATTTTTATTTTTGCCCTTAAAATAACATGTCTCGTGTCCCTACGTTTCATATATTCAAAGGAGTGGTGATTTAATATCCCGCAGCTTGACATATAAAACAAACCATAGACTATCTGCTTCATCATCAAGAGCTAAAAATACTCTTTTAACTTCGGCTGGATTCCGTTGACCGTCTCCGGTGAGACCAATAATTGAACCTTTCTTTCCGACCCCCCTCACTCACTCACACTCTCATTCACTCACACTTCTTGCTTGTTTTAAAGTGCGTCATACTTTTCATAAAAAAAATTCTTTTTCTTTCTTTTTTATTTTCCTTCTCTTTCCCTCCCCTTTTTAAATAAATAAATAAATAAATAAATAAAAATGACAAGTATTCTTTCTGACCGTCAGAAAGACGAGTTGTAAGTGAAAGAGAAAAAAAAAAGGCGAGTGTCTTCTTGTTCTCATCTTGTTCTCTCGTTTTTTAGACACAAGGCTATACTGGATTATTTAAGCACCAGTGGATTTACTGAGTCATTTAATATGCTCAAGTCTGAAACACATAACGAGGATTTCACTGCTGACCCCAAGCAAAAATATGCAGGCTTACTAGAAAAGAAATGGACTTCTGTCATACGTTTGCAGAAAAAGGTAAGCCATGATATTACTTATATCTGTTTAACACAAGATAGATTATGGAGTTGGAAACAAAATCAGCACAAATGCAGGAAGAAATTAATAATGCGCCCATCAGAAAACAAACTTCTTCTGTTGATTGGATCCCTCGCGCCCCTGAAAGACAAAGCATGACAGGTCATAGGAGCCCTATTACTCGTATTGTATTCCACCCCATCTATCAAACACTGGCCTCTTCTTCAGAAGACACAACTATCAAGATTTGGGATTATGAAACGGGTGAATTTGAACGCACTTTGAAAGGCCATACCAAATCAGTACAAGATGTTGTATTTGATCCTAAGGGCAACTTTTTAGGTACATTCATAAAGATAGTTATGTATGACTTATCTTATTATTCTAGTATCTTGTTCTGCTGATCTTTCAATTAAGGTATGGGATATCAATAATGATTACAAGTGTATCAAGACATTGTATGGTCATGATCACAGTGTATCTTCTATTGGCTATTTGCCTTCAGGAGATACGATCATTTCATCGTCACGTGACAAAACCATCAAATTATGGGATGCTGCATCAGGGTAAAGGGTCATTAGAAAAAAGATATATTTACTGACACTCATTAGTTATTGTATTAAGACACTAGTTGGACATCTGGATTGGGTAAGAACAGTTAAACCCAGTGAAGATGGTAAATACTTGGTTTCTGCGTCGAATGATCAAGTAAGTTGTCCATCTTATTTCAAACTCGCTTATCTCTGTAAACAGACAGCTAGACTTTGGGATACTCAATCAGGAGAAGCAAAAATGGAATTTCGAGGCCATGAACATGTTGTTGAATGTGCTATTTTTGTACCTGTCAATTCATACCCTTATATTCAAGAATTAATTGGCGATGAGGCAAGTTGTTATTCTATGCCTCTATGCATTTTATTAACCTCTTTTTGATAGAACAAACAAAAAGATCCTATGCCAGGACAATACATTTTAACAGCATCAAGAGACAAGACAATCAAATTATGGAATTCAAATGGACAATTATTACACACAATGGTAAACAACGTTGCATGTAACATATGAGCTTAGTCTCTGTATAGATTGGACATGATAACTGGGTTAGAGGCTTAGTTGTTCATCCAAATGGCAAGTATTTGCTCAGTGCTTCAGATGACAAGACAATCAAGATTTGGGATTTGAAAACAGGTCGATGTCAAAAGACAATAGAAGCTCATTCTCACTTTGTGACATGCATAGCGTAGGTAGATATGTGTTCTATGCTTTGATTCTTACTTTTATGTTAGCTATTGTCATATTAGTCCTGTTGTTGCAACAGGCAGTGTAGACCAAACAATTAAGCTTTGGCAATGTCGATAAAAAGAAATACACCATCCATGTCATTATTTTTCTATTAATTCAATACCACCTCTCCTTTTTCTTTATATAATATCTCCAATCTAGTACAAATACAAGACCTTTTTTTTTCTTTTTTCACAAAAAAAAAAAAAAGTTTTATAATAGAAATCATATTTTATTTCCAATACAAATTTATGCATTTGCTTTTAGAAAAGATATGACTGTGGTATTCTTCATGAGTTGGTCTCTTAAGACAGTCAAAGCATTCATGGATTGATTCAATAACACTTGTTCTTCATGTCTATAGATAGAAGCTTGTTTTGAAACAGGCGATTCATCCGTCATTTGGTATTGTTTGTTTTGCGTGTATTGATACTCAAGAGCATCTAATAAGAGCACAATGGCACGGAGCTGAATGACAGGATATAGCTCTAATGATTCTACTGTTGTCTTTAGATCAGATAAGGACAAAATGGGTGTATCTCTCACTAAAAGTCCTTGTTTAAATTCAATGTCCTCTTGATCCAAGACCACAAGGTACATCACAGCCACTGATGCCTCATCCCATCCAGCAAAATTGTGCTGATCAATAGCTGATAACTTTAAAATAGGTTTGACACCCATTTGTATTAACCATTCAATTTTGTATTGATCATGGGCTGGATCCAAAAAGGGCAAGAGTGGCAAAGTAATCACAGACGATTCAGAGTTATCTGGAACACAAAAACCATGAAGAAACAAAAGTTCTTGGTTTGATTTAGACCCATATGATAGAAACAATTCTTGGTCTTGTGGAATGTGTTCTTCACTGGTGACAAGCTCAAGACCAGTAGAGACCAGTTGCCAGCGTATATTGGCATGTTGGTCTGAATGATTGGCAAAGTCAAAGTAAGGAATCATAGCCATCTGATGTTTGCTTAGGCCAGACATGTCGCCACCAATACCCACTACACGAGACCAAAAAATACAATCTGCCCAGAGATACATGTCCAATTGAACACGAGATAGCCAATGGATATTGGATGTATTCCATGCCTGTACTTGTGTCTTTAAACTGGTTAGTTTGGCCCGTGTTGCATTCTCTAGACTGGTGCCTTGAACACAGGCTGGATTGAACAGGACATGATGGTCTTGGAAAAAAGAGAGGGTGGGGAGAATATCAAAATAAGGTTTCCATCGAGTATCTTGGTTGATGTATTGACAGTAGACAAGAAAAAGACAGAGTACATGGTGCTCATTCTCGGGAGAGAGAATGGTTTCCTCTAATTGGTTTGAGTTTTGATATTGTTGACCATAAAACTCAAATACAGCGTCTTTAAATTCAGTATGGACTTGAAGTGCTTTAGAAGAAGTGAGTATCAAATCAGAAGGGATGCTTACAACAGTCTTGGGTTCTGTTGCATCGATTGTTTCTTTAGAGAATAGACCGTAGCCTGCATAATCTGTGTGTTTAACTTGTACACCATAAGTGATAATGCCTTGCGTCTCTATCCAACTCTGAAATTGATTCATTGAAAAAAGAGAATAAAACAGCCCCCCGTCAGATCGGAAATTGATTTATGAAGATTAGATATAAAAGATTAGTTTTCTTGTTTCTTTTTCTTTCTCTCTTTCTATTTTTTTTTCTTGTCATTATGGAACCTAAAAAATCAAACAACAAGAAAGCAAATAATACATTGGAGACATGGGGTAATGAAACTACCATGAATCTAAATGCTATTATCTATCAAAATATTCTTTCTTCACCTTATTTTCGATCTTTATAGTAAGTCTTGAGCGCGTCTCCGAATCTATATTGACTTGTTATAGTAATAAAAAGACCTTTCATGAAATCGTGGATGAAATCTATAATGAAGGTGAGTTTTTTGTTTTGTTTTGTTTATTTGTATGTATACTCATCCTATTCTTTTGTTTTGTATTGTTCTTATAGTCTATGTGTTATGTGAGTAGTATGTCTCTATGTTGTACTTGCCTTATGTTCCATTAACCTATTTCTTTTATTTTAAAAAGCACCCTTTGTTAAAGGCACTCAGCCCTCCACAGCCTTTTGTTGCTTGTTTAAAATGTGGACACTTAAATTGACCATCAAACAAATCGAAAACTTGATTGATCATGTTGATTCACCGTAAGTAAACAGAGTTGCTCTTAGACATAACTTATGACAAACTAGATATATTCGTGCTATTGGATTCTTGTATTTGCGTTATGTATGCGCACCTGCTCAACTCTGGGATTGGTTCCAATACTACCTTGAAGATGAAGAAGTGGTCCAAATCTCAAGTGGACAAAACCCAACCAAAGTCACCATTGGCAAATTATGTCGCATGTTGATCACTGAACCTAAGTTTCAAGGTACTATGTTACCTCGTATTCCTGTGCCTATTGCAAGAGATTTGGAAAAGAAGTTGCAAGATTACGATCGAGAAAAGAAACACCAAGACCAACCTGCAGCTAGGTACATGAATAGAAAAATGCTATTGTTATCTAATCTTATTTTTTTTTTTTTTGAAAAAGAGAGGAGGAAAGAGAAGATGATCGGTATCATCGTCATTCAAGCAGAGATCGTTACAGATCAAGGAGTCCAGTAAAGGGTCGCGGTAGAGATGATCGTGGTAGTAGATATGATCGCAGTAGCAGAGAACGTAGCAGTAGAGACGAATACGATGACTATGAACGTAGTTCAAGACGTCGTTATTATGATGATGATAGATACAGAAGAAGAAGTCCTGATTATAGTAGACGTTATCGCTCTAGGTCTCCTTCTAGAGATGACAGACGTAGTAGAAATTATTCAAGAGACCGTGATTGATTCAATAAAACGTTTTTTTTTCTCTTTTTGCGATAAAACAAGATGCATGCATAGACTTTTTTTTATGATGCCGGCTTTATGTGAATCAGCTTAAGCTAGTAATAATAAACAAACAGATGTTGTCAGATAAGATATGCGTAGGTCATTAGAAAAACAAAAATAGTACGTGAATTCATTCACAATGGAACAAGTCTATAGTGAGAATTCTAATAAAAATGCTTTGAAGCTTATGATTGTATTCTACAACAGCCGCATGAATTTTGCTTTTACATCTGGTTGTTTTTTAATTCGATTTTACATTTACCTGTAATACAATCAAAATTCGTACGATGGAAACCATGTTTATTACAGCGATTGGAACATATGAAGTCTATAAGTTGCTCCTTCTGAACACCTCCAGAATTTATGTTTTTTTTTTTTTTTTTTTTTTTTTTTTGCTGCGCTAACGTCTCTTTGCCAAAGTGTATGGCAAGTTGTATAGACAAGTACATTATGGTACTTGAAATCAGGGTGATCTAACATTGACTTAGTTCTACAAGCGTTACATATCTTAGAAGTGAGGTATTCATAGATAGGAACAAATAGCAGCTTCTCTTTTTTAAGGCACCTCCATAGGATTTTGATAGCACTACAACGTACGCCTTTCAGCTTTACCATATCCTTGTTAAACATACCGCTTCCAAATACAACAAAGGGAGTTTTTGATTTGTTTTTGTTCCTTAACTGCTTAATATTATGTGTTTGCCTATTGGCTATTCAACACCGGGAAATGTCCTGTATTAACCATGAGGAAAAATATTGAGTGAAATTGCCTTTGTCAACTGTCAGAAGCATCATCGAAAGGGATTGAGCAAACTGGCAGCTCTCTTCCTGCCAAACCAACCGTGAAGCCTTACAAGGCTAATGAGAGGGATGAGAGATACCTTGGTCGTATCATTCGGGAAGAATCTCTTTGCTTCCTACAACAAATGGAAGGAAGAACTTGCAGTAACGAGCATCGATATTCATAGAGACACTGTAGTCTCAGCTGTTCATTGAATGAGCTTCCAATCGTTTGTAACAATAAAGAAGCCTCGCCTCTCTGAACAGAAGAGAAAGAAAAGACTTCGCTGCGCCAGCAGCAAGATCGACTGGACAGATGATCAATGGCATAATATCATCTGGTCAGATGAGTTAAAATTTCGTCTTTCTAGCAATTCAGACAGAAGAGTGCTTTGAAAGGTTGGTGAGCAATATGAGGAGGCTCACACCGTCTCAAAAGTAAAATAAGGAGATGGTGGTGTTATGATCTGAGGGCGCTTTTGGGTTGGTTTCGAGCCTTTGGCTATTATTAAAGAAGACTCCGTTAACCCGGATATATATGTCAGTATCTTGGCTCAAATATTTCATCGTTGGTTAATAGAGCTCACCGCAATTCAAGATAGGGATTTTGCCTTGTAAGAAGATGATGCCACTTGCCACGGGGGAGCCTATGCTCGATGGTAGGAGAATACTCATCAGATTAGATGCTTTGAGTGCTGGTCTACTTAAAGCCCTGATCTGAGCCCCATAGAGTATATTTGGAATGCTCTTGATAAGCTTGTGAACAACAGAAAATTTGAGGTCTACACTATCGAAAACTTCAAGTCGATACTTCGACAAGAATGGGAGAACTTCAGCCAAGAAAACGCTACACGCTTGGTCGGAAGCATGAAAAGCCGATGCCAAGCAATGATTGATGCTGAAGGTGATCACACCAATTACTAGTTCTTCTTTTTTTTTATTTTCTTTTAATAAATAATCCAAACTTTTATTCTACACGATTTATAGTGTTCATCGTCTATATTAATGTACAGAAACAGTCTCTCAAAAATGTATCTTCGAGCTGTAAAGTATTAAGTTTCTTACATTTTATATTAAACGTGAGAAACTTTTCTTCTATTATTCCCCATTCCTGTCTGAGCTTAGGCCAAAAAGGGCCATCCTTAGTCTTGATTGGGGTGGGTTCGATAGGCACTCGTTTTGGCTTTGGGTTTATGTGTCTTTCAAGATACAATTCGTATTCGCTAGCTTCTATTTTGGACAAGCTTTTGTTTTCACCCTTGAGGTATTCCTCTTTATCATCCCTGACCAATTTCAAGTAAAATATCCCTTTGCTTTTGTGAAGGAATTTTGATTCGACATAGATCCTCAGATGATTAAGTGAGCTAAAAGGCATACACATCAAAATGAGTAAAAGCTCTGTTTCTACGATTTTTTGTAAGATTCTCTATATTCAGTTTTCTGAAATCTGGCAATTGAGCAGATATCCGATTCAAAAAAAGTGGGGGAATAAATAACACAATGTTCAAGCTTGAGTTTGGCGATAGACGTATTCGTTCTAGGTTCACAATCGCAGTCGTAACATTCGAAATAATTTAGACTGAGTTTTTCCAGTTGAGAGCATGTGGCAAAAGCATCTTTGATGCAGTATCTATGTTTTTCGGTTGGTTAAGCATCTTCAATAGGTAAGCATAGAGCGTAAATTTCATCAAGCATAACAAGCCGGATTGTTAAATCATTGGCAAAGTCGGCATAGTCCACAAGTTGATACGCCTTAGTTTCTGGCATAATAACAGAAAGATGGTTTGGTTTCTTAGAGTTTCTTTTGTAAGTCAAGTCGGTTGTTTGAGCTTCTTTAGGCTTGACATCCACAGAGACAGAAAGAAAACTATCCGTCATTGTTTCGAAACAAGTAAGTATGAAATGTTGCATCTCCTTTAGCTCGAAACAAGACAATTTAAACGAGCCAGTACGAGATATGTATTCGGTGAGCCTTTGTAGGACGTTTGTTGAAGTTTCCCATGTAAAATACAAGCGATACTGATTTCTTTTAAGTAAGGGAACTTATTGATACAATACAGGATTAAGTCATCTGAAAAAGACAAACGATAGAACTAAAATGTTTCCAGACCAGCATGCGGAGCAAGCATTGATAGTTCTTCTGGTTTGATCAATTGCCTGATCTTGGAATAATTCGCCCTTGCTTTTAAAGTCTTTAAATGAAGACATGCATCAACAACATCCCTTATATCTTTGAATGTAGCTTCAGAGCTTTTCTCTAATTCCACTTCCTTCAAAACCTTCATTTTTCTAAAGTTCCTGAAAAACTTGTAGTATGTTCTCATTAATTGAACGCTAACACATTTTAGATTAGGGAGTCTTCATTCGCATATAACGTAAGAAAACGCCTCTTGCGATAACTATATTCTTCATCACTTTCTTCATTTAAATGTCCTCTGTGCACCAGACAAGATCCCTTATCAGCACTATCAGTAACTTCTACTGAAAGTAATGTGTTTGACAAAGCTATAGACATAGTACGATAAAATTCGGTCTCCTTTTATCTTGGAGGGCCTGGAACATATGCCAAATGCTTCAATTGGCCCATACACCGCGCTTGTATGAGTGTAAGCCAAATCTCTGAGAATGTTTGTGTATCAATAGTAGCGAGATTAGGCACGTATTCAAGCATGTCAGTCATGAGACTTATATAGTCCTGTGCAATTATAACATCATATGAACAAAATTCGTAAGAGTCATAGATAGATCGAAGCTCATTTCTCCAAAATCATTACAACCGACACTATCAAGGTATTATCGATGTGCGGCTATACTTGAGCAGAAGGACAGTAAAAACATATGAATGAACTAATGACATGCAGAAGGCTTATTTTTATAATAAAAAACATCAAAGATAGTATAGAGCCTGTTTATACGCACATATATACTTTAGATATCTACAGATCATGTCTACTAATATATAGAGCACTTTTGTGAAATTTATTTTTTGATCGAGGGAGATCCACGAGAGCTCGTGAAGATGAAAAAAAAAAAAAGTTCATGAAGAATTTTTTGGAATGACCCAATGTAAGCCTGATCCAACTGAAATAAAGTGAGACCGTCTCTAGGTACAAATAAAAAAAAAAAAAAAAAAAAAAAAAAAAAAAAAAAAAAAAAAAAAAAAAAAAAAAAAAAAAAAAACGAGCTTACTAAGACGAAAAAGGCGACTCAATTTGAGTATTGCCCTCAAATCTGCATTCAAGGTTCATTGTATACCGTAATTAGTCGAAAAAAAGTCCTTTTTAGTAGATATTCAGTACTGAGTAACTATTTAGCAGTACCTTGCTCAGTGTGTAGTATAAAACTACAAAGCTTTTCTTAGTACATCTCTTGGATGCATTTATATGCATTTGATGAGTAACTATATCTTCCATAAGCCTCAAGATAACTTTGTTAGCAAAATTACTTGTATGAATTTCAATTCGATATTTAGTCTTTTAATTTACGGCAATACCAACAAAGATCACTTATTTAAATACTTGCAACTACAGTCTCTCAAAGCCATTTCAGCTATTCATGACGTTGATGCTGACAATAACTGTGGTTTTCGTGCGGTAAATCTTGGAGTCTTTAATAACTAGACAAACTAGAAACAGGTGAAAGATGACATGCTTGCTACATACATGAAGTACAAAGACACTCTGTACAAAGCCATTGTCACTTCTGAAGCCTCTGCCAAATATGAAGAGCAAAAGACGATCAATAGATTTCAGTCTAAAGCATTTTCTTGTCTTAGTAGCTCTGAATTATGGTTCTCTACCTTCACCTGCCCACAAATTGTAGCCTATGTTTATGAAAAGCCTGTTCTTGTATACAGCTACATTGAAAATATGCTTAAAAAAGGTGAAAAGAGGATTCATTGCAAATCTCAAATTTACTTCCCTTTAATCATTATAAAGCTCGTCAACACTGATCACCCCATTACACTCCTTTGCGTCTTTCTTCACTTCTATTATATTGAATTCAGCCGAACCCCAAAGGAAAAAACTTCAGAAATTCAAAAATTCAACACTCCAATGCTCAATATGGATCATAAACGCCTGAGAGCCTCGTTTCCTAGCTCATACAGTTCAAATGACTACTCAATTATGTTCTAGTCTATATTTTCTTCTATGAAAATCTACGAAAACTATCAATAGACTATATCCAACTATGCTTCCTTAAAATTCGCTTAATTCATGC